ACATTTGTTTAATAAACTGTTTAATAAACTGTACATAAAAATTCCAAGGAACAACGGAGAGCGTCAACGATGACCTCTTATGTTGTCCACGCTGCCAGATCAACACTGAATGTAAGACTGAGAAATGTTTTCCATCGATTTAAGTCCTTGAATTCAAAACTTGCATGCTTTTACTGCAGGAAAACCCTTTCAAGCATCCCGATAAACATGCTGCCTGTTTTTCCATTTTACAATAGTTGTATCATATGTATCATATCGTATGCAGTTGTATCATATCACATAAATTAATATTTTGGCGAGGTTTGCCAGTGTAATAAAGCTTCTCTTAAACAGTAATGCTGCAATATGTTTTCCTCAATGGCGATAAACTGTAAGAGATTATCTCATCGAGATCTACCTTGGGGGGTCCCTAGTTCATCATTTCTCGAAGCTTTCAGCTTTCAAGACAAGACAAGCGCACACGACGAGACTTTTGTCGCACGATTTTAGTCGCACAGTCACACCTGCCCACGTTTTGAAGACGATAATGAGTGCATGATTTCTCTTCCTGGGTCAAAAATAAGTTTGTTTAAATAAGTGTGGGTGAAGGTTCCTTAAGGGCCTAGCCCATACATGGCGTGTTGGCAAGTTAACCGGTGGAAACCAGCGACTTTTTATACAAAGAAAAATGGAACACCTCTTACATATCTCCAAATTCGTTCGAAACAGACTCCCTCCATAAACTAGCATACATCCGTATATACATATATTGAGGTCAACTTCGAAAAGAATCTGCGCTCTCGAAAATAACTTTCCGTGATGACCTAAAGACTTTTGTACAAGCGCCAAAAAGATTGTTTCGCATTTCCGAAAACTAACACCTCGCTTTCGTTACTGCAACCTGTCGCGCGCTTCTACGTGCTTTGACAATAAACACGACCTTATAACGTAAATATCGTCATAAAAAATCGTCAAATAGGAAAATGAGTATATTATAGCTGTAAATACAGCATAATTTTTAAATATATATTCTGTTAAGTGCAAAATTATAGGTGTTGAGTGCATCACATCAATATCCTGGATTGAACCTCTTTATTTCAGCTCAGTGGTCAAACAAAAAAGTCTTTATCAGTTTAGAGCCGACCTTGAACGCCATATCCACCAAAAGTAATTTCAGGCAAACGTTCTCTGCCCAATGAATCATTTGTTATGATTTATCAAGCTATATATAAAGCCGGTTTTCCACTAGCGATATTTTTCGCGCGAAGCGACTTTATTCCTTTGTATTTGAGCAATTTGTTCCAGATGGTTGCAGTTGATAGCTCTCAAACAAAAGTAAAATGTCGCTTCGCGCGAAAAATATCGCTAGTGGAAAACCGGCTTTAGACTGCATGTAAGCCTGGGTCTCACCGCAGCACAAAGTTCAGTTAATCACAACAATTTGAACGACATAAAAATGTAGCTACATGCAGTTCAGTTGTAATAAAGATGCCACCGTAGTGTGTAGGGCTTTGTTAGACGAATATATGTCTTTGCATTGCCTCCCCAAAGAACCTTTGGATGTCCATCTTTTCACAGAGATGTAACGGTACTCGCTCTATAAGGAAAAGCTATTGAAAAATGCTTGCTATTCAGACATTGTCTTTGAAAGCAAGGCATTAAAAAACGATCGTACAATGCAATGACCAAGTTTACTTTAGTGTTTTTCCTGTTCTTATAGTGCCAGAGTATGGGATGAAAAATGCTGTAACTAGGAGTAGGAAAATAAAGAGATTATTCAAGAAAGGGCACGAACAAGCGTTTGAAGTGTCAGGAAGTGAAGGACGTGTCAAAAGTTGGAAACACGTACAGGTTTTCCACTGATACATCATACGAAATATTTGCATATAGTTACCTGAGAACTAAACAAGTTCTAACCACTAATCAGAGCTTGAGATATAAGGTACAATAACATGCAAGATCAAAACATTCAAATGCTTCATCATACGGTCAATGTGTTGTAAAACAAACTCTGGTAGCTCAACTATATACTTGGACTTCAAAGTCACTTCCAACTGAATAAACGCTCATATGTGATGTACAAAGGAAAACACTATCTCACATATATCCTCAGAAACGATATAAACGTTCAGCTAGACCCAGTTGGAACTTACATCGTAAAATATCTTAGCATGAATATTTCCTGGTTATCCTGGGGGCCAAAACTGCACATACTCCATGAATTATAACAAACATGGTATCTATTTGTGTGATATATTTATTTCTGGAGGCACCCAGCAAGCAAGGAAGAAATATTATCGAATAAACTCGAGACAGTCGACTATATATATATAGCCTTTTATAGGTCTATCTCAGTATTGAGGGTTTTGGGTAACTTTCTTAAAGCATTGGAACAGTTAACCATCAAAATATAAATTATTGTAATCATGCATTAGAACTTAGTATTATAAATTAGAACAAATTTATAAATAATATTACTTCTAAATGACATAATAATGAAATGATTGAATAAACTAGATTTCCCAATCTAAGTATAGAAACTGCCAAAATATTCATATCAAAGATTTTGATTGCATTCTTTATTGCATTCCAACCGCGAAATCGGAAATTTTTACAAATATTGCACAGCACTACAAACCAAATATGCCAACGATATATTCAAATGTATTGCTAAATAAAGTCAATATCACCTTGTGGGGGGTATTTCGTATGCAATAATGGCCTCCAACAGGAATCAGCATCATATAATTGAAACATCTCTTCTTCCGTCATTTTTGAAGGTGAAATTTTGAACATATTTTTCAGTCCAAGTCTCCACGTGGTCTTATTGGATATGAATACTTTTTAATCGCTTTAATAATTCAAAATTATATAGAAAGATCTTAAATAATAATCCAGAATAATCCTGGCGTCTTGAATCAGTCTATACCTATCTTCAATTTTCGTTTGTGTTTTGTTTTTGGATTGCGTTTCGTTTCACATTTTTTCAAACTGTCGGGAGGTACTGGTTTATAATCTCATCCAGTTGGGCATTATTGCCGGCAATCATAGTATTTACATATTAATAGATATCAAAGTACATCAATAAACTTTGATATGAGAGTGCTTTATCTAAGGTGCTTTACTATCAATAAAAAAATTATTTCATAATATTTACACTATCGTTATTGAGTGGTATATAAGTGTTATTCATTATATAACTGATATAATTATTCTTAGTAGGTTTAAGCCACGCTGCAAATATCAATATAATTATATAGAGCAAATATCAATGAAAATAACTGTGAGAAAATATCTTAAATAGCTATGTATATAATAAAGCTCTTTCAAATAATATGTGCTTATCCCTGGGTGTCGCTTACACCCAGTCCTTACTAATAGAGGAAATTTCAACATGGTAAAACCTCAAACTTTCTTTACAAGAACTCTACATAACACCCCATGTAGAAAAAGCACTTTTGACCAGTTTTCATCAGACAAATTGCTTCTTAAGATGACAAAACAAATTAAACACTATCAATTGCCGACGCGTACTTAAGTCTTAACTACTGACTTTTTGTCCAAGTGCTTTCTTTTCATGCCAAAACTTTTCAAGTACAAACTCTTGGCATTTGTCTTCGCCTTTGAATGACAAAAAATGCAACGTCAGGCAATAGCGTCCGCTTCCTTTCATTAGCAAACCGAGAGTTAGAAAGATTACGTATAGCTATAATGACTTTCATTTAAGAGTCTTTATCGTAATAAAGGTAAGATCGCGTGGGAGATTTCTCACTCCTACAATTTTACTTTACCCGTTTCTTGTTCGTTAGAAAAAAGGATTGAGTAAGCTGGTCTAGATATAAGAATTATTTGCACGGAGAATTATACTCAAAAGCCAAAAATTTATACGTTAGCCTCAAGTACTCATTATTTATATTTGTCTTGTCTGTAAATAAACTGATAATTTGAGCAGCGAATCAAGTGCTCGAATTTAAAACCCACAGAATATTGGGGCTTACAATTTTTTCAATGGTTATGCCGATATATTCGTAATTACAATAGGATGCCATTTTTTTCGCTCTTCTAGACAAAAGATCGCTCGTTGAGACGTCAAAATTTGACGTTAAACCGACTGAAATTAATACGTCTGTAGATTTTATCACACGACGGCCACCGAGGTCTTGATTCACAAGCTATCCCGCGGAGAGGAAGCTGAAGAACAGAAACAGGGAGGAGTGCTGTGATAATGTGATTATACAAATCACTTAAGGATAGTCATGTGTTGATACACATGAATTACATTACTCTGCACCCATATAGTAGCTATGTTTCTAGGAAAATAAGAAAGGCTTTCATGATTTTCAAGATATCATGTGGTCTACGTGAGGCCACAAAAGGTCGCAGTTTTTCATTACGTAATATGTGGTGCAGTCTTACGCCATATCTGGCTTAGCAACGCAATAACTTGTTATCACATCCACCCAATATATCTTTATCTGTTCCGGTGTGATGTATCTGGGGCTATCACGGAAGCTGTTTGTCGAATAGAGTTTCAAATTAAAAGGATTTTACTCCACCTCTAGGAAGAAGAGTTTAGAACTGATAGAACTATCCAGTATAAATAAAGTTAGTCTAGTTTAGGTTTCCATCTGTAGTAACACTGGATCAATAAGAGATGATCCTTACTGAACCTCTAGGAAGAACAGTTTAGAATTGATAGAGCTATCCAGTATAAATAAAATAACTTTAGTTTCAGGTTTCCTCCTGTAGTAACACTGGATCAATAAGAGATGATCCTTACTGGACCTGTAGGAAGAATACTGAATTATAACAAAACTATACTGGATGATCTATGATGGATAAATAAATCAGCCTCAATTATTTATTACCAAATAAATTGATCGACATTTAGAGAGAAATATCGAGTCACATGAGCTTTCGACACGCACCAAAAAGGGGCTAGTGCCGTCTGGTTGTATGTTCCAGAATTGATACACGATCAAAATTCCTTAACCTTGTCGCCCACAAGCTGTGAACGACAAAAGGAACCAGACACTTAACACACCTCAAGTTATTTTTATCCGACATTACGTCGTTTTGTTTATATAAAGAAACGATTTTAGAAGCAAGGCATTCAGTACATCGAAGGCTAAGAGAAAGCTAGCAGATTAAACATCCCGAGAGGACAAATCACACAGGAGGATCTGACTGTAAAAAGAAAACAAGAATCAAAGGAAACAAGGTTTGTCTTACGCTTACATATCGTGTTGCTTCTTAATTGCTTCTTAACTTGCACAAACTATATAAGAAAAACCTTTCGTAGATATTTCATACCGAATATGCAACTGGGAACAAGACTTGTTGGGACTTTATTTATCGTTTCATCATATCTTTTATTGGTTGCATTTAATGCAAGAAAATTTGAAATTATTACCAGATCTTTATAGGACTGATTGCGACTGCACGTATAAATAAAATGATAGTGACGAACATGCTGCCCTAAGCCCCTAATACGTACGTCAATATATTCTATCAGGTGTGTTGAGTCATACGGTTGAGTGACCCACTTATAACCGGTGGGAACTGCCAACTAAAAAAACCAGCAATCTCTCAATGTATATGACAATTTATGTATATACTTGAAAGAGATTTTTGTGTTCTATAAGACGGTGTAACGCCAGGACATGTACTGATGTAGCCTACAACGTCAAAATCGTAGCGATCTCCAAAAGGGTCATCGCGTGCATGCATAATAAACTTCCGGGCTGCCTACACGATTGAAAAGGCGCTTCTAACAACTTTAAAACGTTGGTCCTTTGTGTGGGTTGGGTTGACGTGTGTTGAATGAAGCGACTGTCGTTTCATCTCGTAGTTCCTCACCCAAAAACCTGTGGTTTTCGATGTAGTTTCATTCGCGTGAACTACAAACCACAGGAGAGCCATAAACTCACATGTGTGTGTAACTTAATCGCAGATATTTATTGTAATGTTCCTGTCTGCGTGAGGTGTAGAGTTCAACATGTGTAGCTCAAGATAATCGCGTATTTCCGGGCGTTGTAATTGCGTTTAGACATGTTTATACCAGCGTGAATTGTTGAGAATTAAGTACTTTGAAATAAACATGGCTTATCCTAGGTCCAATAAAACAGCGGGAATTCGGTATCACATGTACTGGTTATTTTCCGAGTAGTCGCGTAATGAGATTCATCTGCTGATAGTTTTCTGACTTTCTGGGTAGATTACAGATGGCCCTCACGTGCCTATCTCCAGGCTCCAGAAAAGTAGTGATATATATACATATAGTTCACAAGATATAGGACCCACTGCATGGGAGTAGAATCAGCAGGGTATAGAAAGAATCCCACGTTCCCCAGTTTATTGCCGACAAGAGTTACAAAAGAATTGATTGGCAAAAAAGATGAATTATAAACATATAAAGGAACGGAAACGCGCAAAACTTCCCCTAACAACGAGACATTTTTGGAGCTTCAGGTCGACGTTCACAAAGCTAGAAACGTCTACACCCACACTAGCTCGCCTTAATTCGTTTTTAATACACGTCTTTTACTAAAATCTTTTCTTTCAACACAAAAATGGTCAACTTTATAATTATTTTCTCTCTGGGAGGCAAACGCTTAGGTGAATGAAAGAAAATTTGTAGTAAATTTCACAATTACTGTTCTAGAAACTTATATATTTAATAAAATCTTGTTCGTAGGTATATTAGATGATGCAACAAATTATGTCCATGTTAGTTACTACAGGCGGAAACCTAAACTAAACTATAACTTTATTTATACTGGATAGCTCTATCAGTTCTAAACTGTTCTTCCTAGAGGTCCAGTAAGGTTCATCTCTTATTGATCTACTAAAGGTCAGGATCGTCTTTTATTGATCCTTGCAGTGTTACTATACAGGAAGAAAACTCATGCAGTCAAAAAGGTGTTGATTAGCTGAGAAACACTTGTTCCGAAAGTATATATGAACTATATTTGTTGCTGCTTAAAACAAGGCCATATATGAAAATATCCAGAAACATCTGTTTAAATATTTATTCAGAGCTTGGGCGAGGCGTTACTCTTAAAAATCATTAAGTTAGGAAAATCTAAAACGTGTAGCTACAATGTATCGCCATTGTACGCCTACAAAATAATGCAACGTACACAAGCTTTCTGTAGGCTTGTAAACATTGCCCGCCAGGCATTAGTCTTGTCGTCCAGGAGACTAGGTTAAGTTTATTTGTTAGATTTACTTGGTGACAAGCTGTAATCAGTTAAGCATTATGGTATTTTGTTTGCTTAAGACAACAAATTACTTTGAAAAACCACACAACAACGCTGAGGAACCCAAAAAGCCACGATTCAAACACCTGTCTTTTAATGCCAACATGAAAAGCGCCGTTATATAGGCTATACACAGCATGAGGATACAGGCCTTACATCATAATAATAATTGTCGCCTCGTTAGTTGTGTTATCAGACTTTCTAGCTGAGGAACGTTGAATGAACGAACGATTGTGAAGTTAATTACGTGCGAAAAGTATTCCTAATGTTTTGTTTACTTCGAGTTAGACTGAAAAATGTGCTAAAGAATGATATGCATGTATAGTTTCAACAACAATTTTTAGACAAACGGACTTATTGTAATGCAGTTAGCGGGTCATCTCAACATGCATGTAAATTGTAAATTGTCAAGGCCTATACCGCATTGAATACGAAGTTTGTGCGACTTTGTCACGTTTAAATCATTTGATCATGGGAAATCCCAATTATGTTATATATTTAAGATTATTTTTAGCAAAAGGAAACTATTTAGTACAATATTATCATAAACAATCGCAAAATTACAGGACAACTCCAAGCTAAAGTATTCGCTGTCAAATGATTCAGGCAAACCCATAATTCATATATTATAATTATTATTATTGTAGAGAGTTTGATTGATTACTATGGCTTTCGACTTTGGGGCGTTTCTTGTCAATGTTTTTCTTAATCTTTACAATGTAACTTTGAAAAAAATTATAAACAAAATTGACCTTGTAAAGATACTACAAGCAAGACCTGCTTAATTTAAAAAGCTGAGACACAAGTGTACAATTTAACAGGTGCATTCATCCTTCTGTAGCTAAAAAACGCTTTCGAGAAGTGGTTTGGGCCTTTTTCGATCGAGACAACTAATAATACAATACAAAATATGTTCAGGTCGAAGTGATTGTAAAAAAACCCGAATTGTGGTGAAACTTACTATATTCAAACACCCAAGTTGTAACAAGCTCTAAAGCCCACTTAATGATGTGTTAATTAATTGCTTCAGTCTCAAGAATGCACACTGTGGCTAGACACATAAGTATACTAGTTTAAACATTCACGTTAAAAGCTTAAATTACAAGACACCTGCTGTGCAAACACAAATTTATCAACTTCATGAAATGATGTATTTTACACGGAACTGCTCATAAAGACATTACGCAAGTCGATTAATCTCTAATGAATGTAATATTCTAATAGCTTTATGACCAAAAACGTGTTTCGCAGGGGAGTGACTGCCCACGTTGCATGGGAAAAAACGTTCGTGTCTGAAACACGTTGTTTCCAAATTCCGCGGTAAAACGATTAGATTAAATATGCTTTCATGCATATTACAAAAGCATAATCCCCACGGAAACGCATGTTAGCAGCATGTAAACACTATTTAAGCGAGCTTCTGATGCTGTCCAAGTATCAGAGGTGTCTTCCTAGTTCCTACGGTATGGTTAACACTGTTCCGAGTTCCAAGTGTTGGTCTTCCTCAGAAGTAATTTAAATAAACAAGCCCACGAGAAAAACCTTTGACACTGCGTCTCCTGTGATTGGTCGAATGACGTGTGTGGGCACTGACTGATGTTACTTAAACTCTAGATTCGGTGCTTGACGGGCAGATAAACGCACAGACTGACCAAACGAGATACACTCAAGTTGAAAGGCGATAGTATACAACAGTTTAACTGAAGATGAGGTGTTACGAAGTGATAACGCTAGTGCTGGCGCTCTCGGCAATCGTTAGCCATATTGAAGGTAGGTGACGTTTGATAGTATTGTACTATATGTGCGAGGTTGGTTAGTACATACTCGCGTGGTTTATTATAGTACATGATACAACAGTGTCTAAAGGCATTTCATACGAGATTCTAATGGAAAATCATATCTCCTTGTATTGCATGTAATTGCACTCTAACTATGCACACTGTAACTGCAATGTAGTTTTCAGTGAAGAAGGTTTTGAAGGGAGACTAGTTAGTTAGTTTATGATATGTGAAGATAGCAGGGTCGCTGAAATACGAAAATCACAGTGTCGATCGGTACGGTCATCAAAATACGACAGGTGAATCCCCATTTGTAAACCTAACAGCACAGCACCTTTATAGAACTCAATCAAATATCGAAATTCATTGATGGATTAATTGTCACCTAGTTTAAATCAATCGACAGGAACTTGCCATGGCCATCGGCGTTCAAATTTGCCAAATTACTTTCACAAGTTCACAGTTTGTGGTAACGTCCTTCAGATAGTCTCTGATGGCGAACTGTGAATGATCATAACTCATTAATATCGAATTGCACATTTCGAAGAACTGTCACAGTTTTCCTCCTTGTCGGTCCAAATACGGATCGAAATTCTATACTTCATCGTCAAAACCTCACCAAGGATTTATAATATCACCTCGTACCAACCGCCTACCCAATCATCACCAGGTTATTCAATGTGGGTTGATACAATTAAATGCATGAAGCCTTCAGTCTTGTTAGTAAGAACGCAATTCACATCTTATAACTGTTATTTGAATTTGGAAGAGCATAATCAGGGGAAATTTGTATCAGAGGAGCATGGCAAAATAGCCAATATATTTCAAGCCTGTCGACAATATAAATCGGGTTTGATATTGAGGAATCAGTTCTATAATTATTGCTAAGGAGGGTGTTTTATCAACGAGAATATGAACGTAGGCAGTATAGATAGCTTGCAAGTTTTCTTTAACTGAAAGAGCAAAGACTGCTGACGGCCATGTTCCTATATCGTTTATACTTCGTCAGATGGTATGCAGTGGTCACAAACGTGTTTCCTGAATGCCAAAAGCGTTGCAAAAGGCTCAAAGCGTCTTTATTCATTTTAAGTGGTTCAGACACAAACGATGGATACCGTCCTATCCGAATCATATGCAGTAACTCGTTAACCGAACGAAATCCGATTTTTCTTGGTGTTTGATCAGTAATGGCAACTAATACAAGCGATAAGAGACGAACTCCAGACGTAAAACTCGTGACTTAGTCTTCATTTAATGAATTTGTAAACATTTACACTGGTCATTGAAAAACGTCTTCTTCCGGCTTGCTTCCGGAGGCTTTCGACATAGCACAAATATTTTCCAATTGCCACAATATTTTACTACGTTTCTTTACGTACTTCCTCAATTTCTGATATTCCAGTCGCAATATTCAACATTATCCGCTTCCTTTAAACAAGATTTTCATATTTAATTAAAGAAGGCGTTGAGGAACCTCATAGATAAAGTGGGTTTTTTTTATGCAAACGTGTATTCACTGACAAACTGATCGTAAATGAAATTACCCATGAACTGGGTTATCATTTTCCCGCAGTAAAATAAATATTTTTCGAAACCGCTTGTGTACATAGATCAATAAAGCACACAGAAGTAAGCCCATGCAAGTGTTAGCTGAGATTACACAAACATTTAAGAGCGATAATTTGAGCTCGTTATGCGAAATAAAACAAGCTATGATTAGCATTATTCAAGTGCTCTTATCACTGAGAATATCGAGCGTACTTGTTAATAAAGAATTCGCCGACACTGTCGTGTAATCGTGTCGGATATTTTCGTGGTAATGCTTTGAAGCTCAACGCCTCCATAAATGCATGGATTAATGGCGAAAGATGTTTGTCTTTGGTTCTTTGTCGATGGAAACTGAGAAATTAAACAAAGTCAGTGAGCATCACATGCATAAAGATATAAATCAGAAACCTCCTGCTTTGAGAAATTCATTTGTCAACATCTTAAGCGAACACAAACATGTTCAATGATGTATTCAAATCTTGTTTGATCCAAATTCCATGCAAGGCGACCTAGTGCATGCATACGAGAGAGACCTTTAATATGGTTGGACAACGCTGCATGATGGCAGGTCTGAAACACGTTCTCTATACTCAAGCTATGACCCACAAGTAAAATCCACAACACCGATAAATATCCACTCAAAGTCGTGGAACTATTATTCATGGAGAAACGGTTGAAAGATTCCACGTCGAAGCTGGGAAGAAAGCTTGAATGAGCGTATTGTAATAAGCCACAGGCAGTTCCGATGACGTTCGAGAACGCCTGATTTAGACTGACGGCAATTCAAAATAGATGCACTTGACATGTTTCTTTCGTACATGCAGCAAAGAAACTTGTACTATACCATTCTCATAACAAGAAGATCCTCGCGGAACAAGAAGTCGTATAGGGGTGAGCCCAAGGCGAAGTTGTTGTTTTTAAACGTCCTGCCTCGCCAGAAGTTTTCTTCTTCCGCTTCAAACAAGCGTCGATATATAAAGAGCGACTTCCGATAACAAAAAGAGTGCGGACCATCCTTAATAAACCACCTTCATGCGTCACGCATTGGCAATTAAGAAGTTCCGCCGTAAAGTTCCGCTTCAAAACAAAAACGTCATATGACAGGCTAAACTACAACTCACTGTAGGCGGTATAAAACCACACATCTGCATGACCTATCGCAAAAACCTTGATCCTTGATGAAAAGTTCCGTCATATTACATTACAAGGCGTTGTATCTTCTTCCTTTTTGACGCAATAACCTTGACGAAAAGTTCCGCCATTACATCACGAGATGTTGTATCTTCCTTTTCGCAGAACGTGAGCCGCGTTGTGAATCCGAAACAGAAATTGTAAAACGTTTCATTGAATCGTTCTTCTTGTTTGCCGGCCATTCCAGTCTCCAGGCAATAAAACAATAATCTCGCTCTCATATGATTTGGGACAATCAGCTCTGCGAAGGGTTGTAGAAATAGATATCAATATACGTGTTCTGCAGTATACGTGTTTTATTCATTATATCTTTTGTTAATCGTCTTGAAATATTAAGTTGTTTCAACCGAGAAATGAACTTGTATTTGACAATTAACAACCTGGGGCCAGTTATATAAAAGACTAGTTAACTTTTAACTGTAGTTAAGGACAGAATTGGCCAATCAGAGTTTTGTATTTTTGAGTTAACTAGATTTAACTACGCAAAATGTAGTTAAATATATAGTCTTCTACAACCGGCTCCAGCCAAAGCGACCTTTCCTCCGTTTCTGTGACATTTTCTAGGCATCTCAAACGAATTCCTCATTATAGACTATAGTTTTTTTTTCCTTTTCACAGCTGCCAAAAAGGCTGTCCAGACTATAGTTTTTTTTTCTTTTCACAGCTGCCAAAAAGGCTGACCCGGCGAATTGTCAACCCTGGCGTGTGCCTGTGGCTGTGGACGCCCCGAACCACAACAGCCGACCTTTCTACGTGGAGTTGCACAGATGCATGGGACAATGTGACAACATCTCCCCCCTGCGATGCGAGTGCGTCGACCAAACCAGTCAGGATATATCGATGATGGTGACAACAACAGGTGGGTTGAAATCGCAAGTGTTCAAGAACCACACAAGCTGCAAAACTCAATGTAAGGCGGACTACAAGGCAAAATGTCTGCAGAAAGGCCATCAATGGGACGAGCAAACCTGCTCGTGCACCTGTCCGAACCCCCCTGCTGGAACTTGCACTCTGACGAACAACAGGTGGAACGCTGGCACGTGTCAATGTGAATGCAAACCTTCCCTAAGTGGCTGCCCCCCAAACAAGTTCTGGAATAAATCCATTTGTGGCTGTCAGTGCACCATAAAGGCTTTCACTCGCTGCTCCAATATTGGCCGTGCAACTGATATGAGTACATGCAAGTGCAAAAGACCAAAACCAGTTGCCAGTCAAGTTGTAAATGGCAACAAAAGTAAGTTTGAGTGAGAGTTTCCAAATAGACAACTTGTGTTTCAGGCTTTAGCTGGATCTTGCAGAATGTTTGAAAAGAAAAGCACTCATGAAAATCATTCTTTTATTGATAGATAATGAAAGTGAGAAAAAATATGTGATATCGCTGGCTGCAACTGGTGTATTGCTTGCCATGCTCTTGGTCATTGACCTCATTTTAATGCGCAAAGAAAAGGGATTCCTGTATAGTGTTATGAATTGCCATAAAAAGAAACGAAAAGGATGTTCAGGTAGGTTTTTGCTTAAACTATTTGGTCATTTAACAGTTACATCTGTCTGTTTGTTCCTCTAGGTACTGAATCTTTAGTTGGTATAATGACTAAAATAATTTCATTCTTTACTTCAGCCAACCCAGAGTTAACGGGAAGCCAGAATAACCTTGACACACACAATCACAATGATGTTGCATCTGTCTAGCAAGTGAAGCACTGTCCACTACATTCAACACTCAAAACACAATCTTAGCAGAACAGCAGGTGGTGGTGAATTTCAGACATCATGGTAAATTTTGGAATGAAATTGGACAACATACAGTACTTGTTTCTTCCCAAAAGCAAACATAGATTATGCATTTTGAAATTATAATACATTTAACTGAAAATTGACATCAACCTGCTGTTTTTAGAAGAGAAATTTCAAAAACATTTACTAGTTAAAAACATTTTCACAAGTATTATTATTAGGTTCTGGTTTATTACCACACATTTCTGCTCCTCAGAGGATCTGTATATAATATTATATATTACTAAGATATATTTATAAAAAAATTCTTTTAAATTATTATAAAATAATGTATTATGTTAAATTATAAAAAATTGATGATGCCTAAGCATTGAGTGCTGTAATTCTAATAGCAACAAATCTAGTGTAGTTAGTTCATTTTTGCAATCAATTTCGACAATTATTTTGTACAACACAATTATATATCTTTACAATAGAATTGTAAGAACGCTTTTAAATATTCAAATTAAAAAACGTGAATATGGTTCACAAAAAATGAAGTACAGTACGTCGCCCAGTTTCTGGACAGAAAGTAATATTTAAGCCGTAACTTACTTTCAAGGATCGCTCCAAACACAAAATTTTACCACTTGGCAGCTCAAAGGGTCAATTTACTATTATGATTCTTTTAATCGCTGTGCATTGTGTATAGTTTTGCCAAAAGATATAAACGCGGAGTAGGTCACTTGCCCGGTTTCTGGACATCATGCCCAGTATTTGGACAGTTTAAAAATTATCGATCTAACTCGAATACAAGGTAAAGTTGACCTAATTATCTCTTATTTAACGCAATAATACAACACAAGTTGATTCAAATCATTTTTATTGTTAAAACAGATTTTTCCTGCATTTTTTCAACAGCATTGTTGACCTTAGCAAATGTCAAATCCACCATGGCTGCATCTGTGCAATTCTTTACTGAGATGCAATACTGGCATGGTATAACTGCCCCTCCTCCATGGGATTGCACTGGTGGCCAAGGATGAAAACTTTGACATGGTTCTCACATGCAAATTTTGTGCAAATGTGTTGTCTTAGCGTTAACAGAATTTAAAATATACACAAGGAATTAGGAGTCCAGTTATCGGGCAAGTGCGTAAAAAACTATCAGCTACGAAATAAAAGTAAACACATTTCAGTATTTTCGAAAATGGCACCAAAACTTTTTCAGGTATATAGTCGGACTTTGTAGCTTTTTTCTACACAAAAAATAACTACATGTGTTATATTTTCAAAGTAAATAACTCAACTTAAGTGTGCTATCTAATTCGCGGCACGGTAAATGGCGGCCTTTTTAGAAAAAAACATTTTACCTACCTTGACAAAAACTTCGATAACTTCACGAAAAAGACATCGAAAAAGAAAATAAAACCTGCATGAAAATTGTGAACTGTCGGTCTATCATCAAGATGTATCGGTTTTGTTTCGTTTTTATTTTCCGAAGGAATATTTTAAAACAAACCATTAGTGTCCAGATACTGGTACTGTCCAGAAACTGGGCGACATACTGTACGTGACATACGTTGAGATTGTGGGATTGGAAATTTGGAACGGAAATATATCTTCGAATAAATGAAGTAACAGACTAACTTTTCTATAAACTTTATACCCCAATGTTAAGGACTTGAAATGAAGAAACGTTTTTTAAAGTATTCGTAAAACCGGCGGTTCTTGCACCTCAAAAGAAGACTACTCTGAGACTGAGAGACATCTATCGAGGTCTGTCCGAGAAGCCGAAGTATGACCAATATTTACTGTCCTTTTAAAGCAAGATTTCAGACACGCACATGACATTTTCTTGCATATATAAGTTAAAGAATTACTTACAATTATATTTCGAGGATTTCCAACGACGATTCTACCAAAAATGTATTGAAATATCAAAATTAAGTAAAACATTTTCCTCCAGCACATGCAACCATATTTTTTTCCAACTTTGCGACTTTCAGATGTAGCGCAAAGTTGCAGGAGAGGTCATTCGTGAACATGATTGGTCAGTTTGAGGGAATTACACCAATCAGAAAGCATGCAGTAAAAGTTCTAAAATTTAAATCCCCTGACATAAACACGTCCGTAATACTTCTATATTGCGCATATTCCAAAAATACAGCATATTCAATCATATTATTCTCTTTAAATAAAATACTTTTTCAGATACCAGAGATATTAGAATGCACAATATATCTGTCACAAATCAAGGCAAAATCTGATAGAGAAAAGTGTCATCTTTTAGAAAACCTGCGCCAATGATCTGGGTAGGGTCTCTAAAGGACATAAATAATTTACGTCTTAAATTATCCCAGTATTGATATATAATACTATACGCTTATTTCTCTGTAAGAGACAATTTCAAAATCCTTTTTAATTCATCATCTTCATTCCTCTGTTCTTGAGATTTCGAGATGACATCTTGTACAGACATTGCTAAAGCAATCTGCAGTTGTTCGTCGTAAGAGCCTGGATTTTCGTCCATCCTTTTCGCTGGTGTCGAATCACTCGTTCCTTGATCTGATGCTGCAAGACTTTCACGTATTGCCCTTAACAAAAAGGAAAGCATTCAGCAATTATGGATACCGGCTTTCACCAATGCAATAGTTAATCCAACACTGTTTTATAAAGCAGGAAATTTACTGCGGAAAGGGGCATTGCCCTGCCTTTACCTTTGCAAGTCTTCTTCACTGTTAGAGAGATGTGTTCTCTGTCCCCAGGAATTTTGGCGCGCATCACCGGTGCCGCCCGAGTCGGCTAAACTCTGTTGTATCGCCAATTGAATCAACAGCTCTTCGTCATTTTGAATATGCTGACCTGTCGAGAAACAACAGGAAACAATCAGTCCTAGTTATCAGTCGAGTTATCTCAAACGTGATGGTCCAGTGTGAGTTGTATCTACAATAAGTTGTCGTGGTTTGTGTCTGAACTACCTGAGAAAGATATCTCAAACGTATGATGGTTTAGTGTAGGTAGTATCTACAATAAGTTGTCGTGGTTTGTGTCTGAGCTACCTAAATCTATTAGTGTCACCCACCTGAATATTGTTCCACCCTACTTCGGTCAACGTAATCTGTGGGGGGCAAAAAGCGATCCGCGTCAATCGCACACGTGACCCTAGTTTCATCATCTGCAAGGTCTTCCTCAGGGCTTGGTTCTGACGTCACATGTGACGTCACGCCTGGAACCGGGGCAGCGATGGCGTTTATATTACCAAACGTGATGCGGGCATTAAGAAAATGAAATACCGGAATTTCTAAAATTGGTAAACATGAAATATTCATATAAAGACTATCTCTGGACTACCACAAAAGCCAAGCGATTTCTGCCGCTATTTTAGTTTTATTTTCTTCTTTTGATAGATGTGAACGCCTGAACGGGCGGATAAGTATGAATGCTTTTTTGACTGTCAACTCGTTCACATCTATCAAAAGGCAAAAATTGCACTAAAAATAGGAGCAACATATTGTATGAGAGGCCAGGCCGTAAAGAATGTGATCTACTATCGAGTGGTTGGCTCTTAATCAGCTTCTCTACAACCGATCCCAGGAATTACTATATTTGGTCTCTTTGGCATTCCTCCGGACACTGACCTATTTTTAGTGGAAATCCAGACGGTAGATGAAGAGCAACAAAATCTCGAAGCTTCGCAAAATGCGAATTACTGATCGCCTGAACGAGAAACAAAGGTTGATACATGCATATGAGAAAACTATGGCACCGCAAACTAAAGTTAATCGTGACTGAATAGATGGTTAACAAACACTCACAAGTAGCTTTATTACAGGAAGAACTTGCTGTTGCAATGACAGGGGATAGGTCGGACATAAACACAACGTTGCTTTGAACTTTTGTGTCTTACTTATCATGTCTTTTGGGCGGCCTATATCTGAAGAGAAAATAAATCTTATATCAGGAATCCGTAAGTTATTCCACAGACAACTTGCGTGATCTAACCACTTGCGATGTATTGACTGACGTAGCTACCTTTTTTCGATTTGTTCAACCGCAAGTTGAAATACTCTTCAACGGAAAGGCCGTACGGATTAAGTGAATATTGATCCACGATATCAGGATCCTGGAAATACAAGAATTGTTGAAGGTTAGTTTACGGTTTTGATTCTAGATCAATGTTGATGAAGGAAGGATACTGACGTGCACACAAATGAATTAAAATAATGAATGAGTTACCTCTAAGTCACAGATTGTTTCTTGTTGTTCGCCCGATAAGACGCTTTGCAAACCACTTCCTGAACTAGAAACTTGAAAGAAGAAATAAAAATTATTACAATGCCGTTTCACGCTCGTTTTACATCCGTTGAGAATCGAATATATGATTCATACAAGACCCCCTTTTAACATCGTAAATATTCGAGTATATTTTGAAGTAATCCTCACAGAGAACGATACTCTGTTCAAAGTTGGTAAACTTTATGTAATCGTAACAAACCTCTGGATTTCTCTGATTTCTTCTCTTCCTCGGTTAAATGTTCAAATCGTATCCTCGTGACCACATCAATCCCCGTAGCGTCATACATCTTCCCCTCGTGATCCTCAATTGTCTCTGTTTTATCTCCTCCCCAGCCCCACATCGTCTTATGTCTAAAGTGATAAACGATAGATTTCTACATAATCTTGAAAAATCATTGCTTCGTACAATATCTGGTTTCTAAAAAGCTCACCCCCTACGCCCTAAACTAACAGTTGAGAATCTTTTTGATTTGAATGAATTGATTATTATTCTAAATTGTTCACCAGGAGAGCAGTGTCCAAACTTCTTGGATACACTATCAAATTTCGAGTTAAAGAGAGCTTGGTCATACTTGGTAAAAGCGATCGAATCTGTGTCTAAAATCGTCGAGATATTTGGGGAACTCATTCTGGTGTTGATTGCATCTTGTGCGGTCTCAAATACGCTTGTCTCTCTGTTTTCCTCTCTAAAACAAAATTGGGCATTTCAGGAATGTAAAATATCAAACATCTTGCAACATATTGGTTACCATACTCAGTTAAACCAAGTCTGGGGTATTTCACCTGTTTGGATGGGATTTTCTAATAATTCTATTCATAATTCTATTCTTCAAAAACCGGATCTCCACAGAGAGAATGTTTTGTGTATAAAAAACAATCCTAAATCAATAATTGGAATTCTTTTCTCTTCATTCACGGCCAAATTCCTACCTCATTTGAAGCTTTTCCTTTGTAAACAATTTTCGGTCATGGTTAATTTCGAAAAACTCAGCACCTTCAGCTAAAATGAACAAGAAAAAAGGCTGCTAAATTCTGTCCTGCAGAACTGGCTAGTAATATCAGTGTTTTAATATTCAATCTTTCAATTTAAACTTCATTTGTAAACAACAGTTGTACAAGCTGGAGATCCATCATCCATCTTACCTGCACCCTTGAAGATGAAGCTCATGTTGCCTCGTTCCCAGTTGACGATATTTTGATCAAAACCAATCAATGTTGTGTCTACTCTGACATTACATCCCTGCTTGTATATTTTGTAAGTATCATTGGGACACATTTTTGACATAAAAGGAACTAAAATAAAATGAGTATTTTAACTGCACATCTAACATTGCAGCAACAATACCACATGAGCTATACAAATATGAAAGCATATAAAGCAGTTAAAATTACTGGCTCTTACCCCAGGTTGTAAATTCCCATTTCATCTCAATATAAAAATCTGGAGCCTGAAAATTGAGGTTGAATGTGACTTGGTGTACTTCCAGATAGTTTTAAAATACCTTGGTGAAATCAATGGAGTCATAGTGAACTCACAGCATTTAGGTCCTCAAGAAGCTCAGGTATCCCATCAAGGCGTTGAGTTGCTCTCTGGAAATCTCGCTGTGTGAACACAAGGGAAAGTATTTCTGGATCCCCGCTGCTCACTGCTTCTTGGCAAACTGAAGTAAAATATTCACAGGTCATTCTCACAGGCCAAAAAAAAGTTTAGGTCTGACCGAGGTACCCCATTTTGACACAGTGGGTTAAAGTCTGACCTTTGTATATGCAATTCCCAACCTACCATTCCATCCTTGTTTGTTTACTGCGTTGGCATCTACGCCATGATCCAGCAATATTTTGACACATTCTGTCCGACCCAATGTCACAGCGACATGCAATGCTGTCCTACCACAAGGATCCAGCCTCTCAACATCAACCTAGGTTGTAATATATTACATAGATTGAGGTAAAACTCTTCAGCTAGATGGGGATCAAACCACTATCCAAAACCTCAAGTAACATGCATAGATCATAACTCTCAAGAACCCCACCCAGGGGGATTACATCTCTTTACCCTTCACCCAGTGCTTCCCATGCACTCCCCTCCAGTTAATAACCTAGCACACATAGGTGCATATATAAAGATGACAGAAAAAACGGGAAAAATTAACAGCACTTTCTCACTACATAATCCTAGGTCAATTTTTGCATAATAAGGAACTAAATAACGTCATCTGTCGAGGGCACGATGATGGACTTTGAAGCAATTTTTATATTAAATCGCAATAAACCGATCACAATATTGTCACCACACGACAATGAAACAATAAATCAACTATAAATCAATCAATTTAATGACATTTCCTCTTTCTTCACCGAATGACCTAAGCAATACACAGCTGTCATTTAAATATTAAATGCCATTTACTTTCGATGTGAATTTTCACGAATTTTTTCTATCAAAACAAGTACAACTGAAAGGTCTGAAAACTGTACCTTGTTCTCCTTCAAAATATCTTTCAGCTGTGCGGGTTTGTCTTCAAAAACAAGGCAATGTAAAGGCCATTTCTTCATGATATCATGTTTGTTTACAACTTGCCACTGTTTTTCGGCCATTTTGAATTCGTGGCCCGCACCACCCGTAATTTTTGTCATGAACTTCCTGAACCACAGTTCCCCGTATGACATATATAGATCTGCGGCTGAATTCTATTGGTGCTTTTCCAACTACGCCTATTTCTATTGGAAGATTTCTTCGATTTCTATTGGTCGATATCAGCCGAAGCTCGCGTAAGCTGCGACCCATCCAATTGGTTCATTTTTCATATTATTGTACAATTTCTTGCGAAAAAAAATTATTCTCAATTTCATTCTCGTTTACAGTAAATTAAACAAATTTATCTTAAATAATTTGTGAAACGTTTGCTACCAAATATCGAGGTATTGCATTCATTAGAATTCTTATTGTTTATGCTCGAAGGATGCCCTGACAATTCTTTCATTAAGGTCGCATGTTGGTCGGAAATTTTCACAGAGACACTGACCATCGGTCGATTTGATTTCTCGGAAAGCTGCAATCTAAATAAAATTGAAAAGAAATTGTAAGAAATACCAAATATATCGCAGAGTTCTGAGTCTACGACTCCAAGTAAATAGACATGAAGATAGTGACCTGGGCACTAGACACAATGATTGGCTCTTTAAACACCACCCACGTGACGCTTTCTGAAAGTGGAGGGGTTGTCAAGGAGCCTGGATACGACCAATAGTCCAAAGAATCTGGAAATTGAAAATAATAGTTATTGTGGTATGTCCTCAGTAATCCAATGTTATCCACACAAGAAAACCGTCATATGTCCCCTACCTGGAAACAGACACTGGGGGTTAAATGGTTTTTCTAGTGTTACGCTTGAACCCTAAATAAAAACAAAATTATTGAAGTAAAAAATTGCAAATGAGAAAAGATATCTTCAAGAGGCCCTACATTAGCATGTATTCCCGAGATTATATCTGTGATATTCTTGAGGCCAGTGTGTTCCTGATCTCCAACCTAGGATACGAACAGAAAACGAGTGATTTGACAATATATGGTGGGTGTTTTGGCAAACACAGCATCCTTTTACCTTCAAGAATATTCCAAACACAGTCAAGCCATCTTTCGCCGTCAAAGCCTCCCCAGCGCTGCCATACAAGTCAGTGTTGTAATGAACAAGATGTAACTAGAAAACGTTCATATTGCAAGAAATGAGCCAGATAAGTTCAGTAACAATACTGCTGACGATCATGTGTGTGAGGGGAGGAGTACAACATTCAGGAATGCCAGAACTGGCAGGTGAGGTGTTGGCACAGCCCCTGAGTGAAATCACGATTAAACGTAGCCCAACTCGTTCAACTTCCAGTTTTTTAACAACATTCCCTGGTGTCAGCAAAGAAGAATTCCCTAGTATCAGTAAAGAAAAGCCCTTTCATGAAGATCTGCCTTCCCCCCTTATCTTTGGCATAGTTTCAGTGTCCCTGACAAAATTATCAACGCCGTTTTCATCGACTGTTTTTCATGTCTTCATTGACTGTTTTCTAGACCTGCGTTTGCAAACTCCACACTAACCTCTGCTGCGTATGGTTTACTGTCCACCGTGTGCTCAGACCCAATCTCATTGTGTTCCCCCCAGTGGAAATGAAACTGAGCTAACTTATATTGATTGCTAACTGGACCAGAACTCACAGCTGAAGAAAAGAACACAAAAGCGGTGATATTAAGTACAACACCCCAAGTTTTTAGCAGTTAGCTTAGTCAAACCGAAATGCTAGATTTTAGATCGGCCACCTGATGTATTTCCTTCTTCGCTGGGAGAGAAGAGAACAGTGAAGCCATTGTTCTGCAGTTGGGCTTTCTCAAAACTCGGGTATGAAAATTTCAAGTTCTTGAGGGTATGATCAAAGGTGGCTTTTGCTTGAACGATGTCTATCGGAGATTGTCTGTTGCCTACTTTGATATCAAGAAGTTTTTCACGAGGCTGGACCTAAAATTAAGAGGCCAAATGAAGTAGTACCTTATCACGACTGAGGCTAAGGGGACATCCACAATTACTGATAAGATTCAACGGCTAATACTAGATTGAATCACTGGATTGAATTCGATTTTATTCATCGTCTCGATATCAATAGAATAGTGTGAATGGAGAGGACTTCAACACGAAGTGACGCTACAAAGTTATGAAAGAATTTCAGAAACAGACTCAGTGTTATTGCGAAAGAAACTCTTGATAATGCCTGCGCTGTGTCACGTATTCGCTTCCACGAACGTGCGCGATGATTTTCGGCAAAACTGACTCTCTGACACGTCCCTGTCAGTGTAATTAAAACCGGCCATCATCTAGATAATGGATTTCATCTGTTGTTACTATCAGTGGGATATGACTTGAATGATTTTACTAGTTCATATTCAGGTCTGCCCCAACCATTAATATTCACCGTGAATGAACGACAGATTTCAGCATTGCATAATCGGAGACGATGTAAAATTCAGGAATACGTTTAAATTAAAGTTGCAAATAAAAGTGGCAATTAACAGATTTAGAATACAAAATCTTACCATTATCTTTCCTATATCCCCACATTGCGCTGGACATCCGTGATGTAGAGTAGAGACACGGCTAAATACAAAGACAGACAGACACTTCAACTACAGATCTGTTTAACCTTATAGGATCAAAAATTGTTTAGGATTTGTTTTATATAAGGTTCGAAGGTCACTTTTTATTTCCGAAGTAGTGTGTTTCCATTGGAAACACGAGTTAATTAAATCGATATTTAATTACGGTTTTGCACAGACTTCATTTGTTTTGAATAAAGGGGATTGACCTTCAGAAAACAAACTGAGATATAAACTGAGTAGTTATTTACTTTACCACTCGTTTTTTATTGAATTTTGATCAAGATAAAGTGCATTTCATGTGAACTTTATAGAAGATATACAGCAGGACTTTTGAGCAAAAAGAATAAGACGAATTACTATTCAAGCATGTTATGTAATTATCTAAGGCGGTTAAACCGTAAAACAACGAGGTTAACATTGTTATTTTCAACTATTCCTTAAATTTACATACGAAACGAGATCAGGCAGAGACTATGTTTCTTTAAAATCTTATCTTTTTGCTAGTAATCTAAGCAAATGAAACCATACGATGAATAAATTAGATGAGAATAATTTTAGAAGGTGCACTTCAAGAATATACGAGTCTCATCAAAGTTCAAACTCGTTTCCATCATATTCAAGCATTAAACAGCTAGAACCTAACCATTCTCTCACAGTTTTTTTGACTAGAAAATTAAAAGCACGATTCTTCACCGCAGAGAATTCACATTCCACTGAATATGAATAGAACGGAGTAGAACTGTAATATATTTCGAGTGTCGAGTCAACAAATAATATTTGATATTTCACTATTCTTTCGTCTATTCTTACCTTACAACGTGTAGAAATCTTACTGAGAGATTGTGAGAAACGATTTAATAAAGAAAACATTACCACAGGTCGTATAAAAATGGAACCTTGTTATTTTCTTGTTATTTACTTGCTTTTATAATCCAATTCAAATACATAGTTTATAACAAATCAAAAACTGTTATATCTTAGATTGAAGATTCACAACCATAGATTTCGCCTTATTTAAGGAAAACACTGAAAAAATACAGCGAAAAAACGTCAAAACTTTACAATGTTTGCAATATTTTCGATGAATGAAATTTTGAAATACTTCGTGTTATGAAGGATATTTCACCTACATCTACCGTCGATTGCACAACTTTGAACACTTACTAATAGAAACTTCTGATTTTAAAAATTTGATTGATTAATTTATTATGACTATTACTTATCAATATTTACAGTGGATTGTATAGTATATATCATAAACTCCCCATTTTGGTGAATGTATATGGCTATGGCTTTGGGAGTCACACAGATTTTTGGTCACAATTGAATGTCAATCCCAAAATATCTTTTGCAGAAACTGCGGCTTCTTTCAATCTTGCAGTAGTTTCATCATCTTCACTGCTTGAACTAAAAAGTAAACAAAAAATTCTTCACTTCTACCACGCCTAATGAATGAGAAAGTAAATCGTCACTGCATATTTCACCTGTCACTCATATCAGCTCTAGTATCTTGGATAAGGCACTTTTGCTTTTCATCAACAATTGCTGTTGAACTTGGTTGTCGATGGCTTGAAAACAACTGAAAATCTAAATAATAAATGAATCATAATATCTTGAGGAGCACTTCAAATTTTGAAGCGTATTTCTCTGGATTCAATCAGTTCCTATGTTCCATACCATCTTCTTCCACAAAATTAATGCATGGAAGTCCTCCACAGACTTGCACTTCTTCTAAAGTTCTGAAAAGCAAACAAGATCCCAGCAGGCTACAAAACATATGGAACATAATAACAGACATCCGAACTCCAATACAACACTCAATACAACCTGTCAAGATAGTCGGATAATTCCTTAGCAAGAACCTCCTTTAACTTGCAATCTACTTGTGACAATTCTTTCTCACAATCATCTCGCAACCTGTAGACATAGCATGGGTCGTTATGGTGAGGCAAATGCTCCTAAACTGAATGTTGTGCAAGAGAAAATCTCAAATACTTTCACCTCCTTTTTGATTTCACTACTTTGTTTCCATGATTTCCCAAGTCTTCAGCCTCTAAATTTTTAGTATAAAAACTAAAAGTCCAAAACAATATACCTTTAAGATCCCCATCTTTCCCCACCTCCCCCCTTCTAACCCCACAGACACACCCACACTTTCTATACCTCTAGATGTTTTCTTTGCAGCCATTTGGTTTCAGATTATTCATCCTGCATCAATATCGCAGCATTTCACGAATAAAAACATGTATATTAGATGCATATGACTCATTACATAAACCTTTGACTATCGCATATACGACGTGTGCCGACATAGCCGACCACTGTACGGTCATTTCCGAACTGATGTAATTAATGATTCCCCACCAGTCTCTTCCGCAGCTCATTGCGCACGAAATTACACGAAATTTAATTAATTAGCTTGATGAGGGAGTAACGAGACGAATGTTAATTATTTTAGGACAGTGTTCTAGGAATCGAACCCAGAAGCCAAACATACCTGTTTAAAAGTGTTTTAACAGTTCATGTACAAGATAAGATTTCTCGATTTTAGGGTAAAATGTAGAAGAAATCTTTTCACTTTCAACAGACACGTTTTGGTTTGGCCCCAGACATGGACACTGTTTTTTAAAGCCAAACGAAAAGGAGGGAAACCGGAGTGCCCGGTGAAAAACCCTCCAAAGGTAACCTGAATTTCAGGTTACCTGACCGGCGTTCCGAATTTGGTATTTTGATATAGAAAACGTCCGCAATGGACACAGTATAGACCGTCTAGGTTTTATCTATCGTTAACCGTTTAAATTCATGCTCATTCAAACCTTGTTTAATGGATTCTGTCATCCTGGTGGTCTAACGTGCGCATGCGTGCATATAGTGCGTTGCAAAACAGCAGGCTGTTAGATTTTGAATTGAACTGCGCAATTTATTCGACAGTGGCAACAAAAATCATTTTTGGTAATCACAAAATTGGTGAAATGGTCGAAAAATAATCAATTTTCATTGTTTTTTAATTCTGAACTGCAATTTTTTAGCATAATTTCATTTGTTTATTCACGACTCGCATGCTTTTTGATATTAAACTGATGTAGACAACAACACTCCTCTACAACCTCTTCTTAAGTCATTTCTCATGCAAAGAGTAGTCGGGTTCAACATGCATTTTACTCAAAATGGCTACCCCCTTATAACATCTCATACACCCAAAGTATCAATGATAACCCTTACCTTCAGTTACACCTTATAATTACCTTTGTGAACAGTTTACCGATCTCTCTTGCTTGACTGCTTCCAATACAAACACTTGCATTCTTTCAAAGCTCAGACCTTAACAAGATCTCAAAATAAAAGGTGAAGTGTGCAAAGAATGAAACAAAATAGTGTGTCAAAGGGGACTTTTCTATATCCTTGGAAGTAAAACAGATTCTATACAGTCAATATTATTCTTATACAAATCTCATGATTGAAGTTACTCGAAACAAGATTTAAACTGCGGTTATTCGAGATTGAAAATCAAGTCGGGAAACAGAGGAGACAGAAGAGTGTTGCGTCCAAGTCAAGTCAAAATAATAAATCAAGTCATTGAAAAATTCGAAAATAGATTTTTACGTGCAATCTTTTTTGCTTTGAAAAAAGGATGCATGCAGCATGCTCTTTAATATTGAAAGCTGAATAATTTTTGTTGCCACTGACGTCTTTCGAAACGGTCGATTCAAACCAGGCTGAACAGAGAACTTATATGATCATATAAGTGCTCGCGATAACCTCTGTATTAATCTAAAGTTAGGTTAATACGAGTTCGTTCATATTTTCGCATTGCGTGCGCGTCCTGCGTCGACCATGCTAATTGCGTTTGTTTCATTTGCGCGCTTTAGCTTAGCTATCATCATGCATCTGACACATCATGCGTTTTTCGCAGCAGCTAGAATTCACACACGAGCGACAAAACTGGGAATGTTTAATCAAGAAAGGTCGCATGCAGTCATCGGAACTTTGAGAAAATTTGGTGTTATCATGCATTGCCGAAAAGGGTGAAATGTCACTTGGTGTGTGAATATACTAGTTTAGACCACCAGAATGAGCCGATCCCAGAACAACCATGCACTTACAAATAGCATGCATTACTCTAAACAGTATACATGTAGTATAATACCTTCACTTGAATACTCCTGTCTCGTCGTCCAACGTCGCGATTGTTCATCCTCTGATCGGCGACTGTTCATCCTCTGATCGGCGATTGTTCATCCTCTGATCGACGACTGTTCATCCTCTAATCGGCGACTGTTCATCCTCTAATCGGCAATTGTTCATCCTCTGATCGGCGATTGTTCATCCTCTGATCGGCGATTGTTTATCCTCTGATCGACGATTGTTCATCCTCTGATCGGCGACTGTTCATCCTCTGATCGGCGATTGTTCATCCTCTGATCGGCGATTGTTCATCCTCTGATCGGTGATTGTTCATCCTCTGATCGGCGATTGTTCATCCTCAGATCGGCGATTGTTCATCCTCTCATTGGTGATTGTTCATTCTCTCATTAGTGATTGTTCATCCTCTCATTAGTGGTTGTTCATCTTCTCATTGGCGATTTTTCATTCTCTGATCAGCCGATCCTTCATCGTTTGCTTTGAGATCCTTCAACATAGGGTGAAATGTCACATGGTGTGTGAATATACTAGGTTACCGTTAGACCACCAGGATGAGCCAATCCCAAAACATGCACTTACACAATTAACCATGTATTACTCTAACCAGTATACCTATAGCATGTACCTCAGAAGAACTTCCACTTGAATAATCTGTCTCCTCGTCCAACGTCAGATTGGCAATCCTTCATCATCTGATAGGTGATCTTCGTCGTCTGATTGGTGATCCTTCATCTTCTGATTGGCGTCCTTTAACATGTGGTTAGCGATCCTTCTTTGTCTAATTGGTGATCCTTTATCGTCTGATTGGTGATCCTTTATCGTCTGATTGGCGATCCTTTATTGTCTGATTGGCAATCATCCATCATCTAATTGGCGATCTTTCATCGTTCAAATTTTCATCTCTTCTACGCCATTCGCCCAAGGCCTTCGCATTGCGCAGGCGAATACAAAATATATGGCATGCACTTTTTGTAGGAAACACCGATCGAAAAACATGCAGCTTCGTTTTTTTCATGCATGATCCGGAGATAACCAACCACTCGACTATCAACTCCTTCCAGAAATACAATTTCTCATGCATTTTTATGTTTTAGGCGCTCTGTGAGCGATATTTTTGTCCGGACTATTGTCGTTCAAGATGAAGAAAACAAAAGTGATTGGGGCCCCAGAATCACTTGTATTAACTTCGCATGCGCTTGTCACGACCAGATTAACCTACGGCCACGGGTTGACCGTTGGGAGAATTAAAACCGCACTGATCCGAAAAGTTGAAAGTCAAGGAGGTAAACAGAAGAGTGTTTAGCATATCTGAGGAAAAAATGAATATTAATTTTTGGTTTTAAAAAGGTAAAATCATGCATACTCATGCGAAATTAAAACATTTGTATTTGCGTGCATAAATGTCCTGGTCCTGTCTGATTTCTCTCGAATCTCGATTCGTCGTTTCGACGTTTCTTCTATCCTAGAAAAGGAATAAAATTTAGTACATGTTATTTAAGCCACGGGCGCGGCTCTTGAATTGTATCATAAATCAGTAGCGTAACTACGTGTTGAAACCCTCTTCGAATGCCTCAGTATTCGTTGGATATATCGATGCGTTTAACACTTGACTTGTACCTAACGTTTAGAATCAAAATGTAGCTAAAAATCAAGATACAGTAATAGCTGAAATCGAGATAGAATATGCCTCCAATTGCGAAAGCCTTTTCGTTATTCATAATAACACGACAATGAATTCATTTGGTGCGAAGTTGAAGACCAATTAAACCAACCATGCGGCAGAATACGCCGGGGAACCAGTTGCCTATTTTGTGACCATGTACCTTGGTTATACAGCAAGATTCTGTTCCTCAACGTCTTCCAGTTATACTTGAGATCCTTGTTTCTAAAGACTTCATCACATCTGATTTTCTTCTCCAAATTCAACCAGCTTTTATCCCCTCAAACTCTCCTCGCGGCTCGCACGTTGCTCTTTTGATTGCTGCACAGTTATTGATGGGGTATCAACGATCCATTGTTTTAAAATCGTTGACATTCCAACAGACAATGTACTTTACGCATCGACGACACTTTAGTTTGGACGATTTGCATTTATTTAATGAATAAACAAAGTCAGTTTTGCAGTCTCAGGACAATAGCTTTTGCATAATACATCTTTTGTCCGTTACAAATCACAAATGATGAATTATGAAAAATGGCAGTCCGAAAGGGAACAATGGATCTTCGATGCTGGTTGAGGGGAAATGGGTTTTGTCAATTTGTCATACTGTAGTTCAGAATGTTGGGTCATTTACTTCAAGTTAGATGTAATGCCGTACGTTTGAGATCAGGAATTGAATCCCAAAACTCAGAAAAATGTTGGAAAAAATAGAGTAATGGGATTTAAACATGTTTCCGCTGAAAAATTACATGATTACCCCCCTTAGCAAGAAAGGAACTTTGACTATACCTGGTCATCCGGACTTATTCCGACCGAAAAACAGCTGAAAATCAGGAATATATTGTTAAAACGACTGCAAATTCATTGCAAATGCGAATAAAAAAACTTGACGGTTTCTTTTTAAAATAGTTATCATGCAGTTACGTGAATAACGTGATTCTACATCAGGGGGGAGACGCCGGAAGGTGAAGGTTCCTGCTTGTTTAAAATCAATATGTCGAAATCTCTGATGAAATAAAATGATGAAATTTTGAATTATGACACATATATCCGTCAAAAAGATTACGTAACGATATCTTAGTTGACGAAACATATATCGTATAGACCGTATATTAAGGCTGTCCTACAAGGGCCCTACAAGTAGTGTTATGTAACTTCATGTGTTAATAATGAGTGGTATTATAAAAGGTTAAGAACTTAAGCACCGTTAATATACAATTATGTCTTGTGGTATTATCCAATATCTTTCTGAAAAGTTGCTGTCTGCTGTCCAGCCGAAGGGAAGCACCCCACTGCCTGGTGGTATCATTGGAGCTCTTTTTGTTAGCATGGTAATGTTGTGATTTTTGATAAAACATTAGATTGTAATCTTAATATTAATATCATTATGTATTTATGTAGTGTCATAATATGGCTATTAATAGCTTTCATAGTCCTATTATAGCTGCCTAACCATAACAAAGTTGTAGATAGTGTACTGTTCTGTACCATACCAAAAGTTGCAGATAGTGTAAATGTGGCTTAATTTAGGTATTGATTGATGCTTGATGCAAAGTATGGCATATAGCTAGGTGATATTCTATACTGTAGCATAATAATTATTACAACTTATAACGTCTTCTGTTTTGTAGTTTGGAAATGCAGTTGCAATGCAACTTCTTTTTGCTTTTCTTCCTGATATGGTCAAGGTAAGCACTTCAATCAATACATAACCTAGTTTATTTCATTGCTCTGACAGTCTTAGTATAACCAGTCTCACTCCAAACATATTTTTCTAGAGTTTCGGGATTGCTGATGAAGACGCAGGTTCGTTAAACAACATGTTGGTAATTAATGGTTTTGTTCCAAAGTATCAATTATATAATGATGTTAATTAACAATATACAATGATGCTTTACATTCCTTATTTTGTTTAGGTTACTATGTAGGATTATTGGCATCAGCAGTTTTTCTTGGTAGATTTATTTCCAGGTAATCACCACCATTATCATTGTAACCAGCCCTATCACTACCACCCTATGTACCACTACTATCAATTATTCATCACTGATAACTACCACTATACTATGACCACCACAATTATCACTAGTTATACAGTAACTCCCCCCCTCCTTATTTATTACTGTCGATCACTACTATGAATTATAATCAACTCATCAATAATCACCATCATCATGATATACACCACCACTATCCTATGACAATCACCATTGTCACCATTTTCACCACCCATCTCTCACTAGTATCATTCCCATCAACTTGTCAATCATTACCACTCTGCAGTTCATTTCTTGAACAACGAATGGCAGGCACCCTTACTCATTCTTGTCTAATATATATGTAGCTACTTCTGGGGATGGCTTGCAGATAAAGTTGGCAGAAGAACAGTACTATTGTGGTGCAATGGCTTGTTAGCAGTAACAACTTTAGCATTTGGTTTTTCAAAATCATTTGAAGTTGCTCTTGTTATTCGATTCACTACTGGCGTGATAGCAGGTTTGACACACTGCAATTTCTGTGCTAGCGTAGCTACGGTATCTTTCTTGTATGATTCAGCAAAATTTCTAAACTCGTATCTAAACACAGGAATAGCTGGAACTGTAAAGGCATCTTTGGCTGATGTTTGTGACGATACAAACCAGGTAAAGACTTCAGAGTGTTGTTTTGGTGTTTGTATTGTATTCAATATATATAGAATTTTTACAATACTGCAGGCAATAGGAATGTCAGTGATTGTAACAGCTTGGAACACTGGCCTTATCATTGGACCAGCTATTGGAGGTAATTTTTAGGACTCCTGGGATTAACATACAACAACAAATTTGTTCGTATATGTAGTTCAATTATGAGCAGATGATCTTTATGTCAACATATGGGATATTTTATGAGTTTATATGAGTCATTATAATTTATACCCAATCCAATTTTCCTTAGGTTATCTTGCGAGACCTGCTGACAAGTATTCTGTATTTAAAAAGAGTAAGTAAAGTTTCACCAGCTGTATTAATACTGTGTATTATTATATATTCTGTGTTAAAATATGCTTATTCTCCTTAATTTTTAGGTTCTTTCTTTAAGACCTTTGCCTACTTACTTCCATGCATCCTGAATGCTGTACTCCCTGTTTTCAGCTTCTTCTTGGTATTTTTCAGTTTGCCCGAAACATTAGTTTCAAAAAGGTAACTGCTTGAAACCTGTCTTTGCAGCTATTTTAGGTTTTATGATGGATGATTTATACAATATTAGTCCAGATCAACAATTCACTTTTTTCTCTTAGAATCATAAAGCCTAAAGAAACACAGTTGGTGTCTAAAGTCCTAGACGACCAAAAACCTGTCAGTTTGAGCCCTTCCAGCAGAAAACGGACAATCATGAAACACAGCCAGACAGATCTTGTACCTCACAACACTCAATCAAACCTCAATCAAGATGTTTCACATCAGCAATCCACTTCAAAAAGCATTGAGACACAGTTATTAACAGGATCTGTATCATTTTTACCAGACCTTCATCTACAGAGTTATCCTTGGCCACTGGATAACACAAAGAAGGTGGAAGAACCCTATGACCCTCCATCAGAAAAATCCAAGCCTGGCATAATAAAAAGGTCATATGAAGCAGTGAAACGGAGCACATTATCAAAACTCATCAAGTATGGCTTATGATAAAGTCTTATAAAGATTGTACAAAGTGTAATCTTAGTTGTAGCGATCCATTAGTTCTATAGTTAGCCAGTTAAAAGACAAGGAGAGAGTATCTTTGCATCATTTACGTAAGAAAAGGTGGATCCAGGATTATTGCAGAATATTAAAGAATTTTCTCTTCTTTTAGAAACAAGAATGTTAGATATAGTGTTGGATTGTACACCACATTTTCATTTGCTGTTGTAGCTGAACACGAAATGTACAGCTTATGGGCTGCAACGGGCAAAGAATTTGGTGAGTTGACACTCTTGGTGAATTTACACTCAAGTATTTACTTTCCTGGCTACTTTTCTTTAGCATTTTTGTTTTTCACAGGTGGACTTGATTTTGATACAAATGATCTTGGCTTCACTCTGATGGTTGTTGGAATTGGTTGTGCTATTTCAAACTGTATTGTTTTCCCACAGGTATGTCTAATATCTAGTGATCAGTGAAACTGAGGTCTTTATTGAAGCCAAGGTCTCTGTAATTAGATGAGTCGTCAATTGACCAATGTTTTCCCATTGTAGATGGTTAAAATGTTTGGGCTCATGAAGGTTTGTATATTGCTTGTGAATTGTTTTGTAAGAAAACCTGGTCAGCCATTTCATAATTATCGAGTTACTTTGTTTTCAGACGCAGTTCATTTCGTTGATCTTGTCTATGTTTTTTACAATCATTTTACCTATTCCAAATATATTCTATGGAAGGTGAGTTGTATTTTCTTTTGTTCCAGCATTTCATCTGATGGAAAACACTTAGTCAACACTCATCATTGTATTTTAGACCTGTTGTGGTGAAGACTATGGTCATCATTTTGTTGCTATTGGTTAGAGTTAACGAGGGATGTTGCTTCACAGGGCAATTTATCATGATTGGCAACTCAGTCAGCTCTAGTTTTAGAGCAACTGTTCACGGTTTTGCTATGACTGTAGTATGTTCTGCAAGGTATTGCACATTTTGAAATGATGAAAGTTATACTGAATTAGCTTTGGCAAAGTTATTTCTTATTGATCCAGTGTTATTACAAAAGGAAACAAAAATACATAATTGATACTGCATGGTTACAGCTATATTATATAATATGCAAGTGGATGATCAATCTCTTCTTGGATGATCAATCTCGTCATCCAAGGTTTGAAATGATTGATGTTCTTTCTTTAGGGCTATTTCTCCCAGTGTGGCAGGCAGCATGTTTTCATGGTCTATATCATCTGGACTTGGTTTTCCTTTTAATGAAAAATTTGTATTTATTTTTCTTGGATTTGTGCTATGGCTAGCACTGATTGTGGCCTGTTGTATGGATGAAGAGGCTGTGACAAAACCATCTACTGAATGAGCTTAGCTTTATGTGGAAAGATGTTTTGTTCAGGCCCAGGTTTGAGATCTTCAGAATGAGATTTCCAATTGCCCTATTTGAGCCACAGATTGGTGGTGCCTTCATTCCAAGATTCCAGTTTCGAGACAATAAATTTTGGTATTAGTTATATGTGCTGGTCATGCACAGTACTTACAGCTGTCATCTGTATACACCATAATGGTGAAAAAGATTGTGAAAGATTTTCTTTGGGTTCTATGATTTTGGTATACTAGGTAGTTTAAAAAGTTAAATGGGCCATTGTACGTTTGTGCTCTGGGACTTATGGATAAATTCAATTATTTTTTTACAGAATTAAAATGTAAAGATAAGAAGAATCTTAATATATTTACAGTTTCAATATTTAGTTGTTCTACTTTGCTGAAATAATTTTAGATAGTATTCATAAGTTCCCATACGTCAAGCCTATGGTCATAAAATGAGCATGTAGCTATCACCTCATGCAAAGGAGAACAATCACCACTATTTCCCGGACATCTACACCAGTCTGCCCCATACGCCAAAGACTTGTGAGCTGTGTAAGAAGCAGCAACCTTTGTTTCACTCCCGCTCTTCAAGTCAACATTCAAAACATGAAATCCAGAATGGCAGCAAGCAGCCAAAAGGTAGTCCGGGTTTGTTGGATGCCATTTCAGTCTCCAAACACCACCACCAACATCACAACTTGTTAATGGCTGTTTCATTGATCGACTATCCCAAATGTGAACTTGCTCATCATAGCTTCCACTTGCAAACACGTTTTCTACCAGTGAACTGCTTTGTATAGCACACACACCCATGGTGTGATCTTTATTCACAAATATTGGTTTATAGCATGGTGTTCTTGTGTCCCAACCCTTCATCAAACAATCATCCCCACCGGAATACACAATATGTCTATTCCATCTGTCGTATGCAGTTATCCATGCATCAAAGTTATGTGCCTTCCATTTCTGTTCTAACTCAATCTTACAACCATTTTCAGCAATCCTTACCACAGAAACTCCTCCACCAGAGTCACTGATGGTGATTCTTGGTTCTTTACCATTCCAGTCTAAAGAAAGACTCAAATTTGGTGCACAAATATCAAATGATTTGATCTTCTCCAAATTATAACCATCTTCAGTCTCCACTAGTAAGTACAGGCATAATTCACCAGAAGAGCTGGTAATGCCTAGCAAAGATGTACCATTACAATTGTACCATTTCATATCGGTAATTGCTGCAGTAGAGATGCTTTGGATTTTTGACAAACTCTTTGATGCCATGTCAAATTTGAACAGAATCATACTTCCAATTCGTGAGTTATTCTTGCTAGATTTGAGTTCATTTTCTGCTGGTGTCCCTTCAATGAGCTGGTATGTACCACACACAAAGTACGCTGGGTATTCTGGGCACCATTCGATGCTATCTGCATTAAATTTGGTGTCAATTTGAAACAAAGTAGTGATCTTTGATGTCATATTTATGTGCTTTTCTTAATCTCTTTCTGCAGACCACAAATCAATCTACCACAATCACACCTAAATCACCAAAGTTTTATCATTCAGTGATGTGCACAGGTCAGTGTTGTTTTCATGGCTGTACTTCCATATTGTTAATATATATTTTGCCGAAAAATAAGAAAGAAAAAGTGAAAAAATATCAATAAGGCGAGTTATAAACTTTTAATTTGGGAAATGTCACCTTTTTGTGTCATTCTTTAACAATTAGTATTTCGGGTTCATAGTTTTGTAAATTGACTAGCTGTTTGCTGTAAAATACGGTGATATTTCAATGATTTTCGAAGCTGAATATATTTCAAATACGGAAACACAAACTTCTCTTTGCCGCCAAAAATTAAAAATAAACAATGGCGTTCGAATGTGATTGAGGTTTAAATTTATACAATACAAAAAATCTGAACATATTTTAAGCGATATTTCTTCGCTTTTTCTTTGGGAAAGCGAGATGTTTGTCGAGAAGCTAAGGGAGGAGATGTACAACATCATTTCTAAAGAGGTTAGAATAAAATTCAGCAAAATATTTATGTTTTTATTAAGAAATCGTGAACATGTAGAGAAAAAATCTTTATCATGAATGTATATTGTTCAACCGTGATTGTTTTGAGGCTTATCGTTGTCTAAGATTGTATTCATGTCGGTACAAGTATGACTTTTAGTATAACGTATTCATTTTCGGGAATTTGAACATGAAATGTAGGCTTTCAGGCTTTGTGATATGTTATAGATCTATGTAATTTATAGAAATATTATTGGCAAAGATTAAGTTTCCTTTTTATCCAATTTTTAGAGAGTTCTTGTATTGGTAACAATGGATGCTGATGCATTATGTGCTTGTAAAATCTTACAGGTATGTGATATACTTCATTCTTAACATTCAAAGTAATACGGCTGGCATTTTTATAGTTTGATTGTAGTGTACGTATTTGCCTATCTCTTTAGTGGTTATTCAAGTGTGACAGTGTTGAGTATACATTGCTACCAGTCAGAGGGAGAGATGACCTAATCAATGCTTATGTCGATTATGCAGAACAGGTGAAATATGTACAAAAGTTATATGTAGACAAGTACATTAGATGCCTTACTCGTCTTTGATATTTTTCCATTTCTACGCTTAGATTAAACATATGGTTCTGATCAACTGTGGGGGGAACATAAATATCTTGGAATTACTACAGCCATTAGATGATGTTATTTTCTACATTGTCGACAGGTTGGTAGATTCTTTATTATAAGCTGAGTAGGGAATGATTTTTTTGTAATTTGTCAAAGCAGTAATGTGTGCCAACTGATAATTCCTTTTCTTTTCTTCAGCCGACGGCCGCTAGATTTGGATAACATCTACAATCAAGATCAGATCAAGATCCTCATGAAAGAAGGAGAGACATTAGAAATACCAGAATTTGATGATATCTATGCATCTTCAGACGTAATTCTCTTCTGAACTAACATTCTCTTCTGAACTAAAAAGACTTGTTCTGCTTCATAGAATCTTACTTAGAAATATAAATCTGCATCTGGTTTTTTCCTATCTCTCGGAATTCTGAAAACTGTTTTTTCTTATCCATCCAGGATGATGAAGAGGAGTCAGATGAAGAAGGAACGCCAATGAAGCGACGGAGAACAGAAGACTCTGTAAAGACACATGCTTATATTGGGAAAAATGTTTCTTCATTCCAGCTAAACTTTGTACACGTCAGCTTCATATAATAAACATTATTGTTCTTCCTTAGGAATCGCCCCATAAATCAAAAAAAGAAAAACGCATCTGGGCCAAAAAGAGGTAGACTCCATGTACAGTGTCATATAAGTTACTTTTTGACAACAAATCCCAGTCTGATACATGCGACTCTTTCTCTCCTTAAGGCAAAGTATTCTCACTCAATATTACCAAAACGCCTTCCACGGATCTTCAGTGAGTATGGCTGGCGTATTAACTTAATATTCCAACTTTTCAGTTTTTCCCGCAAATTTATTGCTTAAATTTCTAAATTGTAGTCAGCCATGGTTCTCTATGAGCTTTGTTGGAAAATGAGCAAAGATTCCAATTTACTTTTATGGTGAGCTTGATAAATCTCGTGTATAGAAACTGCGCTTTTAATATTATTGCCCTGATATTAAACAATTGTTCCTAACTTGAAGGTGGTCTGTTGTGGGTCTAACGGACCAACTCATAAACGAAAGAATAGACAAGTAAGTTCTTCAAAAAACTCGTTTAAAGAACATTGTCTGTTATGTGAATGCAAACTTATAAACGATTGTTTTTTTCTGGTCTTTTTAGCGATAAATACGTCTCTGACGCCCAAATTCTCCATGAACATGTTTTACGTCTTAACCACGACACGGGAGAAAATGGTACATCCATAAACTGTATGAAAATTTCGTTCGACCACGAGTATCCTTTGTAAAATAAACTGCGAAATTTGTAAACAAAATGCTTTGGGTTTGCTGCTGGGAAACAAAGAGGCCAACTAAATGTGTTTGGGCTTTTCTGTTTTCAAATAAAGGTTTATTTCATTTTATCATTTCCCTCGTTTTTCTATTATTCCTTGACGAAATGTTTAAGACTTCGTCTTGCGTTGTATCGCCATTGGTCCATCTTTGACAGTCTTTGTCACTCCGGCTTCACCGCTTGCATGTAGGTTCTTTTTGAAAAATCAAATTAAAACTTTCTTGAATATTAACAACTAAGAATTTACCAAATGTTTTGTGTGAAGGTTCCGAGTTTGGACATTGAAGGGAAAGAGAAGACTTCATGAGTTCCTGGCAGAGTTAGGGTCAGAATCATAATCGTATTTGTGCATTTTTCATAAAGATATCCATTGATTCTTATCTGAGATCATTAACTGTTTTGCCATCTAGATTACCTTTGCATCAATGTCAACAAAAGTTCTCTGCAATGGACGTGTCCTTGAGAAACAAGCTAAAAGAATCCATCATACAAGTCGCTGAAAAATATGGGTTAATTTCTTATTTGAATATACTGACTATAATATAAGTTGGATGCAATGACAAATATGATATATTTCGTTTTCTAAACGGAATTTGAACTTATTTTTAGGCTGGAGGAGATTCTGTTCGGCTCATTCAATGTACAAATGGGATACAAAAACAAAGTAAACGAAACATTAAATAAAACTACATGTTCGAGGTTAACACTGAAATAATCCAACTGTTCAATTTCTTATCTTCAGCTTTGTGCCAGCGATGTTGTCTTTGCAACGACTGCTTTGTTAGAAAATTCTACGGTAAGTTAATGTTATGGTCGCTTGATATCTTTGTACATGTTTGTCGCTTGTAACCTGACTTCTCTTTGACCGATAGGAGGAAGGCAAAACCTATTCCGAAAATTTCCTGGACGCTCTTGATGGCCTGTCCTGGTGTTCGTAAGTAACCAAGGAATTTCTAATCGATTCACAGCCAACTTTTTCCCATGGGAGTCCGATTTCGTTCAGTAAACACGCATCATCTTTTTAGGTCAGGTTTGGAAAAACTACAGGGAGGGTTGGAACTCTCGAAGAAACATGTATGTTTTGATTTTTTCTGCTTTCACAGACTACTTTAGTTCATATTAAGTGAAAAATTATCTTTTGTACTTCCTTCAGCTTGTTGCTATCTGGAATCAGGTTCATTCATTTATCAGCATGCATCAAGTGGTTTGTGCTGGACCATTTCTTTACGCCCACATTCGCGAGGCAAGTGTTTTGCAAATCATTGCTTTTTGATCAGTTCAACTCTGGTCAACTATATAAATATATCATTCTTATTTGACTCATGCATACCTTTTCCGTATATCCAGGGAGCTCCAGATGTAAAAGTGTTTTCAACGCGGATGAACGTAACGAGACTCGCACGATTCGTCCTCAATTGTTATGTGATCATGGTAAGGTTGATTGAGAATATTTTTCGATATTCTTTCATGGCCGTTGGCCTGGTCTTGATGAGTCTTTTATCGCTTTTATCCAGTCGAAAAACAAGCGAGCTGCGACGTTACCATTTGTTCTGGCATCGCCACTTGATTCTGAAACAGGTAAAACGAGAAATGAAGACATCAACATCACAGCTTTATAATTGAAATGATTATGAAAACTTTTGAATGAACTAAGTTCTTTCTTTTTGTGGTATTTCAGGAACCTGCATTGTTGTTGGGATACCTCCAGTCGCTGACGAGTCCAGAAAAAAGTATGTGTTCTTTACAATTCGAAATTCTAGAGCTTTATCAATTACACTTACCCATCTTTACCCATTTTTGACTACAGTCTATGCAGCTCATAATGACTTACCATGTAACTTTGTTCTAGTTTTCTGGGTCGTGCATTTGAAATAGCAGCAGAAAAGACTAAAACAAGATCACGGCATGACCATTGTGAGCCTGCAGGTATGATTAATTCAAATATTCATAAATACTGTCGCTGCGAAACCACCAGAAAAATATTAAGATACTTCAGTCATTTTAGAGCCTATATGCTTTCATTGTTGCAATATTGTTATTTTTTAGTCGTGGAAGTCAAAAGCGAGGATCGTGGAAAATTTTTCGACGCACTTTCTGCTCTGTTAGCCTAAAAGGTATATCACTGATCGCGAAAACCAGATTATACGTAATATGCCTGGTATTGCAATTCATATTCAAGAGTTGAAGACTATGTTTCAGTTTCTAACTTTGTTGAATGCCTTTTCAAGGTCTCCAATTCTTAATCTCTGTTTAATATTTTGTAAATATAACCATTGACTGTGATATAACGCATAATTAAATAAATGTGTAAATTCTGAGGTGGTAGAACCCATAGAGATAGTAGAACCTGTGGTAGAACTTCCAGTGTATCGCGAGGCCACGCGGGGCTCCCACGTCGCGCGCGTGCCCCACGCTTCCAATGACCTCGACCCAGTTTTCCAAATGTTTGTTTACATTGCGCGATCAAATTTTATTTCATCAACAATCACCTTTGGCACGCTTGATGCAAAAATTACGAAAATCGATAATTTGATCCCAGATTTTTCGGCACTTGAGAAGAAAGAAAAGTGTGGGGTTTCAAGGAAGTTTTCAAGGTACTTATAGCATCTATTGTTTAGCAATGCCGAGTGAGGGTTGTCACAGCAGGATTTGAAATCGTCATTAATAAATCTAATAGATCATTTATGCATGTCATATACAAATACACTGCACTAATTTCGGTCTAGTATTTTGATTAAAATAAATAACTGTCGTCCGTGTAAAGTTTGTCATGGCTGATGTATGGGATAAACTCGACCGATACACAAAGGTAAGATACTTTGTCTGGTAGTTGACGGCCAAAAAAATCATTATCGTAGCGTATTTTATACACAAAACGTGTGAATTTAGACAATCGCTCAGGTTTTACCAAGCTTTGTATTGGCCTAAGCACTACTTACACTATATTTGGATCATTATAAAAAGTGATTAAAAGCCTTAAAAATATCTGGGGCTTAAATTAAAGTTTCTAAATGTCTTTCAAGTGACACACGAAGTCGATTCGTAACTTTTTCAGGTTTGCCGTAAAGATGATTACAAATTATCACTCACGGTTTGATAGTTCGCGTGGGATTTTGTGGTTGTTTTGGTAGCGGTTTTGTTGCCTTATGACCGCTATAGCATGTCTTGTCTGCTTCAGATAACGTTTTAAAAACGAGGGTTGCTTTATGTTTTAAAGCTGAATGTCTTCACAGCGCGTAGGAGACCATCTAAACTTATTTAAGACGGCGCTGTCTCGAGTCGCGAAAAGTAAACACTAAATTTGGTCAAGGTTACTACGTTAAAAAACCTCGCTTAAACAACGCGGATGAACCCGTATTTGACCTCTATTATTTCGCATTTATAAAGCAATCTTGTTAAATCCAAAACAAACATGAAATATATCTTATAAATAAAGAGAGACGGAATATCAGCTGAAGTTTATTTCGAGAAGCACTCTGTTTTTTATTTGATACCCGAAAGTACTCGAACAAGATTGGCGGTGAAACTCGTGTTTTCTTTATTCCACCGGATAGATTTGAATAGCACAATTTGCAGGGACAAAAGGCAACTTGTCACGAGTCCTAAAAGAAATTAAATTAATCAATTTTGACTGTTTCCTTTTGTCTGCCAGCTCATTACTGATTCGAGCACCGAGGCGCCGAATACAGTCGGCTTTGGATGACTTAACATGTTTATACGAAACATGTATCGTGTTTGCTTAATCTTTTATGTGTTTTTCTGTCTCAAGATGTCATAGCAAATGCCATTACACCAATGATGTCGGCGTTATAGCACTTTGTTACTATAACAGTTTTCTAATTAGTGAAAATGATCTGCAATTAATTATTAATTCACATCCTTGCTAATTAACGCCATGGCAATCGTTATGTCATGTCAAACACTTGTATTTTGTCTGGCACAACCCCATTAAATATTCCCTTTCAACAGCAGTGTAATTGCATCAAAGCTTATCACTTTTTTAAAGAAATACGATCTCTCTAAACAATTGACATAAAAATAGTTTGTAATTAGGTAATTAGTCTGAAAAGTTACAACAGTTTGCAATGCAAATTTTGGTATCCACAGGAACAAGGCTCCAAATTTGGTTTATAACCCAATTGCCAGATCCCTTTTGCTAATAAGATTTATGATAAGGTCAACATGTTCCATTTATGGCAGGATAAGGGTACATATTGATCTTAGTTTTAGCTATAAGCTGATTGTTTTATATTTAGAGTGATTATTTAAACAGCAGTGATGATGAAAATCAGGAAGTCTACTTTGAACAAACTGAGCATCTCTACATAAGCACAAAGGTGATGATTATTTGATGTATTATTGATGGGTATAACCATGTTTTAACTAATTTTCATGATTATGTCTTTTTGTAGAAGTTTCATCAAACTGAAGGTAAGACAGACTTTTGTCAAACAGCATTCTATCTTTAAATGTCCTGTTAGCTTTCTCAAATGAAATGTCAAAAAAAAATAGAAATCACCTGGAATATTATGAAGACTGCAAGTTATTAAGTTTCTGCAGTATGTTTGTTTTTTCAAAATCCTTCAGTTGACGAGGAAAGTTTGTGCAGTGAAGATGTAGACAACTTAGAAGACTTGACTGAATTGACTCAGAATCAGCAAGAGATTAAGGAGAATCTAGAAAAACAAGAAACAAACGACAATACATATGAAACTTTACTGGATGAAATGAAAAAAAGTGAATTACACTGTAACAGTGAAACAAGAAATGTTCAAGAAAAAATTGACAAAATTTCCTCAGAGAAATCACAACAGAAAGATGAACTGAACGAGATGCAACACAAGGCACAGGTATTTTTGTTTGCTGATGATGATATGAAACAGTTCTTAGGATCAATGTCCTCTTTATCATCTCTTTTCTAGGTGATAAGCACAAGTGCAAGAATGTCAGCCACTGATGTGTTATCAGCAATCACAAGCAGCGAGACAATGAATCATGAGGACAGCGGAGAACTGGTAATCCTATCCTTAGTTTATCCAATTCTGCATGAGCTTCTTCTGATAGAGATTGTTTTTACTCTTATTTAAACATGAATGAATCAATTCACCCCCAATTACTCTTTTAGCAATGGCCCTGCATGAGTCTGGAGATAATGCTCTTGTTCACTCCCTGTAATCTAAATTACTGCTTCACTGCTTGATCTAAACACAACATTGTTCATTTTTTTAGGATGAATTCTATGATAGAATAAGATCGAAGAACACTGATGAAAATACTCCTAAGGTACCGTTTCATTTTTTGTTTTCACGTTTTTGAGCTTTTGTCGTGCGAAGATCATTTTAAATGATAAACCTAAAGCTATTTTCATTGATATTCTGCAGGATTATCCCGACAGCGAAAGAAAGTCGTCTTCAGGTACTTCATCTGATGTGGATTTGCCCAGCATTGCCCCGGTAAGCGTGGTTATAAGTAGAGCTTAAAGTATTATGCAAACTATTGATGAACAAGGTTTACTTAAAGTTGATAAGAAACTAAAGAGTTTGACAGAATTCAAAGAAGGTTTACGCCAAATGCGTTCTGTCATTGCTATTGTTAGCAGTGTGTATCTTTCATATTATGGAGGTTGTGAAGTGCGTTTATTTCATGATAGCTTTCAATGCCTCTGAACACGGGCGTAATGAAGAGCAAGGCGAATGTGGCTCGTCAAGGTTCCATGAAGACCAGACGCAAGCCAACTGCCGTGAAGAGGAAGAGTTGGACCCCAGGAATGGACGAATATAATTTACGAGAACAAGATGAGGAGGAAACTGTGGAAGATGTGGAACAAAATGAACAAGGGTAAGCCAATGCAATTGGTAGAAGCCATCTTCACTAGGGCATGTCGCAGCTCTCGGAACCTTTCGTCCAATTGGATAATGCTTTTCTATGCTTTCTAAAGAACGAAGCTATGCTATTGGTTGAAACAGAAATATATTGTAAAGTTCAGCCAATGAGAATCATTCTTGCGAGGAGCTGCGACACTACCCTCTTCACTTGATAATCATGCATATATCTTTGTTTCTTTAGCGACATTTGGGTTACGACGCAAGCAAGGAGCGAAGACAATCAAACCGGATCTTACACGCCATCAGACTCGAGTTCTGAGGATGAAAAAGAAGTTGTTAAACCACATATGCGTTCCGCCATTGCTATGCCGGGGCTTGGAGACGCACTGAAAATACAACTAACGCGATCCGAACTCAAGGTGAGATTTAGCGCTGCGCCAAATGAGGAGTGTTCCATCCTGATCTAACCTATGTTGTGTACTTTGTGTTCTGCTTTGTAATGCTTTCAATGCTTCCTTTCAGCGTCCAACAGCTCTGAGTCTTGCAAAAACCGCCAAGGACGCGAAGGTGAATGAAATAACCAAAGAAGACAAAGTTGAAACATCGCCAAGCAAACCAGATTGGATGGAGGAAGTCGAGAAACGAAAGAAGCAAGCGAGAAGCATACCTCAGCGAAGACATAAGACATTGCCTGAACGATCCTCTGAACTTGATGCGCTCTTTGAACAACGTAAACAAGGACAGTCCAGCGAGGCAGTTGATCCAAGAGGTCAGGAGGCCTCGAGACCTAAAAGTTTCCCCGGGGAAGATTGCGATCCCGAACTGCAAAAGATCTTTGAGAAAAGAAAGAATTTAACGCCTCTGGAAGGCGAAGATGGAACTGTCAAAGATGTGGAAAGACCTAGAAGCTTTCATGAGAATAAAATAGACCCGGAGTTGAGTAAAATGTTCGAGAAAAGAAAGAATTTGTCGCCTCTGGTAAGCGAAGGAGAGACGGAGCGACCTAAAAGTTTTCACGAAAATAAAATTGATCCTGAATTAAGTAGAATGTTCGAGAAAAGAAAAAACTTTGCACCTCTGGCTGGCGAACGAGATTTTGAGCGGCCCAAAAGCTTCCATGGAGATAAAATAGATCCGGAATTAAGTCGAATGTTTGAAAAAAGAAATAACTTGAAGCCGTTTGAAGTCGATGATGGTGCATCTGATGAAGGAAGTGTCGCCAAGGAAACACAAAGACCCAAGAGTTATCACGGCGATGAACTGGACTCTGAGTTAAATAAGATGTTTCAGAGACGAAAAAATCTCAAACCAGTTGAAAGCACGTCCTCAGGTAACAGAGACGAAGAAGACCAGACATTCAAACCCAGAAACATTCACTTGCAAAACAGCGAAGCAACAGAGTTGGATAAAATATTTGAGAAACGAAAGCAGCTCCGGCCGGTTGGTGAAGCTCGATCATATACGCCACAATCCGCGACGGGTGAGTTCTCGACAAGTGTCGTGAACTCATCGTCCGAACTTCGTCAGACGTCCGGAATTGTTCGTGCGCGATTTCACGATACAAAACTCGAACCTCTGCCCAGTCGAGGTGAGATACTTAAGGTGGCCACGGTCTCTGCTGCTGAAGTCAAAACCGCACGGCAGGTAACGGAGAGACGAAGGATGTCACCTGAGGAACGCGAGGTGGGTAGAGGCGGGACTCGTCTACCAACCTCTGGTCAGAGTGGACCCTCCAAGCCCCCTCGTACACCCGACAGCGGGGCTCAAATCGCAGAGTTTACCTTCGATGGCAGAGGAGCCTCTCAAGCTACAGTTGGACGGATACCAATTGGGGAAAGTGGTCCCCCCAAACCACCCCGCGCACCCACCAGCGGGGCTCAAGTTGCAGAGTTTACCTTCGATGGTAGGGGGGCCATGCAAGCCACCGTGGGTCGTATTCCAATTCCAAGTGGCCCCCCTAAACCCCACCGAACTATGTCCCCTCACGCCCCCACGACGCCGGAGAGAGGCCGCACAGGTGGGGATCAGACCGCGGAATTTGGGTCCGACGACGTGGGGGGCATGCAAGCAAATGTCGGACAGGTGTCGGGTAGTGGCGGAGACCGTCGTGGAATCTTTAATCCTATTGGTCAACAGCTGCGTACATCGCCTCAAGAAGAGAATTCTGGACAGGAAGCAAGCGGGGCACAGGTAGCCCAGTTTGTTTTCGACGGTTCAGCTGCTGCATCTCGTGCAACTGTTGTGCGGATTCCAGTCGGAGGTGGTCAGGAACAGACTTCACTATCAAAAGGCGACAGTCGTAGCGATGACACAGCACGAGGTGATCATGTGATACGTGCACGTTCACGTGTTATTGAATCACGTGATGCTATCACGAAGAAATCGGTGGTTTCTCCGAAATCATCTGAAACGCGAGATTTCATAGCGCAGCTTTCTAGAAAGCCAGTTCCTGGAAAAAGTTTATCTCAGGGTAAGTTTGTATCACAACCTTGTGTGTTGGACAACAAACAAGAACGCGAGCCTCCCCACCCGAGCTCTGCGGGGGGAAGACGGGAACTATACACGGACAGGGAGTACAACACGGCTCATCATAATGACCGACACCATTTCCCTCGTGAGGGGAGTATACCCTCACCTCAATATATGCCCCCTCATGAAGAACTCCCATCTCGTAACCTCCCACCCATAAGTACCCACTACACAACCCCGCCCTCTCAAAACTCGAATCTTACACAATTATCCCGTTCGGTTTCACACCCACCAAACTCCCAGTTTCCAAACCACCCACCGTTGCATGCTAAAACCTCCGACCCCCAACATTTGTACACCCCTCACTCCCCCAGAGGATGCAAGGAGGGCAGACCCCGCCCTGTGAGAATACGCGAGGTAAGAGATACTGTGAGGGAGATCAACCCTGAGCCAAACAGAGTTTCACACGAGAGGCCACCTGCTCCTAATATTAGTAGGGATGTCAATGGATATGTGGGGGTAGGAAATGGTGAGTCGTATGGTGATGGTAACCGTTTTTCGGACTCAGTTGCACCCAGGTCAAACCGGCGATATGATGCAAAGTTAGATGAAAGACCGAGGAGAGGTCGAAGTCGTGAAAGGTCGGACCATAAAGTGATTCGGGGAACACAAAATTCTGAAGGATTAGAAGATAAAATCATTTGTAGGGTTCAGAGTTCTGATAAGTCTACTGATGAAAGACTTAATGGAGGTGATTATGGCCAAAGAGCCAATAGAGTTCTGAGTCCTGATAGGTCAAATAATCAAAGAAGAGATAGAGTTCTGAGTCCTGATAGGTCAAATGACCAAAGAAGAGATAGAGTTCTGAGTCCTGATTGGTCAAATAATCAAAGAAGAGATAGAGCTCTGAGTCCTGATAGGTCAAATAATCAAAGAAGAGATAGAGTTCTGAGTCCTGATAGGTCAAATGATCAAAGAAGAGATAGAGTTCTGAGTCCTGATAGGTCAAATAATCAAAGAGCCAATAGAGTTCTGAGTCCTGATAGGTCAAATGACCAAAGAAGAGATAGAGTTCTGAGTCCTGATAGGTCAAATAATCAAAGAAGAGATAGAGTTCTGAGTCCTGATAGGTCAAATAATCAAAGAAGGAATAGATTTCGGAGTTCTGACGGATCTTACGACGACGAAATGAATAATGTTCCTCATAACTCGAGAAATCCAATAAAGAATGAAAATGGTCGAAGAACAGAGGATCAAATTCTTGTCAGACGAAGATCTGATAGATCCAGCGATGATAGGATTAAGAACAGGGACAGATCTGGTGATGAGGGGATTAAGAGCAGGGATAGATCTAGCGATGATAGGATTAAAAGCAGGGACAGATCTGGTGATGAGGGGATTAAGAGCAGGGATAGATCCTGCGATGATCGGATTAGGAGCAGCGACAGATCTGGTGATGAGAGGGCTAGGAATCACCGAGATATGGAGAAAAGAGTTAAAAGTTCAAATGGGTTAAAGCGTTCGTATCAAAGCTCAATCGAAAACGAAAGTGTAGACACAAGAAATTCCGGCAATGATCGCGAAATGACGACTTTCAACGAACATATGCCATCACAAATTAGAAAAACTGACTTTAAGAAGAGGTCTAGGGATATGAGGGTTTTATCCAAGAGTGACGGTCAGGGTGATATTTTGAATCGTGACAATGTTGAGCGCCCCAAACCTGTATCCGTGACTATTACATCTCTTAGCGAGACTCGCGTGCCTGTGGTTAGATCACCCGACAAGGATAGTATGGTGCATGGTGAGTGTGTGGTTAATGGTATGTTGAATGGTGATGATGAGAGAAAGGGAGTTAAGACTGAGAGACCAAGCCTTGGTAAGTGCTCTTCTGAATTGACATCAGTGAGTGTCAATACTATCATCTCGTTTGCCTCTGTCAAGAAGAGGAACTTTGAAACTCATCGTGACATTCATTTCTTCATCCAAATCGCAATCAATACATCGCCGTCATCTCCGAGTCTACCGATTCATCTCACTGAACTGGTTTCTGCCATTTTCATTCTTTCGCTTCAACGTTTTTGTGTTTGAATGAAAAATTTTAAATATTTCTAATTGTTGTTTTTCCGTTCGAAGACGCGCAAAATTCTGAGACACCCGCCATTCCAAAATGGAAACAGGAGCTGCAAGCAAAGAAACGGTTGCAGAGGGAAAGACAGGGCGAAACATCGAACAGGCCAAAGGAAAGCATAAAACCTGAGCAGTCTGGGGTAAGTTGTCCAATATGGGATGTCCTATCCAATAAATAAAGATAGTTTAGTTTAGGTTTCCTCCTGTAATAACACTGGATCAATAAGAGATGATCCTTACTAGACCTCTAGGAAGAACAGTTTAGAACTAATAGAGCTATCCAGTATAAATAAAGTTAGTTTAGTTTAGGTTTCCTCCTGTAGTAACACTGGATCAATAAGAGATGATCCCTACTGGACCTCTAGGAAGAACAGTTTAGAACTGATAGAGCTATCCAGTATAAATAAAGTTAGTTTAGTTTAGGTTTCCTCCTGTAGTAATACTGGATCGATAAGAGATAATCTTTACTGGACCTCTAGGAAGAACAGTTTAGAACTGATAAGTCACAATCTCTGATAGTTTTTTTCCTTCTTTCAGAATGACATGGCTGAGTGGCAAAAAAGGCTCCAAGGAATACGGAAAACCTGGGGAAATGAGGAGTGTGGAGATCCTGAAAAGTCTTCACAAGGTGATCATGATGTACAGAAAAATACCAAAGGTACGGATAGATTTAATAAGGGGGGATATCCCTAGCCTGGTCTAGAGGGGATGTAGGTGGTCTATTACATACCAAATCAAATAGCCAATTAGCAAATCATTGAAATAATCAAGCTGTATTTATGTTTCCAGATGGTGCGCAAGACTCAGAAACATTTGTTTGACAATATGTTTCCTAACCAAGTAGAAAATATTTTTATAATCCATGTGTATATAAGGAGCATCATTCATATGTTTTGATCAAAAATATTTATTTCCATGACTGGCCTGGCACAAGCCATAATATATGTCAAAGACAGAATATATTGTATTTGTACAGTCTTTACTATCTAAACTGTAGGTTTTCATACCAATAAAAATTTGGTTCTGTTTGGAAAAATTTTGTTATCAGGTTAAATGGAACTAAAGTTAGGCAATCTAGTTCCGAAAGTATGAGTACAACGGATTCCAGTTCAATATTAATTGAGGTGACCATTTGGAGAGGTGATTTTAGAAAGGGATGTATATTTTATCATTAAATAGATTGAGCAAACTTTTTTTACAAATTGCATTGTCACATATTTTATTTGCACAAGTTTCTACAATATTTTCATCACATCTCAGATTACAAAACGTACGTATGTAATATCAGCGCACTCACACACATATGAAATAGCGCGATGTTCAATAAGAATTTAGATATCATGTGTAACTTGTCAACCGTCTAAAGTCACAACAACTAAGGTGTGACCACACTCAGATGTAGCTAGATTCAATAATTGTGTAAATTTAATTTCAGTTGACAGGATTTTGTTTTCTGAATATAAAATTGTTTGTTTAAAGTCTGTTTTATACACTTCGTCTCCTTATCTGAAGCTTGGCAGACTTTCGAATGTGTAACCTCTCCAACCCTTTGTTGCTCTATAGATATATATAGTGTGGTAGCCTGGAAATTGAAAATGTTTAAGTAAGATACTTATAAAATTTCTTATGCTGGGTAAATATATTAACACACATTTGCTTACCTCCGGGAAGAATACAAACCACAGCACATATGAAAAATATTATGGCTTTTGGGCCTATGAAATTGCATTAATCAAATATTATTATTGGGTCCAGGAGGTGGCCACAAACACTTTGGTAATTTGTGTATATATAGTCTTATATATGACTAGGAAGAAGTTTAGACAACTGCATATTGCAAAAACATGAACTGTACTAGATATAATCTTACCGTCATGGTTAGGAACCGTAGCCAAAACAATTCCACATATCAAGAATACTATTGGGGTAAAAATATACAAATTAACATGTTTAATTAACGGTGAAACTAATGAAGTTTGAGTGACGTACATATCCCAACAATCAACAAAAAGATGGCGCCTGCAACCGTCTTCCAGTTTTCACGAACTTTGGGATGCCGTAACCACCTGAGTAATGGAAGCCAGGAGATATTACAAATGAGAGAGAATATTGGTGAAGTATTTGAGTGAAATCAAAGCTCAGAATTATAGGATATGAGATTGAGATTGGTCTTAAAACTCACATGTATGTTGGGTGTCTTGTCTTTAATGAAGAATTTATGTTTACAATATCATCCTCATGATCTTCATCGTGTTCCAATCTAAGAAATTTTCCAGGTGATGCATTATTACTATATTGGTCAAGATTGACAATCAATTAAATACTAACGGACATACTTCAATTGATTCTTTCCTTTTGCAGCTTTGTGACCACTTTTCTGTATCAAGTAAAGATTTGGAAAACATATTTAATACCTCAACCTTAGTACCTTATATTTCTGGGGACACAGTGAAAGAGTCTGACATCTCTTGCAAGGATAGGGTTAGGAGAATTGGAGCCATTAGTCAGAAAGGGAAATGCACCCTAAAGAAAGTTCTAGACTTCTAGCAAACGTGGCCATTTAATACGATGTCAGAGCAGCAATTATATAATAGACTTGCGTAGTAGACTTTATGTGATAATAATCAATTCTGTCGGGTTGCAATTCAATATAATTACGCAGCAATTACCTGATACGAAGCAAAAACCTTATCGCTAACACCGATATCGCCAGCTTCTGTCAACTTATCTTCCTCAGAGCTCCGTCTTGCAAAATCAGCCGAGACTGGATTTTTGAGTTGCTGGCCGCTTGACTCGCCCAGATCGCTGTAAGGTACGTTGCTCATCACAAAAGTAACTATCTGCGATGTCAATCCATTTACTCTAATCCTTTCTTTACGGATAAAAAACGTATTTTTTGTGTGAATTTTCTATTTATTTACCATTGAGAAATTCTCTAAACAATGTTTTGTTTATATTGTTTCTCTCGTACTCAGAGCCCTTCTTGCGCGCGCTCCTAGGATCCACTGAACTATATATAACCTGTGAAACCTGTGATAGATTTTGGTAAATGGGGGTTTTTTGGGGGTAGATTTTGATAAATTGGAATAATTGAGGTGAATTTGGAATATAATCCTCCGCTGTACCGAGATACCGAAGTCTCGGAAATATCTTCGCGGGAAAATTTCAGAATCTTTTTTTTGCAAATTTAAATCCCAAAGTGAAACTAGAAAAAATTCTTGTTTTTATAACATTCTTAGTGATAAAAGGACGTCCATGATGTGATACATTTGTTACTACAAGTTATATTTTGACCTCTGACAATGGCGGAGTACGCCATTAGTGGTGTAAAGGTTAAGTTTCCTTACAAACCGTACCCAAGTCAATTTACAATGATGGACAAGGCATGTTTGGTTTTATATAAAAAGCAGTTTTATATCATACATCTAGCTTTATGATTTCATTTCTAACAGTTAAATCAAATATTAGATCCTAGCTCAGTAGTTAGATCTTTTTTAGGTCCCTTCTTCACCAGATAATGTCTTAATACTGATATCAACTGCCTGAGAGAGTCAATCATCTCATGTTATGTGGTAATCTGACTAATCTCAGTAGAGGGAAAACTTCCCATAAATGTTTACAATGCTCAAGGCTGCCCAGAGGGTAAGGGGGGGGGGGCAGGGAGAAGAATGCCAAGGTATGCCCTTGGTAGATCTAGAGCTCATATAGATGTAGAATTTCTTGGAAGTTTATAGCTGACAATTTGTCGATTGCAACTTGCAAGGGACAGAGGTTCTGTGCTTACCAATTTATCCTGTGGGCGATATTGGTTCTCACTCATCCTGACAAGTGGTAAAGTACAGATATTCCAATGAGGTATAATCATGAATGCCCCTTGCATTTGAAGGTCATTAAATGTATTGAAAGAAGACAACATTCCCTGCTGGAGAGCCCTACAGGATCCGGGAAGAGTTTAGCTCTACTTTGTTCCAGCTTAGCCTGGTTGACGGTTGAGAAAGGTTAGACTTGATGTTACAATGATTTCATTTGATAATGATCATGTTTGTGAGACAGCCTATGTGGAAACTGTATAACCATTTTAAAGAGTACAGGGTCTCCTGTTTGCAGGAATTACCATCCTTAATACACACTAACTTGGTAGCTACCTCTGTGGTTGAGTGGCAATAGCAATATTGCACCCACAAGTTGAAGGTTCGATTCCTTCACGAGAATTGATAGGTTAAAAACATAGGATAAAATTTTAATATTATAAAACCATTCAATTGCATTTGGTTGCTTTTTAGAGAAAATAAAGAAAGAACGAGAAGAGTTTCAAAGATTGTTTCATCTTCAACAATTGCGAAGAAACAAACAACAAACACAAGGTATTACATGCAAATTATGTTGGAAAAGTTGAGCTCCAGCAAAAATATGAGTTTGTATGATTTTGACTTGAAATGAAAAAAAGAAGCTTCAATCCTTATGGGTGGTAAGCAAAAAAAATGTTGTCCTACACTTGTCAACAGGTTGTAACAAAATATGATATTTTTACACATGTACCTCTGTTGTTCATTGTGGAGGGGATTATTTGCTCTGACATGGTGAAAGCGTAGATTCGATTCCTGCCAGAGGACTGACAGTTGACATCGTTGACCCTGTTCCTGGCTTGAATTTGACTCGTATATGATTTCCACTCAAAAATTAAGACCTTTTTCCTACATCAAATAAAGTACCGAGGAATTATAATTGATTTATCATCATCTACATGCTTACTGTACGTATCATCTAGATGATGATGCAAAGCTCTATTGTTCATGTGATAACTTGGGTGTAAAGGAAGAGCAAAAGCCTGATATGAAAGTGAAAATTGAGCAACTGAACCAGTTAGGTGATGTTACGCCGAAAACTGAACCCAACCTGGGAATTGATCCTGATGAAGCAATCGACCAGAAACCGATGAAAGCAGAAATTAAAGCTGAATCGACGAATGTGGATGTGAAAAAAGATGGTGAAGCTTCTGGTGGAAGTGAGGTGCAAAGTTCAGGTGGGATTTCTACAGATGATTATTTCTGAGCTGCAGAAATTACACCCCTAATTTTTGCAGCATGCAGCAATTTGCAAGAAAGGTTCATTTTTATCATCTTAGTAAAAATATTGTCTTTTCTTTCAAGAAGCGGAAGATCTAAAGAACGATGTTCAAATGGAGGATGATATTGATCACACTGATGAAGATACGGACTTTGAAGCACCGAAAAAGCGGTTTAGAACACCAGGAGGACAGGTTAGACAACCGTGGTGATTGGGTATGCCTCCTTAGAAAGATTACTTGAAATATTTTGAGTAAAGAAGCTACCATTTTACAGACACCCAGGGCAAAGAAACCGAGGAAGCAGTGCGACGGGGAAGCGCCGTTTAATGGATCAGAGGATACTTCTGTTGAGTACTCGCCCAGGAACGAGGCTGGAGACGTCACTGATGACGATATACAGTTGTTACAGGCGCAATTAAGATCGTTAGTAGCATATGCAATGTTGCAAATAGTTATGAATATTCTTATGTAATTATAGTTCCAGGGTTAATCCTAATATGATGTCAAGGCATCTTCCATATCTTTTGTAGACTGCGATCAGCTCCAAAGATCTTATTTGGGACAAGAACCCACAAACAGATTGGTCAGATCGTTCGGGAGCTGAACAAAACAGAGTACAAGAAAACGAAGTAAGTGATCTTAATTTCTTGACTTGAAATGCTTATATACATAGCAGTTTTTCGGAATCGCATTTTCATGACTGCTACTGGAAGGTGCTGCTGTACTTTCGGTGAAACTTGCACGTGGTGACATTTTCTTCTAGAATGTGTATCCTTGCCAGCCGTCAGCACACCTGCATTCATCCATACGTATCCGCAGCGCAGAATAAGAACGAGGAATGTCGAAAGTCGATTGAAAATAAAGAGGTGGGTTGGCTATATAGAATTGATTGACAGGCATGGGTCTCTCGGAAGAACTGTTTATGTACAAATTGGTTCGGGTTTTCTTTTGGAGTGACACTGGGTCGGTCAACAAGAAGTGATACCAGTTTTGAAGGGATATACCTATCAAGTGGTGGCACTTCTAACGTTGACAGAAATTACAGCGAAAGTGGATTTATTTCAGGGCAAGTCGTGTTCATTCTTCGCGCGTGCGCGGTACGTGAAACACCAGGACGATCTTGAAGATTATGGCTTCACAGAAGCATGGGATCTGACGGAACTGGTCGAGCTTGGGGAGAAATTAGAGGTAGAAGGTGTTTGAGCCCGTAAGAGGCTTGCTCAGCAGACAGTTTATTTGTTTCAGGAGTTCCATTTCTAGTGAAATTCTATCAAACCTTCCTCTCTTTTCCAGGGCTGTCCATACTATATGACGCGTGAGCTGAAACAAAGCTCGGACATAATATTTTGTCCTTACAACTACCTGATTGATCCGTGCATCAGAAAGCAGGTTCGTATACAGTATATACTGTACATCTAAAGTCAGGTTGACACCATTTTTACGGTAATATTGGTGCGATTTTTCAAAGAAATAATAGGTAGATTAATTGTTCCCTATTTTTCTGGATTTTCCTCTTCTGACAGATGCAAACGAGGGACCAGTTAAGGTCTGTTCACAAGATCCAAATTTTTCGGATCATGCATTTCACTTCTGATGGATGTTTTATAGCCCGCGACTTGTTCCATGACTTGCAATGTATATGGCCAGCAAATCCACCAAAACAAATTCCCAATGCTTTATCCATAACAAACTTAATTCAATACATCAGAAGTGAATTGGATCCGAAATGGACGTTGGATCGTGTGAACGGCCTTCACGCATGTTGTGATATCTCAGTGTCTTCATTTGAACATTCATAACTTATCCACACGTTTACATCTATCAAAAGAATAAAATAGCATCCAATATTGCAAGTGTGAATAGGCCTTGAGGAACTTTTGTCGAAAGAATAAAGTGCAAGAGCGTTTGTATTATTTAGATGGATATCACGTTGTTAGATCAGGTTGTAATACTTGATGAAGCACACAATATTGAGGATGTTTGTCGTGAGGCGGCCACCTGGTCTGTCTCGACTCAAAACCTTGATGAAGCTATGTTGGACCTCGACTTTTTAGGTATAATGTCATAGAGTTACCCAATATGAATAAAGTTAGTTTAGTTTAGGTTTTCTCCTGCAGTAATACTGGATCAATAAGAGATGATCCTTACTGGACCTCTAGAAAGAACAGTTTAGAACTGATAGAGCTATCCAGTATAAATAAAGTTAGTTTAGTTTAGGTTTCCTCCTGTAGTAACACTGGATCAATAAGAGATGATCCTTACTGGACCTCTAGGAAGAACAGTTTAGAACTGATAGAGCTATCCAGTATAAATAAAGTTAGTTTAGTTTAGGTTTTCTCCTGTAGTAACACTGGATCAATAAGAGATGATCCTTACTGGACCTCTAGGAAGAACAGTTTAGAACTGATAGAGCTATCCAGTATAAATAAAGTTAGTTTAGTTTAGGTTTCCTCTTGTAGTAACACTGGATCAATAAGAGATGATCCTTACTGGACCTCTAGGAAGAACAGTTTAGAACTGATAGAACTATCCAGTATAAATAAAGTTAGTTTAGTTTAGGTTTCCTCCTGTAGTGACACTGGATCAATAAGAGATGATCCTTACTGGACCTCTAGGAAGAACAGTTTAAACTACAGAGCTATCCAGTATAAATAAAGTTAGTTTAGTTTAGGTTTCCTCTGTAGTAACACTGGATCAATAAGAGATGATCCTTACTGGACCTCTAGGAAGAACAGTTTAGAACTGATAGAACTATCCAGTATAAATAAAGTTAGTTTAGTTTAGGTTTCCTCCTGTAGTGACACTGGATCAATAAGAGATGATCCTTACTGGACCTCTAGGAAGAACAGTTTAAAACTAATAGAGCTATCCAGTATAAATAAAGTTAGTTTAGTTTAGGTTTCCTTCTGTAGTAACACTGGATCAATAAGAGATGATCCTTACTGGACCTTTAGGAAGAACAGTTTAGAATTGATAGAACTATCCAGTATAAATAAAGTTAATTTAGTTTAGGTTTCCTCCTGTAGTAACACCGGATCAATAAGAGATGATCCTTACTGGACCTCTAGGAAGAACAGTTTAGAACTGAGGGAGCTATCCAGTATAAATAAAGTTAGTTTAGTTTAGGCATCCTCCTGTAGTAACACTGGATCAATAAGAGATGATCCTTACTGGACCTCTAGAAAGGACAGTTTAGAACTGATAGAGCTATCCAGTATAAATAAAATTAGTTTAGTTTAGGTTTCCTCCTGTAGTAACACTGGATCAATAAGAGATGATCCTTACTGGACCTCTAGGAAGAACAGTTTAGAACTGATAGAGCTATCCAGTATAAATAAAATTAGTTTAGTTTAGGTTTCCTCCTGTAGTAACACTGGATCAATAAGAGAGGTTTTACAGTTTAGAACTGATAGAGCCACCCAATAAGGCCAGTGTTAATAAATCGCTCGATTCTTGGATTTCTAGTTTCTAGGAACACCCACAAAGAACAACACCAAGTCTTTCATCAAGTGGTGAGGATCTTTAAAACGAAGCTAATTTCTTGTTCTTAATTATGACACTCCGTATTGAAGTGTCTCTCGCAATATTCCCTCTCCTAGTGTGCAGCAATGAGACGATGGATCGATGAGAAATCCGAACATCAAACAGCTTTTAACGATGCCACAAAAAGGTCGAAGATTTGGGAAGGCGAAGATCTAAAACAAGCGTTGGAAAATTTGGGTTTCACTCCTGCAACTGTTCGTGCGTTAGAGTACGATAGAGTTACATCAGTTATTTTACATTTGCGCATTTTTCTTTCATTTGCGCTGCGGCAGCGACCTCATTGAAAGAACTCTTTGTATTTTTCAATAGCAACATCTGAGGAAGTTGGGGGAAACGTCAGATTCGTTGAAGTAGGTTTTTTATAAATTACAATTTAGCTCCACTGAATTTACACTGGATATAGTTCAATCTGTTCTTCCTAGAGGTCCAGTAAGGAACATCTCTTATTGATCCAGTGTTACTACAGGAGGAAACCTAAACTAAACTAACTTTATTTATACTGGATAGCTCTATCAGTTCTAAACTGTTCTTCCTAGAGGTCTAGTGAGGATCATCTCTTATTGATCCAGTGTTACTACAGGAGGAAACCTAAACTAAACTAAACTTTATCTATTTTGTTTCAAAGGGAAAAACACAAGAAGGAACGCACTACAATGCACGCCCCAACAGCAACACTAGTCGAAAAATTAATGATGGTCCTGTCTTTTATAATGGATGAAGATTACAAGCATTTACCAGAATACAGGTTGTGTGATGATATTAGTTCACCTCTTGTGACAAGTTGTATTTCAGATTCAGCTTTACTAACACCTGAAACTACTGAATTTCATTTAGAATGGCCATCACCAAAGATTACGTCGAAGTACCGAGGGTTTTGGTAAGTGATTAAAAATATTCCATAAATATAAAGCCAAAGGTCGCGGGTTCGATTCTCACGATGGTGAAGCTAGTTTTTCAGCTTGCCTGGTTGGTAACTCAAACAAATTCAACTATCCACTGTTGTAAGTCATATGCACAACCGCTGAAACCGCACTAATTTATAATTTCATTTCTATTTTAGCCCAATGGTTTCAGACGAGCTCGTGGTAAGGCTTTCGTACTAAAAGTTGCACTCTCCTGCTGATGCTTTAGCTACAGCAGACATTCTCACCGTGCAATCAAACAGCAAATCTAGTTTAAGTTCTTTTAGACCCGTTTCAGACGTTGAACCTCTTTGTTGAACCGAATCGAATGCAAATGAACTTAAACAAAGACTTTATCTCATCAACATTAGGTTCGGCACATGAAAAGTTCGACGTCTGAAACGGACCTTATTCCCCACTGTTATGCATACAGGACTTTAGCAGGCCTAACACAGTCTACTTGTTTGTTTTTTGTAGACTTTGACAGGAAATGGATCTGTACTTTGAACTTCTGGTGTCTAAGTCCTGCTGTGGTATGCATGCTGCCTTCAAAACACCTAGAAATCCATCTCTAGAACTTTTAACGTCGCTCATGAACATTTACTTTGTTTTTCAACAAAATTAGGTATTTTCTGAAATCGGCCGTTTTTCACGGAGCGTCATATTAACCTCGGGCACACTGTCACCGATGTCGACATTTTCCTCAGAACTTGATTGTCAATTTCCCATCAAACTCGAAGCTAACCATGTCATCGGTAGCTCCCAGGTTAGTGTATGTATGAGATATGCATGTTTCTTGGTGAAGATATTGAAGACACTTAGGCTGCGTTCAGACTGAGTTTCTGGCGTCCAAGTTGAACACGGCGCTTCCAAATTAAATTGGGTACGGTGAACTGTAGACCTATTATCAATCTCTAGGTATGGGCAAGCAGTGTTTCTACTGGACCATCTGGTGCTCTTGTGAATGCAACGTTTCGTCAATCCCAGGTCAGGATTGTTCATCTTTTCCATCTGGTTGGAAGTCGTCAAAATAAAGATGAAAGTTGAGGCTTCATCTAAAATAAAAACTGATCTCCTACATTCCTTTTTTCTCAGACTTTTGAATTCCAAGACGAAGTTGGTGAAGCAATTTGCAAAGTCTGTGAGGTACATAGTTGAAACGGAATGATCAGATTATCACTCACCAAAAGAAAGAAGTTCACCACCCCCCCCCCCCCTTAGCTAGAAACAGCATCTTTAAAGAAATAAAACTGCAGAATTTGATAGCAAGATGTTGTAAAATGCACAAATTTCCCATTTCACAAATTTCCAAATTTCCCAAATCACCCATTGTAAATGAGTATATTTATGTATGATCATTTGCTATAGGTTGTTCCCTATGGAGTGCTATGTTTCTTCCCTTCATACAGTATGTTGGATAAACTGACGACGAGGTGGCAGGTACTGGCTATAAAATATTTGTTTTATTTCCAACATTCTTGTCGTCTTTCCTGGTTGCTGTATTTTTTATATGTATTTTCCAGATGACAGGACTTTGGCTCCGTCTAAGCCGTTTAAAAAGAACGTTCTTGGAGCCCAGAAAGGGGGGAAAAACAGGTAAAAATTGAATTTGAACGGAGAATAATAGATGAACCTGTCACTGCCCATGCAGCTGAAGAACATTCGTTTAGAAAACCTTGGCCAAAGATGCAATATCATCAAACAAGCCTTGTTTGATGAAAGGATATTGAATCTTATTTCTATGATTTTAGATTTTAATAACATGATGAATGACTTTTACGAATGTATCAAGCACTCTGAGGAAACAGGTTTGGGTGCAGAATATTTAGCTGGCCTTTTGATAGACACTTTACAGGAAGGGATATGGTAGAGTCCGTGCTTCAGTTGTGTCTGTCAATTTCGAGGTTGATTCGTGTAATATCGATCCTGTTATAATTCTAATTAATCATGATTTTTTTATCCTAGATGGCAGTGGCGCGTTGTTCCTCGCTGTTTGTCGTGGCAAAGTCAGCGAAGGTCTGGATTTTGCTGACAATAATGCACGCGCTGTCATCACTGTAAGTAGCTGTCATTGGAGTGTATTGGGGGTAAACATGGGACATACCGGTACAGCATTGAATGCAATAGTACATCATGGGATATAAAGGTACATCAGCGGGGTACAAAGGTACAACATGGGATACAAAGGTACAGCGGGGGGTACAAAGGTTCAACAAAAAAGAGGGTGGTTTGGGGGTAGTTCGGGTAAAATGTGAATGTTCGTTATAAAGAACCTATGTTTATCTCATAGGTTGGTATACCGTTTCCAAACGTTAAAGATATACAGGTTGAACTAAAGCGCAGCTACAACAATCGACATTCTTCTCAGAAAGGACTCCTGGATGGCTCAGAATGGTACGAAACTCAAGCTTACCGTGCACTCAATCAGGTAATCTGCTAATACTTCTTTCTCACCATTTTTATCACCTAGCGAGGCGTTGCTTCTTTTAAAACCCGCGCAAATTGCTTCTGCGCGTGTCAAATTTACAGTCCTAGAGTCATAGTCATACAAAACATCTCTTGATTTTAGGCGCTGGGTCGCTGTATACGTCACAGGTCTGTATGATACGAATATTGTATGCTCCGTCTTTTCTTTTTTAAAACTAAAACCTTGTCTTTTATATTCTTTGCAAAAGGAATGACTGGGGAGCACTTATTTTAATCGACGACAGATTTGGCAAATCACCGAAATATCACAAGGGTTGGTTCTTCTTTTTAATTCAATTTCTTGCCGTCAATGGCTGCCACAACTCTATCAACCTCGACACAACACCAGCGAATGTTTAACCTTTGTTTTGTGTTTTTTCTGCCAAAAGGTTTATCAAAGTGGATACGTGGTCGAGTTGTTCATCATGATAACTTCCACGTTCTTCTCTCCTCACTCAAGAAATTCGCCCAAGCTCGACTGGAGAGTCCTTGTCCTAACAATACCATGATCCAAACACCCCCGGGGGCACCGAAAAGAGACCTGAATGCAATCAAATGCAGCCAAGACTCATCATTATCCATGGACAGCAGCTCACCCTGCTCCCAGAGTACATCCCAGGATGACGTTAAATGTTCCACAACAGCCACACCTATCCCAAATCATCCCCAATCATCAACACAGGTCACATCTAGCACGCCGATAGCTGGTCGTGGTTTAGTACCAAAGTTGCTGAATTTAACTGATAACCCGCAAACTATCATCTACCCGCAGCAAGTGGTCAACCCTCAGCCCGTGGGTAACCACCCTGAACCTGTCAACAACCCGCGACAAATGGGTAATATCCAACCTGCAACTCACCCGCAACCTTTTATTAATCCCCTTATAGGGAACAACCCGCAAATGCCCGGTATTCCACAACCACTAGCCCGAGAAAACAAGCCTGTTCTTGTACGATTTGTCTCTCCGAGTGGTCAACCTGTTCAACATGTCCTTTTCTCAGAGCAACAACTGAAATTGCTGACGCAACAGATGGCTAATGGGGGACAGCAGGTGATGCCTAAGGCTGCTGGAATGGTACAGTTAGCTGGTGTCGATCAAGGGATAACGTTGAACATGGCTGGGCAACCTGGGCTAAACTCGATAGGTCAGCTAGGATTTCAGAGTACTTCAAGGGAACAATGTGTACCACAAAAAGATTCTAGTGGACAATGCGGTACTCCAGGTGTTGTGCGTGTTAAGGAAGAGCCAAAGAGTCCCTCAAATGAGGTACAAGCACAGTCTTCCAGTTCGGGTACCCCTGGGGTGAATCCGGGTTTAAGCAGGACTCAAGGGAACAGAATGCAAAGAAGACCATTATTCTCATCAAATAATTCAGAATTGAATCATTCCTCCGGAGATTCTCTGACAAGACCGAACAATGATATGTGTGGGGCAGGAAAACCCAGTGACGAGGGGTTGAGTGCGCCCCCTGATTCCCCCTTGCTGTTTTGTTCACCACCGACCTCGCTGGAAAGGGAGGATGGTGTACCATTGGGTACAACAGGGACTGAAGGTGCTTTAGCGGGAAATATCATGGCAGGAGTGTTGGGGGAAAATGCTGGATCCAAAGACATAGAAAAACGTGAAAAATTGGACGGTTCTGCTGAAACTGACAATTTAGATGTAAGAAAATGATATTTTGTGCGCTTTCTTTCTTGTTTTCCTCTTTGCACTTAATAAGAGGAGCAGGTTCTGATGGTCTTACTGACGCTTTCTCCCTCCAGGAAATCACCTGGAATGTGAACTGCAAGGAATGTGGTGCGACTTTCTACTCCAGTAGGAGAGGTGATCCAGGTAAGACTGACGCCGTGATGCAAGTGCTTTTAACCTCTAAGAAGTTTCGCTCTGATGAAATATCCTCTCGTAGTAACACTGGATCAATAAGAGACGATCCTTACTGGACCTCTAGGAAGAACAGTTTTAGACAGATATAGAGCTATTCAGTATAAATAAAGTTAGTTTAGTTTAGGTTTCCTCCTGTAGTAACACTGGATCAATAAGAGATGATCCTTACTGGACCTCTGGGAAGAACAGTTTAGAACTGATAGAGCTATCCAGTATAAATAAAGTTAGTTTAGTTTAGGTTTCCTCCTGTAGTAACACTGGATCAATAAGAGATGATCCTTACTGGACCTCTAGGAAGAACAGTTTAGAACTGATAGAGCTATCGAGTATAAATCATAATTGAAAAGTATGTTAACAACATTTTTTCTAGATGACCACGTACCTCAAAAAATGCGTGTTCCGGGGAAAACTTCGCTCGGAGGAGTTTTGAACAGTGCCTTTTCCTTGAAAAAAGGCACAAGGAAAAAGAAATCATCCACGTTGGAAACAATTCGTGTTCCTGACACATGTTGCTTGGAACTGATTCCTGATGTTAAAAAAGGAAATGGTAATGAACAATGATGAATATTTCGTTTAGTAGTGCAAAGAGCCTAGAGTAGAGCAATTTAGGAATTAAGAATGCTTCCAGTTTGACTCTACGAAACTTGGTGGTTAGTACATGTGTCTTTCATCTCTGTGTCTGAGGTTTGATTTCTGTAATATGCAGTTGTCTGATTATAATTTCACCTCAGTCACATGTGAGAAGAATGCTTCTAGTTTGACTCTACCAAACACAGTGGTTAGTACATGTGTCTTTCATCTCTGTGACTGAGGTTTGATTCCTGTAATATGCATTTGTCTGATTATCATTTCACCTCAGTCAGTCTCTATCTAGCATGCATTTCTTAAAGTATTTCAGTGACTTCACGGTTTCTTCTTTATAGTTGCACAAAGAAACGCTTTTTATTGCAAGGAAGACTCGTTGTGTTTCATACCGTTGATATGTCAGCAATGTAAGGATATTTGCTCTATGAAAGCTTACGTTATTGCCGTGAGAGCAATACCTTGTGGGACTGGTAACGATGACCGCAAGTCAATGGTAAGCACTTTCTTTAACATTCCAGCCCTTATGTTACGATTCAATCATCTATTACTAATCATCTAGCTGTTACTAGACTAACTTTTTATTAAGCATTTGAAATAAACGACTCAACTCGAAACATGTTCGCAATAAAAAATTTATTTCATCGTTTATTTAAAATGCTTAATTACTCTTGTGCTGCTCAGATCATATGGTAACTTTATTTATACTGGGTAGTTCTATCAGTTCTAAACTGTTCTTCCTAGAGGTGCAGTAAGGATCATCTCTTATTGATCCAGTGTTACTACAGGAGGAAACCTAAACTAAACTAACTTTATTTATACTGGATAACTCTATCAGTTCTAAACTGTTCGTCCTAGAAGTCCAGTAAGGATCATCTCTTATTGATCCAGTGTTACTACAGGAGGAAACCTAAACTAAACTAACTTTATTTATACTGGATAGCTCTATCAGTTCTAAACTGTTCTTCCCATAGAGGTCCAGTAAGGATCATCTCTTATTGATCTAGTGTTACTACAGGAGGAAACCTAAACTAAACTAACTTTATTTATACTGGAAAGCTCTATCAGTTCTAAACTGTTCTTCCTAGAGGTCCAGTAAGGATCATCTTTTATTGATCCAGTGTCACTACAGGAGGAATCCTAATCAATTTCATCAATTCTTTTTAAGGTTTGGTTTGATCATGAGAATGTTGATCTGAATCAAATGTGACAAATCCAGAGAGATTGTATTATAATGAAAATATATTATATATTATGTAAAGAAAGGCAGAATATGTGAATTGAGTTCTGTGACGGTCCAAGGAAAATTGGAATTATTCGCTACACCTCTAACTTGCAATCATATTTGGTAGATTTTTTAAAATTTTAATTTGTAATTAAACCGTGTAATTTCTTCTGAATTCCCCTGTATCCGACACTAATTTGAGTTATGTTGTGCGTCCTAACTCCTAATGGTCCTATACAGATTGTTAGAGCAACGCTAGAATCAGAACTTACGTGATTCCTAATATAACTGACATTAAAATCAGAACTAATGAATATTAAAATGAATAAAATCAGAACTTACACGATTCCTAAACTATATAACCGGTTGTGTATTGTGATACTATTGTTATATCTTAACTTTCACGGCATGACGTCCCATATTTTCATGGCTAAAGAATTACCTTAAGTATTTTATTGAAACAAAAAAGACAAGTTTCCTGCCCTGGGAAGAGCCGAACAAGTGCGGCTTACTTTCATATTCCTTCCTGTGAGAGCGAGAAATAATGAGATTAAGTCTTGCAACATTCTCTATTTTCAATGCAAGAATTCTAAATCGACGTTTGTTAAATGCAGATATCTGTCACAGATTAGTTTTCAGTTCATGTTTAAAAAACTCTGCATGCATGGTTCAGTGTTTCTGCTCGATTTTTTAACCCGATGACTTTGAAAAAAACTATTCGAAGTAGCAGCAGCTGTAAGGAAAATGATACAAAATCACCATCGTCCTTTTGAATGGGAGAGCTCAGAGCTGTTCGTTGGTGATTAAAATTTCAAAATACGTGTCATCTTGAGGTCAAAAGAAAATATGAGATGAATTTGTCGGTAAACAATTTTCAACATGTTGGTTCTGTGTGTGATTTAGCAGACATTGAACATTTCAAAATAAATTGAAAGAACAGGAAACAGAAACGTGCTAATGCGTAAAAATACTCGTCGCTAACTTAAAAGCTGATAAATTTTTCATGATCTTGGCTAGACAGGAACGAATTTTAGGTATTTCGGTAAAAAAAATACGAATGAAGTTATTTTCAACATAGATACATTTCTCATGGACTTCATTAAAAATTTTGGGTTTACAGAAAGAGAAACGTTACGACTAGTTAAGGAAGAGTTTGCATATATTTACAGTAACCGATTAAATGTTTTCGCCAAACAAATTAGATTGATTTAATTAAACAGATTAAAGGATTAAGATCCCAGGGATTCGGTTAGTTTCTGGTCATCAATCAGCTGACACATTAAATTATTCGTGTATCAAAAATAAAAAACATTAAAAAGAAGATATAGTTTAGGACATGATCCTGGGGATGCAAAGTTAGGATTGCTGATCATGTCAAAATGCATATGCACTTCTTTTGTACATCCAGTTCAACTCAAATCAGTTCTACATGATGGCGTGATCTGGTCACATGACTAGTGAAAAATATCACCGGATCTGCAGGATCTTCGTTTTATTTCTGTTTCACGAGCTAGGTTTCTGGCTCTGAGAGAGCTATTTTGAGAAAAACACGAGTTGTCTTCGACCACAAACGTCAAAACGAAGACAATTTGTTTTTGAGGCTGCCAAAATTCTCAATCTATTTTCAGGCATTCCAATTATCTAATCCAACTATATCGCGCAAAATAAACTACTGCATGTTGTTTTGAAGGGAGATTAATGCTTTTTATAAACCATCTCCTTGTGCTGCTTTTTATGGTTATCACCTGAAATAGACCTCAGCGTCAACGCGTGATTGAGCTAGCATGTTCGCGAAGTATCGTGCACGAATATTCGTGATCGGATTTATAACGCTGTTGACTTTCTTGACCTTTCACACGTCCTCTGTCACGGATCTGTAATAAATATTTATATATTTGTGACAACAGCTAACTGGAAATAAAGTGATTTCATCGATAATACGTGTTATGGCCCACTCATCAATAGCAACCGATAATGAAAATATTTACATACACGTTTATGAGATGCCAAGATGTACAATTTCACATCAGATTCTTCAAATAATTTCCAATGCACATTAATACGCCAGGAAAAAGAGTATCGCATTATTATGTTCATCATATGAAAGCTCCTGCTAATATACTCGAGTTTTGCGTTGTTAAATTCTGTAAGAAACGTCCCAAATCATGTCCAAACACCTTAAAGAATATTAAGAAAGTTAGAAATCCTAGCAGGCCATTTTTTTTCTTTACTTCCAATGTAACTTTACGTTTTTATTATGCATTATTTCACTCTACCTGCAATAAAGTCGATTGTATGAAAGTGACTCAAATAGGATGGTACCTAACAACCTTAAATTCCGCGTTTAGCCAAACTAATTTGCATAACCCGCGAGCGCGCTGAATTCGGAAGTTTTAGACTCGAAATGTCTAATTTGTTACACTAACGACACATAACTCCGCCCGCGAACATGACAAGCTGACATCGTTATGAAAAGTGCTCTAATGATACATTTTACATAATTTCCGTAAACAAGAATGTTTACTTCGACCTCAACAATGCGTTTTCTGTGGTATTTCCCTTGTGGTTTTGTCATCAGGAGATTCGTCGTCAGTTCGAGTAGCTTCGCCTTCCTCGGTTGAGAGAATTCTATTCTTCGTCGCTTGCCCTGTGGCCAGGAACTCCTCGTAATTGTCCGTTTCTATCAATTGTCATCGCGGTTTAATTAATAGCGCGTATCTCTCGAGTCCATTAGAACTTCTATTAAGCCTTCTAATCACAAATCGCAATGTTCTAATTTGGAGCTAAAGAGCTCAGCTCTTGAAATTTGGCAACATGGCTTGACATGTTTTGCAATCTTACACCACTCTGTGTGAAATGTTTTTATGAAAGCGAATGCATTATAGATTACCACAAGTTTTTGTAAAATATCCTATGCCCTATAGGCTATCCTCGCCAGCGATTTTAGCCAGGGAGATTCCTATTTTCTTCCCTGTTTTTACTTGGGTCAATATTTTCGACCATTTCCCCTCGTTTCTATGACGTTGATTGGGGGTAATAGAGATGCGATAAGATATTTGATAACGTTGAAAAATACGACAATCAAAATACTTGAATATGGATTTTAAATTGATCAAGTACTTTGATTCAAGATTGGATATGTAAAATTCATAAGTGATATGAGAGGATGAGTTTTGGACCTCTTTGGAAGATCAAAATTGATGAAGCTAGATTTATATTTCCAACATGAGTAAAGCTGGTTTAGTTCAGGTTCTCCTTTGTAGTGAGTGGTGATATTGGAATGCTAGGCCATAAGGGACTCTCTACAGCGAGAACATCTTGGCGCTGGAAGCGCAATCCATCATTGATAAACATAGTTTAACTTTGTTTAATCAGCACTCGTATATAATTTACAAATCCCTTCATCATGTTTAAAGCTCTTTATTTATCTCAAGCTTCTCACACAGGCTCACAGGTACTAAAAAGTCTTGTGAAAAACAACTCTTATGTCTTTAAGCCATGTAGTTTGTATAATCTGTACGCTGACGTACACTCTACATATGCCTGCTATATTTATGGACGTAATCCATCTCGTTGCTATTTTTCGTTGCTTCCTGATTCTGGCATATCTTAAGAATATGTTTTGTTTGCTAACTTCCGGATTTGTTGGGCAAAAAACATGAGTGGGATGTTCGATAAGTAAGTGAAAACTGCCTCTCATAACATAAAACTCTATAACCTCACCAGGATTGAAAAATTTCTTCCCGGGTCCAGTAAGGATCATCTGCTATTGATTCAGTGTTACCACAGGAGGAAACCTAAACTAAACTAACTTTATTTATACTGGATAACTCTATCAGTTTTAAACTGTTCTTCCTAGAGGTCCAGTAAGGATCATCTGCTATTGATTCAGTGTTACCACAGGAGGAAACCTAAACTAAACTAACTTTATTTATGCTGGATAACTCTATCAGTTTTAAACTGTTCTTCCTAGAGGTCCAGTAACGATCATCTGCTATTGATTCAGTGTTACCACAGGAGGAAACCTAAACTAAACTAACTTTATTTATACTGGATAGTTCTATCAGTTTTAAACTGTTCTTCCTAGAGGTCCAGTAAGGATCATCTCTTATTGATCCAGTGTTACTACAGGAGGAAACCTAAACTAAAAACCTTTATTTATACTGGATAGTTCTATCAGTTTTAAACTGTTCTTCCTAGAGGTCCAGTAAGGATTACTACAGGAGGAAACCATTCAACACCGCCACGAATATATAACTATAAAAAATGATTTCGCAATTCTCCAGAAGTGACTGTATTTCCTCCTTGCAACGTCATAATCAAAAATAAATTCACGATCTAAATCTTTCCTCGCATTCAATAAATTCCTTCTTTGCGGAAACTTCTGAAGTAAGACATGATGTGACGATAAGGCATGTATCCTGTCACGGGTGCACCTTTACGAAATTGGATCAAAATCAAGAGCATGAAGCTGTTCTTTCTATTGAAATGCTTTTCTTTCAACAAAAACCATCAACCCTTTTCACATACGTCGCTCCGACTGTTACGAACGACTGGCTTTGTAAAGCTTTTGCAATATATATGGAAAGTGAAGCTTCGTTGCGTGCGCGTTTGCGGAAAATATTACAAATTTTCTCATTTCCTAGTTAGTTGAACAATGAAAAAGTCAATCAGTTCCTGTTCCAGTTTTTCCACATTCTCTCTTGCTGTCCTTCCTGGAGACCCAATAAGGATGACCTAAAATGAGCCAACAATCTACCTTGGATAGCTTCATCAGTTCTAAAGTGTTCTTCCTAGAGGTCCAGTAAGGATCATCTCTTATTGATCCAGTGTTACTACAGGAAGAAACCTAAACTAAACTAACTTTATTTATACTGGATAGCTCTATCAGTTCTAAACTGTTCTTCCTAGAGGCCCAGTAAGGATCATCTCTTATTGATCCAGTGTTACTACAGGAGGAAACCTAAACTAAACTAACTTTATTTACACTGGATAGCTCTATCAGTTTTAAACTGTTCTTCCTAGAGGTCCAGTAAAGATCATCTCTTATTGATCCAGTGTTACTACAGGAGGGAACCCAAACTAAACTAACTTTATTTATACTGGATAGCTCTAAACTGTTCTTTTCCTATAGAGGTCCAGTAAAGATTATTGAACTAGTGTTACTACAGGAGGGAACCTAAATTAAACTAACCTAATAGCTCCTAGGATGGCTAGGTGTTGTAAAGTCGTATTACGGATATCACATTTAATTTTTGGAGTCGGTGAAAATCAGATTAAACCTGCGTTGTCTGGAACACAACTGAGCAAAAATTTCATATCAATCTAGTGAATCTATTCGATCTAATGAAACTTCCAGCAAACCTCAATTTTGCTGTTTATTTGTGGCTAGCGTAAACTTCATTACCGCGTTAAAACAAACCGGGTTAACGAGGAAATCGACCTGAATATAACTATAATCACGTTGTTTTGTGCAAATCTAAACTGAGAGCCAAAACTGTGAACACTTGATGAAGGTGTTAACGTTGTTCTAAGTCGGCTGGAGCCGCTATGATCATGAACAAAATGACTTGCCTGAAGATATCATTATCTTTCAAACAATAATCGTTCGTTTTAGGATGGATTGTTGTGACTGTATGAATTGTGAAATACTAAAGGAGGCGGGAACTTTAGGGAAGGCCAGGTGCAGATTTCAATTGCTCCACGATCCCCGATAAATTTCCTCAACATTTGCATCGCACCTGGACTTGTGCTTTTTGCCTTTGATGATTCAGAATCAATCAACCTGTTCTGCTTGATAGTATAAGCCCTTCTTGATCTTGTCATTCCTAGATTTATTAGACTCGAGGAGCCAGTTGTAGAAGATACTTTGGTTGTTGTTTGAAAGACTAAAATGTTTTAAAAATCAGAAGTACTAAATCACAATCTTATTTCTCATGCCATTGTAATTGTTATATACTTGTGAACGTCATCCCTCTAATGATGTCAATTCAAAATTTCAGTTCTTCAAAAGAGCTGTTGAGTCGTTCAGTCTTATTCTTTGGCCGAAAATCGTTTAAAATGAATGGCTTTGTGCGACTGGTTTAGGAGATACTATGTTTAGTTGGACACTGTTCTAGGAGCGATACTTTCCATCTGTTGTTAAATGGGGTGTAAAAGAAACTCTGGCAAAATCTTGAGCTGATTTGAGCTTCCGACGCTGCGGATTACTCGAGCTCAGCGCAATTCTTCTCACGAGAGGTTCGTTTTAAATTTTTCGCTGAAACCTGACACCCCTGTCTACAGGTGTATCACCCTCAAGCACAGGCCACGATCCTTGGTGATTCCTTCTCGATCCACGCAACTGCATCCACGACACAATGCAGTCTCGTCTGACACCTGAATCTTCCGTTGTCAAGATTATTGACAATATCCTTGGACAAAAGCAAAACGCCTACAGCAAGTTTACGAGCCAATGGCTGCGTCCATTAATCCGCGTTTAGCTCATTAAGAATAATTACCATACACGCCTTTCTTATTCATTGAAGTATTATTAGACGTCGTCAAGCTGTCTAAAGACTATTAATAAGTCCGTGTAACGAGCACATAATTATTTTGTCACATACAAATTATCTCGTCCTGATCGTAACATAGATCGCAGCGTACAGGTTTCCGTATCGAAAATAGGCCATCGAGACATCGTGTTACCGTCGCAACAGCTGATGTGAATTTAGAAAGCATTGTAATCTGCCATAGTTTGTTTGTCACCGGATTATAGAGCTCGATATATCCTGGTTTTGTATAAGACCAAGACGCTCTATACTATAATTCTGAAATGGCAAACTTAGGCCACACTCAGCTAACACGTGGAAGTGGTTCATTCCAAGTTTCACCCATAGCGATGCCATCCACAGGGAGCTACATCTTCAGGGATATTTCTGGTAAGTGCTTTTATATCGTATTTTATGATGGCGCGATCCTCGCTATATACCTTGGCTGAACTTTAATTTAACATGCGTTGCCAAATCTTTAATGCTGCACTTAATTTATCACCTAAACGATAAATTTATCTAAATAAATATACGTTATCAAAGTGTTATTAAAGATCTTTTATTATGGCTTTGACAGTTCGCGTTGATATGCAGTCGCGGGCGGTCAAATAATTTAGGAAAGTGTTTGATTCCTCAGTATATCGCACTTCATTCAAAGATACATCGTTTAATAACATTGACCAAGGCATCGTATGGATGATTAATATTTAAAATAGCCTTCCTGGACGCTATGAAGTATATATGATTGCCATTTTTACTTGCTTCTCAGATGTGCTTGCATTTTGAAGAAATTTATGTTATATTAGGAATTGTTTGCGAGCAAAAAGTTATCTTAAAATTAACTGATGCAGTACAATTCATGAACACACCAAGTACAGCTATTTATCCATAAGCTTTCTGTGTTGTGTTTTCGCTGAAGTAATTTAAGACTGAGTACGTCCGTTGGATAAAATAATAAGGGTGGATTTTCAATCTGGATTATGTCAATAACATGTACGAATAGCTTTTCGACTTTAGTTATACAAAGGTTTTGACCTCTTCCCGCTAGTATTTTGCTGAAATTTTGTTATTTCCAACACACATACAACCTAAATATGGATGCATTATGCGCAAAAGTGTATGCGCTATTTAAACATGTTTTATTACAAGCGACAAAAAGAAAACGTCGTTTGAAAACTTTAGATAAAGGAATGTATAGCTCTGGTTAAGACTCAGGTTGGTGAATTCGTACACTTAGTATATTCTTCAATCCATTTACAAAGATGTAAAAGTGACTGAACTTAAATAGTTCAAATCAGGACATATCTTACATTGAAACATTACACTTTTTGTTCCCAGTCATTAATCAGTATATAAAGCATTACTTTAAAGCCCAAATTCTCTCTTTTTACAATGTTTGTGCATCGTAAAATACCCATCACGCAGCTCAATCCGTTCCCAAATCAGAATTTGCATGTTGTTCTAGGTTATTGGAGAGGACTTCAGTGGTAAGCCAGACAGATTTATTCTTAGTTTTCTTAGCGGGATTTCCGTGAAATCTTATAACTTGTTGTATAGACAATGAAATAAGATTTGGAAAAATGCCGGATTCTAAAAAGATGTATGAGAGTTTCAGTTTAAATGCTTCTGATGAGCGAGGCCTCACAGGGAAGGACTTCCTTTCATCTGATATGGGATTAAATCTTTCTAAGATCCTGTTTTGCCTTCGTTCCTGACACGTTTTGTCCAATATCTGGCCTTCTCGACTTTTCTAGTGATAACAACTTTAACTAGGGCCTTAATTTTCAAGGAAACTGAGTTTTGAGATGGACATTTTCAACTTAATTGTGACCGAAAAGTTAGCCTCAAGTGGGTGTACTATGATGTAAAAACGCTTCTTTTCAACGTGAGATAAATCATGAAATCATCCAACATCAATGATATTGCTGAGCTCACAAAAAGTTTTAAACTTTAGCACATTCATTTGCACAGGAATCGAAAATCTCTTCAATTCAGAGCAAGCGACAGCAATCACGGCCCACATACGTATATATACGTGTTTCTGTCCACGTCTATGATCATTGTAGGGGGTGTAAAAATTTAGTGTGAATTGATGACAAAAAAACCTAGCTTTATATCTCATAGCGAGGAAATTATGCTTAGCTTAGTTTTTTAAAATTGTGTCAACTGCAAAGTGAGATAATTATGAATAAATACGTTAGTTAGCTATATATTTCGTATTGCACACACTTTCTTAAGGCTTACTATATCTGTTTTAGATTTCATGCATTTTGCTAAATGTTTTCTTTCCAGTAATGAGCACACGATAATAAATATTAATAATGGTGTCATTTTTCATTGAATATATCTGGCTAGGAATTAGAGTAAGGCGCTATAAAGACTGGGCAGTTGATTGTTGGAAACAAAATTTAATCCAACAGCGCCAAAACAATGGATCTGTGGGAATATTTCATGTTTTGTATTACTACAGGTACAAGGAACGTATCCTATACATATTAATAAGTATGATTTATGACTTTCGGGCGTTAAGCTGTCTGTGCACTTCAATAAAAGCTGTTGTTATTCATCTTTGTGGTTCATTAGAAGCTGATTTTAAAGTTCATTTTGGGAAATAAGCTAGCATTGTGTGCAGCAGAGTCGAGCGAGCGAGCTGCTCGGAGACGTTGCGTTTGAAAACAGGGAGATTAAAATATAAGATGTCCTCCCGGCAGAGGCAAAGAGAGAACCTGTCATTGTGTTCCACGGGGGGATTATTTCAGCCTCTCATGAGGCTCTAAAAGTTCCTATATCACAGCTGCTTTTTACCACCACATTTATACTCCACAACACGCGTTAAAAACGTGCTTTTCAGCCTGAAGGTTCTCTCAAAGAAACTACCACGATAATACAAAATAGCTGGCAAGAACCTCTTGAATATTTTATGAACATCACACCTCTATCCTGTTTCATGTTTTGAATCTATTTTCCCAAACGATAAGGTTAAAAATAGTTTCCTGTAGTAAACATTATACCAAACACATCTTTCCATAAAAAGGTCCAGCAATTCTCTTAAAATACGGAAAAAAACAACATGTTTTTTGCATACTTTTTGGGCAGATGCCCACCAAATTCGTCAGCAAATATTTATCGAGAGCCTGGCAAACTGCTGGCTGAAAAAAATATTCAAAATTTAATCCCTATTGTTGGCCATTAATATTATAGCGGCTCAGATAGACAATAGAAGAGCATTAATGAAATTCTTGATGCTTAAGTCTGAGTCACGTTCGATTGAGTACACCTTGTTTTCTTTCATTTTTGAAGTCAAAATCTTCTTTCACCTTACGTGATGTTTTCCTTCGCAGACTACCACAGAAACACGGGAGGACTTCACTCGCCCTATGGTAGGACTCCAAGCTATTGTGAGGATTACCCTTACCCAGCAGCAGCGAACCACCAGGGAAACCCGCTCAGTGCACTTTTCTCTAGCACCTCAGCTGGACTGCTTGGTAGCACTGGCTTTCTTGACATGCAGGACGTTAAGAAAAAGCCAAATGGAAATATTCGAGTTGAACTCGATAACAGAACGTTGTGGAAAGGATTTAACGAGTACGGTACAGAGATGATAATCACTAAGGCTGGAAGGTAAGAATTGTTGTGATCATGTTTATAAACTAATTTAGTTCTAAATTGTTCTTCCTTATTGACCCAGTGTTACTACAGGAGAAAACCAAAACTAAACTAACTTTATTTATACTGGATAGCTCTATCAGTTCTAAACTATTCTTCCTAGAGGTCCAGTAAGGATCATCTCTTATTGACCCAGTGTTACTACAGGAGGAAACCTAAACTAAACTAACTTTATTTATACTGGATAGCTCTGTCAGTTCTAAACTGTTCTTCCTAGAGGTCCATCAAGGATCATCTCTTATTGATCCAGTGTTACTACAGGAGGAAACCTAAACTAAACTAACTTTATTTATACTGGATAGCTCTATCAGTTCTAAACTGTTCTTCCTAGAGGTTCAGTAAGGATCATCTCTTATTGATCCAGTGTTACTACAGGAGGAAACCTAAACTAAACTAACTTTATTTATACTCAGTATCTCAGTTCTAAACTGTTCTTCCTAGATGTCCATTTAAGGTCTCTTATTGATCCAGTGTTACTACAGAACTAGACTAACTTCACCTATACTGGATAGCCTTGTTGACTGTTTTCCTGAGCAGTGAATTACTATTTCTTATCAAATGATCCAGCATCAATATTTATTTAACAAATTAGATTGTTAGACAAACTCTTCCTTTGGCATCGCTTTCATATTTACGCTAATGTTTTTCGAAAGGTTTCGATAGAATCAGGAAGAAATAACTGCCAAAAAGCTTTGCGACTTTTTAGTTTTGTCGCGCAAAATGTTTATCTAAACGTCTCAGTGTTTGGCTCACAGGGTCCCGTTGTAGAATATTACCCATCAGTACTGAATTCTGCGGGCAAATTCATGCACTTTGACTTGTAAATTGCGCGTTTTGGCGCTCACGAGCAGTTCAAAGCGCCCTGGTTCAAATTAAACAATGGCCATTTGCCAACGCGAGTTCCTGGGCGAGTGATATCGATGCTTTCCTGCGCAAAAACGTAAGGCAAATATTGTTGTAATAAAATGACAAGTTCCGTATATTTAGGAAGAGTGGTAAAAGGCCGGATGACTGATATCAAATTCTTGACATTTTGTTTGATATTAAGCTGAACAAGCTGAACTCTCTACTCGCGTAGTTTCTACAACACAGTCGTCAGAGCGAACGCGTTTAATCGTAAGGAGTACGAACATCCCTGTCTCCACGTATTTGACGCATATTGGCTTTAGAATATCTATCCCACGCGTATTGGCTTCAGAATAATGTGCGTCATTCGGGTTTCTTAACTTTTTTGCACGCTCGAAGGAAAACCAACCTGCCCTATTCCGTACTCAATATTTTCTTACTGAAATTGTTCAAAGTAACATCGCGCGCTTATCATCCCCGCTTCCTCTGGAAGTTTTGTGTCTGGATATATTTCACACATTTAAGGTGAAAGGCGACTGACTGGAGCGTATGTTTCTCACCTGAGGAGTTGCGCAACGCACCGCCGCGCGCCTTTAGTGCTTTTGCGCTAACAATGCTGTCAAAACATCTCGGGTAATTGCCCTGTTAGAAGCCAATGAGGGAGTTATCAAACACCGTTTATTAATGCTTCAAGGAAGTCCACGATGGATTATATTTTGCGCTTGGCGCGTCTACACTTCACGCTGTTTATTCATGTTCGCACGTATATTTGTGAAATAATTTGCGTCTAAGTTTCCCCTTAGCGGGTTAGCTGGTCCCTATAGGTGGTACTAAGGATGAATTGGCCGTAGTTTAGATTTTAGTTTCAACTCAGATTAAACACAAGTGTTCTTAAGCTGGAATTTCGCCTTTATTAATTGTTGCCTCGAGATTTGTAGTTGAATTGAGATCACTATCCAATGGATAGCGCTATCAAGCCTTCGTACAACCGCCCCTAAAATGGTTGATGTTTATTATTGAATTTTTAAAGTTGTTCGGCTAATCGTACATCGCATGACTACAAATTAACACCAAGAGAGTATTCTGCCCAAAGCTTAAATTGAATCTTAAACTAATTGCATCCCCCAAATCAACTGGGTTAAAACTGTGAAGAATCGTGTTTGTTCATCTTGGCACCTTCTTTAGGCGAACCGTTCGAAGCATTTAGTTCATTTGCTAAGTCCTTCCTGCGTCATTCCTCAGCAGATCAGAGTTTCACAGCTTTCCAAAGAAAACTGAATTACGTTTGAAAAGGCGCCATCATCATATCCCATTATCGCTTGACAACAGAGGCGGAATATTCCGGCTTTCACTTCACTCTGTTCCGCGGTAAAAATCTAGCAAACGTTTTGCGACACGCTAGAATTTTGTACCCGCAATCACTTAATATGCTTACATGGAGTATATCGATCAATTTCGAGATGACCACTGATATGAGGGCTTTCAGTTTGACTCTTCCAAAAAGAGTGGTAGTACACGTCCCTTTCACTTCTCTTACTGAGGTTTGATCCCTGCAATATTCGGTTATTTGGAGTGCTTTAACTCTGACTTTGATTCCACTAAATACTGGCGTTCGGAAATATTATTACAGTTACTAATGCTGCGAGATTTCGGTGAAATAGCTGTGAAAATCCTATACATTTCATTCGCCTGGCATGTGTGGGATGTATAATATCAGTGATCATTATTATCACACAGCTTAACCCTACTTATTGCTTTACACAAAGTAATTTGAAATTACTCCTTGCCAAGGTTATTGTAAGAAAGGATATTGTTAAGTTTCTCTATCCTCTGATGTCCTCTAGGGTCCTGGTGCCAAGGTGCGTCAGAGTTTCAATAAGTCTTTAGAAAGAGCTAAATTCGAAGATAATGAACTCAGCGCTATTATGACAATACCTTGTGAGATACGTTGTATGTTTTAGAAATCTTCTTATCTTTCATTATGCTTTGAGAAAAACTTTTTAATCAGCTAAGCTTAAAGCGTTTCCATAGTTTTCTGTAGGGTTATGTAAATAAATACAATATTCCCTGCTGTTGGACCTCTGTGGAAAAACAGTTGAAAAAAATTGATGGACTAATCCAATATAAACTGTTTGTTTAACTTAGGATTCGGTCTTTCCTCCTGTGGTAACACTCTATAGTAAAAACAATTTAGAACTGATAGAGCTATCCAGTATAAATATAAAGTTAGTTTAGTTTAGGTTTCCTCCTGTTGTAACACTGGATCAATAAGAGATGATCCTTACTGGACGTCTAGGAAGAACTGTTTAGAACTGATAGAGCTATCCAGTATAAATAAAGTTAGTTTAGTTTAGGTTTCCTCCTGTAGTAACACTGGATCAATAAGAGATGATCCTTACTGGACGTCTAGGAAGAACAATTTAGAACTGATAGAGCTATCCAGTATAAATAAAGTTAGTTTAGTTTAGGTTTCCTCCCGTAGTAACATTTTATTTATTTCGCAGAATTCAGTCAACATGAACACTCAAACACTCTATCTCTCTTATATTTATTTCTTAGGAGAATGTTCCCAACAATTAGGGTCAAACTGGAAGGTTTGGATCCCAAAACAAAATACATTCTGGTAATGGACATTGTTCCTGTCGATGATAACCGCTATAAGTACCATAACGGGGAGTGGATCGTCTCGGGAAAGGCAGAACCGCCACATCCATCAAGATTATACATCCACACTGATTCTCCCGCAACTGGGGCACAATGGATGAGGCAGATTGTCTCTTTTCAGAAACTCAAGCTCACCAACAGCCAAGTGGATCAACAAGGACATGTGAGTTTTTAGGCGTTCACTGCAAAAGTTCACTTCAAACTTTTTCACTTCATAAAAAGTCGATATAAAAGTTTTCATGATAATGAAGTTAGGCATAACTATAAGATTTTAAAACGTTTTAAAACGAAGTTAAAACGTTTTTCTATAGTGCGTATGCTACCCCGTATATACAATTCCCCTGGCAATTGAAAGACTATTGAGTATTAAAAACGACATCAGCGGCCAATATTATACACTTAATTCAATCATGTATTCTATAGCGATATTCTCACAAAGCATTCTATCCCTTTGAATGATTAAAGGAAGTCGTTATTCTGGACTGAAAAACCTTTTCTTAATATATTTCATGGCGTACGATTCTCGTTATCTTCACATCATTAAAAGTTTAGCGTAGCGATTTTGCAAATTCCAATCTTCCTCTGAAAGGTATAACGGTTTCTTTAAAAAACACGATGTGCTCTTCAGACAGTGATTTGTTCTGAAATATTTTAATTTTCTTTTGAGACTGTTCAATTACGGTAAACGACGGCTTAAAGTTTGTATGAATATCAGCGTTAATAGCCAATATATTGCATTTGAAAAACAGGCTTTTCAAATCTCATGCTGGCATGCAATATCTTTTATGGGGCAGGAAGTAATTGGAAATAAACAAACCTATAGTTCTGCTTTGTGCCTTTCTATATACTTCTTTGTCTTAGTAGGATGGGAAGCCTTATAATCGACCGATTTACTATTTAAATGCATGTAAAGAAAAGCAGCTTGTCTTATCGTGGAATATTGCAGTAAACTTCATAATGGCTCATAACAATTTTACAAAGCATACAACATAATTTGCGAGAATCTGTTTCATTATAAATCTTCAATATAAATCTTCAGCCAACGGCTTCTCATGTCGAGAGCGAGGCTCAGAGGCAGGCATTTGTGACGTAATTATTGAAACGGGCCGGTCGAGCTGAAATGGAATGAGTATAAATGAGTATTGCGAAGCCAAGGTTGAACTTTGAAGATATTGAGCGTTTAAATACAACTTGAAGTCTAAGGCTTTGTCACGCCAAACACACATGTTTCTACCGTTTTTTTGTTGATAAATTTCAACTATTGAAGAATTGAAGAGCATACCTTAAAAAATGCCGTGACATCATTCATGAGAACTATTATGTTCGAGCCGGCTGCCTTAAGTGCGTGTGAAGGAAAAAAAATGCATTCACACAAAGTCCCAAACCATCTAAAAAGCGTTAAACTTAAGTCAACCCGCTTCCATTCATGGTCTCGGTATTATATACACAACACCAATCGTGAAAGAGACACTTTGCCACAAGAGGTTGGATTGTTTGAAAGAACACATATATAGAGTTATATTGATCATGTTTTGAACTGTTAAAAGTTCTGGGTAATAGATGGGAGGAGCAGATGACAAACAAACCAAGCAAAGTAATCCATTTTCAACGACTAATAATACTTAATAGCGTCATCTCGCAGATGAAAGATGCGTTACTAATAGCTTTAGGTATGGCTTAAAAATCTCGCGGGCATGTTTTACGTGGGAAATATAGATTGTTGTTTATAGGGATATCCTCATATAACCTTGTTCGTTTGTGCTGTTTGAAAGCAAGCGACCATTTATACTGGACATCTCTGTCAATTCTAAACTGTTCTTCCAAGAGGTCCAGTAAAGATCATCTCTTATTGATCCAGTGTTACTACAGGAGGAAACCTAAACTAAACTAACTTTATTTATACTGGATAGCTCTATCAGTTCTAAACTGTTTTTTCTAGAGGTCCAGTAAGAATCATCTCTTATTGATCCAGTGTTACTACAGGAGGAAACCTAAACTAAACTAACTTTATTTATGCTGGATAACTCTATCAGTTCTAAACTGTTCTTTCTAGAGGTCCAGTAAGGATCATCTCATATTGATCTAGTGTTACTACGGGAGGGAACCTAAACTAGACTACCTTGAAGTACTTTTATTTATACTATATAGACACTATCAGGCATATACTATTCCTCCTAGAGGTCCAATGAGGATAATATCTTGTTACCCATTTAATGAGTCAGATTAAACATTCAGCTATGTCGCGGTATTGAGCCCAGAGGGCCTATTTCCAAGCGTGAATCGTCAGTTGATAAAACGTAACTAAAAGCTTAACTGTGTATTGGCCTGAGAGCTTTAACACTCGAAGATAAAGAGCGACATTGACATTCAACATCTGTTTACATGCATCAACACTTGCCAATGGTTACTGAAACAGCTTTATCACTTTCATCGCGATAAATAAAAGAGATATCTTCAGCGTTAATAGTCCTGCATCACTTAAACTAAATAGCAGTATATACAGGAAGATAAGCGTGAGCTGGCAATATACTTGAATACTTGAATGAATGAGACAGTCTCTAATGTCATTTAAATAGTTTGCGCCTAGCAACCTTGACACACACAGTACGGGATTGAGATGATCTTTTTTTAGAAGAATATTATATATTTTAGTTTTGCATCATTATACTATAGGTTCCCTCTTCTCCCTGTAGTAAGATTAATAAGAGATGATCCTTACTGGAACTCTAGTCTCTAGGAAAACAGTTTAGAACTGATAGAGCTATCCAGTATAAATAAAGTTAGTTTAGTCTAGGTTTCCTCTTGTAATAACACTGGATCAATAAGAGACGATCTTTACTGGACCTCTAGGAAGAATAGTTTAGAACTGATAGAGCTATCCAATATAAATAAAGTTAGTTTAGTTTAGGTTTCCCCCTGTAGTAACACTGGATCAATAAGAGATGATTCTTACTGGACCTCTAGGAAGAACAGTTTAGAACTGATAGAGCTATCCAGTATAAATAAAGTTAGTTTGGTTTAGGTTTTCTCCTGTAGTAACACTGGATCAATAAGAGATGATCCTTACTGGACCTCTATGAAGAACAGTTTAAAATCCAATCCAATCCAATAATAAATATATCCGGACACATGTTCTCAGTTCGTTCCTGATGGGTAGTTTATTCTTTGTTTATCCGAATCTTATGTTTTTGGCGCCGTTGTCGAGGGGGATAAACACAATAAAATAGCTTTGACAAAATCTTTGATATTAGAGTTCTTTACATTTATTTCCCGGCTTTGTTTTTCCACTTATTTTCCGCATTGGTTAATGTATATCGGCTTTGCATATGAGATTGCATAAGTATCGTATTAAGGAAGCTTATTTGGTTAAAAGATGAAACGGGATTTCCACGTGGGATACGATGCTGTGCACGCGATGCCTGCATGCAGGTCATTGGCAAAATCGCGCAGCAAAAAAATTCGTCTGTGGGAAGCGGGCTCGAGCCTGCAACCCAAGTTGGTGCGAGAACTTAACGCTGGTTTCCTGCCTTTGTAATAATGTTAACTACGTTTGAGGGGTGAGGGCGTATATATTAGAGAGAAGGGCGAGGTTAAGAGGTAGATCTTATTAGAGTACAGATAGGGCCAGTGGTTGAGAAAAGGTTTTGTTGTTTGGTAAAGAAGTGGGCGTATGGAAGACAGAGGCAGTGATTTGCATGTGTTTCTTCTTCATTAAGCCGACAAGATTAAACAAATGTCAGGCGGTTTAGAAAGAGTGAATGTGAAATATCTTTAGAATGTAATGTATGATTGAAACAACACTAAAAATTCCCACTTGTTTTCAAGATGCTTATATCTACAAATAGCTTTTATACTTTCCTTTTTAAAACTGTTAGTAGGTCATGGACGCATGGTTGTAAACCAAGCTTTCTTATGCTTTTAGATCATTCTCAACTCGATGCACAAGTATCAGCCTCGGTTACATGTGGTCCAGGCGAACGAATACAATGCATTGAACGGACGAAGTGCTTTTGAAACATTCATTTTCCCTGAGACAGAATTCATGGCAGTAACAGCTTATCAAAACCCTCAGGTTAGTGTGCTCACGTTTTACTAAGTAAACAACTTGGTTGCCCAAATCCCTAGGATTAACGATACACACGATGTCTATCATGGCTAGATTTGGAAATAACGATTCCTTAGCAACAGCAACTGACTTTGTTTGTAAAGTTTGTTTACTAGCTAATTGAATTAAGGTTGTTCTCTGAGTTTTTAAACCTTAAGGCAACAAATCTCGACCTTGGGATTATGCACGAAGGGTGACACTTTTTTCACACCTTGCGTTATCAATCTACTTTGGGTAGTTCCTTAAAACATCGAAGTTCTTCAACGTTAATCTAACGAAGGATTTTAGCCCCAAAACCCACACCTAAAAATGGTAGGAATTGCGGGTTAACATTTGCGTGAATATGCAGTTAATTCGGGAAAAGGTTACAAAAACACTTTAAAGATAAAATGGCTGATATTCTCTAAAGCAATCCAGGCGTTTTTCCAAACAAATATTTCTGATTTGTTGTTGTTAAAAGACTGGAAAGAAGTGCGACTTCTAAGTTCTATAGTTAAGCTCTGGTTTTTGCACATGAGGGTAGATATATGAGGTCGAATGCCTGGACAAGTTAAGTTCCAAAACATTCCTTATTCTTCCGAGATTTCACCGAGTTAATCTTCTTAACTCCCGACGTAAATTGGTTTATTTCTCAGGTACAAGTTAATGTGTAGAAGTTATTTGAGGAATCTCAATATCTTCGGACATGCCTTTGGAATGATGAGCTGCCGACCTTGCCTGGTACTCATGTTCAAAGAGGCTCAAGATTATACGCGGCATTTTGGATTAATCCTTAGCCGATTATCAAACTTCTCGTGAAATTGAAAAGTTTGCCAATCACTGTTTTATGTTTGGTCGGCACATCGTGAAAATCTTTACACGATGAGTACAAGGCCGTAGTTCGACAGCTATTTCCCAACTTTGCTTTGCAAATAGACCCCCAAATTCGCTCTATCGCAATGAAAACTCAACCCATTTAATAATAGATAACATTGCCCCAGTTCAAAGCTATTTTTTGTGTGCTGACGCAAGTATAGTTCGGGATATTGGCTAGCATTGTTGCCTTCGTTTTCATAGTATGTTAGCATCATTGTACAATGATCCAAACAGTCTTAACTTAGCCTGTCGTTAATCTGAAGAAGTGAAGCTTGTTGCCCTTGTATTGAATGTTCATTCTACACAGAAACATGAAATAACGCAGCGTCCTATTTGTTTGAATAGATAACACAACTAAAGATTGAGAACAATCCGTTCGCCAAGGGTTTTCGTGGTGCGTGCAACACGTTTAGTTCGTCAACGTACGGAGGAACGAAACGCAAGCTCGAGGAGGACACAGATGAGACTGGACCGAGTAGCCGAATATCACCTCGAATGATGAAATTAACCAATTGCAGCAGCCCATCTTCTGTATGCGTGACATCATCGCCACGTCACGTGATCCATCATTACACAACAGGTTAGTGAAGCTTGGAGCTGCTTGGTGTTCGTACAATCTTACCAGCCATTCTTTTCCCAGAGTGTTTTGATGCACCACATTTATAATGATTTATAGAAAGCATTAGGATATTGATTATTTAATTCATTATCTGCCCGGGTCAAAGAGACAAATAAAGAGCCTCAAATGACATTGAATACAAACGTGTTCATACGAATTCTCAAACTGGTTTAGACAGATTTTGGGTAGATTTCCCAGTTCTCTTAGTAAAGCGGAAAAATAAAATCTTTCTCAGAGTCTTTTTATAATTAAATCCTGACCCGAGTTCATTGGTTTAAAACCACGAGTTGTTCCTGGTTCAAGTGGTCTTCACTACAAGTTCTTACACGTTCATGCAACTAAAAATATTTTTGGCAACACGTTCGTGGCATTCAGCGCGATATTGTCCCATAATTCGGGCGAACAACTCGCTCGTTTTAACTTTTATTCATTGCGAAAGGTTTGCTTTCAGATTGCGTCATAAGTGGAGATCGATTTTTGGAACACCGACACTCAAAACAGCTCGAAAAGCAAACATCATTTCTGATCGCTATGAAAACGATTAGCATATTATATCCTTAAGAGCGCATTCCGTGATCTCTTTTTCATTTCTGAGCGCACGAAAGACTTTAATGTAGCGTGAACTGTTCACATTTAGAGATCACTTGACAGGAAAGATAGAAAAACATTGAAAGTGCCAAATGCAATTCATTCACTCGTGTCGTCTCCCCAGAAATAACAATAAACTCGCGTTACTGTCTTCCGTGTGTGTGTGCTTTTGTAAAAAACGCGGAAGAATATATTGAGATAATCCCAGTTTGACCCCAGACCCCTCTTCCTTGCCATATAGAGCTTTATAGTAGTGTATTTTCCTTATTTTTTTCAGCTTCTTCTGATCCTCAGAGTCAGGAAAATGGTCCTTACGATTGCATGCAGAGCATCACAAACATTGGCAAGACGCCGTCGCCTTGCAACGAATGGCGCGAGGAGAGTAATACGTCGCCTGCAGTCGCACCTGTCTGTCCAGTCCCTCTCCCGGCCGGAGATTCGCCAGCGTACCGGAGTCCCTTTAACAAGACGAACTGTCGATTTTCAGTGATGACGTCATACTCGCCGTACCATCAAGGTTTGTACGCGGGCTCACAAGACCAACCCCCGATTCAACATCCGTACACTGTGGGGCATCATTTTGCGGGACACACGGGCGACCATTCCTCGCCATATTATCGTTATATGCCCACTGAACTTTACTCAGGAAATTTCCTAAAAGGACAAGATTGCGTCGCGAATGGGTTCGTAAGCCTACCCATTACAAATCAAAATGGCCACTTAAATAACACCAACCAAGACTTTGGTTCATAACCAGAAGTGCAAAGCACTCAACACTTTCTTACGGTATTTTAACAACTTTGTAGAGGGGAAAAAATAGAAGATTTTTAGACGAAAACGCGGTTCAAGGCTGTCGTTAAGGCGAAAAGAACCAGGCAGAAATCCCATGTACAATATATTTAAAATTTTTACTAAAGCATTGGAGATTGAGAGTTTGAAAACTCGTTCACTTTTAACGTTACGCTAAAGTTTTCGGTGCGATGAAGAATATTTTCAAAGAACAAAGGAGTTTTTGGTTTTCGCTTTTTTGGCAGCGGCTCCGTGAAGAAGGTACATTTTATTGTCTACTGCAATCCTCTTGGAAGAAAACATTGGTCTGAAGTCGAGAAACTAGCGCAGGGCAAACACAAGACAGTGAAAATATGGCCTTAATTCGGAAGCACCTTAGATGCTGTAAAAAGAACTTCTCTTCGAGGGATTCTTGGCGAGTCGTGCCTGTCCGACGAACGATATGAAAATATTCTTGTGGTGTTTGGGAAATTAGGAAATATACAAATCTTCTCCGTCATTTTAATTACGAACGTCACAAATTATCCGTTTCAATCATCTCTTCAATGTCCGCGTAATTAATATTTTTGTCGACGCTTTTTTGAGGATTTCAAGAAGAATGAATTTGTCTCAAAACAACGCTAAATTATGATTAAAATGTATAGAAATTATGTTAATAGCCAGAATTGATGAATAAATTATATCCAGGTGTTAGCTTTAGTTTAAAACGTGTTGATCTTTCAATATTTGCATCTTGAAAAGGCGGTTTGTACTGATATTATCATTATTATCTGGCTTGTTTTGTGGTGATAATTTACATTTCCAGCCGCCCTTGGCCCAGACGTTTTGTTCAGTTAACCCGAAGACAGGTGAAAGTTGAAATTAAATCGATCTCTGCATGTTCCATCGTCTAATTTTCCTTTAAGCGTTTTAAACTAACTCAAGATCCATCCAGCTGTTTTTTCTACTGATGAATTTCTTTTCAATGTTTTAAATGAAACCACATTCACAGCAATCAAAGCTGAACTGGTGAAGCAATAAGATTATAGAACTCGACTCAGGCAGCCAAAACGCTGGACAAACGCACACATCCAGTGACATCCTACTTTGTTTATAAAGAAACACTGCATGCGCCTCGCGCAATGTATAGAATTTAGCATCTAAAACAACTTGCCACTTGTTAATATTCACAAACAAGTTCAGCGTCAGCGTTCACACTGAGATAAGCGTCGTGTGTTTTTTTTGGTATATGAAACTTCGTGTTCTTCTAGACTGCGAGAGGACCACACGGTGTTAACTCGTCAAAACGTTCGCCGACCAGCGCTGTGTTTAACTAGGCGAGATTTCTCACAGACTTTGCGCGTCTTTTTACACAGGATTAGCGCTACGGCAAGTTATTAAAAAGACCAGCAACGAGTTGAAGACGATCGCCTTGTCTTGTTAAACGGTAGAAGGCGAGATTTTTAACAGCATCCAAAATTGCGTGCAGTTTCACACAGTTTCATATCCCAGACGCTATGCGCGACTTTGCACACGTATTTTTTCACCAGATTATCACGCTTCGACTGTTAAAACGTTTAGTCTTAGACTCTTAACGATAGCTTCTTTAGTTCTTACAAAAGAAAGATAAACTGACATGTCGTAGGTCGCGGTCAACTTTTTAAACTTAGCTACACATCCATTACAATGGTATGTATGTTGATCCTAATGGACTTGCGAAAGAGACTGATAATATCCCTTTGATTCGGCTGCCTTTTGTCTCGAATTGGCCACTCATTTTCAGACTATATCTCTTCGTGTTTTTCGTGTTGAGGACGTACATAATCTGCCTACCAGCGCGCAGTTTTTTTGTCAAATAAACTCGATTGCCTATAGGGGAAAACTCGATGGCGTTTATACCTGTGCCATAGAGCTTCGTCGAATATACCACCAGTTATTTTAAATTTTTTGCTAGGAACAAATAAAACTTCTCAGTTTCTTTTTCAAACAAACTGACACCTTCGGTTTGACCAAACAACGCACGTTCACAAGAAAACATAGAGGTTTATACATATGTAAGTGTTTTTGGTAGTCTACTGCTGAATTCCCGTGAACTTTAACAATAATGTCTTAAGTCTTGTTTAGTTTGTAAACTATGCATGCATGATGCATCTTGGCATTGTAACACGGAAACAATCAAATGGCTGTTTGCTTTCTTTGTCAGTGGCACGTTTTATCCCCCGTAATTGTTATTCGTTTCAATGGAAAGGCATTTACAAAACAATAATTGCCGTAGCCAACTTCGCAATGATATTCAAAGCTTTTACGAGTGTGGAATTTTGACTAAATATATTCGCGTTTTGATAAAGTGAAATACGAATTATCATTCCAAGCGAGAGAGTATATAGCAACGTGTTAAGTTACATCAAACAATCCACTCAATCGAATAGGTTAAACTTCCAAATTTTGTAAACATTTAACTATTTTTGAGCAATTTTTAAAACATTTTATCTATTTATTTATGACTCTACTTTTAATGTATTGTCATTATGGAGAAGGATGTAATTATATGTCATTTTTTTTAATCTTTACTACAATATTTTTAAAGTTCACTTGGCATTCAAGAATTCGACATGATATAAAAATATCTTATGACAAAAAGATGTCACATCTTGTCATTTCCCTTGTATTATAAACCAAAAACGCCTGTCACTTGAAATTTCAATGGCCACTCGAGAAGACCTTCTCCTGTTAAATGAATGCATTAATAATAAAACAATGTAAAATCAGCCCAAGATTGACAGCATCCTTCTTAAAAAAGTTGAAAGTTTAACCTCGCTGGCGTATTGCACGTAGCAATTTCCTGGTGTAAAACAGCGCACATCAAACGCGTCACGAGGCAAAGTTTTCACCCAAGGCGAGGCGAAAATTTCGATGGCAATTTTAGCTTTCAGATATATTAAACGGTCTCGCAAACAATATTGCAGACACCCGCTCAAGGATTAATATTCATGGTTACGTATTAAAGGCGCACGGGTGTCTCTTATGGCGTTGCTGGTGTGATGTTTGCCACACGCTCTGATTGGCTCTCGCGTGGCTAATGGCAAACTTGTGGGCATCCTTATTGCAACGTCTTTCAATTCCGGACTGCGCCTTTCTCGTGGTAATTACAGAGAAGTGTGATTGGCCTAGCGCACAGCTGTCAACCAATTAAACGTTACAGCTTGTTAGACCTGGACGTTTTAATGGAATATGTTTACATAACAAAGTTGCACGCCTGTAGTTCATTTTGCGGATCAATCCAGGAGAGACTGACTCAGAGAAAGAGAGAGAGGACGAAGTGTGAGAGCGCCACAAAGAATCGCAAGTTGTCGTGAGCAAAGACCAGTTCGTTCTGTCCCGGAGGAAAGCGAGAGCCTTTGGAACACTGTGTGATAGTTGTAGTTGACAGCCTGCGCCACGATCCAAGTTTGAGAGAGTTTGAACTGTGCGCTCTAGGAGTCACTGAGAAACACAGTTTTTCAACACAGAATTTTTGTCGTCTGAGACGCGCATTCGGAGATAAAGTGTGGATATTTATCGATTGAAGTAAATTTGAGTCGCTATTGCGAATTTGAGAACTTGTCAACTAGCAACGATCCATCATATCCGTGATCATCACATATCAAATATCCCTTGGATTCTGTGAGGTTATTTGCCAATCCAGGGAATAAACACTCGGAGGACAGTCCTAAAGGAGAATTAACAGAAATCTACAAGCAGATCTAGATATGGCATATCATCCGTACTATCCTTCAGCGAGAACAGAGTTCTCCATTCCAGCAATCATTCAGCCTCTCATCCCACCAGGGGTAAATAGCAACACAGGAAACCAACAAACAGTCGCGTCGAATTCATTCAACTACCATCATCATTTATCTCCAACATCGACTAAAGCAAAGTCGTTCAGTTCAACGTTTCCAACCCCGTCCTTCCACGGTGGAGCAGCGGCCATGATGGCTTCCACTGGCTTTGAGTCTGAACCTGAGAGACCGCGGAGTCCTCCGGCTACGGTGAAACTTGAAAACGAAGATCTTTGGGAAGCGTTTCATAAACATGGAACTGAAATGGTGATCACAAAAGCAGGAAGGTAAACTGGAGTTTGAACGCCCTAGTTGAGTTTTATCCCCGTAACATTGTTGATGCGAAACGAAACGCAGGTTTTTTTCAGGTGCTAAGTTTTCCCCGCGACAGTGACACGGTAAAATTAACTATTTACACCTTAAGAACGAGAGAAAATATTGAACTGACGCTGGTATAAAGTTAGTTTAGTTTAGGTTTCCTCCTGTAGTAACACTGGATCAATAAGAGATGATCCTTACTGGACCTCTAGGAAGAACAGTTTAGAACTGATAAAGCTATTAGAGTGTAGAAAGCATTAGATTAATTGATTGAAAGAAATATCTGGCAAAAGATGCATTTCCTTCATCTAGATAAGCCGTCTCGTATAAAAATGTTCATGAAGCGGCCGCTTGCCAGAGAAACAAAAAAAATGGACAAGTGTGTCTGTCTTTTGACTAACAAAATATCTTTCTGTCTAGACGAATGTTCCCGGCGATTAAAGTGAGGATTTCTGGCCTCAATCCACGCACAAAATACATCGTTTTACTGGAGATAGTTCCCGTCGACGAATGTCGTTATAAATTTCATAATTGTCGCTGGTCAATCGCAGGCAAAGGTGACCCGGAGATGCCGAAACGCATGTATGTTCATCCAGACTCGCCCAACACAGGAGCTCAATGGATGCAAAAAGTCATCTCGTTTCATAAAATGAAGCTCACAAATAATCCCAACGACAAAGATGGATTTGTGAGTTCATATTTTGTATGATTATGTAATCTACTTGAGAATCTAGTGGTGATTAATCCAATAACCTTGATTCAAAGTTAAGGGCTATTTGTCTTTGATCATCTAGACACACTGCATCACAGAAACGTACAGTAGAATATACCTCACATACTTTACCATTATATTTGAAATATACCCGGCATGTATAATACTGTTTTCAATGTGTAAACTACATCTGGCTTATAGCACTTATTTCACGGTTAACTTGCCAAGATTCTACCATATAAAGATACCCCACAGGGGTTTTTCAGACTTGTGACGCCCGAGGCGAGAGCCTAGGCGCCCAAAGTGTTATCACCGTTGGGTGTTAACGTGTTTACATGAAAAACAACTGAATATGATGTCCTGTTTTTTTCAGACGATCCTCAACTCAATGCACAAGTACAAACCTCGCGTTCATTTGGTTAAATGTGAAGACATCTACAGACTACCTTGGAGCTCGTTTCAAACTTTCGAGTTTCCAGATACAATGTTCTTTGCTGTCACAGCTTATCAGAATGAAAAGGTAAGCCCTTCTTGGATATACTTGACAAAACTAGTTTGATGAAGTCAGCTATTTGTATTTACTGCGTATAGAGCTCTATCAAGAGCTCACAGCTCGAAATTCAGTTCAGTTTTCCTTTGAGGTGAAATGCAGGAATGGTCTTAAACTGAAAGCAATCCTTTTCCTCCATAAGCAGATAAGCTATCCGCGTTAAATGGACCAATATTTTTATCCATTCCACGTGAAGCGACTATATTTAACAGAGCTCTTCACGGGGGATGAAACTGTTTCCTCTCAGCTGCGAAATCAGCCGCTATGGTATAGGTTGAAAGTGCGAACAGAAACAAGGTGATTTCACAGCCGCCTTGCTTGTAGCAAATAACATTTCATCACCTGAGTGAGACCTTCATTGCCTTGTTTGCTGAACAGGAAAGAGATGGGTGTTGTGTGTTTATTTAGTCGAAATGCGCTGACTTTCGGCCAAGAAAGCAATTTGAAGCATCAACTTTTTTAACACTATTCAGTCAGTGACTTATCCGGCATATAATTGACCAGGTCAACTTGTAATTATATCTTCAGAACGATTTACTTAAATTGCGATCGATACTAAACCTTCGATTTTATCTATTTGCCACCAGTCACAAGTCTACAACAATGTCTTGTCACTTCAAAAGATGCATGCAGGTTGAATACGATAGTCTTCTCTACAACAGTATGGAGCCACCATTTGCGGACAATGTCTATGTTTTAGGGAAAGCTCTGTGTTTGGTGTCAGTCAGGATAAAAGTGAAAATGAACGGAAATTGAAATAAATTAACAAACTCGTTTTCCTGTCGTAAATATAGGCGCAATTATTGTATTTTATCGCGAAGAGAAACAGAACTTGAAGAAGGTTTATAGACAGCAATAAAACTGAGCTCAACGAGCATCGTTATTTCTCCTGTAGTAACGCTGGATCAATAACAGATGATGGATTTTATAAATAAGTCTCTTATTTTATAAATGAGACTCTTTAGATTAGCGCAAAAATCTAAACATTATCTCACTTATATAACTGTAATTTGATCATTTTTAATTATTTAGATCACCAAGCTAAAAATCGACAACAATCCTTTCGCGAAAGGTTTTCGTGAGAATGGCGCAGGACAGAAAAGACGAAATCAAGAGAAACGGTACTTGAATCTTTCAACTGGAACATTATTGCATCTTCAGTGGAACCACCCGTCTATTTATGCATGTTTTTAGAGAATCGCTTTTCGCTTTTCTAACAAATTTCGCGTGTTTTTGTCTAGAAAAGCGAAGATTTTGGACCCACAAGAAAAGAATTTAGATACAGATGTAGTTAAATGTGAAAATAAGATTCCTTCGGATTGTACAAGACTCTCCATGGAACAGGTCCAGGAAGGTAAGATCAAACAGAAATTCTTTTAGTAGCATCACCGTTCAACACTACGAAAACAGTTCAGAAATAGCGAGAAAGAAGCGTAATTACAAACGTGTCATGTTGTTTGGGGCAATTACTCTTCGTTTCTTTCAATCTTAACGATCCAGAATTGTTTGTTAATTGTCGTGACCAACAATAGACAAAGCTAAACAGTCAAAGACAATTAAGAAATGAACGTACTTTGTTTCATACCTGTTTAAGTAAATGTGACCCCGGCATAACACGTGTGGTTGTTACTGGCCAGCCTAGATACGAGATGTCATTAAGAGGAATTTAGACAAGAAAAAATCTTGATTGCAGATTGCCCTCTTGTAGTCTTTATTTCCTATTGAATTCTAAATTAAACTAATTTTATTCATACTGGATAGCTCTATCAGTTCTAAACTGTTCTTCCTAGAGGTCCAGTAAGGATCATCTCTTATTGATCTATTGTTACTACAGGGGGAAACCTAAACTAAACTAATTTTATTTATACTGGATAGCTTTATCAGTTCTAAACTGTTCTTCCTAGAGGCCCAGTAAGGATCATCTCTTATTGATCCATTGTTACTACAGGAGGAAACCTACTGAACTAAACTAACTTTATTTATCATCATCACATGCGATTGAAGTGGACACGTGAGCATCACATGCATCGTTTATGTTTAGGGGAAAGCACGAGCGTCGTACCAGCTTCTCATGAACAAGAAATTCCAGCAACCGCTGGCGAAACAAGTGCAGGCTTTCCCACTGAAAGTTGGACACATCATCGCAATGGTTACCACAGTAACAATCACGCATACAGGTCAGATTTTCGGTATGCTCCCTACCCTGCTCAGGCGCCAAGAAACTCGTTTATGACGAATCCAGGTTCGTTTCCACATCGGCCAACGCCGGTAATGTTCGGCCAGTCGTTCGCCCATCCTATGTACGGTACCTATACGGTACCCTCGGCATATGTACCCTCCTGCGACGTTTTTACGCCAGAGACAAACATGGAGAATAATGCCGGTGATATGTACAATATTCCTATTGGCAATAAGTTTTAAAACTATCCGCTTTGTGTAACAGGGCTTTGATTATCTCCCTTGTCATGACGTATGGATCATTATCAGTGATTATCTAATATTCTTTCCTTCAGTAACTGCACACAAAAAATGAGTTACAATTGCACTTAACAGAAATGGGTTTAAGTCAGGGAAAACAAGCACTTCATTTCCACATCTACGGTATACTAAAATTTTTAAACAAATGCAACTTATATGGAGAAATTCGGATGGTAATAATTAGTTTTTAAATCAATAAATGTATTGTAAATTTAGATTATTTAAGATTATATTTAAAGATTTATAAAAAAGAGAGTTGTTCAATGTGGTTTTATTTTGCGCAATCTTTCTTTATAATTTAACATTTACAGCGCAAAGAATAAAGATATAATATATTCATTTAGTAGAGAATGAAACAATATCATTTCACTCCAGTTGTAGTTTGAGATCTGAAACAGCGGGAAAATTTGAATTAATTATAATTAATTATGCAATCTTAGAAACATCGCAAATGGCTGTCGCAAAGTTGAGATGTTTAGTGGCAAATATTTGCTAATTCTTTAGGGGTTTTTTGGAAATAACTATCTATAAGTATTCGAATATCGTTTGGAAGAGTGTTTATGTTTTTTGGGCAATCCGAAACACCCTCGTCTGAGAGATATTCTTGAATTTCCGGTGGCAGCCTTTGAGATTGGATCATTCGTCAACGAAGCAAGGTGAGTCGAATAACCATCTCGTAAATACTAGATAACGAAAACGCAATTGTTGGTTAGTTATGGATTGTAAAATGACCAGGTTTTAGGGTTTTTAAATGTTTTTAAAGTACAAATTGTTTATATGTGACGTCACATGGCGGCCATCTTGGATAGCGCATGTGACACTGATCTCATAGACTGAATGACGCAATAAAATATTAACCAGTGCAGCTAAAATACAGCCAGTTATTTAACAACGATAGCACACTATCCCTAGTGGGTGGAGGGCAGACCTACCGTTGCTAGCTTTTCATTCCTTTTACTCTTCCCTCCGATCACAAATATTGCATTTGGTCCAACTCCAAGTCCCGAGTAAACAGCCACGTCTTTAGACGAGCCATACGCAGCGTGTATTACAACTTTCATCTAGTTATTAAGAATGTTCAGTGCGATTAAATGACCAAACAACATGCCTCGCTATCAAATTCTGATTGATAATTTGCATTATAAACTTATTGTCGTCCATGGCAAAAAAAAGCCGGATTAAAAAACGCTGTGATATGGAAAAAATATACACACTATTCATGGAAAAAACACAAGGAAAGGAAGGTTTAAGTGAAGCTTTTCACTTTATATTCTATAAAATTTTGTTTGATGTTGGAAGTCCTGGTATATTTCTTTCTACATGAACGTTGATATAACCTACATTAGTTGTGAGATTCTTGAGATATTCCGCCTTGTGTCGTTGTATGTCAACGGTCGATAGACTCCCACAGAACGAGACAAGACCAAACGGAAAGTTATGTTCAGACATCCATAACATAACCTGGTTTTTCTGGAAATCTGGTCGACTCGTGACGTAGATTATCAGATAGCCGTGTTCCTGCCAGTATCTGAAAAAACAAGAACTTGTAAGCAGTCTCTTTTAATAAATCGTTTCTACCAAAAATCTAGTCAGTTTCATACCGGACAACATCCACAGCACCAGGCTGTACTTTCGGGTGTCTTCCTCGAAGGGAAACACTGGCTGAGAATGCCCCGTCAATGCTAAACACGACGGCTTCTGTTTTTGCTGGGAGAACCGCAAGATTGCAGTCTACTGTTGTATGGTCACCTCTAGGAAAATCAACGAAAAAATCTATCACAATAAGTCTGTCAGGAGAACTATGCTTTTGCGATTAATTCTTGCATGCTCAGCACTTTGGGCCTGAGCCCTAATGGCGTCACCAAAAATGTTGCTAACCGCTGACCTGGCAACCATCTTTGCGGGGTATATTCCAACACCGAGTTTACTTTCTTCCGGGAGAGTAAATGACGCACGTCCACCACTTCCCGTGGTCACTGTATCTATTAGGGTCCATTCTCCGGCCGGGGGGAAACTCATGAGGTAAATATCAACCTAAAGAAAGATGTATTTGAGAGAGACGTCACGGGTGGCAGGTTTGAAGACAAGGAAGTTGTTAAAACAGCATCTTGACTTTGACTTTGACTCTGGACTAAGGATAAAGTTCCAAGCCTTCCAAGCCTTCCAAGATATATGAAGACCTGATACTTTTGCTTCTGATATATATTTTAGATATAGTTCATTGTATCGCAAAGGGCATTGAACGGGGTCCTCCATTTCACATTGAACCTTGCTTTCAACCAACCTTCTCTCCAGTCAACGCAGCGACATCCAATGGTCCATAGGTGAAGCGAGCTGTGACAATCTGAGCTGAGCCTTCTAATGCAATGGCATCATTTGCACGATGGTTAGGAGCCAGATTCTGTTCCAAGACGAAAAAAGATTTCTTTAAAGTTCAAACTAAATAATCATACTCTATCAGTTCTAAACTGTTCTTCCTCGGGGAGCATAAAGTTGTGCCGGAAAATGGCTGACTCGACCATGGTCGAATGTGCCGGAAAATGGCTGACTCGAATGCGCAACGAGAGTACTAGCAATTGATGTGTGATTGATATGAAAAACCTAAAAGGCTCAGGTTAAATTAATTTCTTACTTTAATTTTGTACGCTGTCCTTTTCTTCAACCATTTCTCCCGTGGGTTGGCGATATGGAAATTCGACAAACGTCTCTCTAACTGATTACTACGAGGAGACTGCACTGGGGTGCCATTGATGTCGAAAATCTGCAAGAGAATTAAGATACAAGATACTGAGATCACTATCAAAGCAGTGACATTTTAGCCTTGCTGATAGGCTCGTCTGTGTTCAGTTTTACTGCAAAAAAATCGGTCGGATTAATTTGTGTGTTAACGATGGAATCTACCTGCCGAACCATAAACGCCACAACATCCTTCGAATCCCAGTAGCTGATATGGGACAGCGGACACAGAACTGACAGCGGCAGTTGTTGCAAATTTTTTGGACTGTACAGGGAGTAGTCGATCCTTTCGCTCCCCCACCAACGTTGCACACCTTTGAACAGATACAATGTTAGTTGTGTTAATGATAACATGGTTATTACATTGGGTCTTTCATTTCTTAACCCTGACGTTTGTTTGTTGTCATATGCAGTTGTGTGATTATAATTTCACCTCAGTCACATGTGAGAAAAGTGCTTCCAGTTTGACTCTACCAAACACAGTGGTTAGTACATGTGTCTTTCATCTCTGTGACTGAGGTTTGATTCCTGTAATATGCAGTTGTCTGATTATAATTTCACCTCAGTCACATCTGAGAAGAGTGCTTCCAGTTTGACTCTACCAAACACAGTGTTTAGTACATGTGTCTTTCATCTCTGTGACTGAGGTTTGATTCCTGCAATATGCAGTTGCTTATCAGCTTCGAGAAAAGTTGTCTAGGCAAGAGGTTTTCTCAAAGAATTCCCAAGCGTTCCTGTCATCCATAAACATCAACATGTATCCCATACTAACCTTCCCTCACTGAATCAGAGACAGAGAAATCGAGAGCATCAGTCGACAATGTACTGCATGTGCTAATATTACTGCACGTTCTTGACACCTTCACCTTCTCTCCTATCTTCGGCTTCTCACGAAACAGTTCCGGTCTTCCTCCTATCATAGCCATGACGTCATTGCTTACGCCATCGCCACGCGGAAACTTCTGGTAACGAGGCACGTTCACGGACGGTATTTGAGAGAGCTGAGGCAGAATGAGTGGCTCAATGCGGGCGGACAGCGGTTCGAATGGGTGGAATAAGTTGTACACCTGGCTGCAGGCTGGCTTGGCTGGTGCACCTTGAGTAAAATTTGAAATTAAAAGTCAACCTCTTGGGCAACTCCTAATGATTCTTGTAATTGCTTTGACTGCTTTTCCTAGAGGTCCTGTAAAGATCAGCTTTTATTGATCCAGTGTTTTTTGTTTTTTAATCTATCTATATATTTGGAGGAAAGCTAAACTAAACTAACTTTACACTGGATAGCTCTAACAGTTCTAAACTGTTATTCCTAGAGGTCCAGTAAGGATCATCTCTTATTGATCCAGTGTTACTACAGGAGGAAACCTAAACTAAACTAACTTTATTTATACTGGATAACTCTAACAGTTCTAAACTGTTCTTCCTAGAGGTCCAGTAAGGATCATCTCTTATTGATCCAGTGTTACTACAGGAGGAAACCTAAACTAAACTAACTTTATTTACACTGGATAGCTCTAACAGTTCTAAACTGTTCTTCCTGGAGGTCCAGTAAGGATCATCTCTTATTGATCCAGTGTTACTACAGGAGGAAACCTAAACTAAACTAACTTTATTTACACTGGATAGCTCTAACAGTTCTAAACTGTTCTTCCTGGAGGTCCAGTAAGGATCATCTCTTATTGATCCAGTGTTACTACAGGAGGAAACCTAAACTAAACTAACTTTATTTACACTGGATAGCTCTAACAGTTCTAAACTATTCTTTGAAAACACACGGTAAAGCTCAGGAAAACTCACCTGTGCCTGTACTAGAGAATGCGGACAGCCTTTTGTGTAAAAGAACTAATCCGATTGGTGAACCAAACGCGAAGAATCTCGATACATCAAATTCAAGTTTCCTCACTTTAAATGGTACTGACACAGCGTATGTTTCGGAGTTTGAATCGAGGCCATCCTCGAGCGAGGAGCTGTTTTTGTTGCCAACGCTGTAGGCTCGTTTAGGAAAGTCCATATCTGGTGCATCGCGAAGATCCATGTCGCTGCAGCTCAGTCGTAGACTTTTGTCGTGGATGCGTAGTTTATTGTCGAAATGTCGGTCTTGCTTTGAGATAGGGCTCGCAGGATTTGAGGGGTTTGTTTCAAAACTACCAATGCTCCACTGTTCCTGGCACATCGCTTCGTAGGCAAGCAGGGCACCTACACAGTCGCCAACTATACACACCTAAAACAAAAATAGTCTGGTGTTTTAAACAGAGAGTACCACCTCTGCAAGACCTAACCATGCTTAGCTCAGCAATGAGTTTTGTACAACATCAGATTACTTTAAGATAGCTCACATTCAAGAACATGTACAACCTCTGCATGACCTAACCATGCCTAACTCAGCAGTGAGTTTTGTACAACATCAGGGGCCGGTTGTTCGAAAGGCGTTTAGCTTAAACGGTGGATAAGTTCAAAATGGAAAACCAAATTATCTATTTATTGAACAACTAAGCTGAAATATTTCGATGTAAATAGTTTAATTGTCAATGGAAGTACATATTTAATGCATACGATGCAGATTTAGTCATTCACAAAATGCATGAGAGTAATTTTAAACTTTGGCTTATCCACCGTTTAAACTAAACGCCTTTCGAACAACCGGCCCCTGATTACTTTAAAGTAGCTCACATTCAAGGACATGTACCACCTCTGCATGATCTAACCATGCTTAACCCAGCAGTGAGTTCTGTACAACATCAGATCACTTTAAGATAGCTCACATTCAAGAACATGTACCACCTCTGCATGATCTAACCATGCTTAACCCAGCAGTGAGTTCTGTACAACATCAGATCACTTTAAGATAGCTCACATTCAAGAACATGTACCACCTCTGCATGATCTAACCATGCTTAACTCAGCAGTGAGTTCTGTACAACATCAGATCACTTTAAGATAGCTCACATTCAAGAACATGTACCACCTCTGCATGATCTAACTATGCTTAACTCAGTAGTAAGCTTGGCCTTTGAACTATCTCGAAGAAACTCACCTCGCCAATAAAACCTGCTCCAGCGTCGGAATTTAAGAACTCCCGATAGACAGTATTCGCTCTGGTAATTGTGGCATCAATCATCTCTGAATAGCCACTAGAACATGCGGCCAGAATAGACAGTGACGATACAGGAAAGTTGAATGAAGGTTGACACTGATCTGAAATGAGAATAAAACTGTCCATATGTAGCCAATAATGTGAGAGCTTAGGTTAACATCCCGGCCAATCAGAGATGACTACATGAAAAATAGGTTTCCTCCCAGCCAATCAGAAAGAACTATATGAAAAATAAGTTCCCTCTCAGCCAATCAGAAGACAGTCATCTCATGTATTTACCTCCTTCACGTTCGTCTGTCATTTGAGGGATGATATCCTTTAGAGCTGGCAAAACGTCTTTATATACATGGGGACACTCAACTAATCGGAACGCAATTCGTCCCAGGCCCTCCTTATAATGATTTTGCATCACATTTTGAAACTCTCGCTTCAGTCTCTCGCAGTCATTCTCCTTTGACTTGATGTCAGATGTCGGCTCAAGTGGGTTCCCCCCGTGAACAATCAACATGAGGATAGTCGTGCGACATGTTGACGATGACGAAGTTGAACTTCCGCTAACTGTTTTATGCACTGGAGGCTTCTTAAAACGACTTTCTCTTGTATCTTGGGGCTGTTAACAATGAAATTGAGTTAGATGGTTAATCAGAAACTGGTGCTTTCAAAAGTTTTCACCACCGCAAGTGGAAGTGTCAAGTGTGGAACTAAATGAGTTTCCTACAACCATCCAGTTAGTACTTACGTTGTCTGAGTCCAGAGACTCCATGCTTCCACCTGAGTGAGAAATTCGATCAAGATCCTTGGAGACACTTAGGAGTCTTACATTATTTTCCTCACCTGATGAATCGCTGTTGAAAGTATCTAATGAAATAAAAGAGTAGTTTTAGAACATTGTTGGGACCTTTCTGGAAACGTTTCAAAGCTGAGCTGACTAGTTTTCTAAACTTTTCTTGGGCTTCAGTTACTTAGAGTTGTGGTTAGCTGCCAGTTTCCTGAGCTAATATGCTCCCAGAGGTACTCTGGTCTTCCTCGTTCAGTAACGAGTTCTTAGCACACCAAAGCTGTGTTTCTCGAAACAGCTTTCAACACAAAACCTTGGCTCATCTGTTTTCATCAGCCAAGAACGATAAACAACTCTAGTTTTCCTCCAAAGACGAACTCTCACCTTCAGCATCAAAGAACTCGTCATCGGTGTCGCTGCTGTTGAAACTTCCAATCCTCCATCTGATCTCCGAGTGTATCACATCATCGTGATCAGCAGCGTGCACGTCCACGGATTCCTGCGACAACAGCTCGATCGTCGACCCTCGTTGCCTCATCGGCGGTTGACGTTTCAACGTATCATTACCATCATCGTCATCTTGTGTTATGATATTACCAACGTTCGGATCCGAAGCATTTCCCATTTTGTTGGCCAACATTCGCTGCGTCTCTTTCTCCAACTCTCGGATATCAGCGATGGTCAGACCAACCCATTCGTCTTGCCAAACCCACGCCTGGCGATGACCCATCAGCATCGGCTTCCGCAAACCATCGTGAATGAACTGCTCAATCTTACCCTACAACGAAATATAACTGCAGCATCACTCCTGTGAACAAGCGGTGGCCTGGAGAGAGATTAGGGAGCTTTAGCAGTGACTACGAGTACGACTACGAGAACACGACTCGTCATTCTCGCGCGTTGTTTGCTTACGCCATCAGCCAAAACTCGTAGTCGTTGGGCTTTCGAGTACGAGTTTTTTTGGCAAATTTCGTACTCGAAAGCCCAGCGACTACGAGTTTTGGCTGATGGCGTAAGCAAACAACGCGCGAGAATGACGAATCTCGTACTCGTAGTCGTACTCGTAGTCACTGCTAAAGCTCCCTACTAACAAAGACACCAGGATTCGTTGTGATAGATCACTACCTGCATCCCCCAGTAACGGAATTCCACTGTGATCTTTTTATAAGCGCACATGATCGATTTGTGCGATTGATTCAGCCAATCGGCTGCGAGCGGGCCTCTACCGGTCTTCTTAGAAACGTACAACAGCGGATCTTCTTCTTCGGAATATTGACTGCTTGGAATGGGGTCTTTTACCGGATCTATTAGATCTGGAAAGAATGGGTTGTCTTAGTGAAAATAACACATGCGGCTGAATTGGACTTAAGTGTTTCAATCGGTGGTAGATCCTTACCAACTGTTTGATTGCTGAGCTGTGCAGCAGACAAATTGAAAACATTTTCCTTGGAAATGAAAGGAAATTTTCAGCATAGTGTAATAATGTATGATCACACGGCTAGCACGTGAACCAACTAGCCTGACAGTCAATGGGGAGAGGCAAAGCAATGGTACCCTACCGTGGAACCACCATCAGGAAGATACTTGGTTTCAACATCGACGTAAAACTTTTCGACAAAAGGACAGGTTGTTTTCATCTTGGTATAGGGATAAGCGTTCCAGGCTTCTTCAATAACCTGCAGAGCAGACTTCGGTACGATTGCTTTCAACCATCCTGGGATATGGTTACCAATATGGTAGATTTTCTTGGTGTACTGGCCATCGCCGCCCGGGCCGTTTGAGTACGGTCGGTTCTCAATGATTTCAACCCCACTGCCTTCACCAGTACTTTCAAGACGACTCTTTTTCTGCAATTATTTAAATCCAGCCTTTAGAAGAACAGGCACAAGACTAGCCCTAGAGAGAGCTGAAGAATTTTACGTGACAAAATATATACGATATATGTCTTTGTTATATGAAGGATGTGATGCGTGACGGATGTTGCCATCAAATGTGTACAAATGTTCTTTCCGGCTTATTAAAGGATTTCCGTGTATGAAGGTTTCCTAGTCTTTTTTAGTCTTATATTTGCTTGCATAACATGGCATTTGTAGTGATGTTTCCATGTTCAGCAAATCCTAAATACACGAATTTAATCAGAGGTTAGGTTTGGATTAGGATTAGAATAATCTAAGACCTAATCTAATCTCAAGGAGTATATGTATTTAGGAGTATATATGTATTTAGGATTTACTGATTATTACAGAATATCAAGATTCGTGCAGGGATAGAATTGCGACTCTATAGTATCTGTGGACAGATCAGCGTACTTTAAAATCTCTAATGTAAAACAAATGGTCTTTGATGGATGAATGGAGCTGTCAAACTTTCACAAAAGATAATGGCTGATCTAAATTTCAAATATTTTCTCTTTTATGTCCAGTTGGCTTATGTCCTCGATTGTACAGCTAAATATTCGCTTTTATTGCTCTTTGCAAGAAAAGCCAAGCAAAACACGGTAGCCATTGTAAAAACGGAGAGAATCTAGGAAGATGTTTGTGATCTAAAATTTGCATTTGCTTTTTGAATACATGAGAACACAGCTGCAAATTATAGCTTATATTGTGCGCTTGTGTTTATACCTTATGCCTCGCGTGAAGACAATGATGTCACTAAGACTGCAGAGTGCATACTATACACAGTAAGCGGTACTGTATTACCCTGGGCGCGTCTAAACATGATTCGGAAGCTTCTTCCTTTAGCGGAAATATTAATTTTTTAGGGTTTTCTTTTCGGCAATTTATAGACCAGAGCATTTTTTTGTGGGATTCGTTTCAATTAGAAGTGCTTGAATTAATATGTTTTCCATCTTCATTTGTAATGATAATTCAGCGACTGACAGTGCATTTGAAAATTTTAATATCGACGAGAATGAGCTTATGTTACGGTTATGTAACCCGCAAATGCTGGCTTCTAAATGGTTTAAAGTTGCAAATAACTTTCGCAATGTTTCAAACATTGGCGCGCTTTGGCGCGAATGTAAACCATAACAGAGTTTTAATTGTATTTGTTACATTTTCTCTTTAAATTATCACCGTACGTTGTTCGCAATGCATTAATGCTGTTTGTCTTTCAACAATTTAAACAGTCTTAAGAATTCTTTCACGCTCGCTGCTTTATGTGTGATAAATCTTAGGGGCTGAAGACACGCCAGGTCGATATCATTAAGATATCTTTAAATCCTTGTTGTTTGCTGTGTCCTGCGGTATCCTAACGTTTCCGAATTGAACGCTTATTAACGAATTGACCACATTTGCTCTTAATCTTAAAGTGTTGAAAGCTCTTCTGTGCTACATGCAACAAGAGATACACAGCGCTGTATTACTGTACAACTGCCAACAAAACTATAATCACCACAAGATGATTTCATTGATATATCTGTGAAAGATATTTAGTAAAACCCAGTGTAATATTAACAATTGAATAATTTTGCGTTGACTTGCTAAAGATCAAACGCATGTACAAAATTAAATCCCCAGGGAAGCGCTACACACAGGTTAATATTTAAAGGGAATATAGTATTAATCCGTGAGACAATGCTCGACCATGTAATATCAGTGAATACAGACCAGAAATACTACCTACTTGTATCATATACAGTTGAGCAATTCTATATTCCTCCACGCTCATAGGCAGCGGAATACGATATTCCTTTATAAGCATATTTACAACGACTTCAAACACAACACAACCTGATACATAACATTTTGAAGCCTCCCGGATTTATATGTCTTCGACACATGGTAGGCCCAACGAGCGAGGTTCCCTTCGGAGCTTCTCAACTCCTGCGCTAATTGAGCAACTTTCCATAAAGTGAATGTTTTTTGCACTCAACGTAGCGATAATGGCGAAGTTAAAAGTGTACTCGACGCAAAGTTTTAGTATATCACCAGCCGGCTGGCTTCTCGGCTTGTTTTCACCGGAAATGAAGAGCAGAATTTAATAGGAAACAGGATGTGACGTATGCTTTTCAACGTTCAGGTTGTGAGCCTTGTGAGGGATGCTATGAATGTCAAAACGTACTGTAATTTAGGTTAGAGCTAGTTATGCCATTTTCCCATCTTTTGATTCAAGCAAATGCATCTTGTATTTCATTTTCCACCCAAAAAGTGAAAGTCGCCAATATCGATTTACTAATCTTGATCTTGATTAATTAATTCCATCAAGCTGGTCCAAGAACTACGCAGACTTTGATAATGTGAATATCGATGAATATTCAATTTCATTATCAAAATATCAGACTGATGTCATCAATTTCATCTCGCACGGAAAATATTTCAACCGTTTACTGACTTACGTCAATATCGATTGATTAACTGATTGCTATCATTGATTGCTGGTATTGATCCGTCTCTCATGCAAACGCATCTCGAAAATTTTATTTTTTTACCCTTTCCGTAAACCGTGCAAACGTGCACGCCACTGGATAACCTTTGGTACGCAAAGACCCCTTATTGTGTTGAAAGAATGAAAGTTTGACATTTGAGTGTCTGGCCACTCAAGAGTCAAGATTAACCCACGCGGAATTGACGTAAATATTTTGATAATTGGGTTTGACTTACGCCAATTTTGCTTCAAAATATACTTCATCTTGAATAAATTTTCCAACGTTTTTGCCTTCAGTTTGAAATTTTGATGAAAGGTTCATTCCTGAGTAGTGAGAGTAATGTGTACATTGTACAAGGTGAGAGTTCTTATAAAAAAAAAGGGTTGGGACAAAACCTGTCATCTATTTACCATATTTTAAATAGTTCTACTGCATATCTCGTAATGTACAGGGGGGGAAGTTACACCGCTAAGCTAAAGGGATTGCCTCCTTCTAAACCTCGAATCGACGCGACGCCCTACGAGAAAACCGCCCGGGTAATATGACCGCACAAGAAGGGCGGGTTACCAAGTTTCAAAACAATGATGACGTAAGACACCAAAACAATCAGGAAAAAATTTCAAGATGATAGACGAAGATGGGTGCAATTATCCATGAAAAAGACTCATTTGAAGGGCATCCTTTTACTAGAAATGACCCTTCGGTAGTTTATCTTACATTTGGCTATATTTTAACATGTCTAACGAGCAAACCCGTCGTAATACACGCGGCTTATCTGGCGTAACAGTTCGGCCTCAACCTGTGAGGTAAGGGTAAAACGTTCATCCGTCATCAAACAATGCTCTTCAAACCTGTTTATCGAGCAATCAGTAAGAAAACGGGATGTAATTTAGAGTTTCCAAGAACCTGCAAAGTGTCCTAATTTAAGATTTTCACTTCATTTTCAGTGATAAATCGTATGTCGAAAGTGTCGTCGATTTTCTTCATGAAGTTGTACCACAGGTGTGAATATTTTGATGCTTTTTGAGGTCACGGCAATCAGAGTATTTACATTGTACAAGAAAACCTAATCACCGAATAGTTTTATTCTATAATTCATTTTTCTGTTCAAAATCTGTCTAGATTTCTATTTTCGTCCATACGCTTGCTGCACAATATATAAATATACTCTCCAATGAACATAACAAAAGACATGATTTTTGACCAAGAGATTTTTGCCACTCCTTTAATGCACAAACCATTTAATTCATGTAGTAACAACCACCCTCTGGGAACAGCTGGGATTGGCATTTATTTCTACTTTCACTATACTATTATATAAGATTGAGATAATATATAATCTTCTTTCATTCATTTGAATTGCCCTTAGGCAGTTGCTGGTAACCATAGAACTGAAGAATATGACCATATCATTTGGGTCAAATTGGAAAAACTTGATATAGGTATATTTCATGACTTTTCCATTCAATATGATAAATAAATCTAACCTGTATTACCAGGGGGTACACTCCCATTGACAAGTAAAGTTGTTTTGTCACACTCTGTTGATTTCGAGCTAATGTTTCAACATGTATGAGAATTACAGCATATCATAGCAAAACAATTTCACTGTTAGTGAGCATATTTGGTTTGATTATTTTTGTATCCAAAATTCAGCTACATTCAACCTTGCCATATTAGGTTGAACTATAGCTGAGATTGTCAAGTATGTAATATATATTTGAAGAAATCAGCTGATACCTTGAAGTTCATTTCAGATATTGGATCAAGGCAAAATGAATGCAATAGTTTACTTTTTGTCATTCTTGGCTATAGTAATGGTTATCAAATTTGGCATGTCAAGGTTAGATGCACATTGTCATTTCTTCTGCAAGCTAGGTCTTGTTCTGTTACCCTGTACTCTTGTTGATCATCAAAATGCTTCTTTACTATTCATTGTAGTCTAATGGTGAGGCAGAAGAGGTAGTGTCAATACGTCAGGGGCCGGTAAAAGTTGCAAGAATTTTGCAAACACCTTCGCATAGTATGTCAAACAGAAATTGTATGTTCATCTTAATGCATTCTCTCTCAATGCATCAACTCAGTACATTACATAATTTGGAACATTTGAACCAATTTAGATGACATAGAGAGTGCAATCTTTCATAATAAGCGACCTCTGGTGGCTGTCTGTGATGCAGCCAGGTACAAATTGAGTTTAAAGATGACAGACATGGCAACTGTACAAATTTTACAACCATATTTCTTCGTTTCATTTTGAACACAGCAGTCCTTGTCCTTATTCAACTGTAAAAATGTGGTCTTTGGCAACAGGAGAGGAAGTGAAGACAATTGATTTTAAAACTGAAGTTTATGACATCCAATCTAACAAACGGTGTGTATAAATTTGCATGTTGTTTTCTCACAAGATCGATATTGTTTATGGCCAGGGTGTTTTGTGCCACATGTAGGGTTGTTGTTGTTTGTTTGCAAGAAAAGATAGCTGTCTTAGATGCATCTACATTAACAAAGAAGTTTGGTGTTACAAGTGAGTTCATTGCAACTGAATGAATATTAATTATGATGCGCATCCTGAATAAAATCAACCTGTTGCTTTCAGATTGTTTTCCAGCTTCTGAACCAAATGTTAATCCTGTATCTCTTAGCTCGCGCTGGCTAGCGTTCGCTGATCGCAAGGTAAGATTGCACCAGATTTGAACATTACAGCCAAGTGGATAAATACATTATCATTCTAGTAGTTCAAGGCTTCAAGCACAAATTTCATTGCTTATCCTAGCTGTGACTGTTTTGAGATCATTTTTTCTAATTACAAGATCATTCATTTGCACCAACAAATAAACAATTCATTTATCATTTCTGAGAATCTTGGATTAAATATCGTCCATATTTAGCTGTTACCCATCCACCAATCAAGAGGAGGTGTTTCATCTGATAAACAACATTCGTATACATCTGCCGTTTTCAATGCAGCGAAGGTGAGTTGGGACAAAATTTTGTACTCTAATTTGCACTGTTTGGCAAAATGCTACAGTACAACTCCTAGGTCCTGAGAAACATTCCATATCTGGCTGTATCTGACCCTAATACTGATCATCATGTGTATATAGGTATGTAATATTCGTATTTTATTTCTATTTTTAACAGACGCTTTCAAAAGGATTATCAATGGTTGGTAAGTAAAATTCGTTCATCCAGTGCTATATTTTGTGTTGTGTTTTTTTTCTTTGAACATGACCCTAATGGTAAAATATTTTCCTAGGAGAGACAGTTGGTCGTTGGGCGGGCTCAAACGTGTCTGACAACCAGGGTGAACAGCAACCATTGAATAACGTAAGTCCGGAATTAAGTTCCGCCATAATAAGAGCTGGTTATAAATTTAACAAATGTAAAACATCATTGATATAGACCGCACATAAATCCATTGTACCTGGCATTGTAACAATCATTGATATCGAAGGTCATGACGAGAACGAGGTAGCTACGTTTTATTAAAGTTGTATAAAACTACAGTATTTGAACGAGCCACTGGGACTAACAAAGATCGCAAACTCAGTGTTTTGTTGTATTCAATTTAGAAGGAAGATCAGCTGAGAGAAAGAGCTATGGCACATTTTCCTGCCCACACGGGACAGCCTATCGCTTCGCTGGCGTTTGATCCGAGGTAAGCATTCTTTAGTCTTTACGTTGATCTATGCTACATGTATTATGTATTATCAGAGAGTTCAAGGTCCTATCAATTTCATATCAATTAACACGACATTTTTTAACTTCCTCACGCTGTAGCGGATCTCTGCTATTCTCCGCGGATACATTTGGTCAGAATTTCCACATCTTTCGCATCCTACCTCACCCCATGTGTCCGTCGCTTGGTTCAGTTCATCATTTGTACATTCTTCATCGTGGTGAAACCATGGCTACGGTATGGGTTATACATTTAAATATGATAGAGCTATCCAGTATAAAGTTAGTTTAGTTTAGGTTTCCTCCTGTAGTAACACTGGATGAATAAAAGATGATCCCTACTGGACCTCTAGGAAGAACAGTTTAGAACTGATAGAGCTATCCAGTATAAATAAAGTTAGTTTAGTTAAGGTTTCCTCCTGTAGTAACACTGGATCAATAAAAGATGATCCCTACTGGACCTCTAGGAAGAACAGTTTAGAACTGATAGAGCTATCCAGTATAAATAAAGTTAGTTTAGTTTAGGTTTCTTCCTGTAGTAACACTGGATCAATAAGAGATGATTCTTACTGGACCTCTAGGAAGAACAGTTTAGAACTGATAGAGCTATCCAGTATAAATAAAGTTAGTTTAGTTTAGGTCTCCTCCTGTAGTAACACTGGATCAATAAGAGATGATCTTTACTGGACCTCTAGGAAGAACAGTTTAGAACTGATAGAGCTATCCAGTATAAATAAAGTTAGTTTAGTTTAGGTCTCCTCCTGTAGTAACACTGGATCAATAAGAGATGATCTTTACTGGACCTCTAGGAAGAACAGTTTAGAACTGATAGAGCTATCCAGTAATTATGTGGCTCAGGTTTTTTTCATATGAGCGCATTCAGGAAGAGGTAACCTAGATTTCATTACTTTAGGTATGCAACGTGTCATTCAGTAACGATGCTCGCTGGGTTGCTGTGACAACGCAAAGAGGAACATCTCATGTCTTTCCAATCACGTCTTACGGAGGTAAGATCAGCTTATGGTGAGTACACCGTAGTGAGAGACCTTTATGCTTACCCAAACTCTATCATATCCCAAAGGTGCGGTAAGCTTACGTACACATAATTCAAGCCGCGTCGTCAACCGTAGCAGTCGATTTCATACAAGTGCTGGCCTGGAAGATCTCAAACGTATCGCGTGTGGCAATCCGACGGTCCTCATTCAACCAGGCTCACCAAGTAATAGTCCTACAGGACCATTAACCACTGCTAAAGACTGTCTTTTGGTTGGGAAGAATGGTCTGGTGAACCCTCGTATGCCTCCATTGCCTCACCCCGATGTTCTAATACCTTACATTCAAGTCAAACTGGGTGCTTCTTCACGGTGAGTTTGCAGGCTTTAGAGCATAAAAATCCCGTTTCACTAATGAAAGCAGTCTTCGCTATGTGAAATTATAATCAGACAACTGCATATTACAGGAATCAAACCTCAGTCACAGAGATGAAAGACACATGTACTAACCACTGTGTTTAGTAGAGTCAAACTGGAAGCACTCTTCTCACATGTGTATATAAATATATTTTCAGAGGAAACACAGCAGGTAATAGTGCTTGCAATTCACCTACTAGCATCGGCCGAGCGAATGGCTTCTTCTCAACAGAACCTCTGGGTGGAGCTACGATGTTCGCTTCATCCAGAGCCTGGATTGCGGGGAACACAAATCCGCCCAGCACCAGAATAGGTGAGTGTATCTAAGACTACGTCCATTCGTCCAGTTTAGGCGTTCACATGATAAAAAAATAATAAAAATTTGACCTATTCGTCCGTGTTTCCACGAAGAAACCGGACGAATTTCAGCACGGTCCGAAAAACGTCCAGTCCCGTGCACTCGTGAACGTAGTCTAAGACATTGTTCACACTCCAGTCAATCATCTCCGTATAAAGTTCTAACGTGAAGTGCTGTTTCCCGCGCACAGATACCTCCCGTCAGTCAGCGGTACATCCTCTTTTTGTCGTCAGTAACTACGGAAATCTGGTAGAATTTAATATTGAAATACAGCCGTTGAAAAACAGTCCACAAAGTGAGGATATGCCATTTCAAGCTTTGGCCGAAGGAAAAGGAAGATGGCTCTTTTGCAGGTCGGTAGACTAGTGCATCTTTTTTTAACTTGATCAATGGGGGGGGGGTTCGATAGCCCACCGCCTGTATTCTGAGATCTCATTCACCCTCATTGAGTGGGGGACCTCAATTGACACATCTTTGCTCTTCCTGACTGGGTCTCTACTTGTCTGACTTCGGGTTTGATTTTGCATGTTCATACCATCAATCTTGCCATCGTCAGCAAGACGAACTCTCTCAATGCTCAGCAGAAATGAAATCTCCGTGTGCCAAGTGAACTGCTAGAATACTGTACAAACGTAAATGTTTCTTCCCACCCAGACATGCGACAATGCCAGAGAGTAAAGGTCTGCTTTCCCAGGATGAGATTTCTTGCAAAAACATGTCACAAATGAACAAGCCAAAGGGAGTATCTGACGGTTCGTACATTAAATATGATATTATATATTTGCTGCAAATTTATATTATTGCTGTGATATATTATTTAATGTTATCTTAAAGTATTTCGTTCATTTGCCTTGTATATTTAAGGTTAGTTCATATATAATATCTTTACCTATTTTTTTGTTTCACTGTGAATATGTGTTTCGCAGAATAAATTTGATCAGCGGAATATTTTTATCTGAAAGTATTCTGTTCGTATTTTTGGAACAGGCAGTCTAAAAGAAAAGAATGTCGAAAGCTCTCGCAGCAGTGAGAACCGTGCAGATGATAACTGGCTTGCAAACATCGAGATTGAGACGCACGCACCTCCCCACAGGCGCCTTTGGATGGGCCCGCAATTTGCCTTCAAGACCTTCCAGCCCCCGGGCACCTCCTTAACAAGCGGCAGCCCGCCTGAATCAGGCAGTGCCACCATCAAAGCTCACAGACAAGATGAAGACACTCTTGACTTATTGACTGAGGAACTGGACCTTCAATCCCTGAGGATTCAACCGGTCCGTTCTGACCCCCTACCAACACCCAAATCCCGATACGTTCTCGCCAGTAGTCGGGTCCCCTACGGAGAGAATACGATGATCGTCGATAATGGACCCGAGAGCTTGACGGACATTTACGCGTCATGGCCGGAAGACGTAGGAGAACTATCGCCAGAGAATGGGAAGCTGATTGAAAGTATTGCGGATGCTATGAACGACACACCCCAAAGATCATCCGAGTCTGATAACGATGACGTATCTATATTCCCAACAAACTCGCCCCAGGTTAGTCCAGTGAACTCGTCTTCCAGCTTGTCACCAGAGTGGAGCTGACTGGGTAGTCTTAGTGGGGGGAATGGGATTTTGCATGTCATATATTACAGTAATACAATAGCCTCGTTTCCATTTGTTACATATCATCTTCATGGTAGATTATCATTGTCCTAGGGCTTGTTTTTACCGTGAAAAAATCAGCTAATAGTTTGTCTTTAACATCACTTTAACATCCACAAGCTACACTGGCATATTTTAAAAATATGCATTTACACTTGTCTTTCACAACTGTCACCTTTTGTGTTCATAATTTTAGCTTGAATTCAAGCATGCCTTGTTTATCACTAATCCAGAGTTTTTATAAGGCTAATGTAACCAAAATGCACGTCTGTAGTGAATATATTAGAGTTTTGTGTACAATGAATGTAAAAATATGAAAATGTTTATAAAAATCTGTATATGTATGTATATAAAATTTGTATTTAAAAAATCAGAAAAATATTGTTTGGGTTATTTTAATTTAGGGGAAGTACAATGTGATTTTATTTATGTTCATAGTCAAATAAAAGCATATTTCTTATACTGTTCTGTTTGTTTTAAGGTGGCTTTACATGCTTTCTAACTGTATAGTTAATTTTGTTAAGGTGACTCTCTTCAGTTTTTGAGAAACTATTAAGGTGGCTCCCAATTGCTGTCAATGCATATTTTATTTAAAGTGGCTTCTGGTAGTTTTTTAATAGCTTTCCAAGAACTAATTACTCCCATAAAAATTACTAATACAAATTTCTGTATATTTAAATAATCATATTTTTTATTAATGTGCCATCACTTAATTAAACCCTAGTTGCAGTGCACTTTCCAATCTCATTGGCATACACACACTACCTAGTTTTCCATAACTGTTCATTTAGGAGCCTGTTGAAATCTCCAATTCACTGAATAGTTTATAATCAACAGTTTTGTTATATTCATATAATTTCTTAAGGCCTATTGTTGCATGAGTGTAGATGGATGTCACAACATCATCATGAATTATTCTGTTCTTTCGATGCTTCGAACGGTGTAGAATTTCATTCAATGAAACCGGAGGAAGGCAGTTAACATGTATTTTATATCCAGTTTCTTTCAGTCGTTCCATGTATTCAATCAATTCTTCCACCTTTACACAGGTTCCCTCTGCAACAAAACTTATGTTCTGCATCAGGATCCAATCTGTTAAACTTATTGCAATCTTTCTAGCAAGTGGATAATAGATTTCGACCTTGTCTGCAGTGAATGCATCAATCGTCCCCATTATTGCATCTGTGTCTACATATGCATAACTTTTGTACTTGAGGTGATATTTAAAACAATTTTCAATAATCGTTGATTTTCCGGCACCCATTGGTCCCAGGACAAATATAGCATCTCCCCTTTCCTTCACATTGTTAAGTTTACGTTTCCATTCCCTTTCAACGCGATCCAAAACGACCTGGTTAACACAAGCCACCGTACTGGAATGAATGCCTTTTACAACAACTGTTACGCAAGGCAAGAAATATCTACACTCGAACCATGTGCGTTTTGTTGGATAAAAAGTATTAAATATCTCTGCTACACATAATTTCCGTGATAGATTCATACGTTGAACTCTTGCTTCAGTCGTGGGGCTTGTTATTCCTTGGTTTTTCGCACAAAAAAGACATCTGTTTCATGGTTATAAAACAAACACGAGCATTATTTTATTAAAACATCCTCCATGCTCTTGCCACAGAGCTCTTGCGGGTTACTTTCGTATAATTCTCGCTCCAGAGAGCAACTTACGGTCAGTGGTCAGCCACATTTGCTCACGACAAGTTACGAACTCACTCCGAACACTCTCCGGACAAAGAAAGCACCACTTTTGAATGAAGTTCACGTCTGTTCCTTTAGAAGTTTTTCGTTTTTGTCCACGATTTTCACAGTTTCCACGATGAACAGAAGCGGAGTATCGCGGTTAGAAACGCGAAGCACGAGGGCAAATAAAGAAGAACTCGTCAAACGTGTCATGATGACAGTTGAACGCGTTAGAAAATGGTAATCAAAATGTTTATCAAAAACACATGTCATTTTCATTTGTGATTTATGACATGCAAATGTTTCTCCCCATTATTTGTTTGGATTGTGAAATATTCTGTTGTGTTTTGAAATAGTGGATCATTCTAACTGCTATAGTACAGTGTGCATTGACAAACTTACTGTACAAATAAATTAGATTGCTGAATAATTTTCTACCTGCCAGAGCTTGCTCTTTCAAGCAAGATCTTGCCAAACAGCTAGCCTGCTTCTTCATTATGGACACATGATAATTTTTATTTGAAATTGTATTAGTTACTAAGCAAGCTGTTTCACTAAGCTCAGTTTCCAGACCTCTTAATCACAACATGAAGAGCCATTGAAGTTTCTTTCTTAAAAATATACTTACCTAATGCATTTTAATTCAGGGAGAAAAAATGGGTTAATTCTGATGCAGAGGGATGCACATTGAAAATCTATAAATGGGTGCCAGGTAACAAAGTACAGCATATCACGGATATGTTTTGTGGGATGATTAAGTATGGCTGCAAGAAATATTAAATTGTCTGTCTGTGTATGAAAATTCTTCTCAATACAAAATGTATATGTGAAGAGCTAGTATTTTAATGGTAGATTCACTACCTTAATATACCACCATGTCTGTGTAATTTTGAGGTGATTATTTCTTATGCTTTTCATTTAGTATCAGATGATGATTTAAAAAAGGTTGGTTTTTTAAGATATTATGTGTCTTCTGATATTACTTGTGATTTCAGCTTGTATACTCAATATTCTGATGGGATAAAACCTCTCCTGTGACCAATCTATTCTAGGTGAAAACAATTCAAAATAATTTACCACCTGGGATTACAGACAGTATGTCTGATACAAGCAGTCCCCTACCAGCAGATGACAGTAGTCTGCCAGGAAAGGACAGTGAACAAGCGCAGCAAAATGAATTAAAAAACAGTTCAGAAAATGCCAAGGGCACTGGTCTGAATGCCAGGCAAATAGGCAAAATATTACAAGATGAAGGAGAGGATAGTAACCATGCACCCTCAGTTGCCAGGTAATTCTCAGTTGTTTAAAAGTTTTATGCTAATATAATCAATCACTGCCATATGCTTGGGACATAAGTGTGTGAAAATATATTATACATTCATATTTTGCATGTAACAAAATAGAATAGCATTGTCACGTGTGTGACCAGAGAATCACTGTTTGTGAAAAACACTCATTTTCCCTACATTTAAACAGTTCAAATTCAAACAGTTTTCTTCACAGTAGCTATCCCTAATGAAACCTTCGTACCTTTGCTTGATTTGTTCCAGTGAAGACAGCACATCAATCATGTTTCACCTTGGTATTAATGTTGTTGGTGAAAATGAGGATAGTCGCCAAAGTTTTCAAAGTATCACTGATAGCGAATCCTCAGAAACTAATGCAAGAAAGAGTCCAGCATCAGAACCATCGCATATTGTGATAAATGATACATCAGGATTGTTTAGCATAACTGCCCCCTCTGGAGATGCAAACACCAGCAATAAGGTACATTTAAATCTTCTGTTTGTTCCTAAATTTTCCTTGCTAACATGCTAGCAATTAATTGCTATTATTTGGATGTCTTAGAGTGACGAACCACCAGCAAAGAAAGCAAAAGAATCAACCTCTTAACATGTGTCCATTTTCTCAGAATTGGACTCATTTTTTCCAAGAAAGAGAAACAAAAGATGTCTAAAGAATATCACGTTTGAAAACTCAGGATTTCATCATGTATTGTAAAATGACTCGTTCAAAGCAGAGAGCGCATACAAAGAGCAAACTGTTTGGAATATATATTTGCGATTTTAGATTGTATATAGTGTATATGGTCACCTGGAAAGTAATTAGCATACGAAGCGTATTAAATATTCATGACGTAAGAATATATTATGTAAAGTTAATGACGTCATATGAATAGGCAGAAAATACAATATGGCGACTCGAGGAGAAGAGTCAACGAATCCTTTTGGCGACAATCTCGATGATTTTGAATTTGATACAGCACTCAGTCGGCTTGAACAAACGCAGAACAGAATCCTAGGAAGTACTTCTCGCTCTCTGGGGCTTATCGAAGAGTCTCATCACATAGCAATCAAAACAGCCGAAGAATTAGACCGACAGGAAGAGGCATTGTATCGTACAGAACGAAACTTAGATGATATGTCTCGCAACATGACAGCAGCTAACAGGCATATCAAGTCGGTAAAGAGCGTCTGGGGCGCTATTGGGAACTACTTTAGTAAACCAAAAGAAGACACGAGTGTTAAAAGTGAGCCGATGAAGACAGAGGTACCTCAACGAAATTTAAATATCGATGCTGATTTGAAAATAGATTACGGTGAACGAGACTATCTTAGTGAATATGGTGGTGGCAACAGAGGGAGAGGAACAGCTGCTTTTGAGAGGCAATATGATAATCATTTAGGTGAAATTTCGCGTGGGCTAAGCATCTTGAAAGACGATGCGTTAGTTTTGGGGCAGACTATTGATCGACATGATGACATTATCACAAGAGTTCAAGGAAAGGTTGAAAAAGTTGATGACGAAGTTGGCCTTGCTGACAGGAAAATAAAGAAGATTTTAAGAAGTTGATTTCCTTCAAGAAAGTTTAACGATTTATGGGTCAGTTTTACGAGGTTCAGATATGACTTTCACTGCTGCATTATAAATAGTACTATAAGGAAACATAAACCAATAAAATGCTATATTATTAGATCGTGTAATTCGTGTTTGTAAATACAGATTCTTTACATTGGTGAAAATTACATAATATTATGTCATTATTTAACTTGACGTTCTATAATTTTTGTAGGTTGCTGACAATATCCAGGACTTTGCTTTAAGGCAATATTTTTTGGACAATATTTGTTGGACTTCGCTTTAAGTCCCGTTTACACTTTTGCTGCAATTTTCTGTGTGATTTTCTTCTTTTGATAGATGTGAACGAGTGATTAGTTGCGAATGCTCTCATGTATAAGAACTCTTATTTGAACATAAATCATGACGTAATTAACTGATTCACTCGTTCACATCTATCAAAAGAAGAAAATAGCACGTAAAATTGGAGCAAAAATTAGACTAATCAGCAAGTTTGTTTTCATTTTCAGTAACCAATAGGAATGCATAAATTTTTACCGCTTTCAGTCAGTCGATCCTATGAAAATTTTGTATGAATATTTGACAGATTTTTGTCATTACAACTCCGATTTCATTGACGTTTTGGCTAAACTGAACTGAGCTCGCGATCAATGATAATCAGAGATACCATTCAGGCTAAATATATCTTATTCTATCGAAAACAATGATCTTTTTTAAACTCATTCAATTCAGCAGACAGTGGTTCAAAGTCATGTGTCGTATGTGCGCAATAATTTAACTATCGATTTGATTTCTCTCTCTTTGAGTTTGTCGTCTTCTGAGAGAGAACCAAAAGACTTGCAAACACAAATCTTGCAAAATTTAGGCAATTTAAGTGCTCGGTTCAAACTTTCTGACTGTTTGAAATCAGACGAAACGCCCTCCAGTCAAGCATCAGTTGTAACAGTATTTGAAAGCATTTACTGTCCGTAAATCTGAAATTACTAAATATAAAACATATACCACACGATATAAATATAAATTACCTTTAAATTATCGTTACCACCAGCAGGCCAGCGAATAAGGGTGTAGATAAAAGGCGGGCGCGGAAGCGGACTGGCGGACGCGGGCCGGCGGACGCTGACTGGCGGACCGAAAGCGGTTGTATTATCATATTTTTTAATTATTAATTATTGTGTTATTAATGATTATGTTATCACTTATTAATATATTATTTTACTTTTTGTTAATTATTAAACCTACTATTTCTTAAATATTCTATGTGCTCTGGTAACAGGCAAGCTCTAATTCCTTGTGGTATTTGCACAAGAGGGGGTGCAAAATATGGCTTGTCTTTTATTTCTTTAAGCATTCCCGGGAGTTTCCTTTAACTCCCCGATCATAATAGGGCCTATTGGCATAAGACACAAATCACTAAATCCCAAGGTCCCAATTTGTTCGAGAAATATCCCACAGGTTTTTGAGTGCGTTAAAATTTGACGCTAATATTACGATTACATGATAAACATATTAAAACGAATTTTGTTAATTAATAGAGGGATGTTTAATAGTTACAATTATGAAAATTGACTTTTAAATCTTGGCTGCTTCAAATGAAACGATACAGGTTTACTGTTTACACAATTTTCCTGTATCTTTTGATGTGGCGCTGTACGAATCAAGGAAATTAAGTTCACAAAGGCGACAAAGCAGCTCTTCTCACCCGACTATCAGTTAACGAGTTTCAATACCGCACGTCTGTCGCTTAGTTAGCATCCAATTCATATAGATGGTTCATATTACACATTTTCCTATACTGCTTTTACAACAAGTAGAGGTCATAACGTCGAGAATTTAGTTTTATAACTTTGACAAATTATTTAAATGGCGAAACGTTTGTATTCTGAAGTTGTTTCAGGCTCAGATAGCGAGGATGGATATCACAGGGGTTGGAAAACGGTAAACAAACGTGATGTAATTATCGTTCTGTTTTCTGTGTGGTTTATTACATGTGTGTCGGTGCGTGTATACTAGCGTTTGTGAAAGCTTTTTATGCCTTGCCAAAATTATGTAAACCTGGGTAAGCAATAAATTTTTACAGATCAGACGGGTCAAATTTCAGTTAGGAATTTTCAACTATAATCATTAATAACACAATGATTAATAATTAATAATTTCCAGTCCGCGTCCGCCAGTCCGCGTCCGCCGGTCCGCTTCTGCTAGTCCGCCAGTCCGCATCCGCGCCCGTCTTATCTACAACCAGCGAATAAACCGGTACCGGGGTTTCACAGCGCCGCCATGGTCTCAAACAGTGCAACAATTTAAAGAATTTCCGATAAACTAACAACACTCTAATTGACCAATCAGCGTCCGAGGAAACGTTAATCCACGCTGATCAGCCAATAGGAAGCATTGCCATGCTGTAAATTAAATTACTCTTTCTTTGTTTTATACAAATACATGTGTTCTGTTGAAGTTGATCTTCAGTGTGGTGAGAACGTTTTACCTTTCAGTCGTCTTCAAGAATTTCTTAAGAGAACCTATAATATATAACTTATATTTGATTTAATTTTTGGTGAAATGGCTTCGTTTCCACAAAATCGATTCGCAGGAATCAAGCGAGATTATACACCAGAAACAGTGGAGCATACCTTGGCTCAGCGAGGAGCAGAGAAACTTTGGGCTTATATGACTTCTGGAGGAAGCGAATATATCAATGTCCTTGGCGTTTTAACTGGTAAAATTTCTATTTTGTATATATATTATAATTTTTAAAGCATTTGCTGCCAAATTTTCATGTAGCTTGGAATATAGAGAATTATCCAAAATGCCTATGAAGCTCTCTCCTATATTCGCTTCTTTTTTTTATGAATTTGTATCTAAACAGTTCTTTTTGACCGCTAGTGTACAATAAAAGATTGATTGTTACGATTACTGTTACATACGATAATAGCAACATTTGAGCAGTTCTTTTTGACTACCAGTGTGTAATGTCAATAATTCATTCTATTGAATAGCGTTTGAAAGGGAAATCATATTTTCATTACCTATAGGCTATAACTTTGTTTTTCTTTCCATATTAGTCGTATTCCCACTTGCTATACATGACAATTTATCTGTATAAACCCGAACAAACAGGGCCCTGATTATATTTTTGAAATTTCCAGGAATGCAGGCGGTACAAATGGCAAAGGCTGGACTAAAAGGCATCTACTTGAGTGGTTGGCAGGTTGCAGCTGATGCTAATCGCGCTGGTCAAACCTTCCCAGATCAGAGCCTCTACCCTGCCGACATTGCGGCCAAGCTGGTGGAGAGAATCAACAACGCCTTCCAGAGAGCTGATCAAGTACAGCATATGGAAGGAGGGCATCAAAAATTGGATTATTTCCTACCAATTGTAGCCGATTGTGAGGCAGGACTTGGTGGCCCTTTGAACGCCTTTGAGATCGTTAAAAACATGGTTAGTATCATCTTTGTATACCCTTAAATTCTATCCCTGTGGTTGGGTACAAGACCAATCAGAAGAATACTTCTTTGGCAGAAAGATTTCGGTTAAAAACAGAAACGGTTTCACTCAATTGAAAACCTGAAACAATTCAAACAAACACTACACGTCATATGTAAATTTCAGCAAATTCACTTGTATTTTAGGCAGATGATGAACTAATTTGATTGGCAACTTTAAACAACTGCATTGTTTCAAAACCAACTATAATATTTCCATTTTTTCTTCTCTTTCAGATCAAAGCTGGTGCGGCTGGCATTCATCTGGAAGACCAGCTTGCCTCGGAGAAAAAGTGTGGTCATATGGGAGGCAAAGTCCTGGTTCCTACCCAACAATTCATCCGCCTTTTGAACGCGGCGAGACTAGCTGCTGACGTCATGGGAACGACCACGGTTATCGTGGGTCGCACGGACGCCAACTCGGCCGGCTTTGTGACCTCGGATATCGACCCCCGGGATAAACCTTTCCTAACAGGGGCACGGACACCCGAGGGCTTCTTCCGTAGTCGAGCCGGTTTGGACCAGGCCATAGCGAGGGCGCTCGCTTATGCACCATACTGCGACGTTCTTTGGTGTGAGACGAGCAATCCAAATATCGAAGAAGCGAGAAGGTTTGCACAAGCAGTTCACGCATTATTCCCCGGAAAACCACTTGCGTATAACTGCTCGCCAGAAATCGCGGTCTTTCAAAAAGAACTGGGACGACTTGGATACCGTTTTCTGTTCATATCGCCTGCTGGTTTCCAATCTCAAGCAGCTCTTCCGCTTTGAAGGGGATTTCTATTTAATTATCTATGGTGCACATATCAGATTCATATTTTAACCAGTTTGCTTTCCTCATAAAGTATTGTATCATAAAAGAACGTATAAAATACTGTAGAGTACATAATTAATTATTTAATGTACTATGAAATAGTACATATAAAATATTGTATCATAATAGTACGTATAAATTACTGTAGAGCAATTAATGTAAGGTACTATATAATAGTTCCGTAGCATAAAATTGTCTGGACTGAGCGACAACGGGGCGCACGGACACCGCGGAAATTGGTAGACTTAGCCGTAATTCTCAATACTTAGACTTTAAATTCGGCGAGCTAAAAGATTTATAAATACTCAACAAAATATCTCTTGCACAAAAGATTTGAAGCTTGCACACGGCAAAAACAAATCATCTGAAAATGTCTGAAAATGTCTCAAAATGGCCATTTTACGGTGGCAGATGCATACGAAGAGCCTTCAAAAGTTTCCAAAACCGATATTGGAAGAAAAATTGAACTTGTTTTCAACTTATTTGATAGTATTTTCTTTGACAGCAGTTTCTGAATACTAGGATTCAAATGTGAGCAACTGATGAGATATTTGACTTCCAACACCAATTTCTGCGGTGTCGGGCGCATGAAATATTAGGTGATAACACGCACTGCACAGAAATGGGAAGCAAAATATGGGTAAAGGGATCTGCACAAAAATGGGTTACTTAGTGGTAGAGGGTCATAGTGTGCGAAACGGTCTGTGACTCGAGAGACGAGATATTCGACATAGCTACAAACGTGAATTTTGGGTGAAGATTTTTTCATTTATATTTAATCAATATATTCTATAAACCCAATCGAAATTTTGTGAATTGAGACTTGTTGAGGACAAAACGATACTGGAAGGAGGCTAATTCTCGACAAAATATTCGAAATTTCACCAGATATACATCGAAATATTACCAGAGTAATGTTTAGGCTTGTGTTAATACAGTATTAAAGTTTGCTGTTTCATAAAATTCCTTGCCTGAAAAGGCAGGGCCGTCGGAAAAGGCTCACGCGAGGGAGGAAGTGAAACATCGCCAAAAAGACAATTAACCGACAGTCAGTCACACTAAAACAGAGTTTAACCTAACAAAAATTTGCTTTACTACTTTGCCATACGACTTTTCAGAAGGATTGCCCCCACCCTCCCGTAACGTTCTGGAAATACGTTTTTGAACAAAGCATTGAAGTGGCTAATAACGAGTGTCAGAAACATTTGCTAACAAAATTTTCTTTTTTATTTACTACATAATCTAAACGACTATACAGGTTAACCTTTGGTTTCTTAAGCAGGTTATGCGGTGGTGAAGTAAAGACAAATTTAAACCCGACGAAAATAAACACCAACACAACTCCTGAAAAACATGCATTCTAGAGTTTGGCTTGTGGGTTATCAAGCACCCTATACGCAGGTAATGTCAAGAATTCTTCCATTTCATTTGAGAGAACCAAATGATCCAAGATTTCTGCAGCCTGTTGCAATCTTCCAGTGCCAGGCCCTCCTTGACTTTGCACCTCATCCGTGCGGATTGCTTTGTACGTGGCTTGTGTAAACGTTTCACCGCTGTCCAGAATCACGGAGTGTCTCAACCATTGCCATAGTTGTCCACGTGATATTTCCGCAGTCGCTGCATCTTCCATCAGGTTGTTCATTGCGACTGCGCCACGGCCCTAGAAAACGAAGAGTGGAGTCGTTTAGACCCGAAAGGAGAGTCCCTCATTCGTGGGTGTCCCCTCATTCGTGAGTGTCCCCTTATTCGTGAGTGTCCCCTCATTCGTGAGTGTCCCCTTATTCGTGAGTGTCCCCTCATTCGCGAGGTAGCCAGTGCAGTCCGCAGGGCTGGTTGTTCGAAAGGCGTTTAGCTCAAACGGTAGGAAAGGGTTACGCCCTAGAGCTACTTACCTGTAGCCATTCATTGATATACTTCAGAGCTACACCAACATTCTTTCTTACACCTTCTTCTGTAATCTTTCCTCCTTTAACATCGATGGTTATCAATTCATCAACTTCCACATGCACGTCTTCTCTCAAGCGATGTTTCTGATGGTTCGCATTATGCATTCCTTGGACAAACACCTCTCTTGCAACCTGAAAGAAGATGCTCAAGTTCACCATCATTATCTCCTTTATCAACAATATTATCATCTATAACCCAACCGTTATCATGATGATCAGTGGTCACCATCATTATCCGCGTTTATCAACACCATTATCATCATCACCACCATTACCACTCTTTATCAACCGACAACTATCATAATCACCAGACGTACACAATTATATACGTGAGTTCATTCGTGTTCCTTCACCGAAGCAGGCCCACTTCTAATCATCGGTTGCCCTTCGAATGGTCTCAAATGCAACCCACACAAGTACAGTTGACTATGAATAAATATTAACCTGCACGAGGTCGGGGTGTGCAACCCACGTGCCATCAAAGCCATCAGCCACCTCTCTTTCCTTGTCATCACGCACTTGAGAGAAAGCTCTCTGATTGATCGCTTCATCACGTCGGCTCGGAATGAAAGCGGACATTCCACCCATGGCATGCGCACCATGTTTGTGGCATATTTTTACCAGCCGTTCCGTGTACGCTCGCATGAAGGGAACTGTCATTGATACCTGCAAAACATTGTTCATACTAGCGATAAGCGATCTAAAATTCTGGAAAAACTGAAGGCACAAACTAGTGTTTAGAATGTACCATAGCTGGCACACCAATCTTTTCATTGCTTAGAAAATCCTGCTTAGAAAATCCATCTCAGAATAACAGCATTACCTGTTTCCTGTCGGGTAAAACAGCCTCTGGTTTACTCTGAAGGCGTTTGATAATACTGAATATGTAATCCCAACGTCCCGCATTTGCTCCGCAGCAATACTCTCGTAACTCGTAGATCATCTCTTCAACGTCTACTGCTGCCGGGAGAGTCTCGATCATGATCGTTGCTCGGATTGTACCTGGAGATAAACATTGATTGATGGTCATCGTAAAGATGCATCATTTGTTTCACCTGTTATTCATATCCCACCTTGCGGCACTTGCATGTAATCTTCAGCAGCCTGGAACACCTGATTCCACAGTCTGCATTCAAGGAAGGTCTCCATCTTTGGAAGGTAATAATACGTCGCAGAGCCTCGACTCATTCTCACATGAATATTGTGAAAGAAATACAGGCCAAAATCCACCAAGGCACCAGCCATGGGCAGTCCATCACATTCGATATGGCCTTCATCCAAATGCCATCCTCTTGTACGAACGATCAAGCAAGCAATCTTCTCTTTCAGTTTCCGGACGGAACCTAAAACAACAGAAAGTTTACATTGTTATCTGCCAATTTCTCGATGTAACGCTTGTTTTGAGACAGACTTTATTTATTATAAGTTTAATAGATTATACCATCAGCATTTCTGAATGAAATTGTTCCGCGTTCGGCGTCCATTAGATTTGCTTGTCCTTCTACAATATTTTTCCACGTTGGGCTCAAGGAATCTTCAAAATCTGCCATGAAGATATCGGCCCCACTGTTGAGAGCATTGATGACCATCTTGCGGTCAGTCGGCCCCGTGATTTCGACGTGTCGCCTTTGAAGGTCTGATGGTACGGCTGCAACCTTCCAGTTGTCATCATGGTTGGGTTTAGGGTATTCAATCGGTTTGCCAGCATTAATAGCGTGTTGTCGCTTTCTGCGTTTGTCCAAGAGCTGGATCCTGTGATAGTTGAAGCGTCTGTGAAGGTCGGCCAGGAGTGCAAGAGCATCGTAAGTCAATACTCTCTCGTAAGCAGGTTGGATATCCCCTTTGATGAGCACTCCTTTACAAAGATAGGGTAAGGGACTTGAGATTAAAGGAAGAGAAGAATTCGAATGGAGTTTTTTTTGCTAAACTCTGACCACCAGCAAAATCTTCACAAATTTGTTACATTTTTCAGCAAGCGAAAGTAGGGTATATGGAAAGACGGAATGGAATGTTAACTCTTAACTAAACAGGACATTACTTTTATCACGTAAGTTTGATCAACAGATTATAGAGATTACCTTGTTCCCACAAGTGGGGGTGTTGTGGGTACCACGGGGGAGTGATGGCAACGATGAATGTTATATAACATTTTATAGCATTAATATATGGCAAATGGCTGAAAATACAGCCCCGTAACCTGTGATACAAGCATCAACAGAAATAAACACTGTACCTGGGGGACAATTCATCTCACAATCACTCTCTTGCATTTGATTATATAACCACCCTGGAATATACGTGGAGAGTTATGTAATTAGTAAGAAACTTTTGTGGGCGGCGTGACATTCAAACGCACATCCTATAGTTAATGGCGACGAAAATAGGTCTTTTTTACACGTCTACATTTATTCTTTCTATTTCCGCGAAATTTGTAATGCGTTGCGCAGATCAAGTTACATAACAAAAACATAAATATTGTCATCGAGTGTCAATATCGTATGAATATTTGACAGATTTTTGTCATTACAACTCCGATTTCTTTGAAATTTTGGCTAAACTGAACTGAGCTCGCGATCAATGATAATCAGGGAGGAGGGAGACCATTCAGGCTAAATATATCTTATTCTATCGAAAACAATGATTGTTTTTAAACTCATTCAATTCAGCAGACAGTGATAGGTTCAAAGTCCAGCGTCGTACGTGTGCAATAGTTTAACTATCGATTTGATCTCTCTCTCTCTCTTTGAGTTGACAACTAAAATATTTGCAAACACAAATCGTGGAAAAGTTAAGCAATTTATTAATAAGTGCTCGGTTCAAACTTTCTGACAGTTTGAAATCAAACGAAAATCACGAAACGCCCTCCACTCCATTCCAGTCTCGCATCAGTTGTAACTGAATTTGAAAGCATTTACTATCCGTAAATCTGAAATTACTAAATATAAAACATATACAACACGATATTAAATATAAATTACCTTTAAATTATCGTTACAACCAGCAGGCCAGCGAAGAAACCGGGTTTTTTTAGTTCGTGCGTGGTCTCATACGGTGCAACAATTTATAGTATTTACGATAAACTTACAACACTCTAATTGACCAATCAGCGTCCGTGGAAACGTTAATCCACGCTGATCAGCCAATAGGAAACATTGCCACGTTGTAAATTAAATTACTCTTTCTTTGTTTACAAATACATGTGCTGTGTTGAAGTTGATCTTCAGTGTAGTGAGAACGTTTTACCTTTCAGTCGTCTTCAAGAATTTCTTAAGAGAACCTATAATATATAACTTATATTTGATTTAATTTTTGGTGAAATGGCTTCGTTTCGACAAAATCGATTCGCAGGAATCAAGCGTGATTATACGCCAGAAACAGTGGAGCGTCTCTCTGGTTCAGTGAAAATTGAACAAACCTTGGCTCAGCGAGGAGCAGAGAAACTTTGGGCTTATATGACTTCTGGAGGAAGCGAATATATCAACGTCCTTGGCGCTTTAACTGGTAAAATTTCTATTTTGTATATAAAGAAGTCTGTTTTTTTGACATAAATACTTGCGGTAACTGAACCATATTGAATATAAATATTGTATGGTGAAAAATTTACATCCTGAAATAATAGAATAGTTTTAGGAGAACAACATTTTTTAGTCAAGTGAAGTTTTTAATCTATTTTCAACTAGTTTAGATGATGTTTTTAAAATTTTTGGTATTTGATCACAAAAACGCCGTGTTAGATTTAAAAAAAGATCCAAAGTTCACAGTGTGAGAGTACAAAGTCCAAATATCATAAATGACATATCTATGCATATCGCCCACCAGATAGAATATCCTTTTATTATAACATAGACAAGTTTTAATCGTTAGTTTTTAATCTTGTCTGGTTATAGCCGACTTCTAGCAGCAATGATAATTCATAACCTTGGAAAAGGCAGCATATTTGTTCGAACAATGTACAGTGTTCAACAGCTCTTAGCAACCACTTACTAGATACCTCGTATGAATGAAACCTCTGTATTTGTCATGCAAACTATATATGGGGGATTAACATTGCTTGGAATTTTTAGTTTTTCGCGAGAAACAGAAATTTCTGTTGTCGTATCCTACAGTTAACAGATGGCACAGTACAATACCAAACGCATTTCGTCACTATAAAACAAAATTCGCTATTATATAATTGTTTGTTTACTGCATGGTATATGAACAGAGGTATTCTAACAGTCAACAGATGCTAGCAAATACGATTCTATCGTTTATCAATCCATTGATTCTTGTCTTAGTTGTGTATTCATATTCAAGCTATTGCCATTGATTTAAAGAGAGTATGAATAATGATTTAGACTTGTTATAAAATACACCTTAAGGCCAATAAGTATAAACAAAGAAATTTTTGTCGTTTGTTTTTGGTTGCTGGGTAAATCCCGCATTGTTTCATCATCCAGTCACAAAATAGGACCTTTTTCCGGTCAACTCTGACCTCGCAGTGAAACTGGATCCATCTATGGAAAGGGTGAATGAGTCGTTTATCTTTCTGGTATTACATATATGTCAATAATTCATTCTATTGGATAACTTTTGAAAGGGAAACAATATTTTCGTTACCTATTTTACTCGCATTCTCACTTATATATTTCCGTTTTTCTATCCATATCACTCGTATTCCCACTTGCTATACTGCCTATACATGACAATTTATCTGTATAAACCCGTGCCCTAACATGCATTTTAACCATTTATATTTTTGAAATTTCCAGGAATGCAGGCGGTACAAATGGCAAAGGCCGGATTAAAAGGCATCTACTTGAGTGGTTGGCAGGTTGCAGCTGATGCAAATCGCGCTGGTCAAACCTTCCCAGATCAGAGCCTCTACCCTGCCGACTCTGCCCCTAAGTTGGTGGAGAGAATCAACAACGCCTTTCAGAGAGCTGATCAAGTACAGCATATGGAAGGAGGGCATCAAAAATTGGATTATTTCCTACCAATTGTAGCTGATTGCGAGGCAGGATTTGGTGGCCCTTTGAACGCCTTTGAGATCGTTAAAAACATGGTTAGTATCATCTTTGTATAACCCTAAATTCTATCCCTGTGGTTTGGGTACAAGGCCAATCAGAAGAATACTTCTTTGGCAGAAAGATTTCGGTGAAAAACAAAAATGGTTTCACTTATTTGAAAACCTGAAACAATTCAAACAAACACTACACGTCATATGCAAATTTCAGCAAATTCACTTGTATTTTAGACAGATGATGAACCAGCTTGATTGGCAACTTTAAACAGCTGCATTGTTTCAAAACGGACTATAATATTTCCATTTTTTCTTCTCTTTCAGATCAAAGCTGGTGCGGCCGGCATTCATCTGGAAGACCAGCTTGCCTCGGAGAAAAAGTGTGGTCATATGGGAGGCAAAGTCCTGGTTCCTACCCAACAGTTCATCCGCCTTTTGAACGCGGCGAGACTAGCTGCTGACGTCATGGGAACGACCACGGTTATCGTTGGTCGCACGGACGCCAACTCGGCCGGCTTAGTGACCTCGGATATCGACCCCCGGGATAAACCTTTCCTAACAGGGGCACGGACACCCGAGGGCTTCTTCCGTAGTCGAGCCGGTTTGGACCAGGCGATAGCAAGGGCGCTCGCTTATGCACCATACTGCGACGTTCTTTGGTGTGAGACGAGCAAACCAAATATTGAAGAAGCGAGAAGGTTTGCACAAGCAGTTCACGCGAAATTCCCCGGAAAACCACTTGCGTATAACTGCTCGCCATCTTTCAACTGGAAGGCCAATCTTAACGACCACGAAATCGCGGTCTTTCAAAAAGAACTGGGACGACTTGGATACCGTTTTCAGTTCGTGACGCTTGCTGGTTTCCACTCCCTCAATCACGCCATGTTCAAGCTCGCCCGTGACTACAGGGACAACGGAATGACGGCGTATACGAAGATCCAGGAAGATGAATTCAGCCAAGCTAAGTTTGGCTTTACTGCGCACAAACATCAACGCGAGGTCGGTGTGTCGTATTATGACGCCATCGCTATGGCGGTCAGCGGTGGCAGTAGTTCAGTTACCGCGCTCAAGGGGTCCACAGAGGACGAACAATTCAAGCATAAATTATGAGATTTATGACGAACATTGTAAAAAGTGGCACATGGTACAAATTATGAGAAATATATGCCTGAAATGGCGGGTCGGAGGTCGGTCAATTTTTTATAGTAAAGTTCTTGAAATTCATTGTAAACAACGCAGCATCTTTAGTCCATTCCATTCATTAAGAGTTTATTTTGTGGTTGAAATAAATGATTTTCCATTAAAAATGATACCTTCATAATGATGGTTATATTAATATATCACCTAGTACTGAAAATAAATTTTATTTTCTCTTATTTCTGAACTTTGTGTTTGTTGTATCCGCTTCGCAATGCGATGGTAATCCGGCAAGATGCGATAGTAATCCGGCAAGATGCGATAGTAATCCGGCAAGATGCGATAGTAATCTGCGATAGTAATCGGGAAATATACTGACTCTCACGGCACTTACTCAATGTAATGAGTAGACCGCGCATACTTCATGTAATGATTCGAATTATTTGCCTCTACGGTAGGAAAACATCAGGATATAAACACGACGCCCAACTCTTTCAAAATGCGTTTCAATTCCGAATCGCACAAAACGTTTAATTCGTGCTCTCGTTCTTCAGAGCGAGCGAACTCATCAGGCCCTTCACCACAACCCCCTTGATTTCCAAAACACGGATACCCAGGATGCACCATGAACTCGCACACGGACGGTCGTTGATGAGCGGCAGTCCTTGTTGCTTTATAGGTCTGTATGATTCTCTCTGTAGTCATGTGTTTTCCCATCAGGGATATGCCCATGAACGCTTGCGGATACCTGTAATAATAGATAGACAATTGGGGGTGATTTGGTATGGAGAAAAGGTCAGGACTCTCTCTACCTGGATGACAAAAAAAAGTGGCAAAACAGGGGGAAGAAGAGCCCAGATCTTTCCTGTCCAAAGAAACGATGGAATTTATGGACGCTTGCGTACCTATTTTTATTTCTCATTAATTTTTTTGTGTTTTACCTAATGAAAGTAACTGAGTGATTCCTAGAAAGCTTGAGATGTTTTCAATATTATAAAATATAAAAATAGGTACGCATTTGCGTACGTGAGCCTTTTTGCTGATGAAAACCTTTGAAACCAAACTGGCAGAGTTGGTAGAAGACATGCCTATATAACCTTGAAAATAGTAAATGAAATTGTTCAATATTCCTGTGTCATTCAACGCAGTCTGGTGCTAACCTTATTTGGTATTTATTATAGACATCCATGGCAGTTTTAGCTTCTTTGAAAATATGGTTATAGAAGACAGTGTTGCCATCAAACCAACTAGCCAGGTGAGGTTCGAGTGGAATGCGTATCTGATGAAGAGAGTACGAGATCATGACCTGTGCGATGGTGTCTCGTATCTCTGGACAGATGTGAATGTGTTGGTGGCCGTCAACATGGTTAGGAGGGTATCCAACAAGTTTGATATATGTCTCTATCTGTGCTTCTACTTCATCTCTGAAATGAAATAGCAAGGTGAGTGTAATGGTGATTTTTAAATGGTGCACTTCCAAAGCATACCATCTAGAAATCTTGTATGGTCTTATAAGGTAGAGGAAGTGGGGCTATATGCCCTGGTCATTACTTAACATGCATCATGTCAATTTCTCCACGTGATAATGCTTCTCTGAATCCAAATTTTCCACGAAAGTACACTGTTCCTTCACTCATCAATGAACTACCATCATTTTCAAGCACTGGTTTTCCTTCGGTCAAGTTGAGGTGAAGGCCTAGCGGAAGCCCATGTTTTCCTGCAAGTGTCACTGCAGTTGTTTGGGCAGTTTGACCGTTAACTAGTAACGATGCTCGGGTGATAATTCCATTATTAAATGCTTGTATAATTCCTTTATCTCTTTGCATGGAGTAACCAAAGTCATCTGCAGTAACTATCAAATATTCATGTTTTGGGGCATCTGAACTTGACAAGTCATTCCCTTTCAGTGAATTAAATGAGTGCTCCGGTTTCATGATGGTAAATCTCTGAAATTCTCAGCCATACTTCCATGAAGTCTTTATGGTACAAAGATTGAAGACGCTCCCCCCATTTTCTAATTTTCAACGCTAGCGGCCCCTCCGGAAAAGAAGCAAGATGGCTGACGAAAATGGTAGGAAAGGCTAAAAATGACTTTAGAATGTCTATTTTTTTCCATCTAAACTATATGATTATGCGTGAACAATGATTCGTAGTTTAAGGATGCTATCTGAAGTTTGTAGATATAAAGTTCTGTAGTATTTGAGCATAATTTGACATGCGTTTGCGGCATTTCTTTGTAGACGAGAGAAAATCACGTGCTGTGGTCTCTCTAATATCGGTCGGAGTTGTGTTGGTTATTGGCTTTCCTGTGTGGTGGAATACGACAAAGGTCTACAGAGCTACACTCCCACATCACGAAATACTAAAGTTGAGCGAATTGGAGGTATGTAAACGTAAGCAATGACCATTTTCGCTGTAGATTTGACCGCTGTTATTAACCTGAAATTGGGGACATAAATGCATTTTTGTCCTTATAGACGAACATCAACATTCCTTTGACAATAATTTTTGAACAGCCAGGGGAGAGGAAGGATTTTATGAGCATATTATCCAAGAAATTGAACTCGGAAGTAAAAGAGAATCATCCTGTTGATCTGAGATTTATCATAAATGTCAGAGAAGTGAATGTCGAAGAAAAGCAATCACTTCGCTTATTAGTCAATGAAGTAAATTTAGAAGGTAGTAATGCTTTCAATTTAGATCAGAAAAATTGCCAGATCCACATGCTAAATCCATGTTTGATTTCTTTAGCACTTGATGACAGCATCCAAGAGTTATGGAAGTCAAATGCTGAGAAAATCGAGTATAAATTCATTGTTTTATCACAACAAGATGAGCTGTCAAAGTTGGCTCGTTATGCTCAATGTTTTGTTGGTAAATACAGGCATGCTATCATCCTCCATAATGATGGTAAGTTAAGTTCAATGGTTTATTGAACTATACCAACATTCCTCCAACTAAATTAAGATTTAACCCATCAGATCCAACCCATCTTTCTGATGTAATTGCAAATGTCACCAAGAAGGTGTTCATCCAGGAACAAGTCATAAAAGATGCATTTTATCAACACAAGAACAGCGATGATCTTCATGAGGGAATTGATGAAATTAGAGATTTGAAATCAGTAACAGGTATTGGAATGTTCAAGCAATGTTTCAAGTGGATATTTGATGTAACCTGATTAATTTCCTTTGTCAATTTTGTTCTCAGGATTTCATCTCTCGTTCAGCTTAATCAATGACGAGCCTGAAACAGGAATTCTCAACTGGAACATCAAAGAAACAATAGCTGGTAAAATGAATGATGAAAAATTATAATTCTAGATTAACTGGTTTATTAATTATTTCAATAGGAGGCAATTATGAACCAGTTTGGTAAACCTTTCACAACCTAGCTGATACTGTATGTACCAATATATAGTACCATACCATGGTGCCATCTTTTTCTAGAAATTTTGCAACCTTTCATCAATAAGATATCTTATTTCGATGTGTCAGTTGACTCTCAGGTAGAGTGTAATCCACTTGATACAGATTTTATCTCAAGGTTTTAAAAAAGAGAATGATTATTGTTCATGGAATCTTTCTTAGATTCTTCATTACAGCGGAGTCAATTTGAAGCCTAAGACAGATGGTGAAGTGAATTATTTAGACACAGAAGATCTTCCACATATGATTAACCCCATAGAAAGAAAGCTTGGTATGTAAAACATGGTCAATACTCACCCTTTCCAGTTCACATGCTAAAATCTTGATACTATCACAATAATTAACAATTTTAACACAGTCAACCCTTCATCCTAGGTTCCTTTGTTTCATTAAATCCAAGTTTAAATTTCATCGTTTTCGTCCCACCAAAGAAGCAGACACCATTGAAGTTAAAAGATGTTGATGGTATGATGTTAAAAATGTGTTAATTATGATACAAAGAGTTGCAAAAATTTATGTTCAAAATGTGTTAATTATGATACAAAGAGTTGCAAAAATTTATGTTCAAGAGTTGAAACATCCTTTCATTAGAAAGGATGTTTCAACTCTTGAACATAAATTTTAGGGACTCATGAAATTTTAGGGATTTCAACTCTTGAACATAAATGACGTCAAACATGGAAGTCTAATGTTACACAATTTCTGAGAAATCTGTATTCCAATCTGTCCAGGTGCATACAGTCCTACGAATGCTTTCCTAAGTCCTAGATGGGGAGGTGTTCTCATTCATAATGTTTATGACAGAAATGAAGCGAATGATTCAGCTCCTCGGACAATCACAGTTGACCTGACAGCCATAATGAAAGTTTTCCTAACACAAATACGATTGCTGGTTGGCATCAAACCACTGGTTAGTAGATTTTAATGTTTGTTTTCTGCATAGTGAAGTAACATTGCTATAACACAACATATATGGCTTATTGTAGTCCTACAATGTATCCATTTCTAGACTTCTCAGAATGGTGTTTTAATTTCAACTGTGGTGAATTCTGGTGCAAGAAATTGGGTAAGCGAATGCAGCCTTCTATAATCAGTTTTGAATCGAACTATGCAGTCACTTCATTGTGTTCTACCACTTGAAAATCTCCTAGGAAGTTGATAACTTGTTGCTAGTGAAAACAATGGAATATCTTTCATCTTCTGCCAAGACATTGACCTCTCTTACACAGTTGATGGATAAGGTTAAAAACATGATCATCGATGACAACATCAAGGTGGAAATTGAGAATGCCTTGCAAAGCATCAAAGAAGTAAGATAAATTTCATACCATATAGGTGTACATTACTTTATCTCTTCCTTTGTAAGTTTACCATATCATGTAACCAGCTATAACCAAGGTTCCTCCTCTGCAAATCAAGGAAGAACCCTGGGTCTGAGTAGGTTTATGGTTCCTAAAGAAGGTACCCAAGAAACCCAAGAACTCCTTCAAAAAAATGGCAATGACAATGTGTGAGTTTATTGACCAGGAAATTGTTTTAAAATCTTATTTCAGTGCCAACATATGTTATCACAAGGGAACATTACATCTGCATTCATGTCAGCCAAGGCAGCAATCAAATCATCAGGTATTTAATCAATCCATGGCATGAAAGATCAGCATTGTGCATTCTTGTAAACTCTGCTGTGTTTTTTTAGAAAAAGCGTTTTTTGATCCATCCATGCTGGAGTTAATCTACTTTCCAGACGATCAAAAGTATGAATAAATATTAACATTCATTTTCGTATCTCTCTCAGTGAAATCTATGGCAGCAGGGCTTTTAAAAACCCATTCATTACAACTATAAGTTACTCTGCAATCAGACGTGGTATTTCTGCGGCATAGAAGACTTTAGGTTGCCTGGTCGTCAATGCTAATTCATAGTTTATTTTCAATTCTCTAGATTTGCAATTTATATTCCTCTGTTTTTGCCAATGTCTTTGCCGCTTATCGCTTCTCTGTTTGCCGCCATTAAATGGCTAAGAAACAAGGAGGGAGATGAAAGCAAAACAGCACCATCTAAAACGGCACCATCAGAAAAAGTACCATCAGAAACAGAACCATCGGAAACAGAACCATCAGACACAGAACCATCAAAGGCAGCACCATCAGAGACGGCACCATCAGACACAGTAACATCGGATACAACTGAATAAGGTATGGACATATAAAATTCATGATTTGACACAAAAAAATTTCGTTGTCTTGATCGGGATTTGAACTCGCATCTTCGGATATCTAGCTCGGTTCGGTAGGGAATTCTGACCGAAATATTTTCGTGACGTCTTAACGTTTGTCATGGAAACGCAGTAGACAGGTTACCTGAAGCATTACTTGCATTTCTTTTTCCATGCACAACTAAAATTTAACTCCAGAGGTACAATTGCAAAGTTTCTATTTTATTTCTATAATGTGTGAAATGGCAAATATCCATCTTCTTTTTTCCTAGACGAAGACACGATATTCAGTCCGTTGATAAAAAGAAAGATGAGTGAGTACTGTTGTTGCGTGATTTCTCGTGTTGTTCGTAGATCCTGATCAGATTAGGCTGATACAGCGCGATGCCATCTTGCCGGGTCCGTTCTAAGAATAATCAAAATCGACGGACGTTGAATATGCACTGTTCATTCACGAATGATAATTGTAACTTAGAGTTGGATAGAATGGGACTTAGTAGGATGAGGTCAAGTATGATAGGATGGGATAAAGGATCAAGTAGGATAGGATGAGATAAAGTGGGAGGGGATAAACTTATTTTGGATGGGATCAATTAGGATAACAAGGGACTAAGTGAGTGGAATAGAATGAGGTGAGCAGGGGCAAAGTGGGATGGCATGGGATAAAATAGCATACCTGATTTCATCAGCGCTCGGCATTGTGCCATTGTAAAGATGATTCGCGGCATGAGCTGCAATTGGATCTCGACCTACGGTAGCAACAGCCAGAACGTCTTTACCTCTGAGAAAAAAATGAGCAACAACGATTAACCTTCACTATAACAGCACTAGGTTCACTTCTGAGAACGTCGTCCTTCATACTTGATGTAATATGCAACAAAGGCTAGTTCCTCGACGCTTCCTTCAATGATCACCTCATCAAATTCTGCAGCGTGACCTTAAAAACAATAAACAATTTAACAACATTAATATGATACTACCAATAAAAAACTCGTTGTAAACGACTTGAAAGCTTTTGTTGGAGCGGAAAATTGAGCTTTAAACAAACCAAGCATATTAAACCAGTGTAAGGTAACCGCTGTACCTGCGTAACGTATGCTCTTTCCGTATTGCATTGTCCAAAAGAATGGGACCGTGTCGATTTCTTGATTTTTACCAAGCATATTCAAGGCTGCTGCCCTGCCTGAAGTGAGATTTAATACGTTTCACCACAGCACGACAGGTGCACGACATAGCTTATTTATTGACTAAGCATTGTTGAGATTCGTTACAATCAATTGACCAGGAGATGGTGCATTTTAGACTGCCTTACTAACCATGCGCATGGGAGAGTTGCCAGTGGCCAATGGTCACGTGTTTGCCACCCAGCATTTTGAGCGGGAACGAGGCTATGTCGCCACCAACGTAAATATCGTCACGTGCTTTTAAAAACTGCAAGAAATGGAATGAGAAGGGAGTTAAGTGCCACCCTAGTTGCAGCATCACATTCTGGTTTCACCCTCACACCCTGGTTGCATCATCTTCCACCCACCTTGTCGACAACAATACTGCCGTTCCTGGTAGTCTCAACCCCGCAATCCTTTGCGAAACCTGTTGACGCATTCACACCTTAAACGAACAATCTCTTCATTATTAACTTCAACATGTCCAGCATTGAAACATGTTAATCCATAAGTCATCGAAAAATTTACCTATTCCAATGACACAAACGTCAGCGTTCAATATCTCTCCGTTTTTCAACAACACTTTGTCCAACTGAAGGTACAAATAAACAAGAATTTATACACAAGACATCTGAGACCGTGCCTCTGTTAGAAACTTCAAAGGTTGGCATAAGCACACTTTAGCACAGCAGTCTTTGAAAAAAAGCTGCACACCTTTCCTCCAGAACCTTTGAATTCCTGAACTGATGTGTTGAAATGAAACTTCACTCCTTTTTCCATATGCATCTGAAAAAACACAATGTTTGAGATGTATCAACGATCGATCCAAGGTCGACATACCTTCGGAAGGTCTCGACAAACCTGCGTGAAACGAGCACCAATCTCGGGGCCAAAAACTTTTGCGAATGGTGTGGGTGACTGACCTATAACATCAACACTGGTTGCTCCACCTTTTCCTATACCAAACGCAGCCACTTCTAAACCTGAAGCAATCACAAACGGTAAATCAGATTGAAAACAAATGGTTTGGTATGGTTTTTCATAAGATACACGATGAACAACAGCCTAGGGGAAGTCCAGATTACATTGAATCGATCTTTCCTCCTTCTTAGTTTACAAAATAGATGTTTCTCTCTTGATTTAGGCTGAACTAGCCGAGAGTTAGTTTTGCATTCTTACCGATGAATGAAGTGCCAATAACAACTAGTTTCTTGTCTTTGCATGCGGCGGCTATACACAGATAAGAATATATGAATATAACTAACAATTGGTGAAAACAAACACGCTTAACGCCCGGTGTCGCTGAACTTTAGTCTTTACCTATTGCGTTGGCATTATTTGGACTTCTCAAGTAGCAGACATTTTGTAAATCCCCACCTGGGGCATCCATAACCCTCGGACTGAAATGAAAGGAATTTTGAGAAATCAAGAACCATTCTTCACCTTTGACATACAGGTTTTCCAGAAAAAAACGTATAGGGAGCTTCGTATGAGAAGAAAACCTACGTTCCTCCTGTTCCAATAAACAATTTATCATATTTCATTGTTGAACCGTCTTCATACGTGACTTCCTTTTTTTCTGCGTCCAGTTTGCTTGCCTTGATAACAAAGAAGGCTTGTGAGATGCCTTGTGATGTTATAACAACAAAATGTACACTGAAAATTCTTTCGTTCGTACTTCCTTTTCGAGCTCCACTTCGATGCAGTATTTGTCTAAAAATTCCTTCGAACGTAAAGCTATCTCGCTGCCTTTCTTTTGTAACATCTAAACAATTACAACGGTAGATGGATTCAGGATAATAAAGAGTGGATTGTCAAGCAATTCATATTGGAACAAGTAAGAAAGTTACTTTGCTAAGCATTGGTCTATCGTAGGGTAAAACATCCTCAGTTGTTGCGATGACAATCTTCCCTGTAAAACAAAAAGAAATGATTTCAACAATTCTGGAAACAGGGGAAGACCAACGATGCTCATGTTCTTCTACCTTTAAAGTTATTCTTCCTCAACGTCTCGGCACATTCGAGCGAGGAAGGACCTTGGAAAAATATTTCCGTACAAAAATTTCAGTTTGGATGGAGAAAGATGAAATTTTTACGCCAAGCTAAACAAATCGATCAACGCCGGCAAACCCACCTCCTCCTATCAAAAGAAACGTTCTCGCGTCTTCGCCGGGCGACGGTTGACACATCTTGGCGACTTTCTTGTGCGATTTCAAGTCCTTAATGATTCAAATAATTATTTTAAGTTCTGTTCCAGAAAAAAGAACTGACAGACTCAGAGACAACTTACCTCCGGATTTGCACGGACGATCACATTGCCATCAACAATTTGCGTCTAATTGAAAATAATTTTTCAAAATTTAGATGAATTGCAGAAATTGGAGGTAAATAAATCATTTGATGATTTCCTCTGTGAGGGCATTGCAAATTTAAATTCTATTAAATCTGGCAAGCTATTCGATTAAAAATTTATCAGATAAGTCAACATGTGTTTCTTTGTTAGGATCAGAGGAATGCTTGGTTTTCAATTGATTCTCTCAAGATAGGGATTAGTTTGCTTAATTGTGAATGGGATAAGTGGGAGGGAAGTTGCAAAAGACCAGTGATACCTCAAACTTGGGAATTGAGTCCAAACCAGGGAAGTCTTCTATATCACCAGTTGTGGTATTAAAACATGCCCCATGCCAAGGGCAGCGTACTCGACCATTCATCAGACTACCCTTGATCAATGGTGCTCCATAGTGGGTGCATTTATACCCAACTGCTGTGTAGGCACCATTCTCGCGGACCAAAAGCGCATGGCCACCATCGCCAATATCAATCTGCCGCATTCTAGGAAATCATTAAACAACACTCAAGGCGAGAATCATGTTTCTAGGAAGCCTGAATGTGAACTATGGTTACTCCTTGTCAACAAAAAAGCGAACAACCTTGGCAATTATAATGATTCAAAATGCTTACTCTCCATCTTTCATGTCATCCACCTTGCACGCAACAGTTTCCACCATGGAACCAGCCATTGTTGATTCAGACACACCTGTTGAGTTTAATGAGAAAGGTATTTCACTTCATTGGTATCTAGAAGTCTTGAGGGAATTTGAAACCATGATTGACGAAACAGACCAATCTAATTATGCTATATGCAGAAGATATACCCCACATCCTCTAGGATGGAGAGGGGAAGACTTCATCAAATCACCCACCCCTGACCCCCCACATAACAGCATAATTTACAAAGTGCAATTAGTGCATATTAAATTACAGGTTTAAGTTATATAACTTATTAAAATAGTTTCATTCTGTTTCATTGATTCACTTGCAAAATGACTTCCCGTAATCTAGAATTTCTAAAATACTTTCACGCTAATACTCTATGAAATTGGGATGATTATTCTCAAAAGGAATCGCACAAATGGTTCTACTAACCCATTTTGTAAACACCCAAGTCTACCGGCCTAAATATGCATCTGTCTTTATGTCCAAACAGAAGAAATAGTCTGCGAAACTTTCTTGCCTTCGAAAACGTTGCGACGAATGTAGTTCTATAACGTTTGACCAGACATAAACAAAACTGCTTTGAGCGAGTTCGATGTGAAAGTGTCTCTGAACGATGAAGCGTTGTCAAAGTATTTAATGACTTTGATAGACATAAAATACCTCTTCGGATTTGCAAGCTTTGCATATCGTTAATCGTTTACAAATTATGTTGTAGATTTATCAAAACGTGCTCAAATTTCAACACCTACCACGTAGGACTTTAATTAGCTGATCGACAAATACGGAATCTTTATCGCTTGTCTACTTGCAACCTATACCTCTTTCTATTTTGACTATATTTACAATGAAACTGTTTACAATATTTTTGATTTGCATATTTTATTAGTTTGATGTTGCTGAATATTGCATCCTGTCAACGCTTCAGTGGTTTGTCGAAATGTACAACATATTTTTTCGTTTGTATCAAAATGTTTACAATTTCACAGTAACCAAATGTGGAAATATTTTCTGCCACATGTATTGGCATTGTGCTATCAAAAAACTTTAAACATTTACACATAGAGTTGAGATTATTTGATATAAAAAACCACCATTTTCATAAAATATAACAAATTTATTTTCAACTTGTACAAGATAACAATGCTTTTGTAAATATCTAGTTGACATAATTTATGTCTAAATAATCAAGTCATTTATCAGTGTCCTTCTTCTTCAAAGCCCTCAGGTAGAGCATTTGCATGTGGATTGTGGAATAATGAGTGGTTGCCATCACCCCACGGGAAAGGCTGAAATGAAGGATGTAATAGTTAAGCTATTGTGGGGTTGCAAGCCAGGGGGAAGGTAGTTGGAAGCAAGTTCTTTGAAAAACGTTGGTACAGGAAGGACTTTTACCATTTTATTTTATAATAATACCTTAGTTCTTATCCTCAAATGAGAGAATTCTTTGAAGTCCGCTCTTTCATGTCCACTATGCTCCATTTCTCGGGAAACAGCATTATAAATACAAAAGGCAATGCCAGGGGCAGCGACGAAGAGCGATATAAGCTTCCATGTTTTGGTTGTGCCTGTTTTACAAGTACGTTTATAAAAGATTGTCAACTTTGCGTCTAAATTTCTCAAATCGTAGACGGGCTGTAGCAGTTTAAATGGCACACAAACCTGCTGCATGTACTTCTTCGGCTAGCATTTCTCCGCCAAGACTAGAGGCAGACGCTGTAGCGAATGATCGCCTTTGAAACATGCGAGTAAATATTCTTGAAATAGACGCCATCTTGAAAATTATTTCGTCCGAAATTGAAGAGAGAACAAGAAGGCGTGGGTACTAGCATATTTTAATATTAATTTCTCGTGCTTTTTCGTGCTATACTCGGAATATACAAAAGTTCAACTCTTCTGTGTTTAGGACCTAGTTTGAGACTCAAAATTGTCCCAATGTTTTCTTATTACCTTTTATATAATTTCTATTCAGTGTGGCGTACAAACGTTTGAAATAAATAACTTGGAAGCCTGCTTAATAGAAACCTGCATAATCGGAAATTTCCGAACTGTACTTCGGAAGGCCATCGTAGTTAAAGCACTGAGCTGTATATGTTTTACCAGCGCGTGGTGAACAAAAGTGCAACAAGCAGGTGCAGGGAGAGATCAGATATGGAAGGTTTTAAACGGTTTTATTTTCTTGTTTTATTGGGAAATATTTTCTCATCAGTAGCATTAGCTACAAAGGGTGTCGTTTCATTGGATAGTTTAACGTTTGACAAGGTTCGTATATCTAATGAACTTTTGTTTGCACTCTTGTACATAATGTTTAATGTTTTGAAAAGAATAAAACAGGTGTTGGAAAGGAAAGATATCGTGTCCTGATCAGTGTTTAGGAAAGATCTGTCATGCAGGTGAAAATTTTCCAATAATTATTATACTCTATTCCTTACCTTGAAGGTGATAAGAAATCACAAGGTAGTTTTAGTTAAATTTGACAAGCAATATGCTTATGGAGAGAAAGAGGAAGAGTTTAAAAAGTTTGCTGAGCAAGCTGGGTCACAGTCTGACCTTTTGGTAGCTGAAGTTGGTGTGTCAGGTGGAGTATAGACTTTCAAATGCTTTGTATTTCTTTGCAAGAGATTACAACAGGATTGAGCAAGCAGGAATAATGTTGATCAGTCTCGATCTTCAATCGTTTAGAGTATGGTGAAAAAGAAAACGAAGATCTTAGAGAACGGTTTGATGTTAACAAAGATGACTATCCTGTTTTCAAGTTGTTTAAGCAAGGACATACAGAACCAATTGAATATACTCAGAGTGTTACAAGCGATGATTTAGCAAGGTTTATTCGGTCAGAAGGTGGTTTGTGGTTAGGTAAGTGGTTGCTTACTTTCTTCAGAAAGTGATCATGGTTTGCAATCAAACTGTGTTTTATCGTCTCTTGCATAGTAACTCTAACATGGTATGTCTTTTTTGGTCAGGCAAGCCAAATACTTTAGAAAACTTTGAAAAACTTGCTGCAGAATTTCTGAAAGCTGGTAAAGATCAATATGATGGCTTCATTGCCAAGGCAGAAGAAGCAATGGCTGCCGTCGAGGAAAAGAACATGAAAATGGCAAAGATTTACGTGAGCACAATGAAAAAAATTAAGGAGAAAGGAGTGGAGTTTGTTAGCAGTGAAACTGCCAGAGTCAACAAACTCTTGAATGAAAAAATAAGCGACGCCAAGAAAGCAATGTTTAAAAGTCGTTTGGATATCCTGGCATCATTCAGTGAATATTTGGGTAAAGAAAAAGAAGAGCTCTAAAGTGAAACTTCAGAGTGAAATCATTAATCATTTTGTAGTTAACATTTTGCATCCACCTCCCACTAATCAAAATCATAACACCTGCTTTCCTTTGTGAATTTGTAGAAATTTTAAATAAAATTCTGGGTTAATTTTAGCTTGGTAATTGATTTAGGTTTTTTAACTGGTTCTAGATCTGCTAGTTTGGACCCTGATCTACCCCAAAAGCTGCTGGATCTTTTATTCCAACCAAATTCCATCAAATCATGTCAATACAAAGTCAAAATCGTATAGCATCATATTTATAATTCATATACCACACCAATATTTTTTACACTTCCAAACCCAACAATTTTACAAAACTGTTTCAATTTCAACTATCATAAATGCCAAGTTACTTAAGAAACCTTTCAGGATATTTAAAATCTTATAAGAATGTACTGAGCAGACATATTTTATAAAGAGAAGTTCAATAGTCCAGTAGAAGTTTTATTGATCAGACGGTGGGGTATCAGTGGTTTCCGGGTTATCCTGGGTTGCAGGTGGATCATCTGATGGATTATCCGGGGGATTATCTGCTGAAGTCTCGGATTTCTTCGTTGTATCTTCTGCTTTATCCTGAGGTTCTTCCACATTAGTTTCTGCACTGGTTCCTTCTCCTGAATTTTCATTTTGTTTATCGACTTCGTTTTCGCCTGTTTGTTTTTCATTTTTGTCATTTACTTTCAAACTCTCAAGTTCATTTGCTAGTTTTTCACTCTCTGCATCACTAACAATCAATCCAACCTTTTCCTTGCACTTATCAAACACTTCTTTGAACTTTTTTGCATCTGAAAGTTAAATTTAACATTTGTCTTATGAGATGGTGTGAAAGAAAATGTGGGAAAGTGTAAAAGTCTCGAGTTTACATACTTTCAGAATTTCCAAAGCGAATAGCCAGCGTTTCTGCCTTTGGTTCTTCATCTGCGTAATCTGCAGCTACATTCCACACCCATGCTCTGTCACTACCACAGTTTGGTTTAAGTTCCATGTCTTTCGACACTATAAGTAGTTAAAATTGTTTAAACACTGGTGTTTGGGAAGTTTATTCAAAGAAGGTGGTCTTTTAGTCTTACAGTGGGGTTATGGGCTACACTTAATTCACCACCAAATCAGTTTGATGATGGTTTTCAAAAGGCAATGATGCAAATTGTTAGCACTAACAATTTGGGAGCTACCAATTGTTAATAGAGAGTATAAGAATGTACAACGACGGAAAATCAACATGCCTCATGTATTTTTTTTTCTTAAACATTTATATCCACATGACCATGTGAGCCACCAATATATTAAACGCATGTGAAAATATCCAATATGATTGTATTTAGTGAGCACTTACACAAATGGTTTGCGCACACTTTCAATGTCTTTTCACGCCGCATAACTAGCCTGTACGAATGCTTCGCTCTACTCTTCAATATTTTAACATCGCCAATTCCCCGTTCCTTCCACTCTGGTGTGGTATCATGCTGACCAATAATATACCGAAATAACTTCGCTCTCCTGAGAAAGCAAACATAAAACTACATAAATTTTCGACTATCATGTGCATCGGAAGACCTCAAGCAATCCACGCTTACAATTTAACCATTTCCTCTTCGTTTTCTTCAAACGTTTTGACATCAACTTTTGCCAAATTTACAACTGGTTCAAAATGGATGTCAGGCGAAGAGGGTGCCTCTTCATTTTCCTTAAAATAAATAATAACGTTTTTATCATTTCGTTATTTTGTAATGAAAACATAAAGTTTAGATAACAGATAATACATAAACTAACTTGGTTCGCAGACATAATGAAGGATTATTCACGGATTGTGCAGGATTGAAATTGGTTTCTTTTTGAAAAAAGAACTTTGGTTTACCGGCGTTCTTGAAATTTTTTTGTATTTCCCGAGTTTGGCGCCACCACCAGATTACGAGGGAGCCAGCGGTGTGTTTAAGAAACGTCATGTAGAGAGCATATATAACTGGTTCTTTAACTTCTTTTAGACTCCATCTTGAACTGTGGAGGAGTGGTGTTTGAATATATTTCGTTTTGTTTCTTTTTTTTTGTGTTTTCTCTAATTTTACGTTGTAAGAAAGTAATATGGGAATCCTAGAGAGGATTGCCGAAATTGAAAATGAGGTTTGTCATAGTGAATTGCTGGTGAAAAAGTCCTAAATATATCATTGGTTTTGCTTGTTCATTTTTGAATGGAGTGTATCAGTTTATGTAATGACGTAGTCTTGCATTTGATGTGTAGATGGCAAAGACTCAGAGAAACAAAGCCACAGCAAACCATCTGGGTTTACTGAAAGCTCGGTTGGCCAAGTTACGCCGGGAGCTCATCACCCCCAAGGGATCTGGCGGGGGTCCTGCAGGGGAAGGTAGGTGCTGTACTTTTTTATGATTTCATCAATATCATTCAAACGCCCAGAGATTATTTTTAACAATAAATTTATTTGTTTTGTAGGTTTTGATGTGGCCAAAACAGGAGATGCAAGAGTTGGTTTTGTTGGTATAAATCTATCCACACATTTTACCTCATTGATTGACTCACAGTTCTCCATTTTAACCACATTTTCAGAAAATAGCTTAACAGGTTAACTTCCAATGGCCATTCTTATGAAGCAAGTCATAATGCATCTCAATTATCTAGGATTTCCATCAGTTGGAAAATCAACTTTACTCACAAATCTTGCTGGCGTGTATTCTGAAGTTGCCGCGTATGAATTCACCACCTTGACGACAGTGCCAGGTAGGTTTGGAAGGGTATTTGGAAACTGGTGTGAGTCCACATCCTTATTGGGAGCATCCCTCTATGCCTCATTGGGTACCTTTATAGATTATACAATAATTTTTTTTCAGGTGTGATTCGTTACAAAGGAGCAAAGATCCAGCTTCTTGATCTGCCGGGAATCATTGAGGGTGCTAAAGATGGCAAAGGAAGGGGAAGACAAGTCATTGCTGGTATAATTCATGTTATTATTGTCGTGGATTTAAACTAGAAGTTGTGATGATTCAAAAATCTTGTTCCTTCCCTTGCAGTTGCAAGGACATGCAGTCTCATATTCATAGTGCTTGATGTTCTCAAACCATTGGGTCATAAAAAATTGATTGAATATGAGCTTGAAGGTTTTGGACTAAGGTACATACCTACACTATGAACTTATATACCATATACTCAAATCTCTTGTCACAACAAATAACTGTTGGATTTGTTTAAATATATAATGATATACGAATAATATGAATAATACCACTTTTTTAAGGCTGAACAAAAAACCGCCAAATATTTCCTTCCGAAAGAAGGAGAAAGGAGGAATTAATTTTCAAACAACAGTGAGTTGTTCTGTTCTTATTGCGTTGGTGAATACGTCAGGGTGGGAAGATGAATCTTATTGATTTAGTTCAAGCTTTCATATTTCTGTTTTTCATGTGTTTATTTTTGTGTTTAGTGCGTTCAGTCAGAGCTAGATATTGATACAGTGAGGACAGTGTTGAGTGAATACAGAATTGCTAATGCAGATATAACTGTACGAGAAGATGCGACATTGGATGATCTCATTGATGTTGTTGAAGGAAATAGGTGGGCTTTTATCACATTGATTAGACAGTTAACTGTATATTTGCTCAATTTACTGAAGAAAATACTCTCAAATCCTGAAGGAGTTTGTAAATCTTGTTTCCATTGAAAAGTTTAACCATGTTTTCGTATAAATTTAGAGTCTACATTCCATGCATTTATTTGCTGAACAAGATTGATCAAATCTCTATTGAGGTGAACATTGACTTTCTTTATCCAAAATCTCCAAAGATGTATCATCGAATGATAATTTTCCCTCGGTTATATTGTTTGTTAGGAGTTGGACATCATATACAAAATTCCTCATTGCGTTCCAATATCAGCTCATCATAAGTGGAATTTTGATGATCTCCTTGAGAAGCTTTGGGACTACCTGAACCTCACTCGCGTGTAAGTACATTAGGCTGGTGCATAGCATATGAGGTGATAGTAAGGTTGATGATGGGTAGTGGTAGGTTGTAACATTTGGGTGATTATCATGGTTGATGGGAGTTATGACTCATGGTGGAACTTGTGATAGTGGATGATGACTGGTGATAATCGGTGATGATTGGTGATAGTGGATGATGACTGGTGATAGTGGGTGATGATTGGTGATAATGGGTGATGACTAGTGATAATGGATGATGACTGGTGATAGTGGGTGTTGACTGGTGATAGTAGGTGATGACTGGTGATAATAGGTGATGACTGGTGATAATAGGTGGTAACTGTTGATAAATGGTGATAATGGATGATAAGTGGTGATAATGGATGATGATGTATAGCAATGAAGTATGCTGATAATATTGGTCCTACCATGCTGTGTTGTTCATGATCTCACCCTCTTCATTTCAGCTACACCAAACCAAAAGGTCAGCTTCCAGACTATAACTCACCCATCATTCTTCGCGACGTGATGATCACAGTGGAAGATTTTTGCAATCGTCTCCATCGAACCATTATCAAGGAATTTAAACAGTAAGCTACAGCATCACTCAAAACTGATCCACAATGGCTGTGTTTTCAATCAAACTTCTTTTAGCCACATCTGACAATATTAACAGCAACCTATTTAATTTTTTAGCGCCTTGGTGTGGGGATCATCCGTTAAACACAATCCCCAGAAGGTTGGCAAAGAACACAAACTAAATGATGAAGATGTTGTTCAGATCGTCAAGAGGTAATTACGGGTTTTATGCTTAAATTCTTCAAAATTTGCTAACACCTGTTTCAAGCTTTTTGTAAGCAGGTAATTGTTCGTTATTCCACTATATAACCTCATTTTTGTACTTCAAAGGATCTGAGAATCATCATGAAACTGAAATGGACCACATTGGAAATGCTGTGAATGGTTAAAATGATAAATATTGGATTGAAAGAATTCGTAGACTCGATATAAATTAAATAGTGCTTCAGTTAGACATGAATTTTGTCTCTACGGAGTAAGAGCTTCTGACTCAACCAAACAATATCATGTACCAGCGTTGCTCGCAGATCATCAAAACGTTTCTTGAACGATCAGCTTTTGTGCATAGCCACGCGCGATTCTGAGGATGAAATAAGCAAAATAACAACAATATGAACGAAATATTTTATTTTAAATTGTCTTGTCGCGTTTGTCTTAACATCATAACATGCTACGCAAAATAGTAACGATCTTCCTCACTGGAGCTGGGGTAAGACCTTAAGATCTTATATGCTAGTCACACAATAATATCTCAAGACGAAAGCAAAGACCATTTCCTGGTGTTTTGTTGCGACACCGTTCACGACATCCATTGTTCCTGGTACTCCCAGGCAGAAGGATCATCTGCTGATAGATAATAATCTGCATCATCATCATCATATCCAGCGTTTCCGTTGAACTGGAAGGGACCTTCCTCATCTGAGTCGCTGTACTCTGGCATTATACGACCCATGTCCATGTATGGATCAAAATCTGTTCGTAAATGATAATCTGATAAGTCTTGTGTTGTAATATCCCAGCTGGGACAACTTTCCTTCGTCGCTAACACCTGGTCCATTGTTACAGCAGTGCCTGGAATGCAAAGGTATGAATGAGATACATATTTTTACAAACTATAATTCTGACTACCAGCACTACTGCTATTAACATCACCATCATTAGCAACATCATTAAGTCATTGTCAGGCATGACCACCAACCTCCGACGCTCAAAATGAAACCCTCTTTGTCCCCAAGAATCTCCTCTAAAATAGTCAACGACCCATTCCTTATCCTGTCCGATCCACTGAGGTCCAGTACTTGAAGACAGGGATTGTGCAAGGCAACTTGCATAACAGCTAGAAGATGTAATAACTATATGAACACACACTCTTGGTACAACGGTCTAGAATAACCTGCAGTGGTTGTTATTTTATGCTATATTGCTTAAAGCATAGCTAATGTACACAGTTATAGCAGCTGGATTATGAAAAATCTTAAATCGGATGAAACGTGGAATAATAGTCTCACCTCTGTCAGAAAGGTTCACACAAGATCGCGCGTGAAATTCTCGTAACGTTCCATTCTGAGCTATTGATATCACGCTAGCATCTGTTACCTGAAAGAACCAAGAAAGTATAACTACTGTTGGTAAGTTCCAATATAACCAAGGAGCAGCGTGGCAGCGTCTTTGAACAACTTAGCATCAAATGTGGTATAACAACTGCCTAGATAGACAAAACACTTCTCGACGTTTCGACCTGAGGGCCTTCGTCAGGAGAGTTAGTATCATACTAACTGAGTATCATACTAACTCTTCAGAGTCCAGACGAAAGCCCTCAGGTCGAAACGTCGAGAAGTGTTTTGTCTATTTAGGCAGTTGTTTTACCACATTTGATGCTAAACACTGTTGGGGCAACTGTTTGGACCGCTGTTTGCTGAAGGTACTCTGGTTTTCTACACATACCTCGTCCATATAGCTTATGACCAATTTCTCAAGCTGAAAACACGAGGCGAGACACTGAATACCTTTGTCCGTTACCTGATGACAAGCTTCTAGATCCAACACCCTTCAAAGAAATGATGTCGTGAAAAGTTCATGGAAATCGTTCCTCTTTTCACATCGTTATACGCTGTTAAACTACCTGAGATGAACGCAGTTTGAACCAATGACAAACATCACTGAATCATTCACCGGATCTTGCTTCGCTAACTCGAGCTCCTCCTGAGTGATTGAAAGAAAGGAATTAGGTAGTCCAGTTGGGATTTAAGATCTTTGCAACCATTTATGAAAGCTCTTAACTATATTCTTTAATTCAGTTACAATTTGGTAACGAATGTGTTTATATATAGTTACTAACCAGTTCAGTCAAGTGTCGTAGCGCTAGTAAGCTGTTGGTCGTGACTGAAAAAATAAAGTGTGAATCGTTAATTGCGGACAAACTTTTCTTTCTCAATTATTTCTCAATCGTTTACCGTACTTTGCTTCGAAGAGTTACAAAAGGAAAGTCGCTTCAGTTTCGTGCAACGCATAAAGAGATCAGAAATCCCGCTATCTGTCAAACACATGCAATTTGAAATGCTGAGTTCTTGTAAATAGCCACATCTTTTTGCAAGATGTCCCAAACCATCGTCTGTTAACTGTAAGACAAGGAAAGATAAAGTAAAGTCTTTAAAAAGATGTCTTATGCTCTGAAAACATCGAGTATTAGAAATCACACCTTCATGCAATCATCCGCGATAACTGTTCTGCATTTTTCCGTCAGCATGAAGAAGCACTGTCAGAAATATTCAATTTCTTCTGAGTTTCATTAGCTGTAATCAACGGCAATTATTTAAACTTATCATTTTTCTACCTGTCCAGTAATTCTGATATTTCCCTCGACGTCAATATATTCGAGATCCGAGCATTGTTTGAACAGCCACCAAAGCCTGATAAAATGATCTATCTTAGGATCGCACAGGATTATAAAGAAGAATGATCACGTTCAAGATAAGGCACACGACTTACGCTTTTTCCCCAACTTCGTAACATCTTTGCAATGTTATTTTCTACAGACACCGTAAAAAACTCTATGAATTCTTAGTCGGGAAGGATAAGACTCAAGGATTCCTCTTTTTTCATTTAGTTTGTGGAGTTATTAATGCATTAAAATACCTTTAGCTTCCTACAATTGCCGCTCATTTCTTTCAACGACTTCATTGTTGCATTAACACCAGATAAATTGACCTCTTGTAACTCCGGGCAGTTTTGACCTTTACAAAGCCATGAAATAGACACAGGAAATTGAGAAAAACTTAGTAAACTATAGAAAGAATACCAGGGCAAAAATGTAAGATAGTTACCAATCATATAAAGGGCATAGTCGGAAAGGAGTCTTGAGGAATGAGACAAGTCGAGAGATCTTAGATTTTGGCAACCTCTTTTGAAGAGCGAGAGCAAGATACGGTCTGTTAGTCCTGAAGAAAAAAATCGTTGAGTTAATACAAGAAGCTTTTGTGGTAGTTGTTTCAGAGCTGACAGACCTCCTGTTCCCTGGAAAGGCACAAACACGTCTTTGAAGTCTAAGTGCGTTAGAACCAACCAGGTCTGTCTTGCAAGTTGACGCCATCTTTGACAAACTAGAATAGACCGAGTGTCGTGAAGATTAGACAGATAGTGTTGAGGTCTGGAAGGTAAAGCAAGCTTGGGATGATATGGACTTGTAATATGAAGAGCTGAAGGAGAGTTGGAGAGATGATGAAGAGATGAAGGAGAGTGGTTGGAGTTGATGATGGAGAGATGAAGGAAGACAATCTGAGGCAGGAACAAATATATACCTCTTTCAATTTTGACACGTTCTTTGATAGTTAAAAACATAAAAATATAGAGCAATATATCATCATTAAGACGATAAATCTTAACATCAGTCTCTTCATTATCACCATCATCCATCTCACATTCTGAGATTTCACTGCTTTCCATGTATTTTTGAACAAAATTCTGAAATGTTTAAGAAGACATGAAGGGAACCATAGCATAATTTCTTGATGTGTTAAACAACTGCAGATAGCATTCACACCTCTATTGATTTTTCCGGATTTTTTTCTTCTGTATTTTCTTGAATTGCCCTTGCTGAAAAAAATGATATGGCTTTACAATGAGTTTACATATTTTTCATGCCATGTTAGCGCAAGTTGATCTTTGTCAAATTGACAGAGTTTTTAAATTTGTGAGTATAATTATTATATGAGCTTTGTGAAAAGAATAAAAATATCACAGTTTATCGGAATCTTGCATGCTTACATCTTCTCTTTTTCTCAGCTCTGTTAACTCTGAGTGTTCTGAAAGAAGAGAATAATCTTTGAAATGTTGAATGATCAATGGTTGGTAATTAATGATGATCGATTATGATAGTAATGATGTTCATGGTAATATGATGATGTTATTGGGAAACAATTGATGATGGTGGTGATGATAATGGTGATCATCTGATGGCAATGGTCATGGTACAGATCATGGTACTAACGATGGTGATTAACATGGTGATATGATAATATCTTTGCAGTATTATACCCACCGCCCATCCAATATAAGTTCATCATCTGATGCTTGTAATACTCTCTCAACTTCACTCGTGCGACTGAATGTCACGAAGCCATACCTCAATGAAAGAACAAGAAATCCCATCAATCCTCAAGATCTGTTGCGACCATAACTAGTATTTCAACCCCACCTACCCTTTTGACCTCTTCTTCACCTTATCTTTAACAATTTGAGCAAAAATAACCCTTCCAAAACTTGAGAAGAATTCCTTCAACTGAAGGGTCGACAGCTTGTAACTTATATTCCCAACAAAAATCTTCGGCTCTGTCAGATACACATCATTCTTAACATAAACATTTTTGACAGCTTTCAGCAAGGAGTTTGACCCTGGTACAATATTATCTTTACTTGCTTCCCGTTGAGAAGTGCATTTTATTAAATTTGTATCAAATTGTTCCTCCAAACTGCCAACAGCAGCTAAATCATTTCCTATGGGAATTTGTTTCACATCCATACAGGATGAATTGTTTATAAAAGTTATGTTTGAGAATCCTCCATTTGAGTGCAAGTTTTGATGAAGATTTTTTAACCCTTGAAATTTGTTCTTATTGTCCATGATTTCAGCATTTAGTGCGTCTAATAAAGGTTCAGTGGAACACACCAGGGAACACACTAATTAGTGTTCCAATTATGGGATCAAATGGGATCACTGTTGTCAACTGTAATTCTGTGAAAACCCCGAGTAACAAAGTCCCTAAATATCCTAAGATGTCCGAAAAAATCCCGATGTGTCCTACACGACGTTTTACTAGTGATGGGCGATACCAGCTTTTTCAAATCGATACGATACCGCTTCGATACCAGACAATTTGTAGTGGTATCGATACCAAATTTCGATACCGATACCAGAAATTTGAGCCGTTTTTTACAGTTTGTAATTTCATATACCAAACCATAACGTGCATTTATCCACTCACATTTTTGGCTTTTCCCTTTGTTTTTTCGCGAAATGAAAAATGGGCAGAAATTATTGTGATTGGTAGCATATAATTAAAGAACTAAGGAACAAAAAAGTGACGAACAAAAAAAAATAAATCAATTTTTTTATACTTTTTGGTGGAAAACGCTGACCTAAAATACTGTAGGCTCAGTATCGAAATTTTGCAGCTACTGGTCAAGTATCGATATTTACTGCAAATCATAAATATCGGTGAGTATCGATACTTGGTATCGAAGTATCGCCCATCACTACGTTTTACTATTTTTATGATTTTAAAAGACTGAAGAAGAAAATGTTTATGATTTTGCCGGATTTTTGAAGAGAAATAATCAGATTTACACAATTATGTCTCGTCTTATTGTAAAGAACCTTCCAAAGAATATAACTGAGGAGCGAGTGAGGTCGATATTTGAGGAGATGGGCCAGATTACGGACCTAAAGTTGAAGTTTACAAAGAATGGTGTGTTCCGAAGGTTTGCCTTCATCGGTTTTAAAACGCATACAGAAGCACAGAGAGCTTTAAAACACTTCAATAATACTTTCATCGATATTTCGAAGATACAGGTTGATGTTTGTAAGGATTTAGGCGACGAATCTGTGCCGAGACCATGGAGTAAGTACTCGGAGAAGAGTTCAGCTTTTCAGAAGAAATTGGAAAGAACCGAGAAGAGAAAGAAGGAATTGGATGGGAAAGAGAATGGCGGAAAATCGGAAGAGGTTGTTGAGATTAAAAAGAAGAAAAAGGGAAGTGCTTTGTTGTCAGATGAGCTGGAGAATGATAGCAGTTTTCAAGAGTTTTTAGAAGTGCATAAAAGTCGAAGTTTGAAGAAACTTTGGAGTAATGATGAGTTGGTTGAACACGTGGGGAATAAAGAGAAACAAGTTGAAACAAAGGTTTTGTGAATGTATTCATTTTCATCCTATGATAAATAAGCAATTACACATTGTCAATCTTCACAGAGAACTATAGTGTCACAATTATGTTGTTAAGAAGATGAAAACTCTTAAAATGAGACTTGTCTAAAGGGAGCCAATATTAATTTTAGGAAAAATTGCAATTTGAGGATTCCAGTGACGACAACAATGATGATGAGTCAAACAATAATGGTAATGAAGGTACTAATTGACTGTAGTGTGTGCATTATAATGGAGTTTTAAAGTGGCATTAGAATTTTTATTATTTTGTTTTCAATTTCACACTTTTTATATAAATTCTTTGTTGCCTGAAGATGAGCCGTTGGAAGTGGACATTGATGAGCTGCAAACTGGTTCAAAAGAAGCAACAAATGTTGCTTTGTCTGACATGGACTATCTTAAGAAGAAAGTTCATCTGGAAAAGAAGGTAATTGAAGGTGGTCAGAAATATGAAGTGAAAGACAAGAAGAGAAAGAAGGTGAAAGATGATGACATGGAAAAAAGTGAAAAGAAAGCACAAAAACACGAGACAAAAACAACAGTGAATCAAAACGAAACTAATGATGATAAGTCCATGGATTTTGAAAGAAAATCTGAATTTACCATCAAGCTGCGAGGACTTCCATTTCACGCCAAGAAAACGGACATAGAGGAGTTTTTATCCCCGCTTAAAACCGTCGACATTCGTTTGCCAAAAGACAGCAAGAATAGGCCAAGTGGACGTGCGTATGTTGACCTGGAGAGCAAGGAAGCTTTGAAGAAAGCACTCAAGAGGCATAAAGATTATATCAAGGGAAGATACATTGAAGTGTTTGAGGATAAAAGAAGAGAAATGAAGAAAAATGAGACAGAGAATGAACCACCCTGGATAGAAAACGCCAAAGAATTGGCCGAGAACAAAGATTTGTCTATTGCTGAGGTTAGATACTTAGTTAAATTTCAATCACTGGGAAACTACTAAACATAGAGAAAGAATAAATATTATGTTATTTCTTTGTTATTTCTTTCATTTTATAATGAAATTGTAATGGATTTTGTCAAAGACAAAGGGGAGCAATTGGTTTCTTGAATGTCAAATAAGATTAATTTTTCTCCTCTCTAGACTGGACGATTGTACCTTCGAAATCTATCTTACGCATGCACAGAAGAGGAATTGTTAGAACTGTTTTCAAAATACGGGCCGACGACTGAGGTGTTTGTTCCTATCGATAAAAACAGCAACCAATCCATGGGTTTTGCCTTCGTAACCTTCATGATGCCCGAACACGCCGTTGAAGCATTTAACGAGTTGGATGGACACGTATTTCAAGGAAGATTACTCCACATCTTGCCTGCAAAACCAAAACGAGGTGTAGAAGGCAAAGACGGCGTTGAAAAAGGTTTTTATACGATGTTTTTGATCTTAAAATCTCGTTCTACGGGGTATATTAGTTGTTAAGTTTAAGGACACTTGAATTGCTGATGGTATGGTTTTTAATATTTGTTATGGTTTGTTTTCAGATGGCATTGAAACGTCATCCTTCAAGAAGAGAAAGACAGAAAAGGTGGCGTCGCTCAAAGCTAAAGACCACAACTGGAATGCGCTGTTTCTTGGCGTCAACGCGGTCGCTGAGATAATGGCGGACAGGTACAAGTCAAACAAAAGCGATGTCCTTGACGTTCAGTCAAAAGGAGGCTTAGCTCTGCGAATGGCGCTTGGTGAAACTCAAGTCGTTGCCGAAACGAGGGAATTTCTCATGAGTCACGGAGTGAAATTAGATGCATTTGGACAGGTAAACATTGCCTTGTATTCTTGTACGTGCTGGTGTTGACCAACATGGTAAAACAGGCTTGCTTCTTGTATGAAACTTTCTGTTTTATTTCTATAGCCTGATGCAAAGCGAAGCAAGACGGTGATCATCGTTAAAAACCTTCAACATGACACCAAATTACAAGATCTTGAAAACTTGTTCAAACCATTCGGTCATTTGAGCAAGCTCGTTCTGCCGCCGTCAGGAGTCACCGCTTTAGTGGCATTTGAAAAATTGAGCAGCGCCGCAAAAGCTTTCGAAAAACTTGCTTACACCAAGGTGTGATAAATATACTGCATGATCAACTGTTCGAATCATCTCATATTGATCCAGTGTTACTACAGGAGGAAACCTAAACTAAACTAACTTTATTTATACTGGATAACTCTATCAGTTCTAAACTGTTCTTCCTAGAGGTCCAGTAAGGATCATCTCTTATTGATCCAGTGTTACTACAGGACGAAACCTAAACTAAACTAACTTTGTTTATACTGGATAACTCTATCAGTTCTAAACTGTTCTTCATAGTGATCCAGTAAGGATCATCTCTTATTGATCCAGTGTTACTTCAGGAGGAAACCTAAACTAAACTAACTTTATTTATACTGGATAGTTCTATCAGTTTATCCAAAAGAGAAATATATCTTATTCTAGTTCAATAATGTGCCACTTTACCTGGAATGGGCCCCAGCGGATGTCTTTGATGTGGAACAGCCAAGCGAAGCCACGGATGAAAAAGTGAACGAAAGCGATAACGAAAAAGGCTCAGGTGATGATTCAAAAATGCACAGATTTGCCTTACGTCTTGCTCATCTCTGGGAACCGAATTTCCGAGAGCGTGTGTTATATTTATTTTAGATTCTGATAAAGAAGCAGATGGACATGTTATATTTGTTAAAAATCTGAACTTTGATACAAAGGAAGACTCGTTAAAAGAGGTACCTCGCGTCAATCTCTCGCTGTTTTCTACAATTCTTCTGCAATTTGATCACAGAACTCTTAATTTATTTTCATTTTTTAGCTTTTCAGTGGAGCTGGAAAAGTTTCTAATGTTACCATTGCCAAGAAGAAAGACTCAAGGAATAAAGGTATCTTTTGAACCGTAAACATCTTCAGCGAAGTTTTCCTATGTTTCTCTGAGTTTATATGCTTGGTTTTAGGTGCAATTTTGTCAATGGGATATGGTTTTGTCGAGTATAAAACTAAAAAATCAGCCATGAATGCGATCAAAACCCTACAGGTATATTTCTGAAGCAATTTGCAGAAACATTGTGAATATAGCGTCTATGGGACCAAATTGTTAATTTTCGCCTTTTTTTAACAGAATTACGAGTTAGATGGACACAACTTGGAATTAAAAATGTCCAACAAGAAACAAACGTAAGCATCTCTTTTGCTTTCATTAGCGTACTGCTAAGACATTTCAGTAAATCGAAGAAAAATATTGTGGCTAATTTTAAATGCTTTGTTGTTCTTCCAGGAAAGAAATTGCAAAAAGAAAAACGTCATCTGTCGCAAAACAGAAATCATCCAAGATTTTGGTTCGTAATGTTCCGTTCGAAGCCACTCAAAAGGAACTTCGAGAACTGTTCGGGTGAGGAAGCCATAATATTACAAGATATTTCGCTATAAATTGCCTCTTTTGTGTGTTAACCTGGGGGATTTAGTTTCCCAAAACTACTGTAGAGCGACGGTTGAATGCGCTGTCAATGTGCACTGTTATTTGTAAACAACTTGAAGACAGTCTTTCATGTTAAAATAAACAAAAATTCGTTCGTCTTTGCAGGACGTTTGGTGAGCTAAAAACAGTTCGTTTGCCGAAGAAGTTGTCTGGAACTGGGCCACACCGAGGATTTGCGTTCATTGATTTCCTCACGAAACAGGACGCTAAGGTAGTTTGGAATAGCTTTTTCTATGTGCTTTCTCCTTATCTCGGGAAATAATCAAGATTTGCGGGGTTTTGGAATCTAAATCATTCTTTGCAGAGAGCCTTCAAATCATTGTGTACAAGTACTCATTTGTATGGTCGTCGCCTGGTACTGGAATGGGCTGATGACTCGGAGAGTATTGATGAACTGAGGAAGAAGACTGCAGATTATTTTCATGAACGTATCTTTGATATGCGTAGTGTTTAATGGTGGTGTGGCTGGGTATGGTAGCTGCATGGTTTTAAATGATGGTAGTTGATAAATAATGGTGGGTTGGTGGTGAATTGTGGTGATATTAGATGAAGTTTAGTGGTAGGAGTGTAAGTGGTGGTTAATGATGATGGGTGATCATGACAGATAACAGTGGATGATGATGGATAATAAGGTAAAATGGTAATTACAATTCTTAACCTGGGGCTCAGCAAAAAAGAAAGTGAAAGTAAAAGACCTCGCTGAAGAACTGGATGGACAGTAAAGATTGCGAACGAAACTTCACCCAAGTCAGGTATCTGCAGATGGTTCTTGCTATAGAGTGCTCACTGATGACTGATATCATATGCATAAACACTGATACATTTGCTGATTATGACATCAATTTAAGTTGAAATGCATGTGTGACAAGTTTACAAATTTGGACAGCTAAATTGGAACGATTCAGTACAAAATAAATAACCTACTGCGGTACTGCAATGAATGAAACTATAAACTATCAGCTGATTAAATATTGCTCCTCTAATTTGTCCAATTCCATCGCTTGCTTGATTCTTGCCAAACGCTTTTTGTTAAATTGGTTATCGTAGAACGGTACAAAAAAGAATATCTGGAAATGATGAATAGCAGATTATTAGGCAATTGAATATTATTTTGCTAAAAGGAGCGAAAATCCAATTTAGGTGAAGCCTACCGTGTTAAAAACAAACGATAAAGGGAACCAGACTGGCAGGAACCCAGATGAAAATGACCTTGCCTGAAGCAAATACAATGTAGACTAAGTAAAATGATTGTGTTGTGTGTGTGTGGGGTCACTGGGGTGTACAATTTCAATTCAAATATGTCTCTTTTCATTACTCACATTTCCTTCCGTGCCAGAAAACTGCCCCGGGTAGAATTCAATTTCGACCACATCAAGCCATTCCGCTCTTGTGTAACTAAAAATTTGAACTGTATTTCTTTCCCTGTCGACCTGAGGAGAATATACAAATATATATTTGATCTCGGCAGACACAGATGTATAGTTTGATGTGAACAAAAACATGACAATGAACACTATCTTCTTCGACTTTGTAGAACTCATTCACCTTATGCAAGACGATTTTCTCGTTCTCGGCCAAACTTGCCACAGCGTTGACAACTTTCTGAACACATATTTCTGGAGTAAGCTCTGTTATTTGCCATCTAAGAAAACAATTATATGTGTAAAAAGTTGTTTAAGATATCGATCACTATACTTTGCTACAGTAATTTGGAATTCCGATCAGAAAAATTGTTGCAAATTAAGTAATTCTAGAATATCGTAAATTATATTCCCGGAAATTTGCCTTTCTTTGACTTGACTCTTGCTAACTAATAGCACATGACAACTTTGACAATTCTAGTTCAAAAGTGCTTAGTCCTAAGCGAGTTAATTGTACAAAAATCAGCATCAAATTTAGTTATTAGTTTCGTGTAGAATTGTAGAACATTGTAATAAGTTCACTTTGTTACTTTGTATATTCGAAAACGTAGAAAATTGAGAAAAATTATACCTCTCCTTTGTTGCACGAATGCAAATTTTTTATTCCCGGAAGCCAAATTGCTGGCCGTAGTTTCGCTTGGAGAGGCGACTGTGCTGCACTTAATATACACACCATGATTCTTGTGTAAATTCTGTCATAAAAACACTTGAGAGATGGCCATTTGTTTTCAAATTATCTTTTGATGTTTTAATGTTTGACGAAAGTACAACCTGCGAAGCAGTTGTCATAGATATGAGGGCTTGATTACTCTTTTGTAAGATGAGTATTTACATAATATTTTAATTTAATGTTTATTAACTTCTCGAAAGGAAACCGCCAAGCGGTCTCCTTGGATACTGGTCCATTTTCTTTCAACTACAAATCACAACAACAAGACCAGGTTTGTAGTAAAAGTGCAGTCAAAAATTTCTCGTACGTTTTAAAGACGTTAAACATGTAAGATTAATTGACATATTTCTGTTTATCACTTCTTAATTTGTGCTTAAAAAAGGGAGAAAGTTAAGTGATATTATTTGAGTAACCTGCTTATATAAACTTATTCGTAATCTGACTTCGACCACAAGCAAGATGGCAAACGTTATGGTTGCGCAAAAACCAATTACTGACGTAAAGAAGCAAAATCAAGTCGACGAAGAAAGTTCGAACTCGAAGCGAATAGCATCCCCGTACATCGCTCAGCTTGCAAGAAACTCAGCCCGCCGCTGGAGATCGAAGCATGAAGCGATCATAAATAAAAGAATCGAGAAGGTAAAAGCAGAACGCAAGAAACGTTTGCGAGAGATGAACTTTCCACAAAACAGGATCGTGCCTTTAGATGTGTTGGCACGAGAGTGGTTGGACGACAATCCAGTAGGAATGGAACAAAGAATTTATTTGATTGAAAATTTATTCCCTTCTCTTATTATGGGCTTGGAGAAATTACTCACAGAAGTAGAGAAACGTGAACTAGTCGAGAAAAACACTGTTGCAACGTTTAATCCAGTAAACTACTTGGCACAGTACCTCATGAGAAACAATCCAAGATATAGTAACTTTCCAGAGGCTTCTCCATACGCCAAAGGTTTGAGGAAAGTTGCTGAGGACTTGAAGAGTGAGATTTATGAAATAGATTCAAATCAGTTGGCCATATTGAAATCAAGCGTGCAAGTGAAACGGATGGAGAGAGAAAAAATGGAACGAATGAAAGGAGAGGAACTTGATAGAAGAAGTCTGCTGCTTGAGAATATGTTTGTCAATTGGGCACAGAATGATGGCACCATATCGTTAAGTATGGTAGGTACTGCTCATTGGTCATTGATTATATGGTCGTAACCAAAATTTCTAGTATTTTGATAAACCTTCTTCATTGTCATAAGGTTCAAAATGCAATATGCTCATTCCGAGAACGCTCTGAAGCTTTGCCTAAGGAAATAAGAAGAGGTAAATCATCTTTGTTCAAATACATTCATTTTTGCATGCTCAGAGGACTAATAATTTACAATTGCTTTACATTGCTTGCACTCTAAACAGTAAATGCATTGATTTCCAGAGGCGTATTTTGCCATGGATCCGCCTAATTTTGAATCACAAGGAGCACTTCTTGGAGTTCATGAATTCAAAGAGGTCAGGTACCAAAGCTCAGCTAGCATACAAGATCACTGTAACCATCATCTTAAACACCATCATATTGGCACCATTGCTAAGCTTCCACCTTCATGCACTTACAACCAGATCACTTTTTTTATTACCATTCATCATTATTACCACTGTGCCACTCTCCAACCACCAACATCCATCCACATTACTTCGTATATATTAATTATCTATAACAATCTTCAATTTACTATCCAGATTCTGAACACATGTACCATAAGCCTTTCAAATCCTGCATTTGAAAAGTTCTTGGAACATTTTGCCCAGTGTGCCTATGACTTCCAACAGGCTGCAGAGAGAGTGACTATTAGGTCAGTATCAGTGCTGTAAATCTTTGCAACATTGTATGGTGTTCTATTTATGTGTATATTTCTAACATTGGATTATTATTGTTCCCTTAACTTCAATAGATATGCATTTAAAGCACTCTTTCTGGCGTGTGACCACGATGCGGTATGTGTGAGGTGTTATATTCTTTTTTGAGATCGAAAAAGCTTTGAAAATCATCCCATGATTTGTGCGGACACCACTATATAACTCCGTTTTCTTCTTCACTGAAGGTTGGAGTGTTGGACAGACACAGAGTGTTAGAAATCTTGGGCAATTACTACGACAGCTCAACTCAGGAAATTAAAATGACGTTGCGAAATCCAAGAAAATGTATGTTGATGGTTGGAAATTTGCTCTGTAACTTTATGTGTAGCTCGTGCGTTACCTCGCTTGCACGTTTAGATAGTTGGCTGGATTTATATTACTAGAGATTACTGTTATATATATATTAGGAAGCTTACGATACACCAAATGTACGGCGCGGACGTGAATGGGCTAAACGTCCAGACAAAACTCAATCCAGACAAACTTCAGCTGGTTTCAGCTATGCTTCATCTCTTAAACTGAATACAAACAACAAGGTGTCGTTTTCGCCTGGCTCAGCTCATGTGTACCTCTCGTGTGTTGATCTGAAGATGAACCATGCCAGAATTAAAGTCAGAGACAAACTGCTACACTTCCATTTATGATACGATAAATCTTTCATTTTCAGGGCCTATTGTCGATATTGAGGAGTGTGAGGATTTCGCGTTGGCTGAAGAGCAAAGAAAAGGGGAATTACTTAAAGAAGCCACTGAAACTTCTGACCCAAACGAACACAAACAACCCGAAGTGTTACCTCTAGATACAGGTGAGGAAAACGATGACATGGGAAAATGATTTAGACGTTGTATTAAGCTCTAGTCTTCCTTTGTTCCTTCTGGAGAAATTGACCAAAATCGCGACGATATTTCAAGCGATAATGGTTTCTCCGACGGTGGAGTTTAGAGGAGGGATGATAGACAAACATTACATGAAATCATTTTGGGTTTTTTGTTTATACCAGAAGAAAAAGAGGAAGAAGTGCCCTCGAAGATTTCGGAGACGATAATGGCGGAGGTGAAAGAAGGGAAAGAAGACACAACGAAGGTTCACGAAGACTTGCAGGACGACAAAACTAAGGACGACGTCTTGGAAAAGAAAGATGAGACTCAGAAAGATTCAAGTGAAGGTCAATTAAAATTGGAAGAAGAAGTTCAGGACAAGATCGAAGATAACAAGAAAGTCAGACCCAAACAATCTCTGGAATTCTCTGAAGGTTTGTGCGAGGAACCTGTCGTTTTATCAAACAATTTGTTGCGAATCCGCTTGGCTTTTACCTCCGTTAATATCAGTTTCTTGTGCGGTTTCCAATAAGAAATGTGTTATCTTTTTTCTCAGACGAAATGTCATCATCAAGTCACTCGATCATTACCGAGGAGCGGCCACAATCCGTGATGACCGGATCCGCATTTGATAAAAATCTTCTCAACCAAACACAGTTTGTCAATCTTTGTGAACAGTTCCTGGGAGACGAACCTCTGAGGTGAGTAGAAATCTCGTATAAGGTCCTATCGATACTGAAGAGCGATATAGCAAACAGATATTCTTTTTCGCACAAGATTAACTGGATTTGTCATCTTTTTCGGACAAATTAGGTCCGCTCTAGACAGTTTGGTGAGGTTTATCAAAGCCAGCTACAGTGAAACGGACGAAGAACGATTTGCGCGTCAGGAAAAGGTATGAGATAGTGGTAGACATCGAGAAGTTATTGAATTTTGCTCGCATTTATACATTTTTAGACTTTAGTTCTTCCAGAACTTCCAGTTTTGTTGCTTTATTCAAATACTTTAAAACTTTGTTTCAAATCTCATTCTCCATCCAAAGGCTCGTAAAGAAGCTCGCCTGAGCAAACGCAAGCACATGGTTGATCAACTTTTCGATTTCTGGGACGTGGACAGATCTGGTACATTGAATTTCCACGAAGTTATCGAGATCTTGTCAAGGTGGAAAGATATTTCAGCGCAGCCTCTATTCCAAGAATGTAAGGAATATAAAAGCATTCTTCCTAGCGTGTTAATGACTTTGATAGTAATTTTAAATCTTCCAGAATTGTCTGTTAGGCTCCGTAAGACAGAAAATCATCAGCCCAATCTTTTTATTATTTTTCAGATTACATGCTCAGAGCTGCATGAATACATCGATGCAATCTGCACATCGTGCTTTCCACATGAAGATCCGTTTGAACCAATTGTGATATTCCTGCATACAAGTATAGAGGTATAAGATTTGTACTCCTGTCGCATGTTTATCCGAGCTTCAGGAATAGCTAAAAAGTTAGTTTAGTTTAGGTTTCCTCCTGTAGTAACACTGGATCGATAAGAGATGATCCTCACTGGACCTATAGGAAGAACAGTTTAGAACTGATAGAGTTATCCAGTATAAATAAAGTTAGTTTAGTTTAGGTTTCATCCTGTAGTAACACTGGATCAATAAGAGATGATCCTTACTGGACCTCTAGGAAGAACAGTTTAGAACTGATAGAGTTATCCAGTATAAATAAAGTTAGTTTAGTTTAGATTTCCTCCTGTAGTAACACTGGATCAATAAGAGATGATCCTTACTGGACCTCTAGGAAGAACAGTTTAGAACTGATAGAGTTATCCAGTATAAACAAAATTAGTTTGTTTACCGGCATCAAATGCGTTCTTGTAGAGAACATTTGAAGAGAGAAAGCGTGGTGAGGCAAGAAAATCGTGGTTAAAAGACATTGATTTAGCAGCCAAGAGCAGTGGTGGTGTTGTTGACGTCATTTACGAAGCAGTATTTCGAGCGTTATTCAAAGACGCTGAAGCTCATGGCCGAGGCAAGGTAAGACGGCTCGTAGAGGAGGCCATCTTAAAGGATATAACTACAACTTGATTTCACTAGCGTTTACAGTTGCCAGACCGAGCGAATATCTTTTCATCAGTGTGTTGAAGGCTTGCGTTTGAAGGCAATTCCGAGATGTGATACAATTTCTTCTTCCAACATTTCCAAAGTTCACCAAACTCTCGTATTACATAACATAAACAAACCAACCCAAATGTTTAGCATTGAATTTCCATAGTAAATACCGAGGCTTTTTCTACAGGTCATAAGCGCTTCAATTGCGTTGTTGGAGGATAATTTAAATCCGGAGAAACAACATCGGGGGGAGACATTACTCCGCTACGTCGCTGCGACGCCTAACGATGCTGCCTTCGTGTTAAAGAAATGCTTGTATCGAGATATGAGATGCGCCAGTTTTACCGTCGTGGATTCTGGGAAGCCGATACATGTAACAAAAGTTAGTAGTCACCCTGGGGTGTACCTGTGGAACCCTGCAAGAAAAGAAACGGTAATTGTCTGGAGTTTTATACCCAGTATAAATAAAGTAGATTTCCTCCTGTAGTAACACTCGATCAATAAGAAATTATCCTTACTGGACCTCTAGGAAGAACAGTTTAGAACTGATTGAGCTATCCAGTATAAATAAAGTTGTTTAGTTTAGGTTTCCTCCTGTAGTAACACTGGATCAATAAGAGATGATCCTTACTGGACCTCTAGGAAGAACAGTTTAGAACTGATAGAGCTATCCAGTATAAATAAAGTTAGTTTAGTTTAGGTTTCCTCCTGTAGTAACACTGGATCAATAAAAGATGATCCTTACTGGACCTCTAGGAAGAACAGTTTAGAACTGATAGAACTATCCAGTATAAATAAAGTTAGTTTAGTTTAGGTTTCCTCCTGTAGTAACACTGGATCAATAAGATATAATCCTTACTGGACCTCTAGGAAGAACAGTTTAGAACTGATAGAGCTATCAAGTATAAACAAAGTAAGCCCATTTTTACAATTATTCCAATCCTCTCCTAGGGCGCCTGCGGATCGTTGATTATTCTTCCAATAAAAGATTACCAGAAAACAGTGACGGGTGTCATGGCTGTCGATACTTTAGACGATCCAATGGAAAAGTCTGTTTTTATCACACACGAAATTAGTTTTTATCAGGTTAGCCTTCTTTCGTTCATTTCACATATGAAATCTTCATTTCAGTTTATCCTTCACTTCAGTTCATTTCATATACTCTTCATCAAGCACACTCTGAATGATTCAAAGCATTCAAATTGAATCCACTTTTATTTCAATGCTTTCCTTATTCGAAGTTTGAACCATATTTATATTTGCTTTCGTAACGCATCACTGACGTTTGTTTCCAGGGTGTTGTGAAAGCTCTCAGTCAAGGAATGCAGTTTATCGCCGTCAGCAGTAAAACTGTTAAAATTGCTGACTCGGCATTATCATGGATACATCGTCGAACCCAGAGTGTTCAGAATAGTAATTTCTATCTCGTTGAACCAGGACTTCATGTAAGTACGAGATTGGGCTTATGTTTAGCCTCTACTTTATTTATACTGGATAGCTCTATCAGTTCTAAACTGTTCTTCCTAGAGGTCCAGTAAGGATCATCTCTTATTGATACAGTGTTACTACAGGAGGAAACCTAAACTAAACTAACTTTATTTATACTGGATAGCTCCATCAGTTCTAAACTGTTCTTCCTAGAGGTCCAGTAAGGATCATCTCTTATTGATACAGTGTTACTACAGGACTAAACCTAAACTAAACTAACATTATTGTGCTCTCTTGAAAATGAAAAATGATTTTTTCTACCTTCTGTTTAGCCAGCAGATGGTTTGGTATTAAGAAGAATGTTTGCTATAAATTATGAGAGAAAGCGAGAATATTTCACCGATAGAGAAAGACTGAATCGCAAAGATAACTTATTCAGGTGCATGTGGTATAACCTTATCATTTATAATCTCATTCATGATTGTTGAAAAAGGGTGTTGGTGGTTCAAAGTGAAATTCAGTAAAATATCTCAAATTTCATTCAAAATTAACCTCTGGCTACATTGTACCATTTCTAGGGACTATCTCTTCAAATGCGTGGAAAGTTCGGAGCCAATCACCGCAGATGCCTATGGCGAGCGCCATCTTGCTTTTCCAATACGTGGACAAGATGGCGTTGCCATAGCAGTCGCTGACATCAGCATTGGTGATGTCAAACTTTTACCTGAACATGAAATGAACGAAATTCAGAAGATGCTTCGGTTACTTGCCGTGGCCCATCGGGAAGTCGCGGAAGAGGTCGCCGGTAGAGAGAAGAATATTGTCCTCGGTAAGATAAGCGTATATTGAACTTCTCTAATCCTTTTTAACTTATCCTCTCTATTAGTTCTAAACTGTTCTTTCTAGAGGTCCAGTAAGGATCATCTCTTATTGATCCAGTGTTACTACAGGAGGAAACCTAAACTAAACTAACTTTATTTATACTGGATAGCTCTATCAGTTCTAACTGTTCTTCCTAGAGGTCCAGTAAGGTCATCTCTTATTGATCCAGTGTTACTACAGGAGGAAACCTAAACTAAACTAACTTATTTATTTTACTGGATAGCTCTATCAGTTCTAAACTGTTCTTCTAGAGGTCCAGTAAGGGTCATCTCTTATTGATCCAGTGTTACTACAGGAGGAAACCTAAACTAAACTAACTTTATTTATACTGGATAGCTCTATCAGTTCTAAACTGTTCTTTCTAGAGGTCCAGTAAGGGTCATCTCTTATTGATCCAGTGTTACTACAGGAGGAAACCTAAACTAAACTAACTTTATTTATACTGGATAGCTCTATCAGTTCTAAACTGTTCTTCCTAGAGGTCCAGTAAGGATCATCACTTATTGATCCAGTGTTACTACAGGAGGAAACCTAAACTAATTCAATTATACTGGATAACCATCAATACCAAAGTAGGCTTGGACACATATCAAATGTGTTACATGGGACCATGGAACGTACAGCTTAGCCTGGTGGTACCGACAAATATCTTTATTATGTCATCTTTTAAATTTTCCTTTTACCAGAGGTCGAAAAGCAAAATGATGAATTCCGAATTCAAATTATGTTTGACCGGCTCTTGTTAACCGACTTACGAGACAACGTGTCAAGACTGGATGCGAGGTTGGATGTTAAGCGAAAAACTTGTACGATAGACAATTCAATTTTTCAACTTCACCGTCAATGCATTTCAAATATCGTGTGAATTTTAGGGCATTCGCCGAAATCAAAAGTTACAAAGATCCGCCAAAAGTTGTGCATGATATTCTGAAGACCGTGCTGGGAATATTTTCGATCGAACAAGAAGAGAAACTGGAGAACTGGCCGACGTGCAAACAATTTATTAATAACGATCTCGTGAGAATGATCACAGATTATGATCCAACTGCAGCTTCGTCCTTGGGAAAGGTCGATGGCAAGAAATTGTCTGAAAACCTGGAAGGTAAACACTAAACTAAACTAACGTGTTCTAAACTGTTCTTCCTAGAGGTCCATTAAGAATCATCCCTTATTGATCCAGTGTTACTACAGGAGAAAACTTAAACTAAACTAACTTTATTTATACTGGATAGCTCTATCAGTTCTAAACTGTTCTTCCTAGAGGTCCAGTAAGAATCATCTCTTATTGATCCAGTGTTACTACAAAAGGAAATCTAAACTAAACTAACTTTATTTATACTGGATAGCTCTATCAGTTCTAAACTGTTCTTCCTAGATTTACATCGTGACTTTAAACGATTAAAAATTGATGTTATTTGTATTTTTATTTATCAGGAATTTCACATGGCAGTGTTAGCAAGCAAGGTTCGCTTCCTGCCCAATATCTCTTCAACTGGGCTTTTGTTTGTCTGTCCTTGGTTGAGCACACCGCGAAGATGAGACAGAACGCTCGAGTTCGTGTAAAAGAGGGTGCAAAAAAGACACGAGGAACACCTTCACCAAGTGAAGATTCTGCCTTGAGTGGAGGCGCCAGCTTATCACCGGAACCAAAGGGAAAATTAAAAACAATTGTTAAGAATTAAGATTCTTATAAGATAGCAAAAATGTATATATCCTATTTTAATTCCAATAATTTTAATATTTTTATATATAAACTGAACCTGTCCACAACATCAATCTCAAGTGAAGGTGAAGCAATGAAGAGAAGTCAGACTCAGACCTGTTTTGTACAATTTCATCCCATGATTTTCTCACGAATTTGTTCGCTGATATTATCATAGTACTTCATTTTTGATAAGATTTCCTTTGCAGCTAAAAAATCCTCTAGAAACAGATAATAACGCACTATAAGTTGAGCAGTTTCTTGATGCCAGAACTGCCTCAAGTGTGACCAAATACAGCAAAGATCATAATGCGCTACCTTTATCAAACGCTTCTGAAGCATTTTCTCTATATGACTCCAGTTTGCCTGATGAAAAGATTATTATATTTTTCAGTGGTAAGTAATTGCTTTGGTATTCAGTACTGGTAGTACCACTTGAATAAAATATCCTAGGTTTTAGGTAATGAAAAAAATTGGCAAGTACCAGTGTATTAGATTTTGTAAGTTGTAAATGAGTATCAGGAAAGCTTAATCTTTACCTTCCACTTCCCTTCTCAACTCTCTTAACATTTCCTCAGTTCCACTCTCAAGCATCTCATTCATTTCCATAACCTCACTAAGAAATTCAACATCACTTCCTGTGTCTCCTTCTTCTATAGACAGACCTTCAAGTTTTAGCTAGAATATTTAAACAATAAATTCAGTGTTATTTTATACTGAATAGCTCTATCAGTTCTAAACTCTTCTTCCTAGATCAGGTCCAGTATGGATCATCTCTCAATGATCCAGTGGTTACTATAAGGGGAAACCTAAACTAGATTGCCTATCAGTGCTGACAGTTTTAAATTGCGCCACAGACCAGATACAGTCCTCTTGATAAAGGTTTGAGCAACACTTGATATGCTTCATTCACAAGTGATGACTGGAGACTTGACATATTCTGTTCTCTCTTGCAGATGAAAGATATAAAGAAAGTTTGAATTTGCTCAGGGAATCGAAATCCTGCCAGTTAATTTAGCACGAAATTGTTTTATCTTTACCTCAGATTTAAGGGAGAATTTATCAGGATGAAGATGGCTTTGAAGGCTACGGAACTGCTCTGTCAGGTACTGCGTATCTAGGTCAAATGATGGTTTACTAAAAATGGAAGTATTTAATGAACATTAGTGATAGACACTTTATCATTAGGGTGAAATATAACAAAGTAAGCTGGAATTGGGGCAATTGCAAGCTCATTACAATTCAATTCACCATTCTCTGCTCTTACAAGAAAAGACATTGCATCTTCTTCATACATACCAACTGATTAGATCAAAATATGTACGATCTGAAATTGGCTCTTGTATAACATTGCATGATGGACAAAAAAACACAGCTTCTCCATCAACACTGGCAGAGTAACTGTAGTTACATTTCCAGCATCTAACTGAGGGAGCATCACATAATTCCCTTGTCCTTTTGGGCGAAGAAAAAGCTCTCTCATTAAAATAAACAAACAAGTTTCTTGTTGTACAAAGATGTCTTGTCTTCAAAATATTACTCCTTAAATAACCAACTTGATAAAAGCATCTAAGATTCCTGGATAATAAATTTCCAAACAACTTCGTTATTCCACGCATTTCCTTTCAAATCGTCCTATTTTTAACCATCCACTTTCCGCATAACATTCCACCTTCTTTATATATATAGAGATCAGTGTGCACCCGAATATTGCCTGAGTAGAAGTTATTCGCCTTAAATTCGGGCTTACATAGTCCGAACTTTGAACTTGTGATATTTTTGTGATGAATTCCTTTCAAAAACTGTCGAATTTTTGCCGTTTTGTAGCCCGGAGAACTTGGAAAGCACCTCAGTTTACTAGGCAGAATGTCCGCGCTGTTTCTTACTTGTCAGGTTTGCCAGAAACGCACGAGATGCTTCGACAAACTTGTCGATATTTTGCAGACAATGAGCTGGCACCTATCGCTGGAAAGTTGGACAGAGAGTCACTCTATCCAAGTGAACAGGTATGAATCATGTAGTGTTCAGTGATTTCCATATTTATTCCTCACAACTCTTCATTATTACCTCATGTTTTCCCATTCAATATCACAGTTAGGATTTAATTAATCACAGTTAGGATTTAGGATTTAGAGGGAATGTGGATTAAGATAAGCTATGATATATCTCTGATTACAAAGATTAGGATTAAAAATTAGGATGATTTAGGTTGATTTAGTAGGTCTGACAATTTCTGCAGGAGCTTAATGTTAATTAGTTAAAATTACACTTGTAGAGATAGAATGGAATTTCATATTATGATTGATTGTGATGTGCATTTCATGTTCCCATCATTACATCATTTCACAGATAAAAAAGCTGGGGGAACTCGGAATGATGGCAATGACCGTCCCAGAGTCCCTCGGAGGCGCCGGGCTTGATAATCTTGGATATGCAATCGCAATGGAGGAAATCAGTCGTGGATGTGCGTCAACTGGTTGTATCATGAGTGTGAATAATGTAAGTATTCCTTAAAAACTACAGGGTTTGTGTGACTCAAATGACAAGTCTACCAATCTATGCATTTCCTCCATAAACTAAAAAAGAATAAAATGAGATTTTGTGCATGCATTTAGTCGCTATACCTCAATCCAATCATGAAATTTGGAACAGATGAGCAGAAAGAGCGATGGATCAGGCCTTTTGTGACAGGAGAAAGGGTCGGATGTTTCGCCCTCAGTGAACCAGGTGATTTAAGAGATGAAATTTACAACCATAGTGAGAAAAACTAATGTCATTCTCACTCCTATGGCCCTTAATTTGGTTACCTTTAGATAATGGTAGTGATGCTGGTGCTGCAAAAACATTGGCAAAAGACCAAGGTGACCATTGGTTGTTAAACGGTACAAAAAGTTGGATTACCAATGGATATGAGTCTGAAGCTGGAGTGGTAAGAGTTGAGCTTGGAATGTTTTCAAATTGAGAATGTAAATTATTTAACATACCTAATAACAATATCTTCTTATCTAAGGTGTTTGCAACAACTGACCGTTCTCAAAAGCATAAAGTAAGTAGACTTCATTTGCACATCAAAACTCATTTTGAAATGATTTATGGCAAATATTTATCCTCATTCTTAAAGGGCATCAGTTGTTTCATATTTCCAAAACCAGTCGAAGGACTTTCTTTGGGAGCAAAGGAAAATAAACTTGGAATAAAGGCAACATCAACATGCAACTTAATCTTTGAAGATTGTGCTCTTCCTAAAGAAAACTTGCTTGGCGAGTGTGGCATGGGATTCAAGATTGCAATGGTACGTACTACTTCTATAGAGAATGTGGCAACTCTGTGGATTGTATATTGCCCTATTGAGGGATACAAGAATTCATTGAAAAAAATCCTTTCCTCCAGATGACTTTGGATTGCGGTAGAATCGGAATTGCTGCACAAGCCTTGGGCATTGCACAAGCTGCGTTTGAATGTGCGATTGAATATGCACAGAAAAGAACAGCTTTCGGCAAGCCAATTAGTAGCTTGCAGGCAATACAGGTATGTTTCAGCCTTGCATAGATGAAGTGTCTTATACAAAAGAGTATTTCTCTGATTGAATATTTTCATACCCTCTAGTTTAAGTTGGCTGATATGGAGGCAAAGATACAAGGTTCAAGATTACTAACGTGGCAAGCGGCTTGCATGCTGGATGCCAATGAGAATTACATTAAGGTATTGTAAGGCACCATAACTAAATTGCAGCTCATCATGGACATTGATATCACCAAATTCTTGTGTGTCATATTTCCCCTTAGGAAGCAGCGATGGCTAAGTTATCAGCTTCGGAGACAGCCACATTTGTGGCGCATCAGGTACTTAAGAACCTGTTACACAGTGCAATTTTTCCTGCAACTTGCAATGCAATTCTTTTTTTAAGAGATTTAAATTTGGCAACTACAAACTTTTGTCTTTGACTTTTGACTCTTCACTACTAATTTATATCTCTTAAAAGTAAAATTGCATTGCAATTTGCAAGAAAAATTGCACCGTGTAACATGTTGTTCATACTTCTCCCCTGTTTGAAATGAATCTATGGACTTCAATGTCATTGTAGTGCATACAAATTCTTGGTGGAATGGGATATGTGAATGACATGCCGGCGGAAAGACATTACCGAGATGCACGGATCACAGAGATATACGAAGGAACAAGTGAAGTACAAAGATTGGTTATAGCTGGACAATTACTGAAAGAATATAGTCAATAAATGCAGGTGTATTATCAACCAGGTTTGTGAGAGGGAAATGTGTTGCAGGGTCGGATCTTTACCATCACAATGTAATGCATTATGAAAAACTATAATTTGATTCATATTAATCACCATTCTCAAGAGGTTACTGTATATATTTTTACACAATGATAGACCCCAGCTCAAATGAGCAATAAAATAATTTATTTGTTCTTCTATTACATTGTATATATTTCTATTTTACCAATAATATCAAATGATTTGATTTATAGTATTAAAAAATGTCTTGATTATTCCTCAAAAACCATATCCACTAAATCTTGTTTCTTGCAATCATCTGGACCAAGACGGTTAGCCTATAGAATAAATTTTTATTTTAAGCTGTGAAATCATACAAAGGACCATGCTCTATGGCTGCACCCACCCCCCATGGGTGGTGACAGGAAGGGTCCAGGTACCTCCCATGGGTGGTGACAGGAAGGGTCCAGGTGTACTTACTGTTTTCCATTTGATCAAAGTGGGAATACCCGTCAATTTAAATTGTGGATGTTTTCTGAACTCGTTCTCAGGATTCTTCCATCTTAAACAGAGACAGGGAAAAGTCAATAAATTTCAAGGAAACGAATCTTTGAATATTGTTTCATTTGTGTGTATTGTACGAGTAATTTAACATACACAGGTCTGTCACCAACATTGCATGAAATAAATACTGAACCATCTGCAGCATTTGGTAAACTCTTCATTATGACTGGATCAGCTAAAAATATCAAACACAAACACTTTGACATCTTCAGACAGAAATAAAGTCTTGAAATTAGGCATATGGAAGTTTGAAACAACCCAAGCATTATTGTGATGGTACTACCAACCAGGTAAGCTGAAAGATTAGCTTTACCACAGTTAAAACAAAACCAGCAATCTTTGGTTTGCCAGTCTATTGTCACAGTTTAACTATAGAGTAGTAACACCATCACATTAATTCATCTGAGTTTTTGAACCAGGCCATACCATCATTGCAATCTGGGCACCAGCTATGGCCAGAGGCATCCTTTGATCCTGTAAATAATATAAACACATCATTTTTATCTTTTAGGCTATCAAGTTTTGATAAGAGTTCTGAAAGACCATTCACTTTGATTTGTTCTGACATTTTGTATCTTTATTGTTCTCTTGCCTTATGTAACCTGCCTACGAACAGGTAGGTGGGCAATTTAATCATGACATTTGGAGGATTCCCCCCTGTTTTCTATTGTACTTTCATTGTGGACAAGGGGGGGGAATAAAGTTGGTGCGACACCTGGTCACTGAGCTATATATTTGTCTGGAGTACTATACCAGCAATATGGCCGCCAATGTGGTGCAAATCCAGGATTCAGAAGAGATGGAAGATGAAACTCCTGCATTTTCAGACGCTTCTGGTTGTCAATTGTGTCTTAAAAATCCTTCTAAATACACCTGCCCTCGATGTAATGTGAAATATTGTTCAGTTGAGTGCTACAGAAGCAGAAAACATGTCGAGTGTTCTGAAAACTTTTACAAGAAGTGCGTAATGAGTGCGCTTCAAGGAGACACAGTGGACGAACAAGAGAAACGAAAAATGATGGAGATGTTGAAACGCTTTGAGGCAGAAGAGAAAGAGGAAAGTTTACCTGAAGATGAGTTAAATTTGGGTGAAGATTTGGAGGAAAGGCTAGAAGGTCTGAACTTGGACCTGGATACTGAAAAAATATGGGAAAAGTTGACACAGGAGGAGAAGAGGGAATTTCAAAGAGCAGTTGATGATGGATATATTGGGTCACTTATTGATTCATGGGTACCTTGGTGGAAAGCAGCAGATACAAGGTTCGTAATCAATGATGTATGTTGTACATGGGTACCTTCATGGATTATTAGGGAGCTCAAGTGTCTTTAGTTTAGTGTGGATACATGTTGATAATATTTCATTTAATGTTTCATTTGTTTTTAGCCACCATGAGACATTCAAAAGTGAGATGTCCGGGGATGATACCAAACCAAAACTGCTAAAAAATATCCCTCATTTATCTACATTGATCAAGTCCAAACTACCAAGTGCTCAGACAAAGTATAATCTCATCAACATTCTCTATAGCTATGTCTATGTCTGTAGATATTACAATGGTTGTCATCATGAATTCATACTAGAAGCTATTGACAAGATCTGGAAGCTCTCAGCAGTATTGTATCATACTGTAAATTGTTCCAGCTTAGACAATGCATTAAGGAGTGCCGTTGAAGCCATCCAGCAACACAAAGAGCTGTTTACATCTGAGGAGTTTTCTCTATCAATCATTGATGATATTTCTTTGCTTCTAAGAGAGAACAATTCAGAAATCAACTACGTAGAAGCAGCCTTATCAGATCTTCACAGATCAATTGCAAGTGCTATTAAAATTACCAAGAATGCTGGTGAGTCAAAAGATCGTGCAAAGACGCTTTGGCTTGTGAAGAAAAAGGTCCTGTTTATGTTAAGTTGGTTTCGTGAAAATAAAGACGAATGTATGACATTGATTCCTTTTCTTCCTGTCATAAAAGAGGCAATGACCTTAGAAGTGAAGCAACTTCAAGAAGAGAACTTGAAGATACAAAAGTCAAGAATGGGGAAATCTGGTAAAAAATTGATTGAAGAATTGAATTAGATAATATTGAATAATCATTGATGCTATTGTATAAGTACATGTATTTTGAAATATCTGCCTACATATAAAATAAAGAATAACTCATTGTAGTTCTAGTTCATTAATTATGTGGATGTTGGCAATCCATTATAAGATTCAGCTAACTCTAGCAGTGGTTTTCCAGTTCTTGTATACCCTTCCCCAGAGAGAAACTCTGCTGAGAGCTCCCTCAAGGTGATAGCAATCCTTCGTGATTTAATATCCTCTCGTTTGATCCCATGCATCCACACATGTCTTGCATCACCCTGGAGAATCACCAGCGAATATCTCGGCATAGGTATTCTGATTTCATACAATTTTTCCAAATTTGTCAATGTAAGAACTGTGTCAGACAGTAAATTGATTGTAACAAGACGTTCGCCCCAAAGCCATGTGTCATCGATGTGAGGGTCAATAGCTGCCCCACGTTCCGGACTATAGTCAAGATTACATAATTCAATGGGATGAAAATCATGAAGTTGAAGAATATCTTTGTGGATTCTTTTGACAATGAATTGTATAAAACTTGGAAGACCAGTGAAGTTGCCAGTTTTAAGCTTCTTTTTCTTGAAATTAACTTTAGGACCAAAATCCTACAGAAAATGAATACTTGAATTAGAAGACTACCCGGCACTTTCCCTCCTATCAGGGTCTATCCAGGGTTTGTCAGTGATATATCATGCAGGGGTAGAGTTCAACCTTTTCCCAAGGCCTTTGCAGAGGTAGAGTCCCCCCTCCTACCTGTTTTTGTCTTCCTGACTGTGAAACCCTCCACGGAAACTTTTCAATCTCTTCCACCATAAACTCCTCTTCACTTTTTGTAATAAAATCCTCAATAACTGTTATCCCAGATACCATAATCTGAAATATGCAATCATGTTTTGAGCAAGTTTCTTCAGACTTGCCTAAATAATCATCTTGTAACACAGCTGTTGAACACAATTCCTGACATTTAATACAAAACATCAAAGTTTTGATCTTGTTTTTATGACTTGCGTCTGTATTAAACGCGTTGATAAAGTCCTTTTTGTCTTCACAAAGTAAACAACGTCTTATTCCTGAACAAGCACAATCATCCATCTTGTTTGGCTTCGATAACACCAGTAAAAGCCAAAAGACGTACTTTTACTCCGTAATCCAAATCCGTTTAAATCCAATCTTAATCTAAGCCTCAGCTAAATCCAAACTATGCAAAATTAGTAATCTGCCGAGCAATTACCGGCAATTTTGGCAGCCTGCATCAAAATACGAATCGGAATAGCGTTCTTCCTTCGCTTCTGAGAAGAAGAGATCAAAACACGTGCAAAATATAATAATAAAAATGTTAAAAATCGTTTTCAAACTGCCTTTTTGAACAATGGGGCAAACGATCGGTAAATCGGTGATTGGAGAATTAGAAATTCTTGAAATTACTGGCTGTAAAAGTCTGGATGAAATTCAACAACTGAGGTAAATAATGATTATACCTACTTGATTAATATCTTTATATATTGTTGAATTGCTTGTATGTATTTATGATGGCCAGTTTTTTAAGGAAACGAGTAAATAGAAAGGGTTTTTTTAACAAAATCGGCCCGATATTGAATAGTGATACTAATGAAGTCTTGGTCAGGTTTTTGCAGGTACATTGTTGATTTGTTTTGGGGTCAAATGTCCCCATTATTGATCAAAATAAACACCACACCCAAAATCTATAAACAATTTTTGTGCACCTGAGTTTTTAACTGGTAGATCGTGGATTTGCTTAGAAATGGATTAAAAGCTAGATTAAAATTAAAATGAAGATTAGTTTTAAGATTAGATTCCGCATTAGATAAACAGCTTAGGATCAGATTTCGATTTAGAATAATTTTTGATGATTTGAAGTTACATATGAAATTTATTGTTTCATGTTTAGCCTCTCAGGATTAAACCTTGTATCTGTGAATTCTGATGTTTTGAAAAAATTGACAAATCTTCAAGTCCTGGATGTGTCCAAAAATAAACTATCTGGTTTAAAGCTAGAAGGATTTACTTTAAACTCTTTAAAGGAATTAAATTGTGCTTCCAATAATTTGGATTCGGTTGATGACTTTGTTTTGTTTCCGAATTTGGAGCAAGTTAATGTGTCGGACAATGTGTCACTTGAGGTCGCAGATCGTTATAAGCTGGTATCACTTTTGCCAAAACTTAAAGTGCTTGAGGATAAGGATGTATCGGTGATGAGGGAAGCTGTCAAGAAGTTTGATGGAGCTTTGTCTGAAAAGGTTTGGTGATTTTCATCAACATCAAAGAAGAGTGCTTGCTTTATTCTTACTGTTTGTACTCTTTGAGGATACAAAGAAGGGTTGCTTTATTCCTACAGGTTACTGAACTTTGGAATGTCCTATTTGAAGAAGCATATAGAAAGTCCGAAGATGAGGAATACAGAAAAGACTTGGCAAATGACTTTGTCCAATCTTTACAAGTAAGTTGTGGATTATAGAGAAATATGTATATTGCACTTTGATGCAGAACGAATAATCAGGCCTTGAACTATTTTCAGGCTGAAGTTGTCATTGGTCCAGCTGCTCTGAGGAAATATAGAGAATTTAAGGTAGATTATCAGTTACTTAATAATTTAAATTGTTTCATTGTGTTAACTATAATCTTATTTCCAGATAAATAAAAAGCTGTATTCATCCTGCAAAATACTACATTCATTTTGTGTATTTGGTTTCTTTAGTTAACATTACTTGGACAAGAATATGCTCAGAAACGAAGACAAGAAAAAGCGATAGATTTAAGGCCTGCAAAAGTAATGAGATCCTCCCCAGGTATTAACACCATATACGTCAAGTAAAAATACTTTATTTGGCATACCTTGGCTGATATTTGCATACTAATATCAGCATAAATCTGTCATAAATGCATATGCTATTCCATATTTTGTAGATGCTGATGAAGGTGTGTTTCAATCACAAGGTTATAAACCCCAGTTTAAGTCTAAGGTACTGAGATTTCTGTTTTTAACAGTGAAAAAATTAATAGTCAAGTTTGAGTATCGAAGCAGCTCTGATCGAAGCTGAGCAATTAATCATTGATTTCAGAGGCTTGGAGTTAACTACACTCAATCGGAATATGTACTTTCTCAACTTCTACAAACTCACTCACTAAACAATGATCCAAACGACAGACGAACGCAAGTGTGGGCCTGTGAATTTCAACCAGATCCAATGAACCCAGGTTAGTCATGATGTGTGGACAAATTTTGCTGAATATTTTGGCAGTTGTACAACGAAATATTGTAGATTTTTAATTTTAAAAAGGTTTATTTAATGTGTTGAAACTTGAAAGCAATAATCTTTTCTAGAGAAAACAACAACACTTTGTGCAACATGCGGGGGTGATGCAGTGTGTTTCATTGAGTGCAAAACAGGAGAAGTGTCTAAAAAATACAAGCAGCCAGGAGATGTGTTTTACTGTCTTGCATGGACTGTATTTCCTATAAATGAGGGCACAGGTGTCGCATATAGAACTGCTTTAGCTATTGGCGGCAAACAATGTGATATCCGGATAATACAACCAGAAGATTTAGTTTGTTATGATAGTATTGAGGCACATGAAGGTGCCATTGAGAGTTTGCACTTTCATCCAACTGAACCAACGTGGTTGTTTAGTAAGTATGCATTGGTTTCATCCTGCAATACACTTTTTTTGATGTCGTATTGTGTACGATTTGCTTAGACTTTTTACAATTGCTTTGTTATTAAAGGCGCTGGTGATGATAATCAAATAGTTTTATGTGAATTGGGGTTGTCTACTTCAACAAAAAGTAACCCCAAAACAACGTAAGTTTATTTCTTGCTGAGTTTTGACTACCGAGAGAGTTTATGCACAAAGAATGGCCCAACGCATGCAGTATAACGATCATATTCCGCGCTGAACGAGTTTTTCTTTGATTGTGTTAAGGATATTGATGAAAATAAAAACGCAAGGCATTCTAAGGTCCCTCACTATACCGCGACATGGTGAGGTTTTGGTCGGTGGAGGAGACAGGGGGTGCACTGTGTGGTCTATCGTCGCTTGCGCTAATAAGAAAAGGTATGGGGGACGACAACTTTGGTTTTAAATTTTAATTACATCTGCCTGGCACGGAAAATATAGTTTACTGTAACACAAAAAATATAAGTGAAAATGTTTGAATACTTTTCAGCGTTTAAGACTTGTTTTTGTGTTTCTAGTGAGCTACCGTTATACGAACTAAATTTTCCCGGGAAGAAAAAAGTGCCACTGGATTGTGTGAAGTGTTTGAGCGACCATATAATTGGTACGTGGAACGTGTACTTTTCCTTTACAAACGCGTTTTATTGTTGCGCGTGGCTTTTGATGTAATATTCATTCTTTAAATTTCTTTATTATCTTGTATGTAGCGACAAAAAGGGTGAAAGAATCGTGTATCATGTTGTATTATTCTGAATCTAGCTTTCAAAAGGTATTGCATTGAACTTACGATAGATGAGTTTCAGCTTTTTATATTTGAGGTTCTTGTTTTCATCCCTGGCAACAGCTCTGTACGTCACACGCACTCTGAAGAGGTCAAATGTATCTTCTTGACCTTACGAATTTAATGCCCTATAACTGGGGCCTCGGGCAACAAATTAGTTGTACGTTTACAGGGGCCGGTTGTATCAAGCCCGTTTAGCTTAAACGGTGGATAAGTCAAAATTAAATGACACTCTTAGTTCTCTCTTGAATGAGTCAACTTGAATATTATGCACTGAATATGTAGTTGTAAACAGTATCTTTGTATTATGGTTAAAAACATTTAGTTTGCTTCTTGAATAAAACGATAGACTTGCTTTCTATTTTGGACTTATCCACCGTTTAAGCTAAACGGCCTTGATACAACCGACCCCAGCTCTATGAATTGTGATCTTTTCATCTCTAGAATGATGCATCGCCAGCATTTCGCTTGCCCTGGAAACTCACAGATACTCCTTTTATCAAGTTCAACTTCCGCGCAGGTAAACAAAGGAAAGCTCGACACTTAGTAAAATAACTTTGTATGAACTACGCTCCTGAAAAGTACTATTATTATGCCCTTTTTAACTGTTCTTTTTTTCCCCATAGATTGTGATATTTTAATTGCCGGGGACGATTTAGGATGCGTGTGGATTTACGATGTAAACAGATGTTTTTGCGAGTCTAGACAAGGAAGGAAGCTCGAGGAACTCAAGGAAACACAGGTATAACCATGGTCAAAACAGTATCGTAGGGCTCGATGTCCTCAGGTTAAATAATACGGTTTCTCGTCTGTTTCCTATAGAAGTTAGCTTGCGGCAATGGGACGGTAAAGACCTTCAATCATGTGTGTTCGAGTTCAAATATGGACTACGTTGTCGCTGTTGCCGATAGCAATGTAGTATCGGTGTGGAGAAGGTTAAAACCCGTATAACATACAATGTACATATCGCGAGCCACTGCATATATCCAACTGCCTTGACAAAAAGCAGTTTATCACTTTGAGCATGTATAAAAATCCTGGGTCACAACTTTTTACCCATATGGACTGGAGGGAAATACTGCATTCCTACGAAGTTGAAATCCCAAAGGTTAAATTGCTAGGGTGGGTTGTTTTCCAGCTAAATCCCTCCCATGAGGAAATTTTTCTGTTTGTGTATATATTTTATATTTTCTGTTGGGTGTTGCTTGTCTCGAACCTGTCAATATAGCCCATGTGAATGCTGTACCGAGATAAATACGCTCTGATATGGTTTGCAGTCGCAAATAGCTAGGAAGGAGAACTATTAAAGACCTTCATTTCATGCGACATGTAATTATATTTGTGATCGCGTTATCTTGCATTACGTATAGTATCGTAAAAGACTAAACTCTATCAGTTCAAACACAATCTGTTATTTACAGCCCAATTTTAAACATCGCTGTTGAAAACACATCAGCGAGGATCCACGCGCTGACGACATCCCACGCGGCAGTCGCGAAACCTTGCCCAACCAACACGTCGTGAAATTCGACCCACGCTTCCTCTTGCTCCGCGCAAACATACGGAACAATCTTGGCGCATTGGATACGGTCATGCGCACTCGAGAGCAGCCTCGCTGCGTCACGTGGTCGACACGCACGCACCAGCGACGCTATGCACTCCTCGCGACATAACGGAGACGACAAGTAGCCATCGCCCACGAGAAGCAGGACCTGCGCATGCGCGAAACTCGGGTACTGTTCGAGAGTGTGCATGAAGTCGGTTCTTCGAAACTTCGCGACCTTCCTGGCGTGATCCACCGCCATATTCAGCCTTCCCTGGCGACACAGACAAGCTACGACCTTACCGTGAGCCTTTGTGTGCCTATACACCATCTCAGCTAGAGTGTGCCACCCACAATGGCAGACCTGCTGTCCACAGCTGCAGAATGCTACAATGCTGTCCCCAAGCATGTCCGAGTGCTTTAACTTCTCTTGAGATAACCAATGAACTACCAAATCTCGTCGGTTCTCTTCAAAAGCTCGGATCACCGCGTCCATAGATTCCGCTGCATTCAGTCCCTTCTGACCAGGATTGCTGCTGTTGGCAATCACAGCCTCGCAGTAGTTCAGCAGAGGTGATGTCTCGCCAGGCTGGGTTGGTTCTTCTTTGAATCGTTCAAACGTCTGGGCTGTACGGAGGATATCCTGTGGTGATGTCGCTGCAACTGTAGCAGCCTCCTCGTAGCAACCGCTTGTGAAAAGTTGTTCGAACTTATCCATGTACTCCACCATCTCTTCTTGTTCCTGTTCACCCGCGTTATCCTCTTCCTCGCTTGACTCGGACGCTGTCAGCTCCTCTGTTGGGAAATAAAGTTGTGAATGTGATCTCGTCTCTTTTGCTTCATCTATTCTGCCTGCGTCATCCTCCTCTATCTTAACTTACCATACTCTATCATAACCTATCCTAAACAGCCCTACGCTATTCCAACTTATCCTGCTTTATCCTTTCCCAACACCACCCTATTACCTTCGATGCTATCGATGAAGTCATCTTCAGTTTCGCCGTGTTTCAATGCGAGCAAAATCAACTCCGCAATGGTTTTCGGTTTTTTGGCCATGACCAAATCTCTTTGCTTTCTTTCCTCTTTAAGTCTTTCCTCCAATCTCAGAAGTTTCGTCTTCAACGCATTTCCTAAAGTTATCAGTGTCAGGACAGTTGAATTCAGCGAAACACTTACACAATTTAACACATAAATAATCACCGTGTTCCTTCAGATCAATTTTCATCTGCTCTTTTTCCATGAGTTTTTCAATAAGTTTATCCTTGGTTTTCCTTAGTTTAAAACGCTTGTCGAAAAATTTCACTAGTTCCATAATTTCTCTTCTTAAGCGTCTCAATTCGTCATTCAAAAACTCCAAATCCGTTTGCTCATCTGAGGTGTATCTTTCCAAAACTTTGACGTGAGAATTCCCGAACTTTTTTGCCCTAACCCATGGAGTTTTTCTATGAAAACTTTCGCCACGGATAGCAGCGATTGATTCCTGGATTTGCTCAAGTACGATCTCTGATTTCGGCCTCACCGGTTCAATTTCCGTGCGTGATTTTTGTCTTAAAATCTCGTTCTGTTCCAACAACATTCTTGATTTCTTTTCCAAATCACTTATTTGCTCTTTGTAATTCTTGATGGTTCCGAGTCCAGCAGCGCAGCTCGTCATGTTCCGATGAAGAAAATCTGCATCTCTCTCGCTTTGAAATACAGCCCTAATGCATTTCTCATATTCAACTTTAATCTCAGAAAGCAACGGACCAAAGCAACCATTATTTCTGATTACTTCTTCAAAACACTGCGAAATAATTGCGTGTCTTTCCTTTCGAGTTTTTCGATGGCATTGTTCGTGTTCTTCCAAACGTTTTTCCAACTTCTTTGTTAATTTGGAAGCGAAGTCTGCATGATTTTCAGCGTTGATATGCCATCCTAATTCCTCCTCGTCGACATAACTATTGGAGTTGTCTTCAAGGCTCATTTTTTCCCAAAGGAAATACCAGGTTACTACAGTATTCCGGAAGAATTTGCAGGTTTCAATTTCTGCATCAATTGGAAATCGTTTGCACGCGTCATAGCTTCTTGCGTGACAGAGTGATTCAAAATTTAACCGTTAAATGGTAAGGCATATGGCTGTTATAAAGTTGCGGTAACTTGCTATAAGCTCCAAGAAGTTCTTGCAAATTGATGACACCATCTTTGTAGGGGGGTGTGGGACAAAACTGTTTCAACAACCAGGGACAATTTGGGCGTTTTTAGCCGTGAAGTCTATTGCGAGTAAGAAGTCAGGTTGTGCGATTAACGACATCAAAAGTTGAAGAAAATGTCTGTATGCATTTAGAAATAGAAAATAAAAATTATTTTCACTTTGGTAAAACTCGGTGCTTGCACTGATGACTTCAGGGGGGAAAGCAACTAGGAAAAGCTTTGTAAACGTCGCTTCCCCCGGAACAGAGCACCTCGTTACCAGGCCTGCAACTCGTACGCGGAGGTATGGCGACCAGACATGAGGCACCGAAATTCCGAAATAGCCTTCACTCCCCCCCCCGGAAAACGCGTGGCAAAACGCGTGGCGAAATCCAACATGGCCGCCAATGTGGAAATCCAGGATTTAGCAGCTGATAAATTCTGTGAGAAGAAATAAAGTTTACTGGAAATAATTCCGTCAAAAATACAAAATAGCTGTTTCGGAGGCCGCGGGGATTGCTTAAGGACAATATCTGAAAGGTTTTGTTAGAGATACGAGTATGAAACGAGCGAAAAAAGACGATGATGAACAGGCGACTGGAGAGCCTTCAAACAAAAAAACTTTCATGGCTATACCACCTGTTAATGTTGGTCCTGTCTCCACTGAGGTTTGTATATTGTAGTTTTAACTCAGTATTAAATATTGTTGTCATCAAGATAATTTATTGAGGAAATACTAATCAATCAATAATTGTCATTATTTGTCAATAATCAATGTTAATTGATAGTATCCGCAGATCGCAAACATAGATGTTGGAGATATACATGAAAAGACAAAGACTATATTAAGAATGCTGGTCAATATCGTAGCTATGGTTGTTTTCTAGGAGGAAATGGATATTCAGGTTTTGAGGTTTCAGAACAAGAAACTTGGAGAACGACTGGAAGAAATGAAAGTTGAGGAGGAGAACTTGAAGATTCAAATTGAAGAATACAAGAAGAGAGAAAGAGATAACACAGAATTATTGTCTGTAATACACCGTGCTTGGAACCAGGTTATTGTGGCTTTGACCTACTACACTTGGAATATAGAGCCTTATCTGAGGCTTTGGCAATCTATCCAACAAGCACATTTTATTGTCATGTCTCTAACACTGTGTGCTTCACGGGTGGATCCAGCACTAGTGCACTAATTTGCATGACATAAGAAAACTGCTAAAAATAACCACTTTGTTTTGTAATGCAATTAGTGCACTAGTGCTGGATCCACCCCTGGTGTGCTTGTATTCCACCCAATGCCTGGCAGCTTGCATACATTTCAAACTCAAACTGTATCCAATTCATTCTTATTTATATTCCTAGTCCAAAACATTAAATGTGATGCAATTGTTATTTTAGATGGAAGAGGAGACAAGATTGTTGGTTGAAAGATTTGAACAGCCCACTAGTGAAGAAAATCAAGATTTAGGTAAGATGTACAGCCATGCATACTTGAGTAATCCATTCTTTATAATATAGCTGCTTTTTGCTACTAAATCCTTTGTGGATTGATTTGTCTGTTCAGTTCTAGATGAGATGACAAGTATTTCATTTATAAAACATCTGAAACAAGTGACTCCTGCCGAAAGGGAAGATGAACTGACAAAAAAGATATCTGCATCAAGGGATATCATTGCGAAGCTGTTAGAGCTTGTCAAAAATGCTGAGAAGAACAACAAAGATTTAGTCCAACAACTGAACGAAGGTATGTAGCTTGTAACAGCATAGGTCATATCTTGTAACAGCCATAGTAGGTTGAGACTTGATCTGCTTTGTGGCATATGTAAACACTCACATGTTTTATCCTGGGTTTGAACAGAAGGTTCTGTAGAAGAGGTCACCAGAGAAACAATGAATAAGTTGATCAAAGAGAGTGAAAATCTTCAGAAGTTAGTGGCCTCTCTTCAAGAACAGCATTCAACAAACTCCCTTGAGGTACAAGGTTACAGATTTTTATATAGACATCTTGGAAGAACAGTTTAGAACTGATAGAAAAGTTTAGTTAAGAAATTATAGAGCAGTTTAGGTTGGTATGCAGCTGGGTCACTGATATTTTCTCTGGTGTCATTCAGTTTGCAGAACTTCGTAACAAGTATGCGATGGCCCAAGATGAACTCTCAGAGAAGAACACAAGCTTACAGGAGGCAGAATATGACCTGCAGAAACGCAACCACAGAGTTGAAAGGTTGCTGAAAAGACTCAGTGAAGTCGAGAAGCAATGCAAGACATTGCCAGCTGGTACTACCGTTGAGAAATCTGTCAAAGGGGAACAGCCTTTGAACACAGGAGAGGTATGAAATCCTTGTGTGGGAATATTCCTCTCCACTCCAGTGGCTGAACTTGCCAGAAAAGTTAGTTTCCTCTCATACTATTTTGTTTCACATTATCTCCTTGCATCTCATAGGCCATCAAGATGCAATCCGATTACGAAGAGCAAAAATTATTGGCTGAACAACGTCTTGTTGAGTTGGAGAAACTGACAGAAAATTATAAAGGCTCGCTTGAGGAAATTGAAAAGCATAAAATGGAAGCTTTGCAGATTCCAGAATCTGTGGTTCTTCAGTCAGCCCCATACAGAACCCTACAGTCTCAATATTCTGTCATCTTTAATGAACTAAATCTGGTATGGCTGCTATAAAAATATCCTTCATCTTTGCAGATAGAAATATGTTATTGGTCCCCTTCCAAAAGTTCCTTTCGCTCTGGCTAAGAAGAGCCTAAGTTGGGCATAAAAACGTACAAGTGTTGGGCAAAAGTATTACAGGAGAAATCCTTGATCTTCAAAATTTTTCCCTAGGCACGACAACAGCTTGAAGAAATTAGAAGGATTGCAAACAACAGCAGAACTCAACATATTCTTCAACTTGAGCAGTTGGAGGTAAGAGATGGGTTTTCTAGCATTTGTGATGCTATTTTGCAGTAACATAATGGATATTCGTTACTTTCGCCAGAACGAGAGCTTGGCTGTGCAGAAAAAATTCCAAGCAGAGATTGCTCGGGTCGAAGATGCTCTGATGCAAGTTCGTCGTGATTATGAGTTGTTGCGAATGAAATATGAGCACTATTTGAAAACAAATGAACAGACTGGTAGGGGAAAATAAGTCCAGTTATATTGTGATTGAGACCGCTGCATGCAGAGGATTGGCATTAGAGTTTAGGGTCATGATTATGGATTGGATTAAGGGATTATGATAAGAGGAAAATGTGTTTTCTGTGTTTTAGGTCCAATGATTAAAGAAATGGACAACATTATAAAGAGCTTACAAGTATGAGTTAATAAATATATCAATCTTCCACTTGTATTTTTTTTACAATACCCTGAATGATTTTGTGTTTTCAGAACAGCAACAGGCAACTTAAGGTCGAAATTGGACGTTTCAAAACAAAACTTGCCAAGGAAGAAGAGGAGACAAAAAGAGTGAGTCATATGAAATGTTCTGATCTAACTTACAGTTTTACATAAAAATACATGGATTAAACAGGAACGGGTTTGTTGGTTGTCATGAAAACTAGAGTTTTATCTTGTTAGCTGCATGCTGAGTTGGAAAACATAATCTCAGGAAAGAAGCCAGTGGTTGATACACCTGTTGCCGAGGAAACCACGGCAGACGCCACAGGGTCTGCCCCAACTGAGGAGGAAAAGACTGGGGAGAAGGAAAATCAAGAGGATGGTGAATTGCCCACAGAAAGCGACGAATTGAAAGCTCTGAAATCTGAACTAAAGTATGTCTGGAGTGTGAAGGTGGCATTTCTATGAGAGGATGGTGGCTGAGAGTCACTGTTATTTGTGTTTGTATCCTTAGACAATCTCAGGAAAGTCAGAAAGAGATGAAAGTTATGTTGGATGTTTATAAAGGTGCTTCGAAAGACAATAGAGAAAAACTTGAAGTAGGTTAAGATCTAAAGTTGTATGGGATGGGATGGGATAGGAAGGGATGAGATGGCATTAGGATGGGATTGTATAGGATGGGATGAGATGAGAAGGGGTGGGATGGGATGGGATGAGAAGGGAAGGGATCTGATAAGAACTGGATGGTGTCTATTTTATGGTGTGTATTATAGTTTTGGTTCAACATAGTTTTGTTTTTCTCAGATGCTAACAAACGAGAAACGTCTGAAATCTGAAATTGAAGAACTTCACGCAAAGATTGCCGAAGGCAAGCAAGAAATTGAGAAATGCAAAGCGGCCATGGCGGATGAACTGGCTTTGAAAAGACTAAAAGCAGCGAACGAAACAATCGAGATGTTGCAAAGAAAAATAGCAGCCACAAAACAGGTACAAGAACAACGTTCATTACCTTGAAACTCTCTGTTTGCTCTCCCCAACTGATGAAACACAGCCTGACAGCCATGCTAGCTAAATATTGCGTCATGACGCCACTGTAGGAAGAAGACGCGCTGCTTTCAGAAATGGAGTTCACAGGACAAGCCTTTGAGGAAATGCAGGAGCAAAATATTCGCGTTCTGCAAGAATTACGCGAGAAAGAAGAAGCTAACTTGAAACTGATGTCTGAAGTAAGAAAAACGAAAGAACCCCCCCCCGTCTCATCTCTCAACTCCGTCTAACCCCCCCCCTTCCGCTCTGAAGTAAGAAAAACTGAAGATCCCCCCCGTCTCAATTCTCAACTCCCTCTAACCCCCCCTCCCGCGCTCCTATCTGTTCAATAACACTCACTTAAACCTGACTATTTTTCATGCGATATCCCGAATGCGAATCACTTATTGAGAATTAATGGGAACGATTCGTTTATTTTAGCGAATTAAAGGAGATCAGATCCAGAAACAGCTGAAAGAAGAGAAAGATGTAATGGCGGACCAAATCACTGCGCTGAACTCGCATATTGATGCTCAGGAACAAGTCATTAAAAAGCTTGAGGAACGGGAGAGAAGCCTACAATCAACGCTGGTTGGTTCCTTGTTATTTATTACTCCATTTTTCTAACAAAAAAACATCAACTAATGTTTGTTCATATCACTGCTGTAGTTATCCATTGACAAAGAGCTTGTACTTCGGCAACAGGCGATGGATCTTCATAAAAGAAAGGTAATGTGTTGTCCAGGTTATGATATGATGGATTGCTTGGTTTATCTGTTGTTGTTCAATGGATTCACACTTGAATTTAATCGGTTATTCTTCTCTGGGTGTTATAGGCTACTGAAAGTGCTCAGACTGCGCAAGATTTTAAAATTCGTATTGAGTCCTTTCAGCAGCAGTTACAAGAGGTATTGTAATCTAAAGAATACCTGAGTCTGGCTTCGGTAACGGAGATGATGAAAGACACATGTACTAACCACTGTGTTTGGTAGAGTCAAGCTTGAAGCACTCTTCTCACATGTGACTGAGTTGAAATTATAATCAGACAACTGCATATTACAGGAATCAAACCTCAGTCACAGAGATGAATGACACATGTTCAAGAACCGTTTACAAACCAACCTTTTCTGATGCACCATCAAATTCCTTTCAGGCAGAAAAGTCTTTGAGAACCAAAACAAGATCTTTAGAAGAGGAAATCTTCCGCAGCAGACGAATGCAGGTTCCTCTTTACTTTTTTTAAATTTTATCTTTGAATTTACCTGCAAAGCCTTTTCTAAACGCCTTCTTGAACTTCATTTCCACTGCTCTTAGGAGGAGATTTCGAGTTTTAAACGGAAACTTGAGAAACAGAAGAAAATGGACGTCTATGGAACGGCAGATGAAATACTTCTGGAAGAAATCAAGGAATATAAAGCAAGACTCACATGTCCTTGTTGTAACACGCGACAGAAAGACGCTATCCTAACCAAATGCTATCATATCTTTTGTTTTGAGTGTTTGAAGACACGTTATGACACAAGGCAACGAAAATGTCCAAAATGCAATGCAACATTCGGAAATAATGACTTCAAGAAGGTCTATCTGTAGTGGATGAAAGTGAACAAATAGGTTTTTAAAATCTTATAGATTGTAATTTCGTTTAAATATTGTAATATACGCCTCGCTTTTATTCTATCGTGGGTGGCTCATGGTGGAGACATGTATGAATACAGAGACTCACCACTGATCTGATAAAACACCAATTTTTTAGACGAGTAGGGCTATACTTTTCATAGTATGGTACTTTTTGAACCTATCCCTAGACAGGATCACAAATTTCAGGCATTGACGTTCATAATTTCATCTCCTATATTCCCCATGAGCAAAACGATTTAAGTGCATGTGTGGGAGGTTCCATTAAATCTCAAGCTTCCGTCTGCGTTTTATATTTTAGACAGGCTTAAACCTATCCCCATATCATTTTATTATCCTCTGGTGTTGACGGTCTCTGGCACATGATTATTGTTTTCATTGACCGTGTTTGGTCAATGGTTTGTTGTTTGATGCAATGGCGAAAGACACGTGATGCTCTGGCAATCAGGGGACAGCACTAAAGACATCAACACTCAGGTTTTCTCCATAAGACAATGTGGGATCAAATCCATTTCAACCTTGGAAGATGCATTTCGTTGATGGTGCAAGTTCGCCTCGCAAATCATGCTAATGTTTGCGCAAAGTATCGATTTCAGTTAATCAGCAATCAATGGAGTTTTTGAGGAATCGATTCGATTCACGTCCGATGAACAGTTTATGGACGCGATAAAAGAATTATCACACCTCGTGTTCTGTTTTTTACCAAGTTTTTAATAGTTCCGCTTGGAACTATTAAAACTTGTTTCAGGCCCACTGTAATTCAGTCACATGCTGTTATTGTTGTTTAGTCATTGCGAAACATCCGTATTCAAATTAAGATACAATCGCTAAAAATGAGGGAGAAATATCCAGTAATTTTACTAAAGGTTTTGTATCAGCAAATTAAACATTAGTTGCCTTTTAAAAAATAATTTGGAGAGAAAAAGTTTAAAAAAGTGTATTTCTGAGAGTGTTTTGAATTACTCGTGTGGTCGAATCATAAGACTGACGCAGTGACGCTTTACTTCCCAAAAATCGGAATGTTTTGGTTCTAATCGGAAAACACCCGCGTAATACATTCTGCGAATCGTCACATATTTTCCGCTTCAAATAAATCTGTTAGTTTGATTCAGGCAGTCGTCGAAGCAGCTTCGTTTATCTGAAAAATGAAGTACCCGTTCATCCAAAGAGTGTAAGTGTAATTTAAACCTTGAACTAACCCTAAATAATCGCGTAAATTTGAATTAAGTGCGCGAAATCATCCTGAAATGCGCGCGATCGGAATGCGCATGCACACCGAAAGTTGTACCGCTGTTTCCTCGTACGGCGGGCGAAAAAGGTGGTTAATTTTTTGGTCAAACCTTCAAAACTGTCAAGGATGTAAAATCGAATGAAATTGTTTATATATTTGTGACGATTCTACGCAGATCTAGGGGGTCACAACTTTGAGATTAATGTCAATGTGAAGAGCGTGTTATATATGTTTTATTAGCCAAGAAAAGCTAATGTCGACCCGTGGCAAATCGCGGAGTTCGAGTGATATATGTGCCGACTGCAGTGCACCGAGTGAGTATGCTTCGACATCCTGTCTTTTTGTTTTCTTTTCCGTGGCTTTTTATGTTCGCCGAGAGAGCTCAATCTCTGCCTTTTCACCTCCTTAGATCCAGCATGGGCTTCGATAAACCGTGGAGTACTCATCTGCAATGATTGCTGTAGTGTTCATCGTAGTTTAGGTCGACACATCAGTCAGGTTCGGCACCTAAAACATGGCAGTTGGACACCTTCACTTTTACAGGTAAATATTTACATCTTTCGGAAGAGTGTCTATGTTTATTTTTCGAAATGTTTAACAGTAATTTCTTAATGTATTCTTTTATTGTCGATAATGTACTCCGATGACATAATGAGTGCCGAGTTTGTGAAATAGTAATCTAATGTTTGAACACAGTTTGTCTTAAGAATGAATATTGATCCGACGAATTTGCTCGCGTGTTTGATCTATAACCCGTAAATAATTAATCGGAAATAAATTGAACACGCTATTATTCAACTTTTCATTTTATATCCGATGTTTTTATCCAACTGTCAGTTGCGAATATCCCTTGTAAATATAGATACACTATCGAATTATAATTATAAATGTTCTAGAATTTTTGAAACGATCGTTTAAAAATACCCCGCTAAACAATATTCAATCGCGAAGTATATTATCATGTGTGTATCGTTTCTGTGTTGTACGGCAATGTATATGCTGAATTGTGGATTAATTGTTATTGCAAAATAATGGTTTGGGGTACATTAAAAATTTAGAAATGTGTTGAACTAAATTGCAACCTTGGTGTTAATGTAATTAAGTTGTTACTTTTTGTGATAGTTCTGATGTGATATGAGGTTCCTAAGAATGTTTTGTATTGATAGCAATATCAACAAAAACAACTAAATACTGAATACTGATACCTTGTTTATGCATCTGTACTGGAAATGCTTTTGAATGAAGAAACTTGTGCTTGTTTTTGTTGCTGTGTAACTGAGCTCTAGTAAAAATATGATCAAAAAGTGTGAACTGTTTGATTATTTTCATAGATGGTAAACACATTAGTGGCAAATGGAGCCAATTCAATCTGGGAGCATTCCCTACTTGATCCAAATCAGATTAAAAGTGGAATTAGAAAACCGACTCCGAAAGATCCTATGTAAGTCAGTCTGTTTTTGAACTCATTAGTCTCCCTTTCAGCTGATCACTTCTGTGTGCCTTTTAATTAGTATTGTATTTCAGCTTGTCAATTCTACATTCCTGTCCATTAGCATTCCATCTCAGCTCATTAGTCTTGTATATCTTTGATTAATTTCTTGATATTTGTTCATTGAAATAATTTCATAGGCAATGAGCTTGCTGGCAATTAAATAGTTGACATTTCAATTACATTTCAGACTAACAAAAGCAAACTTTATAAGAGCAAAATATCAGATGTTGTCTTTTGTTCACCGGCTGCCTTGTCGGGATGACGATGAAATATCAACTGCGGATCTTAGCCAGGTAAACCATGTGCTATGAATTTCAATTTCTATTTTTGCATCTGTCGCTGTTCATTAATTTAAAACATGTAAATTCTTGTAATTTAGCAACTTCACTCAAGTGTAAGAACTGCCAATTTGGAGACTTCATTAAGGTTACTCTCGTTAGGTGCACAGCCCAATTACTATTTTCAGGTAATGATTAAACATTATGTACAATATTTAGTGGTTGACCTTCATTTCTTCTTCAACAATTTGATTTATTCTACTGCCGTAGGAGAAAGGCAATTGCCCTCTTCACATAGCTGCAAATGCTGGTCAGTTACTTCAAGTTGAATTGCTGTGCGTTCACGGTGCTGACCCATCACTATTAGATAGCGAAGGAAAAGCGCCGTTGGATTATGCAATGTAAATATATTTCCTGTGTAGTACTGCCATTTACAATCAGTCCTAAACCTGCTGGACAGCAATAGATACAACTGAATTTAACAACTGCACTTCTAAATTTTCAAGGGATGGTGGTCATATGTCACTGGTCGAAAGATTGATCAATTTACAATGTGAGGTCACCGATAGATTAACCTACTATTTATGTGGAAGAAAGCCTGGTATGGATGACACCTTTCAATTTGAATTCATTTCCACCCTTTCTATTTCAAAGCACACTTAGGACTAAAAACTGTCATTCGTTGCAGACCATAAAGACGGACACAAGTTTTTCATCCCAGCAATGGCTAACAGGTATATCATGAAACCTTTATTCTTACAATGTTTTCTAAAGAATTCAACTTTTCTGATATGCAAATATTTCTGCTTTCAATTTTTTCAGCTCCTTAGATTTATCAGAAAGTGCAAAACTTGCGAAGCAAAAACTACAATTAGTGAGTTTGGCAGCCATTATTATGAAACTGTGATATATCTCGTTGGTGACACATCTCAGCTCACACAACACTTTATTTCTTTTAGTTAAGTAACCATCTCTTTGAAGAACTCTCTTCAGATGTTTATGACGAAGTCGATAGACGTGAGACGGATGCAAGTACGTTTTTAAAGCTTTCTCCGCAAAGAAATATTGCTGATGCAAGTGCTAAGAAATAACTACAAACGTCTTGATGAAAAAAAGTTTATATTAGCTTCTATTTATCTCTTTTAGTTTGGCTAGCCACGCAGAACCATAGTGATTTTGTTAGCGATCGTACGGCTGTGCCCTTTCTTCCTGTCAATCCTAGTTACTCGTCCACCAGAAACCAAGGTCGACAGAAACTCGCACTGTTTAATGCTCAAGAATTTTCCACGTTGGTTCTCGATATTGTTATCGATGCGAGAAGACGTGAAATGGGTTCACAACTCGACTTGAATGAAGGTATTCGAACACGAAATATCGAATAGCGTTATGAGAGGAAAATACGATTCAAAACAGTGTATTGTATCAAAAAATTACTGTCATTATCTTTGGCGATATGAAGCAAGAAAACTTGTCGTTTCCTTGATGGATTGTTCTAGCTATAGACCAAAGATTGATTCAGATAAAATCACTAGAGCTATATTTGTTGTTTACCCAGTAGAGTTCATGGAAAACGAATTGGAAGGAGACGGTCATGATTACGATGAAGTCGCCAGCGATGATGGATTGCTTGAGGTAAGTTTTTCGATCTGATTTTCTCCTTTGAGTGTTTTTCTCTGAGTTCACCTCGTTTCCGACGGCTAAAAACTCACCCTTCACTTTCCTCGCCCGTCGTTTACGGATTGTTTGCTAAATGTCTCGAATATCAATGATTCATTATTTCTTCTCAGCCTATCAACGAAACTCGTGAAACGGAGAAAGTAGTGATAGCTAAGAGTAAACACATTGAAAACAAAACAGAGAACGTAGTTTCAGAACCAGCAAGAGAAGCAGAAGAGGTGGGTTGTTTCTCCTTACATCAGATCCCGAGCAGCCAAAAGTAACTCGCCAAGAAGTTAAAATGTTATTTTTTAACCTTTTCATAGCCGGAAAGAGAGTTTGTGCCATTCAAGACGGACATCCCAGAGCCGGCCGAAGAATACAGAGATTTCGTGCCAATTGCACAATACAAGAAGCTCCAAAAGTCGTTATTCGAATCACAGGTAAACTAAAACTACTGTGTTTTATCATCACCAGCATAAATCTTTTCCCAACCGTTCAAAGCCATGTCTCTGATTCGTTTTTTCAGGAAATTGTAAATGAATTATCTCGCGAAAAGGAAGGCCTTCTCAAAGAAATCAGCGTGTTACAGACTGTGGTACGTGTTTTTTTTAAAACAAATTAAAAAGAAAGTTAGTTATCTTTCGTAATAAGGTCTGGTAGTATATCAATTATCGAGGCAATTCGGTATTTTTTTCAAGGTTCAAACATTGAAAGATGAAATCTCGAATCAAGAAGTGTTTGCACCAACTGAAAAGGAGCCGAAAACGAACGGGCATTTGCAGGTTGAAGATCATAAAACAAGCATTGTAAGTAGCTGGGGGAACTTTTGGGTAAACTTGCCTGGTTTGTACAAGACCGTCAGATTGATAGAGAATTTATTTGTCTTTTACCAGGTGGATGAAAATGATCAAAATATGGATGACGAGGATTCAGATGACATGGTCGATATTAGTGAAATTAAAAGTTACGAAGCTCCACGATTGCTTCTCGACAAGTCTCGCGACGCACGCGGCTCAAATTCGTCTGGGAAAATGTACGATAATGTCCCGAAGACGCCGCCGAAGTCTAACGACGGCGGTTCGTTCTTTGAAGATGATCAAGAAAGAGTCAATACTGATCCTGACGGTAAGCAATGTAGTCTTTATCTGAAATAATTAAAGTTAGTTTAGTTTAGGTTTCCTCCTGTAGTAACACTGGATCAATAAGAGATGATCCTTACTGGACCTCTAGGAAGAACAGTTTAGAACTGATAGAGCTATCCAGTATAAATAAAGTTAGTTTTGTTTAAGTTTACTCCTGTAGTAATTAACACTGGATCAAAAAGAGATGATCCTTACTGGACCTCTAGGAAGAACAGTTCAAAACTGATAGAGTTTGATTGTTCTAATATTTTGTTGGTTTTTCTAGAATACATGAAACAGGAGCTTGAAGACGAGGCTCGTCGCATTATGAATGAAGCTGACAGTCTCATCAATCTTTCTCAACCTCGCCTCACGAAGGAAGAGGTCGTCCTTTGCACGGAACAAATTACAAAACGCATCCAGGAATTACTACTTGCAGCTCAAGCCGGAACTCACAGCAGGTTGGTAAAAGGATCATCTTAGGATAATAGGATGTATCCATAACTACTTGTTGATAAGTTTGAAAGTTTGTGGATGTGTTAGGTGGTTACATGAAGTTTGGCGTCGATTAATTTTTCTGTTTCTTTGGCGTTTAGTTTTATACCTTGTTCAAATAATATCCTATTCGCAGTCAAGAATATGACATCCTTATTTCCCGAGGTAACTACAAAAATATTTAATTATTGCTTTACCGGTTGTATAACCTAACCTTGTTTCCACACTCCTCCCGCGTGACCTTGCCCTCTCCGGGGAAGACAAGCAGTTGCACCCCCCCCCCGGTATTATTTCACCATTAGTAAACAAAGTTCCGAAAATACATCTTCGGTTGTGTTGCAATTTGAAGTTTTATTGTTTTCTAGAATCCGCCGGTAATGGCAGTCCAGGCTGCCTTGGATCTTATGAACCAGAGTGCTGTACGACTGGAGGTGGAATGTAAAAACACCGTTCTCCCGGAAAACTCAATCGACATGGCCCAGTTGACACAGCAGGTCATTCAGTGTGCGTACGATATCGCGAAGGCTGCCAAGGAGCTGGTGACTACCGTAGCTTATTAATAAAGATTTAGTATAGAGATTAGATATGGTAATCCTCACACCTTCTGCAACGCGTTGGCATGACCAAAGTATCCTCCAAAAAGGGTAGTGTTTATACAGGAATGGAGGGCGGCTGCTAGCTATAGGGTGGGTACCAGCACCAGCTGTCAGAGTCAGAGATATGCCGGATAGAAAAACAGAAGGTGCTGCCTGCAGTCTCAGATTGACCTTTACACGAAAAAGAATACTCCAAAAACTACAGTCCAAATTTTTATTAAGGACCAATTTTCTAAGATATGAACTTTTACCCTCCAAATTTCTACTTCACCTGCACCTTCCTCTGGCTTAGGTGCGACCACCCTTAGCATATTCATTCCTGTGTCGATACCAGGGAAAATGAACATGCGCAATCTGTAAAGCACATGCGAACAGATGCTGAACGGTTTGCACACCAGGGCTTTTAACAAATCATTTTTCCTGGTCTTTTACCGCGCTACAGCAACACCATGCACTTTTCAGGTCAGGGATAATTTCAGAACAAACATGGTTAATGATATTTCAAGACTAATTTGTAAATAAGATTAGAGGCAGTTATTTTTATACAATTTATCAACTACCTAATATCACTAAGTTTATATTTAAATCCCGCATGTTGTGCTTAAAAATATTGAAGTTCCTTGTTCAATTGATGTCTTTGTTCTCTTTGCAAACAGTCTGTTAAATATATACCCCCCCAGTGCAAAAGGCCATGCGGTAATTGCTCCCCCTACAGCCCTCTTACCAGCCCTACACCCTCTTCCCCCCCCCTCACAGCCCTCTCACCAGTCCTACACCCTCTCCCCCCCTACAGCCAAAGTTTAATTCTCAACTGCTAACAATTTTCATCGCATTCATTAACCTCGGTAATAACAATCTCATCTTCTTTTTTCTTCTCATTTCTAGTCCTCTGTAACTGTTCAATTTTGTTTCTCAGTATTTCAATTGTCCCATCCTTCGCCTTGTTCTCCTGACGTAATTTCGTATTCTCTTCCTCAACCGTTTCTAGTCTTTGTTGTGAACTTTGATGCTTTGTTTTCAAATTTTGCATTTCTTTTTTGTCGTTTTCCTTTTCTCGCTGAAGTTCCTGAATCACATCGTTCAGGAGAGAAACTTCTTTCTCCTAAAATAAAATGTTTCTGTATTGCTTCGTATGAATATTTATCTTCTATTTGCTAGAAGTAATCGCACTATATCACTCTTCCCTCGCCAGAGTAAACAATGTTTGAAAAACTCTTCTTATGTGTTAAATATTTGTGCGTGTGGCTCGTTATCCTCTAGGGAACTGCGCTTGGGCGAAACGGATGGGTGATTTGAATGCAAAGGATTAACTGCCTTCAATTTCTAAATTTTATTCAAAATAACGGAGAGTTAAGATGTATCTCAATGCTCCGTACTTGTACGATGAAAGCAGAAGAGACTTCGACTTGATTTTACTCGAAAGCATTGCATAAAATCGCTGGATGATGAATGATTCTATGTAAGTATTAAAGATAGCTTTTACATCATTACACTTTACAATCCAGACATGGTCTGTCGCACAGGCCAAAATCAAGCACGAGGAATATAGCTATTTGTGTTGTCGTTGACAAGTAATAAGACATCCCACTGAACCCAGGATGTTTTCAAGGGTATAAAAAAATGTGTAGTCTTTCAGCAAGACGTAATTCCGGCCATTTTCTAACCTTAACCTTCATTGCGGTCTCGAGTTCCTGCGACAGCCTTTTCTCAACGCCTTGTACTTGACTTGCTCTCGGATTATTCTAAATGTTTTATGATAGAAAAGCAGAGTTTATATCGTTAGAATAACGCAGGACTTCTCGTGGTTTTTAGTCGTATGATAGGGAGCTTTCAAACGCGTTCTCTACACAACATGCTCTCAAAATGTGGTCGCCAAGGCTTGATCTGGCGAAGGGTGAAACGTCGCTTTTCTGAGACACCGGACGCATTAAAAACAAAGACAATGAGCCAAATCATTCGCTTCTAATACGGTTGGAATATCATAGCAGAGCTAAGTTTGACCCTGGCTTAAACCTGGTTTATTTATACCACGTTTAATGCCGAGGAAACGCCGACCGTCCACCATATTCCACCCGTATAAGGCTTTGTTATCCAGTGTCGTATGTTTTCTTTGACGCACTATTACGCACTCGAAAGCTTACGAGAATTATACGCAGTCTTCTACGTGACCAAGTGTAAATTTGCTACTAATGTTTTCATTTTGTTATTATATTTATGCCGTTTTAAGGCTATTTGCCAAAAGCCGGAATTTGGCGTACGAAACGGAACTCTTTCTTCGTAAATTCGCTGACCGACAAGACAGAGAAGAATTCCTCTCCGCGTGCCAAATTTCGCCCTGTGGAAAGATTTAAACGATCGTACAAGAAACACAACAGAAAGTCGCTTTTAATAATTGCTTTCCGGTTACGCTGTTTTTCGTTCACAGGATCACAAACGGGAAATCTTTAACGCTTCTAATATCTTGTTCTTAAACAATAAATATCTCTGTTCACACTGAAATACATACGAAAATCAAATGCACGAAAAAGATTACTCGTTTTCATTTTTTCGTATGCACACAGCTCAGCCGATCTGGCCGGAATCCAACCTGTGTTTCTGGCCCAGTCCTTTCAACCTTTAGACTGCGGAAACTCAAACATTCTCCTTTGTTTAGTGGCAAGGAAACTGCTCCCTCATTCTTCTGACAAAACCATCTTCCTATAAAGTCAATAGTTACCTGAATGCTATTTTTTTCATCTGCATTGCTCGATTTCTTGATATTTTTTGCGTCGTTTTCTTGAGCTTCGCTGCTTCTATTGCTTCTTGTGCTAATTTTCTCTCCAAATCTCCCAGAGCTCTCTTTCTTCGCGGCAAAGTTCTGGCAGTCCTGAGTAAGAGATCCGTTCGTATCTTCATCTTTGGTGAACCCTTCGTTTTCGCGCGAACGCACTGAACTCACTGACTCCCGGACCACCTGGAGTTCGAACTGCGGCCAGCGTCGGTTGGGGTCCGGGAGGTCGCCTGCGGGTGCTCCACCTCGCCAGGTGGAGCTGACTTTACGAGTTCGATTGAGCCGCTCTTTTCCATACGCGGAAAGTATTTCCTGAGAGAAAGAAATAATAACTGAGTTCTGAACTGTTCTTCTCAGAAACGGACAGTGAGATTGTGTACCTGCGCTTCAGGATAATCTCGTGTTGCGGCCAAAACATCTTCTCGTAATAACATGAAACATTCCGTGTAACCAACAGAACGAACGTCTGCTATACGTCTGAAAACAAACAAACAATATCATTGAAATGAATCTTTCAGTTCTAAACTCCTAGAGGTCCAGTAAGGATAATCTCTTATCGATCCAGTGTTACTACAGGAGGAAACCTAAACTAAACTAACTTTATTTATACTGGATAGTTCTATCAGTTCTAAACTGTTCTTCCTAGAGGTTCAGTATTGATCTTTTCCATTCTTTTAACTTGCCTGTTTTGTCCTCCACTTAGATTCAATATTCCAATTTCTCCAAAAAAATCTCCTGTCCCAAGCTCTTTCAAAACGTCACCAGATTCCCTAAATAATCGGTTTCCACATGGTCATCCTGTGAAGATTTTCACTGCTGTAAAGACACCGAACTTTACTGGTAACATACCCGATGATTTGGACTATTCCATCACTTATGAGATACATCTCACGCGCAATTTCCCCACGACGAATAATGAGATCCCCAGGAGTGTAAATGGTTAATTTCATCTTCAGCAACAGATCGTGTAGGAATTCCGGTTGACATTTTTGCAGAAACGAGACCTAAGGCGGATTTTTATGAAATAACGATCGTGTTGATGTAACTGATGTTGTTATTTTGTTTTCCGAACGCTTGTTAGCTATCTTTGTTAGGATTTTAGGTAAAATTATGAATATATATATGAAGCTAATGCTTACTTGGCAAAACGCAATGCGCCTGTACTTAAACAGATATCAAAATCTACCATAACATCTCACCTTTTTCAACGTGTCCAAATGAATGTGAATTGCTAATTCTGTTTTCATTTTATGCGGTAACAGATTCAACGAGTTAAGGTCATCAACACCGTTAATTCGTCCTCTGCAAGGAACAAGATTTCTGGTAAGTTTCATTAGATGATAAAGTACACTTCTTAACAAATATGATTCAAATGTATAGAGTTATAAATCTTGAGTCTGAAGTACAACTAGCTCGCTATAATGTTTGTGTCACAAACAAATATCCTACGTTTAACGGCTTTCGAGCATTTTCCATACTTGTCTTCAATAACCACAGAATAGTATGATGTTAATTCTGTGCAATTACACCCAACACAAGCTTAGATGCATCTGAATTCCTTGCGGTTACCTTTGATAAGCGTAATCATACCACAGCAGGACGCGTTCCTGAAGTTCTTTTGGGACTTTCCTTTCTTCCATGTAGTTTCGTGCCTCGTCCTTGGAGGAAAATAATGCGCAACAATTATTCTCACGTTATTTAGAGGAATATAATTGATTAACCAAATCTACAGACGTACCCTTTGCTGTTCAAAAACTATCTTGTTTGAATTCCTGTTCAAAATTATGCTGCCAATATTTCCTGTAAAATTAATTTAGGTTGAATATATTATAATCTCGTATCATGCAAAGCAAATCAAATACGATTATTGGACGAGATAAAAACAGATCAAGTGTTCTTTTGTTTTTGAAGCAAGCTAATCAAGCTTCAAATGAATTTGACTGAGTAATATCCGTAAAACTGAGTAATATGGCCATGGTCTCAAGCAAAATGTCTTTATTCACTTACCTACGACTGTGGCAAACATGAACACTCCACAGAGATAACAGCAGATCGTGTACAAATATCTAAATAGATTACAATCGTTTAAAGGGAGTTCTAGTCACTGTTCTTACAGTATACTTTAACACTCCTCCCCTCTCCTGTCACCAGCGGCTGATAAAACAAGGGAGAAGACCTTCCAGTCTAGACGCAATCAACTTTAAGGCCCATTCCTGGAAATGCAGCTTTTAACTGAAGAAAAATTCGACTTATAACCTTATTTCCTACGCTATTCTCCTCCAAAGACCGAATTACGGCTGCTATAGACTTACTCAAGATCGGTTGCGGGTGCTGGTAGGTCTCCTATCGCTGTCAACGTCAGCGTCGACCAGTAAAATGATCTCGCGTACTTTCTTGTCAAGCTATCAAAACTGCCGTTCAGTGCAGGGTAAACCCATTCGTTGGAACCCAAACCTTCATGTTTCGATATCATGAAATAAAAGCTTGCATTCCAGTGGATCAACAGGAACATTGAATGTACCAAAATGGAAGCTCTGAGCAATGCCGGGCTGGATGACATCGACTCCACGCTTGTTCTAACTTTGATAAGTTTGTAAACCTTTATCAATCGTATTAGCCTCAGGGCTGGCGTTACACCAAAGGCAAGGTACAAGAAATCTACTGGAAGAATCGCTACGATATCCAGGTAGAAATTCCTGGTAAATAAATACGTGAATGCAACCCTCTTCACGTCTTGAACAAGTATCCCGTTCTGCAAAAAGCTAATTCGCGATGATATTAGAATGTCCAGTATGAAAATCAAGTCGATTGAATAGTCAAATACCAGAAATGCTACGACTCCACGACTGATGCTGGATTCATCATGAAATGCAATCCTAAATATGATAGTCCAAAAATGATAGAATATTGCTATGGCGAGCACGCAGTTCCAAACGTATACTGCAGTGCTTTTTGGGTCTAAAATTGAAACGCTTTGCCCCCATTTCGTCTGATGGTTATGTTGATTAACTTTGGGGATTTCGTAGTCTTTGTTTGAGGATTCGTTATATAACATTTCCGGCGGGTGAATTGCAATTGGAATCGGGCTGAGATGATTGTGCTGGTGTAATCCATGAAGTTCTCGCGTGCTAAATCGTTTCAAAAACGGATCAACAACCGATTGTTTTCGCTTCCTCGTTCGCTGTGGCCTATTTTGCGGTACATCTTGAACTTTATTCGAGCGCTCTTCCCAAAATCGTTGCTTCAGCCATTCCCAGCGGTTTCTTGGATCACCTGGTATGGACAAGGTGTCCATGCTCGAATCATCGTCCGTCTCCGCACAACTCTGCTCTGGAACCATCTCATGTTCCTCTGCTTTCTCAGACATTTTTAAGCCGTAATTAGTTCTGCGTTTCTTTGCCTGCCAGCCATGGTATGATTTTCAGATTGTTTACATTTTATATCTACGCTACAGAAGAACCGGCTCATACGCTTAGTCGGCTTACGATTATGGTTGCGTGGTGTTTACCAAACTAATCCATGTTCAATTCTACTTGACCAGTCCACTTCGGAATTGCTTAATTGATGAATTTCTGTAAACATTATATGTTGCCAGACGTTGTATAAAACCTAATCACCCCTAGCTGTATGAAACTGCTACATTGGGATTCCATTTCTTTGCTTTGGTAAACATGGCTTTTTAAGTAAATTTAATACTGGGAGTTATCATTACTTTCTCACTTTGGTATTTTATGAACAAGATTCCGACACCAATCCCTCTTTATTTCATTTCATTTTAATCTAATCCTGATGTATAAGAGGTGTATTGATTGGTCTCTTTATATATAGACCCCAAATGGCAACTGAGGTATAAACGGGACTTGAGGAACCATGCAATTGATGGTAAACTGAATATTAATGCATCATATTGCATACATCCTGCATGAACAAATAGTTTATCACGAGGTAGCATTTTTAACACTCCAGTTTTATTGCTTCCCGAAACATTATCTTGTTTCTGCATGTATCATATTGTCATGAATAAACTAAAGATACTCTATTTTAAGGATCATGAAAATTAAGCGACTTCAACTCCTATTACAAAATCCCATTTATCTTGTTTAACTTTGGTATTAATAACTTTCCAAACTACGTAATCTGTCTCAGTCTCCTTGGCGATCGTTTCTATGCAACCTTTCCCTGGTTACCGTGCTGCGTCTCATCTCTGTGTTGAGTTTTATCTGATTGAGTTTATATGATTAGCTCTTTTTCTAGACCAGAGTTTCTGTACTTCTATACTTCGCGGGCTGTTCCGCAATCCGTTCCACACCTCTCTCAGGTATACTAAAATATATGTGCAGGAGCATTCTTGTGGATGGTTAAGAATCCATGCAAAACGAATCCAAAAGCGCAGCTAAAAGGACCAATTGAATGAAATCAGTTACACTGAAAAAATTTGTTGCGAAAAGTGCTTGAATTTGGCCCTGCGAAGTTTGCTAATTTTCAAAGGGTGAAAATAACAACATTCAGGTCTAAAATGATAACTTACAAAGTGCATGGTATAATTATATTCCAGAGCCATGTATCTATAAACCTTTACAACGTTCATCTACACTGCATAAAAACTTGACAGTTTTAATCATTCTGGGGCCGGTTGTATCAAGCCCGTTTAGCTTAAACGGTGGATAAGTCAAAATTAGATAACACTCTTACATCTCTCTTGAATGAGTGAACTTGAATATTATGCACTGAATATGTAGTTGTAAACCATATTTTTGTATTAAGGTTAAAAACATTTAGTTTGCTTGTTGAATAAAACGATAGACTTGCTTCCTATTTTGAACTTAACCACCGTTTAAGCTAAACGGGCTTGATACAACCGGCCCCTGAAAAGTTCTTTTTGCTGTTGAATAGATTGCTTTTCTCAGTTGCGTGTCTTAATAAGTATTTAGTCTATCTGGGATCATCCAATAAATAGGAACTCTCGAACTAAGTTCCATCCTAAGTTAATCCCTTGTTTAGACGATACTTTTCCCAACAACTATAGGATCTATGGAAAACCAATTTTCTTAATACATTGGATAAACTGCATTATACATGCAAAACTAATGATTAAAAAAAATCCAGCAGGCAGGTATAATTTTCAAGACCGTACACAATCAAATGAAAATACTCGATTTAGTTAAAGAAATCAATATTGGTATAAGCTTCCCAATGCATTTTCGCTTCGTTTCAAAATTTTGTTTACACTTCGCCAAGAAAACGTCCGTTGTTATTGGTAAATTCAAAAGGTCAAGATATCGCTACATTACTTAGTAGGCTTATAAATGCGAACTCATTTCAAAAAATCTACCAGGCTGCCTGCTTTACAATGTGCTAGACCAGAAAACAAAGTTTTTCTGCAAGCTAGCTTAAACTATAAGAATGCTTGTGAAGATCGTATACATTTCAACAGGGAAGCAATAGCCATGTTTTTTACAAATAAAAGCTATCGGATAAAACATGTCTTTTTTTTTACTCGATAACAAGGCTTGCTGTTTCCCAATCGACTCTAAATCTGCAGCCGGAAATCTTATCGAGAATATTGCCTGTCTCCGCCCGCTGTTGCCTACACCTCAATATGATTCAATTTATCTCGCTAAACCTAATCAATTTTCTCATTAACTTCTTGCAAACAAGATTAGCCGACGCTGGAAGATGATTGGGCCAGCCTTCGCATGTCGGCACACAAAGTAATCCTCTCTTTTTAGCAATGCAACTCAAACTCACACCGTTCTGAGTAATATTTGTGTAGCTAATAACAGAAATATCTGAAATGCTGAAATACTCATGAACTGTGCATTTACTCATTCTTGTGAAACCGTATCTTGATGAATTACTAAGCAGAAAATTAAACTGGAAAATTGGATTCGTTTTCTCCCAAAAGTGCATGCATTTTCGTGTACCTCTGGCGCTAATTCATTAAAGTACTTAACTTGACTAATTTAGCTTTCGAGTTTTATATATAAATTACTGAGGTTTTCATAGTGTAATTTCAGATAAGGAGTGTGTTTATCCTTCAAACTATCCTAACGAAGCCCATTCAAATTTCCATTTAGACTACAGTAACGAATGATTTGCCCTGATCCTGTTTGGAAAGAATAGCTCTATGTAACGATTTATTTTTTTATTTTTATGTTGCGGATTACCGAGCTAAAGAATTGATTTATCGAATTTGGACGCGTGACCGCCTGTGCAAATAGAAAGATTATCTATCTTCATTGAATAATTTAAGCGATTTCGATTAAACTCCATATTAAAAACAACATCTCTTTATCGCGGTATGAAATTTGAAGAAAACGACGCGGTAGCGTTTGAAAACGCCGTCGCGATGGCAGATGAAGAATGCTTAGGAGCCGTTCTGGAGGAAAATACGACGACAACGACGCTAGGAACTTCGGACGACAAACAAAAACAAACTTTCCTGATAGCTGAAGACGAGGGGGATCATATCTCGAGTCTTCAGGTGGATAGATGGCGAAAATTAAGCAAGCAAATTCGCGGTGTTCTGGCCATCAAAAACGCTGCGGTTAAACCGAATCGGAGGCGAACTGGACGAAGATCTACGACAAACATTGATCCATTTCTGCAGAAATTTAGCACGAGAGAGATAGGGTTAACGACACAGACCTCGGGGGCATCTTTGCATTCAATCGAGGAAGCAAATGAAGATCTTACACCCGGGCAAGAAGCGTCAAAGAATCTGGACGAGGGTTCTGGTCAAAAAGCTTATCCCATTAGAGCGTCCTTGACACTTAGTGATCTAATCCCCACCGGGGTTATTGACCCCGATGGTTCATTCATATACTATTGGATGCATTTGCTTATAACTGCTGTTAGGTACAATCTCTGGGTAATTATCCTTCGTTTTGCCTTCGTAGAGGCACAAGAAAATCATGCGACTCTGTGGTGGACTTTAGACTCCGTATCCGACCTCGTATATTTAGTGGATATTTTCGTCAACTGCCGTGTCGGCTTTTACGAGGAAGGCATTTTGGTCAGGGACACTAAACGCGCTTGTAAACGCTACATTTTAAGCTGGAAGTTTTTCTTGGATGTCGTTTCAATACTTCCTTTAGAGTTGCTGTACCTGAAGATGGGAGTCAGACCAATTTTACGTTTTCCAAGACTGTTAAAAACATACAAATCTCAGGAAGTAAAGACGAAGATCGAGGGTCGCGCCAATCATCCGACAATCGTGCGCGTTTTTTTCCTCGTACATTTGATGCTCTTGTTGCTTCACTGGAACGCTGGGATATATTTTCTGATTGCGCGCGCAGAGGGTTTTGGGACCAATGGTTGGGGATATCCCGCGCTGAATGGCAGTTACAATACGCTCACCAGAAAATACGTGCACTCGTTTTATTGGTCCGCAATGACGTTGACAACTATAGGAGACCTGCCAACGCCTGAGACCAACGTCGAGTATGTTTTCTTAATGTTTCTATATCTCTACATCAGTTAACAGCTCCCAGCCTAAGTTTCACAGTCGTTTTAGTACACGAGTGTTTCATCTCTGTGACTGTGGTTTGATTCCTGTAATATGTAGTTGTCTGACTATGATTTCAACTCAGTCACATGTGAGAAGAGTGCTTCCATTTTGACTCTACCAAACACAGTGGTTAGTACATGTGTCTTTCATCTCTGTGACTGAGGTTTGATTCCTGCAATATGCAGTTGTCTGATTTTAACCGAACCCTTTGCAAACGTTTCTGGCTCAGTTTTTTTTCATCATCGATGAGTGCATGATTTATATTGGAGTGATACATGTATGCCCTAATGTTGCTATCGTTTTTAGGTACTTCTACACAATTGCTTGTTATCTTTCCGGTGTGTTTGTCTTTGCTACGATTGTGGGTGAGTGCGTCGTTGAATTGTCAATACTCTGGCTCCAACTTGGCCACAGATTGACTAAACACAGCCTGAACAATTAACCTTGATTAATTTCCAAATAGGTAACGCTGGGAGTATCATTTTGGACAGAAACGCCAGTCGACTGGATTTTGAAAAACAAAGAGTAGGTTATAAAGCGGATGATATTTGTTTCGCTTTGAACGTTTTGAAATTAATTTTGTTTTGATTCGTTTAAGGATAACGCTAAAAGCTACATGAAAATACACAACGTCCCTGGAGAACTGCAAAGAAGAGTTTTGAAATGGTACGATTATTCCTGGTCGAGGTAAGAGAATTTAATCCTCTGATTATCGTTAGTTCTACCTAGACTCCTAGAGGTCCAGTAAGGATCATCTCTTATTGATCCAGTGTTACTACAGGAGGAAACCTAAACTAAACTAACTTTATTTATACTGGATAGCTCTATCAGTTCTAAACTGTTCTTTCTAGAGGTCCAGTAAGGATAATCTTTTATTGATCCAGTGTTACTACAGGAGGAAACCTAAACTAAACTAACTTTATTTATACTGGATAGCTCTATCAGTTCTAAACTGTTCTTCCCAGAGGTCCAGTAAGGATAATCTCTTATTGATGCAGTGTTACTACAGGAGGAAACCTAAACTAAACTAACTTTATTTATAGTGGATAGCTCTATCAGTTCTAAACTGTTCTTCCTAGAGGTCCAGTAAGGATCATCTTTTATTGTTCCAGTATTACTACAGGAGGAAACGTTCGAACCAATATGTCTGGAATTTTTTAGGGGCCGCATGAGTGGTGGCAGTGGAGACTTGAATTCTCTGCATCTTCTTCCTGACAAAATGAAGACGGAGATAGCCTTGCATGTTCATTTGGAGACTCTGAAGAAGGTAGACTACTTTAGTTGTGTTGTTCTGATGCTCGACCAGACCAATAGAATATATAAGTCAGGGACCGCGGAGAAGGGTGGCTCGCTGGGCTTTAGCCCCACCAATAATTTTTCCATAATTAGTTTTAATTTCGAATATTTTTTAGTTCACTCAAATTTACAAGCTATAAAAGCGCCAAAATGCTGGAAACTTTACATAGGGCAAGCATTTGACCATTAGAACAGCGTGGTTATCCATGTCAAAATATTTGACATCATAACCAAAGCATGGTTATATTGTTTAATGTTTGTATATGAGCGCCAAACATGCTGGAAACTTTACATAGGACAAGCATTTGAGCATTAAAACAGCGTGGTTATCCATTTCAAAAAATTTGACATCATAACTAAAGCATGGTTATATTGTTTAATTTTTGTTATGAACGCCAAACATGCTGGAAACTTTACATTGGACAAGCATTTGACCATTAAAACAGCGTGGTTATCCATTTCAAAATATTTGACATCATAACCAAAGCATGGTTATATTGTTTAATGTTTGTATATGAGCGCCAAACATGCTGGAAACTTTACATTGGACAAGCATTTGACCATTAGAACAGCGTGGTTATCCATGTCAAAATATTTGACATCATAACCAAAGCATGGTTATATTGTTTAATGTTTGTATATGAGCGCCAAACATGCTGGAAACTTTGCATTGGACAAGCATTTGACCATGAAAACAGCGTGGTTATCCATTTCAAAATATTTGACATCACAACCAAAGCATGGTTATATTGTTTAATGTTTGTATATGAGCGCCAAACATGCTGGAAACTTTACATGGGACAAGCATTTGACCATTTAAAACAGCGTGGTTATCCATTTCAAAAAATTTGACATCATAACTAAAGCATGGTTATATTGTTTAATTTTTGTTATGAACGCCAAACTTGCTGGAAAATTTACATTGGACAAGCATTTGACCATTAAAACAGCGTGGTTATCCATTTCAAAATATTTGACATCATAACCAAAGCATGGTTATATTGTTTAATGTTTGTACATGAGCGCCAAACATGCTGGAAACTTTACATAGGACAAGCATATGACCATAAAAACAGCGTGGTTATCTATGTCAAAATATTTGACATCATAACCAAAGCATGGTTATATTGTTTAATGTTTGTATATGAGCGCCAAACATACTGGAAACTTTACATAGGGCAAGCATTTGACCATTAGAACAGGGTGGTTATCCATGCATGTCAAAATATTTGACATCATAACCAAAGCATGGTTATATTGTTTAATGTTTGTTATGAGCGCCAAACATGCTGGAAACTTTACATATTATATATTTTTTTTCATTAATACCTAAATTGAGAAGCATTTGCGGCGATTTCAGAGACTTATATTTCAAAATTTTCCCGGACTCTCCCATGCAGCAGGCGCGCGGTTCCGAGCCCCAGCAATACGAAGAACGCTCCGCGGTCCTTGTAGGTTTATCGTAAACTCAACTAGTCAGAGAAAGTCGGTTTGTACCAATATATTGTATATTCGATAAGGTTATAGTGAAGGTCAGTAATAACAGCATTTTTTCGTCTCCAGGTGACATTTCTGCAGAATTGTGAACCAGAGTTTCTTCATGAACTTTTGTTGAAAATGAGACTCTACATTTTCACTCCTGGTGATCTGATTATCAGACATGGTGAGATTGCCAGAGAAATGTACCTCATAGCACATGGAAGAATAGAAGTTATAAGGTAACTGGCTGAATTGAGAATATAGCAGGCCCCTAGCCATCATGAAAAAGTTGCCACTTTTATCGATTCCATTAAAAAAATTGAAATATTTTACACCTTCAGTGAAACGGGGAAGCTTTTAAAGGAACTTGGCTCAGGCGATTTCTTTGGTGAAATTGGAATACTTTCTCTTAGCGAGGGACAAAATAGGTATTTTGTTTTAATCCTCTAGTGGCCATTGTGACACTTTAGTATTTTACTCTGTCTAACGCCAAACAATTTTACTCGTCACAGGGAAACACTTGGGCACTAGAGGGTTAAGCCATCCTAGATCAGAGTAAATTCCTGCCTTAGAAGACATCCTTTTGTTGTTTTTAATGCGAATCAAATGCGCAATTATTATTAAAAATGATTCATAGAATTCGTGTGTTTTTAATTCTTTAGGAGGACAGCTGACGTACGATCAATTGGCTACACCGAGTGCTTTGTTCTTTCCAAAGACGATGTTCTTGGTGAAATACACCAATTTCCACATGCGCAGGTAATCTTTCCTCTAATCTGCTAAACCTGACTTGAATTCCTCGAGCTCTTGTGGTGATTAATGCTTTCTCGTTAAATATTTGAAGAAAATCCTGGCAGAGTATGGCAAGAAACGTCTCAAAAACACAAGCGGTGATCCGAGACTTGTGAAACTGGATGGTCAAGACTCGCCTGTTGCAAAGAGCCGTTGGAAAGCGACTCGATCTCACATCGTTAACATGTTTAGCGAAAAACAGAGCCCGGGGAATGAAAACGAGGAACGACCGTTGATGGGGTTGTTCAAGACTGTCGCAAGAGATGAGGTGATACCATCGTTGAATTCACCTGGCAACCTGATAGATGACAGCTCTGAAAAGAAATCGATGTCAAACAATTGCTCTAAGGTTGGAGAGAATCCTACAGAGTTACCTTCACCTGGCACGAGCTGTTCACGTGATCCCGCGATTGAATCACGTGATCAGCCGGATGGTTCGAGGAGTCAGACAAACGGATCAGGTGACCTCTTGAGGGAGCTTTCTAACCTCTCACCAGAATCAAGTAATCATCTGGTTGGATCACGTGGTCAAGACTCTAACGTACACGCGGTGAACACGCGTCGTGGATCGTGTGATAAGAGGAAGAATGAAGAGACCGGTGTGAGCGTGAGTAAAACGGAAAAAAGTACCACGAAGAACAGTTATCAAATGCGTGGAAATACACGCATGTCACGCACGCGTGAGTCAGTCACGCGTCAGCCACGTGACATCAGCTCTTGCCTAAACACGTTGGATTATCTAAAGGCCGTGTTGCAAAGCACTATGGTAAGTCATATTTTCCTGAAGCTGAACTTAATCTGAAATCATTATGATGTATACATTATTTTATGTCGTTTTTTGACAAGATTTTCCTACAATTTTTCACAAATTTCCATCAGCATGAAAACGACAGACAGGACGAACATGTAGCAAAAATTGAAAATGAACTGACGGATGAACGAGAAAAATTACATGAGGCAGAAAAGAAGATAAAAAATCAGGTATCATGCGGGACCTCAGCTTGTCGTTCCATAAATAAAAAGGATTCCGACAATATTCCCATCTTTTTTTACTCGCCTTTTTGTTCAGGAGGAAGAAATACGAAAACTTAGGGAGACCAATCTGACATTGAAAGAAAGAATAAAACAAACAGAGAGCACGATAACTCAAATGGAAGATGTTCTGCAGGTGTGTGTTTTGGCCCATTTGGTAAGGTAGTAGGCGGGGTTACAAGTGGTGGGCCCACACCTGATATTGCAGTAATGACTGAAAACTTCTCTTCATTGATATCTTGCGTCTTATGACCCGACAATAACTCTTTCTAGTTAACACAAACTAAGGAAAGCGAAGCCGCTGCAAAAGATCTCGGAGAACTCAGACGGGATCGAAAAATGGGAAGCGTTTCTTTGTTGGAACTATCAGAGGACGGGATTGGAGGTCCTGAAAACATTTTGACAACAAAACCAGCTTCAAAGATCTCCGACACCCAGTGTTAGACTAAAAGTCAGAAACTTCTAGAAACTTCAGGTTTGCAGCTTTTGACAACAAGAAAAGCCGACTAAATGAAACGGAATTGTTCTTGGCAAAAGCATCAGAAAAGAGGAACTCATGAAGAAAGTCATCGCACGCGCAAATATTGACATAATTATACACTATTTATTCGATTATTTATTGAGTTTCATCAAAGCTCAGTCAAATTTCTCCGGCAAGGCAGGTTGAATATCCTGCAGGAACATAACAGAACATCCCACCATCACAATCAATAGCGCTGTCAATCCTGCACCAGATGCTTAGGGTGTCTATATAACCAGGCCAGCTGGTCAGACGTCTTCGGTACATACAACGGAATTCTTCAGCCAGTTTAAGTTGAAATGACCTCGACGTGGACTGTCCCCAGGGATTCTTCGAGAACGTTTCTCCAAACAGTTCCCCGACGTGAATCACGATATCGCCACCGTAATGAAGTAAACAGTCTGAGGAAAACGTACTCTCTTCTGCAAAAACAAACACGTAAATCTTCACACAGCTGATGGAATGAGGTCGGAGTGAGTTCACTGCAAATTGGGGACAACTGACAAGTTAAAATCGGGCTGCTTTTAAGCTGATGGCAAAACTACAGCGTGAAAAAATATCGCACCGTCTTTGTCGGGCCAAGCCAAAAACAATGCTCTATCACCAAAATTCTTCAATATTTCTGGACCGTCTTTCTACAGATCGAAAATAGTTCATAATGGTTAAAAACCACACAAAATATCCTAAGGCTTGCGGTTATTTTTTAGTTGGAAGGTGATGGCAGAATATCTGATCCAATCTGATCTCAACGCGACCTTAAGAGCGGAAAATTTGAGAGGCCGGGGAGGCAGGGGGGGGATGAGTATGCATGAAGAGTATATAGATTTAGAAATTATTATAATTATTCAGGGTATAACATAAATTAGATGAAGTTACTTTAATTAGCATATAATGCATGTTTTCGGGATAAGTTGTATTGCTGTCGAATGCAATCACGTCCACGCCATAGAATCGTGACAACAGATATTCCCAATAGCCAGTACCCTGTTGAAATATAGAGACACTGAGTATTATCACAACGATATGCACGATAGCCTGAATGTAGAAAATCATGCATATAGATTTACGGTTTGAGCACTTACAGCCCCAGCTGATATTACGGCCTTTCCTAAGCTACTAATTTTCTCAAGATTCTCGGAATTTGGTATGGAAAACGAGAACACAATTTGAAGATATTGGCTTGAGGTTTTGTCTTCCAAATTTCTTAAAAAAACAATAAGCGTAAAATGAGATAATCTCCTTGTGATTTGGTAGAGCCAAAAAAATTAGTACATCCAGTCTTTGCATATCAGTCCTCGCTCAAGACTGCCCTACCTGAGCCAGCAAACTAGTGATTTTCTCTCCGTTCCGTTCAAGGACGAATCACAGAATTGATTTATATTTTTTGGCGCCTGTTGCATCTTCCATTTGAATATTTCATAGTAAATATTATTTCTAGATTTCCTTTCTGCCAAAGACTTAAATTTAAACGGACAGATATTGGAAGACATTGATTACAAAAGTGAAAAATTACTGTTTATAAATTTGCCATGCACTGCCATGCATATGATTGTTTGCACCTCACTTTAATGAGTAATACTTCATCTAACAGACGCTGAAGTGCGATTGATTACGTTTCTGTGCGGACACCATTGATAATAAAAATTTAACCAATGTCCGTGGACAGATTTGAGAGCCGACCATGGTCATATTCGCCGGAAAATGGCAAATACGACCATGGTCATATTCGCCGGAGAATGGCAAATACGACCATGGTTATATTCGCCGGAAAATGGCAAATACGACCATGGTCATATATTCGCCGGAAAATGGCAAATACGACCATGGTCATATTCGCCGGAGAATGGCAAATACGACCATGGTCATATATTCGCCGGAAAATGGCAAATACGACCATGGTCATATTCGCCGGAAAATGGCAAATACGACCATGGTCATTTTCGCCGGAAAATGGCAAATACGACCATGGTCATATATTCGCAAGAAAATGGCAAATACGACCATGGTCATTTTCGCCGGAAAATGGCAAATACGACCATGGTCATTTTCGCCGGAAAATGGCAAATACGACCATGGTCATTTTCGCCGGAAAATGGCAAATACGACCATGGTCATATTCGCCGGAAAATGGCAAATACGACCATGGTCATATTCGCCGGAAAATGGCAAATACGACCATGGTCATATTCGCCGGAAAATGGCAAATACGACCATGGTCATATTCGCCGGAAAATCAAAAATACGACCATGGTCATATTCGTCGGAAAATGGCAAATACGACCATGGTCATATTCGCTGGAAAATAGCAAATACGACCATGGTCGAATTAGTCGTTTTCCAGCGAATACGACCATGGTCGAATTAGTCATTTTCCGGCGAATACGACCATGGTCGAATTAGTCGTTTTCCGGCGAACTCGACCATGGTCGAATTAGTCGTTTTCCGGCGAACTCGACCATGGTCGAGTTAGTCGTTTTCCGGCGAACTCGACCATGGTCGAGTTAGTCGTTTTCCGGCGAACTCGACCATGGTCGAATTAGTCGTTTTCCGGCGAACTCGACTCTGTCGAGTTAGTCGTTTTCCGGCGAACTCGACCATGGTCGAGTTAGTCGTTTTCCGGCGAACTCGACCATGGTCGAATTAGTCGTTTTCCGGCGAACTCGACCATGGTCGAATTAGTCGTTTTCCGGCGAACTCGACCATGGTCGAGTTAGTCGTTTTCCGGCGAACTCGACTCTGTCTAGTTGGTCGTTTTCCGGCGAACTCGACCATGGTCGAATTAGTCGTTTTCCGGCGAACTCGACCATGGTCGAATTAGTCGTTTTCCGGCGAACTCGACCATGGTCGAATTAGTCGTTTTCCGGCGAACGCGACTCTGTCTAGTTAGTCGTTTTCCGGCGAACTCGACCATGGTCGAATTAGTCGTTTTCCGGCGAACTCGACCATGGTCGAATTAGTCGTTTTCCGGCGAACTCGACCATGGTCGAGTTAGTCGTTTTCCGGCGAACTCGACCATGGTCGAATTAGTCGTTTTCCGGCGAACTCGACCATGGTCGAATTAGTCGTTTTCCGGCGAACTCGACCATGGTCGAATTAGTCGTTTTCCGGCGAACTCGACTCTGTCGAGTTAGTCGTTTTCCGGCGAACTCGACCATGGTCGAATTAGTCGTTTTCCGGCGAACTCGACCATGGTCGAATTAGTCGTTTTCCGGCGAACTCGACCATGGTCGAGTTAGTCGTTTTCCGGCGAACTCGACCATGGTCGAGTTAGTCGTTTTCCGGCGAACTCGACCATGGTCGAGTTAGTCGTTTTCCGGCGAACTCGACCATGGTCGAGTTAGTCGTTTTCCGGCGAACTCGACCATGGTCGAATTAGTCGTTTTCCGGCGAACTCGACCATGGTCGAATTAGTCGTTTTCCGGCGAACTCGACCATGGTGGAATTAGTCGTTTTCCGGCGAACTCGACCATGGTCGAATTAGTCGTTTTCCGGCGAACTCGACCATGGTCGAGTTAGTCGTTTTCCGGCGAACTCGACCATGGTCGAGTTAGTCGTTTTCCGGCGAACTCGACCATGGTCGAATTAGTCGTTTTCCGGCGAACTCGACCATGGTCGAGTTAGTCGTTTTCCGGCGAACTCGACCATGGTCGAGTTAGTCGTTTTCCGGCGAACTCGACCATGGTCGAGTTAGTCGTTTTCCGGCGAACTCGACCATGGTCGAATTAGTCGTTTTCCGGCGAACTCGACCATGGTGGAATTAGTCGTTTTCCGGCGAACTCGACCATGGTCGAATTAGTCGTTTTCCGGCGAACTCGACCATGGTCGAATTAGTCGTTTTCCGGCGAACTCGACCATGGTCGAATTAGTCGTTTTCCGGCGAACTCGACTCTGTCGAGTTAGTCGTTTTCCGGCGAACTCGACCATGGTCGAGTTAGTCGTTTTCCGGCGAACTCGACCATGGTCGAGTTAGTCGTTTTCCGGCGAACTCGACCATGGTCAAATTAGTCGTTTTCCGGCGAACTCGACTCTGTCGAGTTAGTCGTTTTCAGGCGAACTCGACCATGGTCGAATTAGTCGTTTTCCGGCGAACTCGACCATGGTCGAATTAGTCGTTTTCCGGCGAACTCGACTCTGTCGAGTTAGTCGTTTTCCGGCGAACTCGACCATGGTCGAATTAGTCGTTTTCCGGCGAACTCGACTCTGTCGAGTTAGTCGTTTTCCGGCGAACTCGACCATGGTCGAGTTAGTCGTTTTCCGGCGAACTCGACCATGGTCGAATTAGTCGTTTTCCGGCGAACTCGACTCTGTCGAGTTAGTCGTTTTCCGGCGAACTCGACCATGGTCGAGTTAGTCGTTTTCCGGCGAACTCGACCATGGTCGAGTACTCACTTTCCGTGTTTTACTTCGCAGCAAACGCTTTACACTGACCAGCAATGCGCATGCGCATCTCATGGGACTTCTTCGTGACGACAGGGACTGATGACATGATAGAATGGCGAATATACGACCATGGTCATATAATGAGAGGTACAGTTTTAAGACTCATTTCTTCGATATTACTTCTAAGATTAACATCGAGATTGTTAAAATAATGGTTTGATTTGATTATCGTTGTAGCCAATAATACCTAAGTGATTGTATTTATCGATTATGAAAAATTTTGGAAGAAATTTTCCTAATGGAAGCACAACGTTGTTTGAAATCGAGGTTTGATGGTTAAACACACATGTTTGTGGCTTGCCATCAAAATCTAAACAACTTCGGAGTTTTTTACAATTTTCCCCTCATTTCTTTGTCCTTTTGGTGCTTTTTCAAAACCCAAAGAAGCAGAGGAATATCCTTAGCTAACCAAACACTTGGAAATTTGGCTATTTGAGGGTAAAAATGTCCCACGATCATCATTATCGTGTTTATTTGGGTCGGTTGCCGTACGGAACTAGAGAGAGGGATATCGAAAAGTTTTTGCAAGGATGCGGCAGAGTTCGTGATATCAACTTGAAGAATGGCTTTGGATTTGTGGTGGGTTTCTTGAGGATTTTTGGAACGATATTTGTTTTTTTTTGTGGGGTAAATGCGTGGAAAATATGCGTTGTTTGTTCTTGTTTGTTATCGTGATGATGTGCTTACAACTTTCGTTTCAGACTTTTGATGATCCCCGCGACGCCAGAGATGCTGTAGCAGATTGTAATAATCGAGAGTTGCTTGGAGAAAGGTATGTATGGGTTGGTTTAGTAGCAGAGCTAGAGCTCCATTTTTAGAGGATCTTTCTGGCTATAATTTACCAGTCTCACACTTATAGAAGAAAGATGAAACATCATTTACTTATAATGTTACTTTAATAATTTCTAGAATTCTAGTTGAGGCATGCCGTGGATCAAGTTCCCGAGGGTATAGCGGTGGACCACGGCAAACCAGGGGTAGAGACAAGTAAGTTATCACAGTGCCTTTGAGGTTCCTCGGGGCCTTTTCCTGCAAAATATCTGACCTAAAAATTGTATTTATGTCTTTACCTAGATATGGTGCTCCAATTCGCACACCATGGCGTGTTCTTGTTGAAAATCTATCCACTAGAGTCAGTTGGCAGGTGGGTATCTACAAAGACGAATCATTTAATGTTTTAAATCTATGAACTTAGGTTGTTTCACTTTTCTTGCAAACACATGCACAAAGGTAAATTTTCATGTTACCCTATTCAAGCAAGCTTTCTAAGAAATTATTTAAAATCATTTCAGTAAGATGGATAGATGAGTCACTGAGCCTGCAGACTGGTGGCCAGCAGGCATACAGTGAGAGACGACTGAGGCTTTGATGCATAAGATGTCTTTGAGATGTCGTTAGAGTCTTGAGATGTCGTTAGATGATGCCTTTTGAGACGTTGTTATGATGTCATTAGTTGGAATGTCTTTGTGAAGCCTGATGTCCGCTAAGATGTCTGATGCATTTGGCTGAGCTCCACTGGCTTCAAAAGGCGGGAGACAGAGAGAGTCATTTCATATCCCAAATTTAACATCAATTTTCAAATGTTGCAATCTAAAAAAGTTAGATAATTGCACCATTCTGGAAGCAAAAAAAAAAATTAAGATGAATCGTCAGGTAATTGTTGTGTAAATGAATTTTGATTGCTGCAGGACTTGAAGGATTACGTCAGACAAGCTGGTGATGTTACATATGGCGATGCTCACAGACCTACCAAAGGAGAGGGGTATGGTACCATACATTTAACCATTGTTTTATCAAGCAAACATGACAATATTTTCTTTTGCATTCAATTTGTGTTCTCTAGAGTTTTGGAGTTTGCAACACATTCAGACGCACGAAATGCAGTCAGAAAGTTGGATGGTACGACTTTGAACGGCAAGAAAATACGCCTCATTGATGTAAGTAAGATTTATAGCCATTATAGGCCACCTTCTGTGCAGCCTTAAGGACTTTAGGGGGTCTTTGCACAAGATATAGTACATGGTTATGGTATATAATACTATATCTGGTAAAAATATTTAATTACTTATGGTGGTTGTATATCTTTTGTTTTAGGACAGTCCGAAAAGCAAGCATTCTCGTTCTCGAAGTCGCTCAAGGTAATTCAATGATATATCAGTAGATTGCCTTAAGAAGAACAAATGCTGAGGTTACCAACAAATCTTTTTTGCATTCGAATTCCTTTTTTAATAAAAGTCACATGACTTTAATGGTTTGTATGTTTTTCAGGTCTTCGTCACGTTCAAGACGTCGTCGTAGCCACTCTAGATCCAGATCCCGCTCCAAGTCTCGCTCCAGGTCTCCTTCCAAGCCTCGTTCCAGATCTCGGTCGAAGAATCGCTCCAGGTCACGTTCCAGGTCTCGTTCCAGAACTCCCAACTCCAGGTCTCGTTCAAGATCCCCAAGACGGTCACGGTCGAGAAGTCGTTCCAGCTCCCATTCACCTCGTAACCAGTCTCCAACCAAAGACAACCAAAATGGTGATGATGCTGGTGATTAAATGCATCTTCAATCAACAACTGTACTGTCATATGTTTGCACATTTCTCTGTGATTTAACCTTGTTCAATGTTCAGTTTAGTTAAACAAAAACAAGTCTGCTCGGATTATACACTGGATAATAGTGGCTGTACCTGACAAAACAATTTTCATTAGAAATTAATTCCCACAGAACCTTAAAGGCTTCAGTTTGTATTAAGTTTTAGATGAATTAGTGCTTGGGTGTTAGGCCTTTTAAAGTTATTTTTTGGACTGGTATAGTTGCTTTGACCAGTGTATTATCTGATCAATCTTGCTTACCGAATACCCACATGAGCAGATTGCATGGCCTTGTTAACATTTTTTTTCCTCTTACAATAATTTTAATGTTCAGTTGTAAATAATTGTGTTACGTTAGGAGAGCATGAAAATGCCCTTTTTTAGGGTAGTCTTAACCCAATCCAATGGTAACAATAGTTGTCTCAATAGAATAGGTTTTGTAACCATAGTTTGACCAAAAAGAGAATTGAACTCAGAGCACTTTGGCCTACCACTGGTTAAACGATAAAAATACAATTTTAAAAACATTGTCCTATTTTTCTGTCGTGTAGAAGGTCAGATTCTCAATGAGAGGATTTCCGTGAAATATATTGGGCAAATTATGCAAATTTTTTGCAACTCGTAATTGCCGGGAAACCTGGGTACGAGATTCGCAAATGCGTTTTTTGGAGAACAAAATGGCGGTCGACAAAGGAGTGATGGATTTAGACTCGAAGAATCACGACAGAATCCATTGGAAAGTACGACATATTTTTTTAATCTTTAGCATAGCACGGCACTATGTTTATCTGCCTAGTAGATTTTCTCGAATAGAAGTTTTTTATGAAGGTTTAAGCATAGTAAAGTTGCCATAGGAGATGTGTAGTAAGGTTTGTTTTAAAGTGATGAATGTTCGTCATTTAGCCAAGATGCATTGACTACTGGACCAAGTGGAGATCTTGTGTTGGTAAGTAGAATGGAAATCAGGTTTTGTCAGGTCTAGTTCATCTGTAAAACTTTCCATTTCTTGTTCCTTTAGCATCCACCAACCAATTTCACAAGTATTACCAATATGGCGAGTTTGAAAATTGTGATGTGTATCAGGAAGATTTGAAAAACTGCTTCCGGTGGAAGACAAGGAAATCCTTCGACGCACTGGTAATCATCACAGTGTCCTGTTGAACAGAATAGAACTCCTCTTGTATATAATATATTAAGTAATTATAACATATTACTATGCTATTCATTTCCAGGACAGTTTAATTACTCGGAAACAAGAGGAGGAGGGAAAAAAGACGTCAAAATTTGCTCACACAGTTTGGACAAAGAGAGAGAACCCAGAGAAAGATTGGAAGTAAAGCAGACAGAATGATGCTTGCAGGTACAAACTACAAACATTCTGCTAAAACATTCAATGAAAAGGCGTAAGGATGATGCTTTTTTAATTGGAACAATTCTCACAGCAACATTGAGGACAATTGGAACAAATTTTGCAAATTGTTCCAATAATTGAAAGAAATAATTGGAACAATTATCAATATAATTGGAACAATTATCAATTGAACAAATAATTGGAACAATTATTGCAGCAACATTGAGGCATTTTTCAGAAAATGAATATTGCAAGCAATGGAGAACACATGCAGAATAATAAACTAATGATGTTAGGGTTGACAGGCATTTTAAACTCCATTTTGTGGGTACCTGGGTAAAAATAACATCAAATTTGATAAATGAACTGTAACTTATTCCAGCCACTGATCTATAATCATTCTGGTGGACTGTGCGATTTTTCCAGCCAGCCACTGATCTATAATTATTTTCCACCAGCTACTAAGCTATAATTATTTTTAACATTTTCTTAAACCAATTCATGACATTATAACTAAGTGATTTTAATCTCTTTTATGCTTTTTTGTTCGTCTGTATAAGTAAGAAAAGAGAAATCTCAGTACATTAATCATGAGAAATAAAAATACGTGCCAAAGCAGGAAACAAAACAGAAAAATATCCAAGCCAAAGTATTTCCAAAACGGAATGTCTTGCGCGTGAGATCTCAAATGATCTCCACCAAATGCTAGAACGTGGTTAATCCAGAACCCTGCTTCCTCAACCGAACTCATCCTCTCAGATTTCAAAATCGCTGACGCTTTTTGTACGTTATCTTTATACGAACGATTGTTGACAACTTCGGTGATGGCTGAAACTAACTCTTGCACTTTGAACGACCTCAAATCCAGTCTCAGGCCAAAACCTTTACGGACTAACTTCCCAGCGTTTTGTGGTTGATCTGAGAATACAGGAAATCCAAGCATTGGCACTCCGGCTAGCATTGCCTCGTGTAAACTATTTAATCCGCAATGGGTTACAAAGAGTTTTGTTCTTTCATTGTGCAGTAAATCGTACTGAGGTATCCATGGTTTAAACATGAATTTATCTGACTGCCTTCTGCCGGGCGAGGACACCTGAAGTATGTATTTATACTGTGTTTGCTCAAACGCTTTCAGAAATTTGTTCAAGATTTCAGCTGGAATCGCTTTTAATACCGAACCAAATGCAACTAGAATCACACCTTCTCTAGCGTCATCCATAAAGCTTTGAAATTCTGGGGAAAGAGGTCTTGCCGTGCGTGGTAGCAGACCCCCGACACGTTTTACGTTTGGGGAGATAGGTTGGTTGTAATCTAGCACACCGTGATGCTGGATTAGCCACAGCGGTGATTTGGCTTGCAGATCACGTAATGAAATGTATGGCTTTTCTGCGAGATATTCACGGACAAACGTGGTGTTTACGAGCGGGTTGAACCAGTAGGTCAACAGCTCTAAAAACGTATTGATTAAACGTTGCTGGAATGTCATATGGTCTGTGTATGAAATGACCGGGTACATTTCGTTTGGTATGACGGATGGTAGAATTGGACTTCTGGCATATTGTGGTATAAAGAACAGGCCAATGAATATAAACGGAATGTCCAGTTTGTATGAGATGTAGGTCAGCATGGCGGATATAGGTGCAGAATCTAATACCATTAAATCTGGATGAAAATTCTTGATATCTTCCAGAAATGTTGCATCTTTCATGATTTTGGTGGTGACATTCGTGAGTGCGACGATAGCATCGCTGCTAGCTGTGTTCTTTCCTTCGAAATAGTTCCTCAGAATGATATTTGTACCCATGTGTCGCTCCGAGAAATCTCCTAGACCGTGGTAAAGTAATAATTTCACTCCTTTGTCTTCGAGGCTCGGTTGTAATTGCGGTGGAACGGCCACAAGCACTTCGTGACCTTGGTCTTTTAGGAGTTTTGCTACATTCACTGGTCCAACATGATGACTGTATGATGGATAATAAAGGAAGATTATCTTAGCAGTCCAGCAACAACGACTGTTAAAAATAAATGTCAGTAAAGCATAAACCAGCACAGGTCGTTTCATTGTCAAAATTTCTTTCGCTGCTGTCGTACAGACCACTGACGACAACACTTGAAAACGAACATTCTCTATGATAAAGCCTCATTCATATGTTAATCATTATTATTCGCAATTACTGGTAAAGGTTTTTGAACCAAGTGCATTTAGTGCAAAGATGATGTGCAGCCAATAATGTAAACTAACGCTTTATTTGCGAATGCAAATAAATTTAGGTAAATGAAAGAGAGTTTGTTCAAGTTTGAATAAAATTCAGGGTAATTAATAACGTCACTAGGTTCTCCATTTACCAGCGAACCTGACACCTTAAGTGGTCCAATCCTACGACACTCCCAGGTATACGCCCTCCGAATATTTCAAAGAATTTCCCAGTCGATCGGAGAAAAAATAAGTGATAGAAACGAAGCAAAGAAGCTTTTATAATCCTATAGCAAACAATTTTAGGTTCAAAAGAGAAGGTTTTTAGCTTGTTTTGAGAGGGATAACGATATATTTGTAGAAATGAATAAAGTGTTTTGAAATGTACATAATTATTTCGAATCGTACATTTTTAGCCAATCAGCGCTCGAGATTTTGATATATAAAAACAAAATGACGTGCTACGTCGCATGTTCCCCACAGTCAGCCGAGGGCAAGTTCCATCTCAAAAGTTTCCTTGTTGTGGTCAGTTTTACAGCGATTTCTTCCCCGTTTTTGTCAAAATGGATGCACCCTTAACACCAGAGTTAAAGAAAGAACTTAAAAACATCGCCGAATCGATCGTGAAGCCAGGCAAGGGCATTTTAGCGGCTGACGAAAGCACAGGAACAATGGGGAAAAGACTGACTCAAATTTCGGTCGAGAATACCGAAGAAAATCGTCGACTTTATCGCCAACTTTTATTCACGGTGGATCCGAAAATTGCCGAAAATCTCGGCGGGGTTATTCTCTACCATGAAACCCTTTACCAGAAAGCAGACGATGGCACACCGTTTATAGATTTGATAAAGAATTTGGGAATTATCCCTGGTATAAAAGTTGACAAGGGAGTTGTTCCACTTGCAGGAACTGTGAACGAATGTACAACTCAAGGGCTCGACGGTTTGGGCGAAAGATGTGCACAGTACAAGAAGGACGGTTGTCATTTTGCTAAATGGCGTTGTGTTTTAAAGATCGGTCCGAATAACCCGTCAGAGTTGGCGATGAAGGAGAATGCTAACGTGCTTGCAAGATATGCAACAATCTGTCAGGCGAATGGTTTGGTTCCAATTGTCGAACCTGAGATCTTGTGTGATGGTGAACACGATCTGGAAACTTGTCAAAAAGCAACTGAAGCTGTACTATCTGCAACCTACAAAGCACTGGTTGACCATCATGTCTATCTAGAGGGTACATTGCTCAAACCTAACATGGTGACTCCAGGTATGGGACGAGTTACGTAATTGTGTATACATGCTTTTATTATAGCCTATTTTCACTTTTAGTACGTTCATTTTTCATCTTAGCTTTTGCAATTATGTGGATAAACCTATATATTTATTTAGCTTTGCTTGATGCGAAGAATAAATCAAGATTTCAGATATAATTATATAATTATATAAAGAGTTATATAATTCTTTAACCGGAAGTGAAAAACTTCCACGTATTCAAGGTCACCTTTGAAAGCTGGTTCTTTTGAAAATGTGGTCTGGTATAAATTTAGGTCAGAGTTGTACCAAGAAGTACACACCAGAGCAAATTGGCGAGGCTACTGTCACAGCTCTACAACGTACGGTTCCCTCTGCGGTTCCGGGCATAACATTCCTTTCTGGTGGGCAGTCTGAGGAAGAAGCATCTGTGAACTTGAATGCTGTTAACAAACATCCAGGTATGGTATGTGCAACTGTCGCAGCTAATTGAGCATAACAGTGTTATATAATATACAGAGTAGTTTAGTGTTATAATAGTGTATGAATTTGAAAGCTGATTGGTTGAATTCGCATGCTATAAATTAAGAAATATTTTTATGTAACAACAACACTTGTTATCTGTCTAAATGTTCCTCCTTTCTTTCCCAGGTAAGAAGCCATGGGCATTGACCTTCTCCTTTGGTAGAGCTCTGCAGGCCAGTGCTTTGAAAGCTTGGGGTGGCAAACCAGACAATGTCAAGGCAGGCCAGACTGAGCTTGGAAAACGAGCATTGGCGAACGGCTATGCTTCCTGCGGCAAGTACACTGGCATTGAAAGTTTAGCTGGCAGCCAGAAGACGTTTGAGGCAAACTATGCATACTAGCTGCATATGATGGATAATTTATAACAAACTTGCTTTTAAAAACCTTTGCAGGATTTGTGTTGTATAGTTTAGCTTGGCATCGATAATCAATAATTTCATGTACTTCCAAGGTTTATTTAAGGTGACTCTTGTATGTCTGTGAGTTGCCTTACATATATCAATTGTAAAGGATGTCAAAAAATAAAGTGTGAGCATATCAATTGTGTTTATTGTTATAGTTTCAAAAAACCTGTATATATGTATTATAAATACCCTAAACATATCCTGATTTAATTGAATACATTTGAAATGACTGACAATTAAAGCAAAATGCCACAGCAGTTTGTTAAAAATTATTATTGCACATAAGGCTTGTATTTTCACGTTGGGAAATAGCCAGCTTCTGAACCAGGATGGGCATTGTGCATGTGATCAATAAATCTAAAGAAAGATAAAATAGTTTTACAGTTTTACCAGAGTTTGGCAGTCACTATAACCTATTGAATACTTGGTAACTTGTATGTAATTGTGTGCTTTTCACTAACCTTTTATTGCATTCTGCAGCCACAATTCGTTTGCATGATTCTGCATATGCCAACTTGTATAACACCTGAAGGTTATGGGGAAAGATATTATGCAGCAACAATCAAAGAAAATGAGGTAAAATATCTCAATGTTTGCAAAACTTACCAGGAAGACTAAGCAGTGAAGGAATATAGTGTAAAAGAAAGCCACTGCTCTTGCAATCTTGTTGGATAAAATAAATTTTCCCTGGGGAAAATTAATATAATAACCTTGTTTTAGTAAACACTCTTTAGTCTAGGAAGAAACCCTAATTTGATTTGGTTCAATATTGTGCCAAATCTCACCATATTCAAAGTAACTTTGTCATGTGCACTCAGTCCTAAATATCTCTGTTGTTTTTCCTGTAAAATAGAAACATAGATAAAGGAGTATGATGACTATTAAAGGAACAGACTGGACTTGGACCACATACATGCATGCAGTACTTCGACACTTGAATTCTTACATTTTTGTTAAAGGCTGCAAAAGGGTCAAGTCTTGCTTCGTATTGGGAAGAATATTTATTAACAGCATTCTCATCTTCACGATTATTACCACCCTTATTTGGGTAACTTTGAAGAAATCGAATTTTCTCATAGAGTTTCACATTATCCGAGCGGAGTGTATCAATTTCATTTTGTAGTAGACTTGATTGCCGTTGTTGATGCCGCGCTTGCTGGAAGACAAGGAGAAGGAGCTCAATTATTGTGACCTTCGGTCAAGGAGAGCAGACTATTAAGGGAGATTGAAGACAAATGGAAACTAAAAGGGCAATCCAATAAACTTGGAACTATTTTCAGTTTAATTGAAAGGATGTTTACTGCTTCAAGCTCCAGATTTCTCATCTTAAATCTTTCTCGCTGGCTTGAAATGATGGTAAGAAGAGATTCTGAGGTTGCTGCCCCTTCTAACGGGTTTACATCTTGAAGGGAAAAAGTTTAAGAGTCAAATTTAAAATTAAAAAATGTCAGTTTAATTTGATCAACCACTAGTTCTGAAGTAACCAACCCACCAGGAACTGATGTTGGGGTTTTTGCACCTTGAACAGCTACAGAAACAAGTTCTGTTTCAGATGTTGGACCTGCTTCACCCTGCCAAGCAAATGAATAACAGCTGTCAAGAAATGATACATCAATGGGTTGTAAATGAAAAGTATGTCAGTTGGCAATAAGCACACACCTCTCCTTGACCACGGTGTGTCGAAGGTAATGCATTAACTGACAGTAAATCTGTCTCAAGTTCACTAATCAATTCCTTCTGTTCCTTAACAGTGTGCGCTGCTTCTGTATATTGCCTTTGTAGATCTGCATGGCGCTCTGATAGTGAAACAAGACATGTATAAAATTTATTTAGCTTGCTGAACCTTTAGAGAATATGTTTACTTTTTACAGAAATCAAAACTAGATATTTACCAGTAAGATCTTGGTTGGCAAACTTTAGTTTGGTATTTTCAGATTGCAAACCTACAATATATAAATTGAGATTGGGTTATACATTTCTTTTAAACACATAAAATGAAATCTTAAATTCTTAATCATATTCATACCTCGATTCTTTTCCAAAAGAAGCAGTTCTAGGGACTTGCTTGTATCCTGGGCAATCAGCATTTATTAGAAACATCATATATTATGTCTTTACAATATTTAACAACAGCTAAGCATGGATTGTACCTGTTCATTGTCGTCATCATCAACACTTGGGATTCTCGAAAACTCCACAGATTTCAAGATACTGAAATATAGACATATTATTTGAGACGTACACTTCTGTGTGTATCTTTTTCAGTATATGATGCTTTTTTTCAGTGCAAAATAACTTACTTGAGTTCTCTGTGAATATCATCATAGTCTGCTTGTTCTTTGAGCTTTGTTTCCTTTACAGAAAAAGATTGTTGCAAGGTTAGTCCCAACAGAAACTGTTTGTGCCAGATTAGCTGCAGTGAAATGACTCGTAGATTATTCAACTAACCAGCTGGTGGGTGGCTTCAGTTTTACTTGCCAATTGTTCTTCTAATGAAGTTACCTATACATGGCAAACAATCTCCATCAGAGAACAGGAATTTGCTGCTTTGATTATGTGGTACTTTGAAACAGGTTAGTTAAATACCTGATGTATTCCTGCCTCACGCATCTTATTCATAGCTGCTTGAAGACGTTGAATATCTTCCACCAACTGACCAATCTAAAATGCCACCAATAGTCAATATTTAATAACCTGAAGACAAGGTTAGTATCTAGAGACTTTTAGTTAATATTTACAATCAATAAACCTCTTTTTCTTTTGCAGAAAGTTCCCTTTCCAATGTTGTCCTTGATATTGAGTGAAAAGCATCATCCTTTCAAAAATTTGCAGACATTTTTGTATCAGGATGGGTGACACGTAGCAGTCGTTAAGAAGGAGGAAGAATATGGATAGAATGGTAGAACATGTGAGTAAAAAAACTGCAAAATATTATATACACTTCATACCACATTTTGTCTTGATTTTTCATCAGAAGTCTTGAGATTAATACAAGGAAAGAAGATATAGAGTAAAACATATTACCATCAACACAAATGCTACAGTTTGACTATAAAGAAACATTGTTTACCTGTACTTCTGATTTGACTTGACTCAATTGTTCATTTAATGCTTCAACTTGGCGTTCAGCAAGCAGTGCTCTCTAATTTTAATGTATCAAGTATACTAATTAACAGAAAAACCTTGTTGAAGTGGTAAGGCAGTTACTCCAATTTTGGAGCCATTCAATACCTGATTTGCTCTCTCTACATCAGCCTCCAATAGCTCAACAGCAGATCCTCTGAATAATCAAAACAATATGGTCTCTCACTACTCTGTTGGCATATTTCAGGTAAATATTGCTCACTATACCTTGCTTCATTTTCTTCATCTAGCTTTGACTTCACATCAAACAGCTCAGATTGGGAACTTTCCAAAGCTACCAGCCAAACAAACAATCATCAATTAAAGTCCAAGAGCTCATGGGTATAAATTTGAGTGATGGTAATCAAGGTATGATTTTAAATATTAATGATTCAATAAATTAACCTGCTTTCAAAGCAACAACTTCTTGTTCTGTTTCTCCCAATTTCTTGGCCACCTCAAGTTGAGTTTCCTGAAGCTGTCTATGAAGAAAAACAAACACAATTTCTGGCTATTGAATCATGAATTAACCTGACTGTTCTAGCTGCATGAAGTCATACCTCTCTCTTTCAGCAAAAATCTTTTGCAATTCCTTTTCTTTCTCCTTCACTCTCAACTGTAAATACAAGCAGAAATTGTCAAGAAATTCTGCTCATAGAGTGGAAATACAGGAGCAGAAAACAGAAGATTTCACTACAATGTGTCACTCACCTTCGCTGTCTCTTCAATTTTGTCCTCGTACTCTCTAATTTTTTCCCTCAAGCGATTGATTGTAACCTCTGTGAAGGTATGTATATAAAACCAAAATGCTACTATTAACTGCTGCTTCTTTTAAACCAACACAAAACTTTATATTAACCTTGGTTTTTAACTTCTGCAAACTCTGTGTTATATTCGTTCAATGTTTCCCGTAGTTTTTTGTTCTCAACCTCGTAATCCTTTAAATATGAAGAAAATGGTAAATTCAGACACAATTAGTGTTGACGATTTCATAACAAAACATCAAGGCAGCTTACATGAAATTTGGAAACTTTTTGTTGATTAGAGATACACTGGTCCAAAATTGGCAAAGGATCTGATATACACAAATAAGAAGGTATATATAATATATCATCACTCTGTAAAAATGTGGAGTGTGTTATTTGAAGGATTGCAATGAGCCTTTTCTCACCAGGAATTTCCACTATTCTTTTATATAGTGATAGGAATACTGTTTCTGCTGCTTTGCTTCGCTTTGTCAATGAGTCAATCTAACAGGTTTTGAGAATTGAATGCATGAATGAACAATTAATTTAAACCAGTGGGTTTGGTAGTTTTTTACAAAAATATTCTTCTAAATCCTTCTCTTGTTCCTCACAGAGAATGGGGCTTCAAGTTCTGTGATACGTACCTCCCCTTGGAAATTTTTTAGCAAGGGAGCCACTTGTTTTCGAACATTCTATAAAAAGTTTGGCATTGTAAGCCATCCAGATGATAGAGCTTAATACATCTGACAATGACATTTGTTAGGATGATATTGATCACATTACAATATTGGTAACACTACAGTGATGATTGATAATATCAATTATAATTTATTGATTATACTAGCAATATCATATTGATTTGATCGATCATATTGATGACATCGATTATATTGATAAAAAAATGACAGTGATAGTAACATATAAAGGTTAACATACATCAGGAGTATTCTTCTTGAATTCCTTGCTTAATTCAACCAATCTTTTACGAGATGTGTCTGATTCATCTTGTCTGTTTGCAAGTTCCGTCGCTTCGCTGTCCAAGGTTTTCTAACGAGAATAAATCGCACAGAAAAATAATCGTGAACCATACACAGGTTTGAAAATCCAATCGTGAAATGTCGTAACTTTATGTACCAACCTGAAGAGTGATAAGATCAAAATTCTTCCAAAATTCTCGCGTCGAGTTTATCGACGTCGACGTAGCCATCTTTTTACAAAATATTTGTTTTGATCGATAGGAAATACCGGGGGGTATTTGAGTGGACTAAAATGGGGGAAAGGTAAAGCTTGATTTTCCCTTTCAGATGATAATTTGCTAGAGAAATATTTTTGTATTTGCATATTATCTATTGAATTGAGAACATTAAAGTTGAGCTAATCTATTTGTACAATTTAAATTCTATAAAAAACATGCAAATACTTCGCTAGCGAGTAGCGAAAATTTCTTTGAAAATGGAAATCGAGCCTAACACAGTAGAGGCACCTTAAGTTTAAATATGTCCCAGTTTTACGCGCGAAAGCTCCGGAAAGAGAAACCACTTCTTCTTTGGTCATTTAAAACTGCTTGGTTACAAAAGGATTTAAATTTCTTTGTTTATATTGCAATTGTGTGTAAGATTTAGTGTATTTTTGTGCAAAGTTTAGTCCTCGAAATAGGAAATTCTTCCTGAGAGCTAGAGAATTTGGGCTGAAGAGAGGTAAAACTGAGAACATCCAAAAATGTCTGAGCGCATTCCCAACCGTTTTGGCCAGTACAAACATTCAACTCCGCCGTGGAAAGAGGTTTACCGCGAGGTAATCCCTCAAGACGTTTTACTAATAGATAGGTAGCAGTTTCATACATATGTTTTTCTCCTCATATGGCGTTCAACTGATTTTGTATTTTGTACATGTAGCGCTGTTTACACAGAGTTCGTGAAGGAAGATCAAGGCTGGTCGACAGATTCCGCGGAGTGCAGGACTCAGAGGAAGCGGCTATGGAGCAAGAGTGGGATCGTTTAGAGCAAAAGGTTAGGGTCTTTTCTGGGATTTAATTTGTATTAAATCCATTGGTTCCCAGGCACAAGGTATTAATTCCCATGAGCTCAATCAACTACCCTATTTATACTAGAGGGAGAGAGAGAGATGGATCATATTCTTCCGTATCTCTTGTGAAGAAGTGTCAGAACTTGTAGAATTGTCAAAACTTGCTGTTAAACCAACTTTCAGATGATCAGTTTCCTAATTTCGTCTTAAATTCTTGATGGAATTTTAGCGTTCAAATGAGGAATTGGATGCTATGCTTCATGTCATGGAGGAAATGCAAAATGAGAAAAGATTGGAAGGTTGGTTTGGACAAGCTGTTCCTTGCAGATTTTTGCAATCTTCAACATGCAGATAAACTTGGTAGCCAGTCTATTGACTCTAATCTCATCACCATCTTTAGAACAGCAGATGTTAAGACAATATGAGGAGAGGTTACAGTTTGAAGAAGATAGATTCTCTGCTTGTATTGAATGCTTTCTTGCAGATGATGTTATTTGCCCCATATGTAAACGGTATGTACTAAATGAATCTAATGGTTACCTAACTGATCACTTTAAAGCAGATTGTATTCATTATTCAATGTAAATGTCTTTTAGAAATCCATTACAGCAAGACAAGCAAGTGATTTTCTGCTTTTGTGGAATGAGAGTTGACACAAAGGTGAGAGTAAACAGGTGTAAACGCTTACCTACAATGTGACCTGCTCGTAACCTTGCTTATTTATATCCACAAACTTCCACTTGTTTGGGAGGTCAGGGAGATCCTTGATGAATGGTTGATAGGATTTCAATAAACAACTGTAAAATATTTGTTTTATCAATACAGAATCATGCAGTTACATTGGATTTTGTTAAAAATCAATTAAAAGATGCTATGGAACAACATGGCAAAATGTGAGATCATTCCTGCTTAAAATTTTTTAGAAATATCTATCATGTAAAGCTATTCAGCAACCCAATCTTCTTCACTTTTAGGAATGAATGCTGTTTTGGAGAAGCATTGTTTAGTGTTTCATCTTATCCTGAATATGATATAAGCAATCTCATTATGGCTTGCACAGTAGGTGATAGTGTGTCCATTTTGCTCTCAAACAGGTTGAATCCATATAGTTGAATGGGTGATACTGGGTTTGTTACTGACTTACTAGTAGAAGTGAAACAATGTGCATTACATTTTAGGGCTGTGACTTTTTGGCTGTTGTCCTTTGAGGAATGAGGGAAGGATTGAGTTCAGCAGGGATATCATCTTGTTGTGTTGTTGTTGCAATGAATCCAGATACAATACAGTTTTGATCATATTTAGAATATATTATTTATAATTATTTATAAATAGGGTAACATAGGATATTTGTTATCTCCGAGTTGTTGCAAATAATCCAGATACAATAGTTCACTGGAAAGTGGAAACGATACAGTTTTGTTTATATTAAGAATATGATATTTATAATTATTATATATTATTTATGATTATTATAAATAGGACAGCATAGGATAACATAGGATAACAGGGTATTTGTATAAATAAATAAAGGTTTATATTTGTATATACACATTACACACAGTGGAAGTCAACATGTGATTTCACACAAGATGAAGTATTGGGAGGTTAGGAAATTCCCATTCAGATTCAATATAAAGTTCAGTGAGTCGCTTGTCCTTTTGCTTGAATTACACAAAGTATTCTAGTATTTGTTTTGGTTGTCCGAAGGCTCTGGTGTAATTTGAGACACATTGAAGAACGAAATAAGTCAATGACTCGCAGTTGATATAATAAAATCATTTGATCACTTTGATCATTCAAGCCTTATAAATCATCCGTTTTTGCCCGAATTTGGTCGTAATTTCGTGTTTTCTAAATACCGGTGTATAATGTCGAAGTTCATGTGAATAGCTTTAACGTTTGGAGAAAAATTTCTCTGTAAAAACACGATTCCTTGCGGAGTTCCTTGCTGTGTCACAACAAAGTATGAATCGTGACCCAAATGGAATAAGATGGGAGGACTTTTGTCGGAAACATGGTGAGAATGCAGCGAGGCAGTTTGCGAAAGAAGTCAAGCATTTTGTGGACAACAACCCCGTGTATGATGGCATAAGTTCTGCGAATATATTCGCGAAGAAATTCATTGAATGCTTTAATCAAACATTCTCGGCTGAGCTTATCAATGCGACTTGGGCCGATTTCAGTGATCCTGATTCACCAGGGCCATTTTCAAACGAGTTGAATTATCCTCCGAGCGGCCCGAACAGCCAACAGGTGAACGGACAAGACCAGCAAGGGAAACCACGATCAAAATTTAACTTCAGACAGTTGTTTAAGAGGACAAACAGTGCGACTCACGTTGATACTGCCTTACATCAGACGAACGGAAGTCTTCATGATCATGGTAGATTTAGACCACCGAATTTAAGTCTTGACCAGGAAAGACCACCAAATGAGATCAAGAAAGACGGTATACTAGATTATCTAGTCAATTTAGACTCAGGGGCGGATTTGGAAGAGTTTTTTTGGCAAAAGTGTCGGGTACTTCTCTACAAAGCCCCGGGAGGCTTCATGCTAGAATTCTACGCACCACCTAAGGTAAGATTTCATGTCTTGGCAAACAGAAAATGTTCAGGACTTTTATTTCTCGTAAAAGATCAACAAATTCCACATAATATTTGTATAATGCACAAATAAAGTGTTGTTTATGCACCAGTATAATTGACTTCTGCATATTTGAAGTGTTTTTGCATAAATTTGATACATGTCTTTGACATATTTGGGTGAGCGATCGCCAATTTTTTTTGGCAAAAGTCACCGTCACTATACGCAGTTTTCTCCTATTTTCTTAACTATTCGAAGAGAATATTTCAAATACGTTTTTTCTAAGTGTACTTAACACGACAGATAAACGAAACACAGCTGTTTGAGAGCAGATCCGATCAAAGAGGAAGCTTTAAAGTAGCTCGACCCGGCGGCACGTACGGTTGAAATGATCGTGAAAAAACATGATCAGAGTTCGTAATCTACAAAGAAAATTAATTTTGATTAGGTTATTTTCGGTTGTGTGTATATCCCATGCGAAATTGTACAGTAAAATTTCTGATATTTCAAAATAATTGTGTAAGATTGCTATCAGCGTGTATTAGCATACAATGAGTTTGGCGTTTGCATGATAAGCCTTACATCTGTCATTCAAATTCATACCCCTGGCTGTATGCAAATAGAAGAACAAATATGACTTATATGAGTCACCAGCTTCGTTTTCCTTGTCGAAACCTTAGTTCCTAAACAATTATTAATCTAAAATTAGTTTGGTATAATTATATAATTGATAAAAGAACCTTTTATATGCCCATTTCGTGGTTGAGTGGTTTTATAATTTTTGAGTCTCTGGCAGTCTGGCTTACAGTCATTTTCATATTACTTGCCCAAGTATTCCAGATTTTGTTGTGAAATTCAAAACCTTATACATCAAATTTGAAAGTTTGGTTTGTAAACAAAGCCATTAATTCGCTACCAGTTTGTAAACTGAAATTAACTTCAAAACTATTTTGACAAACACTGTGTGAGAAATTCACTGTAGTTGTCTTTCTAAGATTTTATTTACTGAGAAATTTATTAAAAAAAAATTATTATCACAACAGGCGGTGAAACCAAAGAATGGTATATTTTGCTTCTTAATTCATGAAGCGAGGCCAGCAAGTATTTTGGAGATGCCAGATGGTGATCATGTATTTGTTATAAAGGCTGTGAACAAAAAAGAGTACATGTTAAGGGCAAGCAATAAATACGAGATGAACACTTGGCTTGATGAGATACGTCATTGTATGGAGGAGGATCAGGGAGGACCAACAAGGTACATTATAAAATGTTCCTCTTCAAACAGAATTGTTTGCAACCCTTGCAGGAAAATTGGCCAAGGAATACTCACACAGTGATGTATTTGTTCTCTTTTTAGCCCAACAACGACAAGTGCACCAATGATACCATCTTTGCCAACACCACCAGAGAATAACAGTTCATCACATTCACACAGCAGAGATGGACCCCTTTTGGTCTCCTTACCGACTGAGCAAAACACAAGTATGTATGATTGTCCACATGTTCAGCAGCTTGTATTAACACGCTTATATTAAGTCATTTTCCAATATACTGTCCTTCTACAAACATCTTTAATGACAGATTAGTGGCTTGACCAAATAAGTAGCAAATCCAATTATGAAGCTTTTTAACACCTAATGAATGGATTTCAGGTTTGCGACGTATGCCTCCCAGTCGACAGGACAATGTTGTGGGAGAAGAAATTACATCAGAACCTCGATGTAAGTCCAGTAAAATAATTTATTTCTTTTAATTGCAAGAATGTTTATATTCGATGACTTTCTTCAGGCATATTATGTCAATATGCAAGGGTAATGCCTTCTTAAGCATGTCAATAAGAAGTTACGATTTTTATAGTAAGAAGAGGTAAATTTCCGCTGTATATCCACAGCCTCCCCTCTTAGATCCAGAGAGAGAGATGCACACAAAGAACCCAATGTTGATTTTCTCTTTCCTAGATTCGGCCCCACCAGTTGCGGGGTCACCACCCCCTGCCTTACCCCCACGTTCACACTTGATGAATGATACAGACCCACCACACAGGGGTGAAGAGCAACATGAGACATTCTTTGGTGTATCTAGCGAGACACCACCTCCCAGTCCGGATGTTAATATCGCAAGAGGTAAGAACGAAAGATCTTTCCTCCGAAAATGTTTAATAAATTCCGCATAATTTTCCGTGCAAGATATGATGATGTTTTGTCTAACACGATGTTTATCCGACAGCCTCGTCGGAGGAATCCGACATCCTCCCGACGGAGGAGACTCAAGACTGGATATCGTTTACGGGAGAAAATCATCCGCTCGCCCCATACCCTTGGTTTCACGGCACGCTCTCGCGGCTCGAAGCCTCGCACCTGGTGTCTCAGGGGGGGCAGCAATGGCATGGGATATTTCTTATACGTCAGAGCGAGACACGTCAAGGAGACTACGTTCTCACCTTCAACTTTCAAGGACGCGCAAAGGTTTGTGGCTCATCTTTTACACCTGCAATTTTTCTTGCGGGATTTCGTCATTCGATAGAAGCTAACGAGCGATTACTTGTCCCCATCCCCTCCCCCCCTAGGGAAATATCTAGATATGTTAATGATACCCTTGATTTTCTTTCCAGCACTTGAGACTTTCATTAAACGCCGACGGTCATTGTCGGGTACAACATCTGTGGTTCCCAAGCCTCTTCGAGATGCTCGAACATTTCCGGTCTAATCCCATTCCCCTGGAGAGTGGCGGTCCGTCTGACGTCATGCTTACAAACTTTTGCGTGAACACCGGGGAGAGCGATGTCGCCCCGCGCCGTACCTTACCCTTGAGGTCAAATCGCTCTGATGGACTAAGGCGAGCGCACAGTGTACAGGCCAGTAGGCTGACTAGGACAGCGGTTATTCAAGGAGGCTCTGTACGACTGCCGTCCACGTCAGCCAATCAGCAGCCGATACGTGTACGCGCTGTTGAGAATCAATACGCAATTATGTGAATATCATAGTTTAGTTGGTGGGTCTTTTAGGGGTGAAATATTGGCCTTTTTAAACAATGCTGTTTAGGGTATACTACTCACTTTCAATTCTGTTTATTTGCGTTCAATTACAAGACGACTGTGTATAATGGAAGAAAGAAATGCAATTTTCTTTCGGAAGAAAACTACAATCTGATTTCTGCACGAGAAAGCATTCGCTGCCAGTTTGAAACGGCATGTAAATATAAAGTATGGGCCGTGAAAAGTGGTTCGATACACAACGAGGACAATTAACTACACGATCACACAAATATTTAGGCATGAAGTGTATTGCATTTTACTATACAACTAATGTAAAAAATATTTCATACAAGATAGTATATTACAAATAGAAAAATGGATACTTATAATCCCCTCGTAATATTTCTTTAAATCTTTCGCCTACTATTGTTGCAAACCTGCAGGGCACATGGAACGACGTCCATTCCTCTACCCAACCTGACGAAATAGCTACGAACTGGAACGATCTATTTACGATCTATTCACTTATTTTGTTGCCTTTATGAGATCGTTGGCTGGTCTACCGTCTCCTGTATATCTGCCCGCGATATCCATTCAGTGAATGACGAATTAATTAAGTTGTTTAAAAAAACCGTACAAAATGAAGTGCTCAGGATGGACACTCGAATGTCTCGGCTTTAGAGGAACATTATTACAGTTATTTCCTAATATTTCATTATTTTTAGTTTGAATTAGTATAGTGCAGTTGTGTTTGAAGCGCGGCTTCTTTTGAAGCTTTTTTATGTTTTAAAAACAGTTCACAATATATAAACATATTACTTAATAATTAATATCCCGGGTTTGTTAATCCACTTTCAGGGTCGGCAGCAGGATATGGCTGGTTGTTGGCAGCAGGATACGGCTGGTTGTCGGCAGGAGGATATGGCTGGTGAGGTGGGGGTGGCTGTGGTGCGCCATGGTGAAAGGTTTGCACAGTTGTCGTTTGCATTGGTTGCCCCTGTTGAATGACAACCACTCCAGGTGTCTACATAGAGAGCAAAATAATACAACGTTAGCATCTTCTTGCAAAAACGTGATCCATCAAATACAGTAAAGACTAAAGATCAAACAGTAAAGATTCAAGACATGCTTACATCCGGCCCGCTCTTGTCACAACAGGCTCCGATGCAACCAATGATAGAACCAGCAAATGTTGCAATTATACCAAGGATAGAGAACGCAACCACAGCTCTCATGCTTGCCATCATAACATCAATATCATCACAGCCATCGACTGAAAGTATATATTTCGTTATACGTTTTTGTAGGTGGATTATCTATTATACACATGCAGGCTAAACTTCTCCAAGCATTTCTTCCTAGAGGTCCAGTAAGGATAATCTCTTATTGATCCAGTGTTACTACAGGAAGAAATCTAAACTAAACTAACTTTATTTATACTGGATAGCTCTATCAGTTCTAAACTGTTCTTCCTAGAGATCCAGTAAGGATCATCTCTTATTGATCCAGTGTTACTACAGGAGGTAACCTAAACTAAACTAACTTTATTTATACTGGATAGCTCTATCAGTTCTAAACTGTTCTTCCTAGAGGTCCAGTAAGGATCATCTCTTATTGATCCAGTGTTACTACAACCTAAGCTAACTTATCCCCATCAGTTTTTACGGTTAAGGGTACACTTGCCCTATCCCAATAGTTTTGTGATAATTAATACGTACAAGTAAAAGTATTCGCATCTACTCCCGACGTGTCCCCTTCTAATCGGCAAGTACATTGTCCCCTGTATTCTGAACATCTATCATTATCTAGAGCATCTTTAAACAGTCCCACAAGAGCAAGGACGATCGCGGCAATAATTGCTTGGATAGCGTTGAGAATCATATCGATGATGCACATGACCAAAAAGACGATCATCTGAAAAGGTCAGATTGGAATTTGTCAGAAGAAAGAAGCGTCAGTTAAGGTATATGCACGCTGTTTCTAACTTCTAGGGAGATAAGAAAGAAATATCGTTTTCAAATAACTATAAATATATTTACGAAAAGGCACTTACAATTCCTTTCATTTTAGTACACAAAGTGACCGCGCCAAATGCTCCGACCACAATCATCTAAAGTAGTAAAAGATACATAAAGATAAGTGAAAGTGAGTCTTTGTTTCGTTGTATCCCAGTCTTTTCTGCATTGACTATTTCTGTTTTCTTAGCTATAATATTTACGTTATAAAAGTGTTCCATTTGCAGAACAACGCATATTTTCATTGCTGAAAAGGGTTTTATAAACAATTTTGTGTTGAATGCAATAAACTGCAATTCACATTCATAGGAACGGCTATTTTACTATTTTAAGTGGGTTGATATTCTTGATATAGTTATTGATACATATGTTTCTTTTTAGCCATAGCAACGACCGGGGTGGAGTGTTACCTATACTGCCAAGCCATGCAGTGTTTGGTAAATATAGCAAGTGTATACATGAGTCACAGGAGTAGATTAACCACAACAAACAGCCTCCATGTAATAACAGGTAGGGCCTATATATTTAGCCGTTTAGAGCTGTGTCATCGCGTAGTCATGGCTACGATGACATATACGATGTATTCAACGTAGTTATAAAGTTGTTATACTACCGTTAGTTTCGGTAGGAATATAAATACATAGCATTAACTAGATATTTAACACGCAAAACACTAAAAAAACAACTCGTTGAAACTAAAAATGAAATGTGCAGCGCTGGACTCATTACGTCATATAATGTTGTATACTAAATTACTAAATTTTCTGCTTTTAAAAGTTCTTCTGTATATACTCATTAAGTCATAATGTTGTATACTAAATTACTAAATTTGCTGCTTTTGAAAGTTCTTCCCACCTATGTCAAAACAAAATACCACGAATTTAGCATCGCGAAAAATTCACTCTACGTTAAAATGAATAACAGAAAGTTTTTTTACCTCATAATACGCATTTCACAATATGCATTGTGAAAAATTTTCCTTGAAACATATATATGCAAGTTCGGTATTGGACTATTAATATAGCATTAGCCGATTTTATGTAGTTTTTTCAACATTTTGTTCGCTATTTAGTTAAATTTTCAAGACGAATAAGTAATGTTTCGAGTCCGTAACCCCAGGCAAAGCTTCGAGCAAGAAGAAACTTAAGAGATACTTTCATTTCAGTAAAACACATGCAACATTCAGTACTACTTTGATGACTAGAAAACTTACGAAAATTCCGGACCAAATTCCTTGGGCTCCTTTTCCATAAGCCGTCCACACGAAGCCGGCGACGGCGCACCCCAATCCACAACTTATCAGAATGAATCCGATAACACCCGCCCCAATCGCCATATTCTTCGACAAGTTGCCCGCCATTTTAGTATATAGTTTGAAAAGTAGAAAACGTAGCTACGACTCTAAAAAAATTGACGACGTTTGCGTGTCCAACGTTTCGCAGTTTGAAAAAGGAAACCAAACACCTGTATCTTATATATATAACGTTTTGAACTCGTTTTGCCACGAACTTATGCGGTCAAAGGCAATGCTTTTTACTCTAGGCAACGTCAATAAACAAGGCGTTTGGCAACCATGGAAATAGCAGGTTCCATTGCTGAAGACAAAAGCTAACAGTTGGAATTCGATAAACGTCTGTCTGACTCTGACCTAAGTCTCGACTAAAGTTGTTATAATATGTTATTCAACACTGGTTCGCTGCATGTTTACTTAATTTCATGTTTCTGATTCGATTCCAAAATGTGCCAAAGTACCAATATTTAAAAACGTGCGTGCATGCGCTTTGAAGAGTCGGATATAAATGTACAAGCCGGATTATGTGGTTTGAGGGTTTGAGGGCACAGGATCGATTCCTCTCAAAGAGCAAAAGTTGATTTTCATGCGAGTGTTATATTAGGCCTAGTTTTGGCAACGCGACGCGAACTTTCGATCTCATGTATTACGACATCCGCAAATATGATTTTATTCCGAAAGGAAATCTTGGAAGCTGTGACGCAATAGCTACCTCGCTTGTGCCTGAAAACCTCGTGAAAAGTGTATCCTGAGTTGTCCACCACACCTTAAAGACGTTATTAAACATTGGAACCAAATTTGCTTCCTGGGACGTGCGTCCTTGGGCGTAGCTTCCTGCCGTTAAAGGCTGCTCTCCACTTTTTACGCGTTTTTTATACGCACGTACACGTGCGTAAAATTTTAAATGCTTTTCGTAAATTTTTATTATTTAATATCTAGGTAAACTAATGCATACTAAAATATGCAGAAAACTAAGTTCCTTCGATTTATTCACTTAGTTTTTTCAAAGATAACCTATATAAGGATTTAGACTTTAACGTGCGTGTACGAAAAACGCGTAAGTGGAAAAAAGCCTTTAGTTTAGAGTCATGACGAATGAATTCAGGAAACGCGTTTTTGAGAAGTTGCTTTTGCAATGCACTACTAAGTGACTAATGCAATCAATCTACACTCTTATGAAACAATTTCGGTTTCTCGGATATAAAACTAGCAAATTCACATGCAAATTTCCGTGAATGAACAGTTGAAAGTGGTTGAGTTCATTTTCGAGTACTCAACTAAGAAACTTCTGCTGTGAGCGGACACGGTCGCAGGTGTCACAGCTGACAATATAACATATAATACTGATGACAATATAACATATTATACTGATGACAGCATAGACATACTGATGACAATGTAACATATACTGATAAGAAATCTAATACTAGAGTTGGTGAAGATAAATGCGTTTTTATTAAAAGAATAAATACATCATCTTTATTTCTTTTTGTATCAACAGAACTAAATATATTAACAAAGTAACGAATGCCTTATATAAAAAAAAATAAAACGCCTTTACAGGTAACATAATCATAAATACGATATTTACATTGGCAACATGTTGCCATAGAAACGTAAACTAATCACGTTGCATGCATGAAACGAAATGGGAAAAATAAAAAATACGTACGGTCAAAACATAAAACTTTGACACATGTGCACACGAGCGTCGTTTTCAACATCTTTTTTGTCTATTTTATTATTTTATTATTTACACGCCCTGTCCACACAACGAAATACGTTGTATACCGACTAAATTAGCTTCAACTTCTATCGTGAATTGACAGTGTTTGAAACCTTTTTGGTGTGAAAACGAATGTGAAAAGGCTCGAAAACGTTACGCGTGCACATATTCTTGGTTTCCACATGACGCTGAATGTCGGGATGTTCTATTGTCGGTGATATTAGATGAGAAAGAGCTTTGTTTCAAATCCCAAATATCTTTTATTCACCGACAATAGAGCATGGTCAAAACAAAAGGCGTTAATATATAGATACCTGATTTCAACCTGTTTTGAACTTTGCATTTTGGCTGCGTTGAATGCAATGGAAACGAGGTATAATGAGGCTGGTGAATAGTCTCGTTTTTCGTTTGAATTGCATTCAATATCACCAATTTTGCATATGTTGCATATGTAGTACATAAGAAAATGTTTTATGCAAACTACGTGTTAAAATATAAACTGCATTGCATCTTTGCAAACGTTGATTGGAACTTTAAACCACAAAAGTTTTATATAAATATTAATCATCTTTGTTTTCATGTTTTTCTTCCAATCTAAACTTGTTCCCAGGGTTGTCCAGCCATAATGGGGTTTATTTATTTTCATACCCCCAGATCTGAGTGAGCGTGTTGATAATCATGTAACGAGAGAAGATCACATATAGTTTCCTGAACCAAACATATTGTGTTTTGTGGGCTGCCATTGCTTGCTGGAATACATAAAATACAACTAGTTAAAGGTTTTGAAAACTATGTGCAGCTTATAACTACACAAAAGAGACATCTCAATAAGGTCTTTGTAGTGGTACCTGACAATGCCAGACATGACTCAAACCAGAAACATAGACCAGTTGTCGAGTGAGATAGCTCCAAATAAGATCCAGGATAAAAATATATTTCCTCACCAACGTCACACTATCCAGTGTGTATACAGAGATCGCATGCGGTAGCGAGCGTTGATCAATCAGGCGTCTCATTCCTTGGTAGATTGATATGTGATTGTTGTGTCCTGACACACCATAGTCGTCAAAGGTTATCACCTTGAAAATGGAGAGGGTTGTTTAAAAAATAAGTAGGCTCGGGAGGAAATCTCCATTAGGATAGAGGGGAGGGCAGAAATATAGGAGAGTAGTGCACACTTTTCCTAGAGTGCAGGAGAATTTCCAAGGGCTGATGTGTTTAAAAAGATGCTATTCCATTATCAAATTGGTTTTATTAGTATACTTACAGCGTTAATCTTGTGAGTTCTGAAATGCTGAAGCAAAACATCACTGACTAAACCGTCATTCCACATTTGATTAGGATCATCAACTATCATCCTAGAGAACGGTTCATGCAATATGATGTTGCAATAAGAAAGGCTTGATTTCAATAGAGGGGACATTTTTTGGGACACCCTGTATATCAGTACATAAAAATATTCACATTACCATGTATTGTACATTTAGGCACATACTTATTGTCCAAAGTCGTCACATTTTTTATGCCAAGTATCTTACAACTTTTCAGAAGCTCTTGTTTCCTTTGTTCGCCCTCGTTATTAAAATCCCCTTTGGAGAAAAATAAAGGTTTATTGATCTGGGCCAAGGGCTGCAATGTCAACACGATTGTGTAAACATACTTCTTAGGAAGTATTTCCTTATCAATTTTTCTCTTTTTTACCTTTAGTCATACAAAGAAGAGAGAATGAGGCAGCCTCTTTGGAAGCATGATAAATTACTGGTCCAAAAAACATACATTCATCATCCGGATGGGCGGTTATAAGAAGCACTCTTTTTCCACGGAATTCAACCCATGAACGATTCCGTCTCGCAACAAAGCAATAGAATACAACGAGCAGGAACAAAACAAAGTATACGGCAACAATGATAGCGCTAGAATAAGGTTTACCGCCCAAAAAATCGTGGTCACTCATTTTTTCTTTCACTTTTTTTTGAAAAAGAAAGTTTACAAGTTGGAATTTGAACTTGAAAATGAGCTGGAGGGTATTCTATGATAGATGAGGGTAGATTAGAATAATTGAGAGATAATTGAGGTGAATTTGGGATGTATAATCCTCCGCTGTACCCAGATATCGATGTCTCTAAAATGTCTTGGCGGGAAAATTTCAGAATTTTTATTTTGCAAAATTTAAAACCCAAACTGCAAAAAATTATTGTTTTTTGAGGGATTTGGTAGCATGCTTAATAGTAAAAGGTGGAGAGCACGTCCTTAATGTGCTATCTTTGTTATTTAAAGTTATATTTTAACCCCTCACAATGGCGGAGTGAAGAAGTTATGGTGTAAAGCTGAACTTCCTATACCAAACCAACAGTATCCAAGTCAATTCACGATGATGGACAAGGTAAGTTTGGTTAAAATGTATATATCATACGTCTAGCTTTATGATTTCATCCTTAACGGTTAAATCAAAAATTAGATGGGGAATTGAATATACCAGTTCTATTCTATGGTGTCACTTTATAGAATCACCACAGACTACCACAAAAGTTTATATGATTAGTGACTCAAAATATTTCACCAAATAATATATGATTCCATTCTTAATATCTCATATGAGAATAGCTACAAAAATCCGAACTAAATCGGGAATTGTAAAATCATTTAAGAAATGTGCGTGGCCTCAGAACCTGTGAATGAACACAAAATATGCTAATGAGCAGAATAAACAGTCATAGTAACAATTAGACTATAATCACCATTAATTGTGATACAATTTTTATATTACAATACACTGAATACAGTAGTGTGCAATAGTTTAATAAATCACCAGTTTTATACTAATGACAGGTCTATCATTGAGATTATAAAGAGGATTTCGAATTCTTAAATCTTGCTATTTTGAAAGGTTCCATATCATAGTTTGGTTTCAAGCCAGATGCCAACTGGAACAAAATCTTTCCAACTACCGGAGAAATTTTGAACCCAGAACCTGCAGAATAAAAAATGATGCACACTTTACTTATACCCTCAAATAGTTGAATGCATATATATACCATTCTCGAAATAACCTTAAATGAAAACATCAAAACATCAAGCTATCCACATTTCACATCATTGAGAAGAGTCAATTAACAACATTGAATTACCTGAGAAGCCAACTCCAATTGCAATATTGCCAAACTTTGGATGACAGTCTAATATGCAATCCTTATCAGGTGTTTCCTTAAACAAACAAAATGACTGAGTTTCCAAGCCAAGCACTAGGAAATGAAGTTCAAGTGGTGACAAACAGACTATTTAAAAAAAATAGAAAGCTTTAGTAAACTTACTGTGTAAATGCAATGCTCTTCTATACTAGGTTGTGCTTCAACCCCCATGATATGACGACTCACATATTCTGACGTCATCCTTCGCAGGTAGCTATGATCAACTACATCCCTAGAATCAGGATCGATCAAAGGTCCACCATGTCCACAGAACTAAGAAAAATTAATAAATGGAAACCGTTTAGAACTGATAGAGCTATCCAGTATAAATAAAGTTAGTTTAGTTTGGGTTTCCTTCTGTAGTAACACTGGATCAATAAGAGATGATCCTTACTGGACCTCTAGGAAGAACAGTTTAAAACTGATAGAGCTATCCAATATCCAGTGTAAATAAAGTTAGTTTAGTTTAAGTTTCCTGCTTTAGTAACACTGCATCAATAAGATATGATCCTTATTAGATCTCTAAGAAGAACTATTCAAAAATAATACATTATATTTGAATATCTTTATACCTTTATCATTCCAGGGTATTCATACCAAGGCAGACCATAAACTCCACCAGTTGTAGTATGGTCAATGAAACAAGGATAGTTATCTTCAGCTGCAAAACCAGATTGCATAACTTTCCAATAGAAAACACTTGTACGTACAGGCTGAAAAAAAGTGTGAAAACTTACTATAACACATGGTACAAGACATTGCAATCGAAGGTAAGTGAGGTATTGTATACTAACCCTCAAATCCAGATTGATTTCCAAAGGTTTCAGAAGAGAGCTGGCCCAAGACCCTTAACAAAATGACACTACATGTTAATAAGAGTGAATAAATTATGAAATTATTCACGGGCAGCCATCACTTTTTACCTGGCGTCAAAATCAGTGTCCGTGTTTCGTACGACCCTTTACTTGTCTTTACTTGAACAATATCACCAGGAATGATGTCAGTTACTGTTTCATTATCTCTTAACACTCCACCATATTTTGTGAATTGGCTCTACAAGGACAACAATATATAGAATTATATCCCTTTACTAAATTTGATTCCAAATCTCCATGAATCCAATGATTGACAATGTTTGAGGTTGATACCTGGGTAGCTCGTAGGCATTTACTTGCTAACAGCATTCCACCTGTTGGTTCGAGCAAACCTTGTCTATCTGCAGGGTAGTTTAATCTGAATTTTTCTCTCAATTCTTCGTTGTTAACAGGTTTGGTCTCGATGCCATTTGCTGCCAAATTATCTTTAATATGATTGATTTCGGTGTAAGGTGGTTTGTCTACAGTTAGGCAACCACAGTTGCTAAAAACAGTATATTAAACAACTGCATTATGAATGAAAATGGCATTATGAATAACAGTTTAAAACTGATAGAGCTATCCAATATCAATAAAGTTTATTTTAGGTTTTCTCCTGTACATAGTAACACTGGATGAATAAATATTTTGTATTGCTATAAACTGTAACATCACTTACATGAAGAGTTTTTCATTTGCCATCCGTTCAATCTGTTCCCACATTGCAAACGCCTCCGGCATCATATCAGCGTAATATTTTTGATCATAGGAATGACGTGTTATTCTCGACTGTCCATGAGAACTGCCTCGATCATGGGGAAGCGGAAACTATAAACCAAATGTTGTGGTAATTGTATAGTTTTTGTAATCACAACTAATTTTAGTGGAAAGTGTGAGAGTTGTGAAATGCCTGCAATTTGTCTACTACAATTTTGCCATCTAGCCTTCTACCAGTTGAAGACTAGTTGAAAACATTTGATACATGATATGGACTGAGTGGGCTGCTAACAAACATAATCGACACTGCGTAGACCTCTATAGATTATTTCTATGAAATTATTCCACATTTTTAATGCATAGATAGTCTGAATGTCTGGAAATTTTGTTTCCATGCTAGTTTCCAGTAAAACAATAACATTTATACCTGCTATCAATCTTGATATGATATGATAGTTATTTGGAGAATCATCTCATAGAAAGCTCAAGCCCATGATCTAACCTGCTAGCTGCTAGTCCAAATTACATATAAAACACATGTGTGAGTTTTGCCCAACTCTGCAGACTGGTGTGTGAGTGAAGACGGCAACCATGCATTGTCTCTCTTATATAGATTTATAACAGCCTGAAGCAACATACCTGTTCTAAACACAAGGTCTTTTTACCAAGTGAGGCTGCATATCTTGCAGTATTACTACCCTCTATGCCTGCCCCAACAACAATACAATCCCAAATTTTATTTTCCATCTTACAATGAATGTCGCAATTTTCCCTCTAATTCACCAGGAATGTAAACAATTTGCAAATTGTAACATTGTATCAAGACAATGCATGTGTTTCCACAACCCACTCATCATATTTCGTTGTTTTTGCACCAAAATATCCTGTGTATTTTTTTTGAAATTTAGTAAATCCTAAATACACGAATTTAATCCTCGAGTTTAAGTTTGGGAACCTAGGTTTTGGATTAGGGTTACCTAAGAAAAACCTAACCTAATCCCGAGGATTAAATTTGTGTATTTAGGATTTGATTTGGTGAAACTGTGACCATAGTGCATTTGAACATGGTTTTATGTTACAATTTGAGTTATTTGACAAATTATTTTGCTTTCATTTCTGAACTCGCGTCGGAGAAAATTTGTTAAAGTATGCAACAGAATAAGATGCAAGATGAAATTTGGGATTGTATTGTTGTTGGGGCAGGCATAGTGGGCAGTAATACTGCAAGATATGCAGCCTCACTTGGCAAAAAGACCTTGTGTTTAGAACAGGTATGTTGTAAAGTTCCGAGCTGTAAAGGCCTGCACAGACAGGACGCGAATTGGCAACGCGACGCGAATTTGCAACAACGATATTTATATTTTCAAATCAAATAAATTTTAGACTATTATTATATTTCTTGTGGATTACGTAACAATAATACATTTTGGGTGCTCTGGCGTCCATAGATTCCAAATCTCGCTTCCGGGATTTAATTTATATGTTTCTGAAAACTGAAAATTCGCGTCGCGTTGCCGCATCGCGTCCGGTCTGTGTCGATCTTTAAGCCCGTTTTCCACTAGGCGAATTTATTCGCGCGACGCTTTGCGATATCTGAAATCCGGTGATGTGAATGGTTTGCGAAAAAATTCGCCGCGAAAAAGTGGAATCGCTTCCTACATTTAATCTGTTCGCGCAAATAAATTCACCTAGTGGAAAACGGGCTTTAATCAGATATGAGCCATCCATCATTAATTAGTACACTCATTTTTGAGATGAATGCTGTGTCACCCCTGTGAGGTTAGACAGATCATTTTAACAGGTTCATTCTAACACCCAATGCGTCATGCATATGATTGCTATCCTTATCATCACAATAAATACAGTATTCTGGTTTAGTTCTTACTCCCACATGGTCGAGGTAGTTCTCATGGACAGTCAAGGGTTACACGCCATTCCTATGATGTAAAACATTACGCTGATATGATGCCGGAGGCGTTTGCAATGTGGGAACAGATTGAACGGATGGCAAATGAAAAACTCTTCATGTAAGCGATTGTCACCAGAAGTTATGTTTTATATATAAATATCTAAACTAAACTAACTTCATTTATACTGGATAGCTCTATCAGTTCCAAACTGTTCTTCCTAGAGGTCCAGTGAGGATCATCTCTTATTGATCTAGTGTTACTACAGAAGGATACCTAAACTAAACTAACTTTATTTATACTGGATAACTCTATCAGTTCTGAACTGTTCTTCCTTTTTTCTAGCAACTGCGGCTACCTCACAGTTGACTCTCCTCCCTATACAGCAATAAATAAAATGAGAGATTATTTGGCAGCAAATGGCGTTGAGACCAAACCCTGTTAACAACAAAGAATTGAAAGAAAAATACATGTTTAACTATCCTCCTGATATGCGTGGATTGCTTGAACCAACCGGTGGGATCCTATTAGCAAATAAATGCCTTCAGGCTGTCCAGGTATTGCCTACAGACCTTTCTCATAATGTTGTCAAACACAATAAGCCAGACATTAGAGGAAGTTTGGTTACCCTTGTTAGTTTTGTTGAGCAAATCAAACTTTTTGTAACATCAGATGTTCCATGCTTGATGTCATTTTCAGAATGGTCTATTGACTTTGACCTACAACTATTTGTGTTGTCTGAAAAGCCTGATGCTTAGAAAGGTCTGTTATGATAAGACCCCTGTATCTTTCAGAAGGTTAATCCTAGTACAGTACGGATGTAATTTTGACTTGAAATATGCGATGTAATGATTATGCAATGAACTATATATAGAAGATGACATAATATAATTCTATAGCCTTTCATTTGTAGAGCCAGTTCAAGGAATATGGTGGAGTTCTGCAAGACAATGAAAAAGTAATGGACATCATCCCAGGAAATATTGTGCAAGTCAAGACAAGCAAAGGATTGTACAAGACAAGGAGGCTGATTTTGACGCCAGGTAAAAAGATGAAAGAAAAGTTATACTTCCCAATATATAATTCAACAAAAAGCACTGTCCCTTTTCACAAGTTAGACATCAAAGTCTGAAGTTTAATTGTATTATGAGAAGATGCTAGCTTTTGTGTATCAAGTACAACCATAGATAAAATCCTTAGTCATTCTGCCATTTTTTTTAAGGACCTTGGGCAAATTCGCTTCTCAAACCTCTGGGAATGAACCTAGATTTGAAGGTTGGTTGAAAATAGTATAGGAATGCATTCATGCTGGTTTCATATTAGGGGGTGCATACCAGTTGCTGTTGGGCATGAGCTGGATATGGTACTAGCACCAGTTATCAGGAATTTTAGAATATATGTTGGTTATATATTAATATAAAATTAAGACAAAGATGCAGACAAAATTCTTATTATTGGGCTCTTATTTTTGTACATAACCTGCAGATTTGTATTGTGCACCCTCCAGTAAATCTATCCCTGAAAAAATATTTACCCTTTTGGATAATTCTCTGGTCACACACCTGACATTGCTGTTTCTTCAGGCTTCATATTTTGCATGTAACAAAATAGAATAGGATTGTCACATGTGTGACCAGGAAAACACCCTTTTGATTGCAAATTGTTTGTCCATTGTAATAATTTGTAGAGTTCTCTTTCAGCCTGTCCGTACAACCGTATTCTATTGGAAGGTGAAACAATCTGGTTTTGCAGCTGAAGATAACTACCCTTGTTTTGCTGACTATACGTCTCAATGTTTGGACACATTCGGTGGATTAGTTTATGGTCTGCCCTGTTATGAATACCCTGGAATGATAAAGGTATTAATCAGTGGCATTGCCAGCATCGTTAAGTACTTGGGGTGGACATATTCATATATTCATGTTTACAGACCGTTAAAACAATCAATTTGAAAAGAAATTAATAATGTAAAACACGAATATATGAATAAGTCCCCGCCACTTATATAGCTGGCGACGCTACTGGTATTAATTATAATTTAACACAATCCTTCCCTAATGTCCAGAAAGGATCATCTTGCATTCATCCGCTGATACTACAGGAGGAAATCTAAATTAAACTAAGTTTATATATGTCTATTTAAACTGTATAGCTCTATCTAGCTGTTCTAAACTTGCTCGATTAAATTTTTTTCTAGTTTGCGATACATGGTGGACCTATTGTCGATCCTGATGCTCGGGATATGGCTGATCACACTGATCTTGAAAAGAATGCATCAGAATATGTGAGTCGTCATATCATGGGGGTTGAGGCTAGACCAAGTATAGTGGAACACTGTATTTATTCTGTAAGTTTGATATTTTTTGTGATTAATTAAGGCCATGTTAAACGGTGCAATTTTTCTTGCAACTTGCAATGCAATTCTTTTGAGAGATGTAAATTTGGCAACTACCGAACTTTTGTCTTTATTACAGTCCATAGCTTTTCTTACACTTACATTTTGAAGCCTCTTCACTAATTTACATCTCTTAAAAGTAGAATTGCATTGCAAGTTGCAAGAAAAATTGCACCGTGTAACAGGGGCTTTACTTCCTCTGATATGTCAGATGATAGTCTTACTATTGTCCGAAATGGTGCTTGGTGATTTCAGTGAAATCTGATTTAAAAACTCTAGTCTGCTGTTTCAGGTATCACCAGATGACAATTGCATATTAGACCAACATCCACAGTTTCACAACATCGTTATTGGAGTTGGATTTTCAGGTAATTTCATATTTCATGAGTGAGAGGTATTGCTAGAGTTGGAAATACGGTGCATATAACCTATTCCTACAAGTGTGCATTATTGTTTGTTTTTCACAGGTACGGGGTTCAAAATTTCTCCAGTAATTGGAAAGATTTTGTTCGAGTTGGCATTCAGTTTAAGACCAAGCTATGACATGGAGCCTTTCATGATAGCAAGGTTTCAGAATTCAACAGCAAAATCCTCTTTATAATCTCAAAAATAAGCCATTGTAAAACTGACGGTTTATTAAATAAAATTAAACGCTATTGTAAAGCGAGAAAAAGCCAAATTAATTATTAAGAAACCGCGCGCAGTCGCAATGAAACAGCACTTATACCACAATCACCAACACCACCATGACCACATGAGCAATGTCTTGAGCCGGTTTTCCACCAGCGATATTTTTCGCGCGAATCGACATTTTACTTTTGTTCCAGAGCTCTCAACTGCAACCATCTGGAACAAATTGCTCAAATACAAAGTAATAAAGTCGCTTCGCGCGAAAAATATCGCTAGTGGAAAACCGGCTTTAACTAAGCCCTCGACTCAATTTTTCGACTCTTGTGGTCACACCAGTGCAGTGTTTCTATATCTATGGAAATTTCCACATCTTATGGAAATTTTAGCATAAAGTGGAATTTTCTACGGAATTTTTTTCCTTTTTAAGCGCATTTGATTTCTTTTTTGAACATTGAAAAATTCGTAAATTTCACCCAAAATTAACGATTTCAGTCGAAAATTTTCTAAAATAGATCCGTGAATAGATTAACTGTGACCCTGTAAACGGGGCTATACTCTATGGTCTGCCCGAGATGACTGCCTGAGATGACTGCCCCAGATGACTGCCTGAGATGATTGCCTGAGATGATTGCCGTAGATGACTGCCCGAGATGACTGCCCGAGATGACTGCCTGAGATGACGGCTGCTTGAGATGACTGCCCGAGATGACTGCCTGAGATGACTGCCTGAGATGACTACCCGAGATGACTGCCTCAGATGACTGCCTGAGATGACTGCCCGAGATGATTGCCTGAGATGACTGCCCCAGATGACTGCCCGAGATGACTGCCCGAGATGACTGCCTGAGATGATGACTGCCCGAGATGACTGCCTGAGATGACTGCCTGAGATGACTGCCTGAGATGACTGCCTTAGATGACTACTAATCATTTTGTTCTATTATTGCTATTATTTTGAAAAAAATGTCGTAAAATGCTAAAAATGGCTTCCTAAGACTAATATCTTTCATTTTAGAGCACATTTGGTCGGTTTTTGGAACACTCAAAAAGTGGTCAAAATTGGCCAAAATGGTAAGGCTTACCTATTTTTTTTAAGGCTTGTGTAAAAAGTAGTGTTTCATTATTTGAGTTCCTGGCTAATTGTATGCAAGCGTGGAATTTATTTATGGCTTTAGAAGGCCCAGCGCAAATCATTAAAACCTACATCCGTCTAAATCCACGCTATTACAGCTCAGTCAAGCCGATTAGAGCAAACCGCGCGCTAGAATTCCTAAGGCTTACCCCTTACCATTTTGGTCAATTTTGACGACTTTTTTAACTTTTCAAAAACTGTCTTAAAATGCTAAAAATGGCTTCCTAAGACTAATATCTTTCATTTTAGAGCATATTTGGTTGGTTTTTAGAAGAATCAAAAAGTGGTCAAAATTGGCCAAAACGGTAAGTCTTACCCCTTACCATTTTGGTCAATTTTGACCACTTTTTGAACTATTCAAAAACTGTCTTAAAATGCTAAAAATGGCTTCCTAAGACTAATATCTTTCATTTTAGAGCGTATTTGGTTGGTTTTTGGAACAATCAAAAAGTGGTCAAGATTGGCCAAAACGGTAAGTCTTGCCCCTTACCATTTTGGTCAATTTTGATAACTTTTTGAACTGTTCAAAAACTGTCTTAAGATGCTAAAAATGGCTTCCTAAGACTAATATCTTTCCTTTTAGAGCACATTTGGTCAGTTTTTGGAACACTCAAAAAGTGGTCAAAATTGGCCAAAATGGTAAGGCTTACCCCTTACCATTTTGGTCAATTTTGACCACTTTTTGAACTGTTCAAAAACTGTCTTAAAATGCTAAAAATGGCTTCCTAAGCCTAATATCTTTCATTTTAGAGCGTATTTGGTTGGTTTTTGGAACAATCAAAAATGGTCAAGATTGGCCAAAACGGTAAGTCTTACCCCTTACCATTTTGGTCAATTTTGATAACTTTTTGAACTGTTCAAAAACTGTCTTAAAATGCTAAAAATGGCTTCCTAAGACTAATATCTTTCATTTTAGAGCGTATTTGGTTGGTTTTTGGAACAATCAAAAAGTGGTCAAGATTGGCCAAAACCGTAAGTCTTGCCCCTTACCATTTTGGTCAATTTTGATAACTTTTTGAACTGTTCAAAAACTGTCTTAAGATGCTAAAAATGGCTTCCTAAGACTAATATCTTTCCTTTTAGAGCACATTTGGTCAGTTTTTGGAACACTCAAAAAGTGGTCAAAATTGGCCAAAATGGTAAGGCTTACCCCTTACCATTTTGGTCAATTTTGACCACTTTTTGAACTGTTCAAAAACTGTCTTAAAATGCTAAAAATGGCTTCCTAAGACTAATATCTTTCATTTTAGAGCGTATTTGGTTGGTTTTTGGAACAATCAAAAAGTGGTCAAGATTGGCCAAAACGGTAAGTCTTACCCCTTACCATTTTGGTCAATTTTGATAACTTTTTGAACTGTTCAAAAACTGTCTTAAAATGCTGCTTCCTAAGACTAATATCTTTCATTTTAGAGCATATTTGGTTGGTTTTAGAAGAATCAAAAAGTGGTCAAAATTGGCCAAAACGGTAAGTCTTACTTCTTACCCCTTTGGTCAATTTTGACCACTTTTTGAACTATTCAAAAACTGTCTTAAAATGCTAAAAATGGCTTCCTAAGACTAATATCTTTCCTTTTAGAGCACATTTGGTCAGTTTTTGGAACACTCAAAAAGTGGTCAAGATTGGCCAAAATGGTAAGGCTTACCCCTTACCATTTTGGTCAATTTTGATAACTTTTTGAACTGTTCAAAAACTGTCTTAAAATGCTGCTTCCTAAGACTAATATCTTTCATTTTAGAGCATATTTGGTTGGTTTTTAGAAGAATCAAAAAGTGGTCAAAATTGGCCAAAACGGTAAGTCTTACCCCTTACCATTTTGGTCAATTTTGACCACTTTTTGAACTGTTCAAAAACTGTTTTAAAATGCTAAAAATGGCTTCCTAAGACTAATATCTTTCATTTTAGAGCACATTTGGTCGGTTTTTGAAGCGATCAAAAAGTGGTCAAAATTGGCCAAAACGGTAAGTCTTACCCCTTACCATTGTCTGTCTTGGGCTACCTCTTTCTGGATTGAACATTTTGGACAATTAAGAAGCATTTTAGCATTCTAAGACAGTTTTTGTACAGTTAAAAAAGTGGTCAAAATTTACCAAAATGGTAAGGGGTAAGATTTACCTTTTTGGCCAATTTTGACCACTTTTTTAACTGTTCAAAAACTGTCTTAGAATGCTAAAATGGCTTCTTAATTGTCCAAAATGTTCAATCCAGACAGAGGTAGCCCAAGACAGACACAGGTAGCCCAAGACACATAATACTTCGTCTAAAAAAAGATTTCTTTAAAATTCTCCGAAAATTTTTTTTGACGAAGTATTATGTCTTGGGCTACCTGTGTCTGTCTTGGGCTACCTGTGTGTGGCTTGACTTTTTTCTTTGTTAAATTTAAGAAAAATAGAAAAAAACTAGAGAAATAGATAGAAAAAACTAGAAAAAAAAACTAGACAAAAAAACTAAGCAGAAAACTTGAAAACTAGAAAAAAAACTAGAGAAATAGAAGAAAAACTAAAAACTAGAAAAAAAACTAGAGAAATAGAAGAAAAACTAGAAAAAAAAACTAGAAAAATAGAAAAAAACTAGAGAAAAAAAAACTAGACAAAAAACACTAGACAAAAAAAACTAACTAGAAAAATAGAAAAAAACTAAAAAAAAAACAAATAGAAAAATAGAAAAAACTAGAGAAATAGAAGTAAAAACTAGAGAAAAAAAACCAGACAGAAAAACTAACTAGAAAAATAGAAAAAAACAAGAGAAAAATAGAAGTAAAAACTAGAGAAAAAAACAAGACAAAAAAAAAACTAGACAAAAAACTAACTAGAAAAATAGAAAAAAAAACTAGAGAAATAGAATTAAAAACTAGAATAAAAAAAACTAGAGAAAAAAAAATAAGTAGAAAAAAAACTAGAGAAATAGAAGTAAAAACTAGAGTAAAAAAAACTAGAGAGAAAAAAACTAGAGAAAGAAAACTAAGTAGAAGAGGAGAAAAGAAACTAGAGAAAAAAACTAAGTAGAAAAAACACTAGAGAAATAGAAGTAAAAACTAGAGTAAAAGAAACTAGAGAGAAAAAAAAACTAGAGAAAGAAAAACTAAGTAGAAGAGGAGAAAAGAAACTAGAGAAAAAAAAATAAGTAGAAAAAAAACTAGAGAAATAGAAGTAAAAACTAGAGTAAAAAAAACTAGAGAGAAAAAAAACTAGAGAAAGAAAACTAAGTAGAAGAGGAGAAAAGAAACTAGAGAAAAAAACTAAGTAGAAAAAACACTAGAGAAATAGAAGTAAAACTAGAGTAAAAAAAACTAGAGAGAAAAAAAACTAGAGAAAGAAAACTAAGTAGAAGAGGAGAAAAGAAACTAGAGAAAAAAAACTAAGTAGAAAAAACACTAGAGAAATAGAAGTAAAAACTAGAGTAAAAGAAACTAGAGAGAAAAAAAAACTAGAGAAAGAAAACTAAGTAGAAGAGGAGAAAAGAACTAGAGAAAAAAAACTAAGTAGAAAAAACACTAGAGAAATAGAAGTAAAAACTAGAGTAAAAGAAACTAGAGAGAAAAAAAACTAGAGAAAGAAAACTAAGTAGAAGAGGAGAAAAGAAACTAGAGAAAAAAAACTAAGTAGAAAAAACACTAGAGAAATAGAAGTAAAAACTAGAGTAAAAGAAACTAGAGAGAAAAAAAACTAGAGAAAGAAAACTAAGTAGAAGAGGAGAAAAGAAACTAGAGAAAAAAAACTAAGTAGAAAAACACTAGAGAAATAGAAGTAAAAACTAGAGTAAAAGAAACTAGAGAGAAAAAAAAACTAGAGAAAGAAAACTAAGTAGAAGAGGAGAAAAGAAACTAGAGAAAAAAAACTAAGTAGAAAAAAAACACTAGAGAAATAGAAGTAAAAACTAGAGTAAAAGAAACTAGAGAGAAAAAAAAACTAGAGAAAGAAAACTAAGTAGAAGAGGAGAAAAGAAACTAGAGAAAAAAAACTAAGTAGAAAAAACACTAGAGAAAGAAGTAAAAACTAGAGTAAAAGAAACTAGAGAGAAAAAAAAACTAGAGAAAGAAAACTAAGTAGAAGA